GCGATTCTAAAATCGCCAAGCTGGCTTGATAATAATTTTGGATGATGTTTGAAGAACAAGTGTGTTCTGCGGCTTCCGCAACACACCTCGCTGGCGCGCCAAAATCCGCGAAAATATTTTTCTCGAAAATCTGACGACCGCAGCGCCATTTTTCAGTCGCACCAGGATCACAACCCAAATCCTCTTGATACAAAATTTCTTTTTTTCTTTCAATAAATTTCGTAAAACATCTGAAATTCGTGAAATAACTACAACACAAAAGTGGCGATAGAATGCGCCAAAAGTCGCGCCAACATTAATTTCTTCGCCCTAGAACTCGCCGAAAAAGGGTTGAAAAAGAGCTGAAGTTCTTTGGAATTCGTACTATTATTTGGAATTTTGGAAAAATAGACGCGAAATCTGCGCGAATGCGCCCGAGATAAACTCACTTGAGCTTTGAATTCCACAATCAAGACAACTATTCGCCAAAAAGACAAATCTAAACCTCTTTTCAAGCGCTAGAAAAGGTGTTACTGTCATAAACCCAATTGTAAAGCTCAATGAGAGGGTCGTTAAATGCGACTGAAAGTGGCCTTCTAACATTGTGACACCCTTATTTTGAAGCTTGCTCTGGGGTAGGCAACCTGTGTGGAAAACCTGAGTCAGGTCCAAAAATGCAAAATTGAAAAGCCGCGAAGCCTGACTCAGGTTTTCCACACAGGTTGCCGAGCCCAGAGAAGGCTTCAAAATAAGGGTGTCATTATGCTAAAAGGCCGCTTTTCAGTCATATTCGAGCTTGTTCTTTTTCAGCTAAAAACTCCATTGAAGAAATTATCTCCTTTTTGATCGAATAAAGCAAAGCATTCAATAATATTTTATGTCAAATGGAAACTGCTAACAATTAAAAATTAAGAGTAGTTATGCTTTACAGGTGGCTTTTTTGATATGAGGCGTGGCTTCTTGTCAATATCCAGATTTACCTTCAAATTTGATTGTCAATCAAAATCAATTAAAAATTCACCGCAAAATGAAAAATAATGAATCGGCAAATCTGCCAATTCCGCATTTTTAAAAGAAAGAAGCTCGATTCGGGCGCTAGAACTGCATTTAGGTAGAAGTGATTGTGTATGTAACCGGCTTATCTTTCTTCCAAAACACGTTTTTACTCAAAACCGAAAAACTAAACAAAATCACTTTGAAGAAAAGTTATTTGGTTATTTGATTGAGGTCAGCCCGAGTCATTTATTTTAGATGCTAAGTTACTTACTACTATTTTATATGCGTTTTAGAACGAACATTGCTTTTGGCATTTTTTTTACTAAAAACCGAACATTTTATTGATTCAAAAAAATAAGGGTATCACTTTGCTAAAATCGGAAATTTCAAAATAGATTAATTTTTTTTTTGTGTTAGCTGAAAATTTGTATGGTTGCTTCTTTTTGCATGATTTTGAGTTTGCAGGTGGCGTAATTTTGGTGGTGTCAGTGTGATTAATTTTTGATTGCGCGCAGCAAGCAATCGGCGGTGGAGGTGAAGCGGCTGCTCTAACGGGCGCATATTTGGACGCAGCTGAATCCCGGCACAAAGTGAAGCGAATAACAAATATCAAAACTTATTGGAAAATTTTGCAGTTTTGGAATTTCGGAATTGAAAAACTTGCCAACAAAACCGGCCTGGAATTAAAAACCTGTGCAGAAAACCTGAGTCAGGGCCTGAAGGAGCTTGAATGAGAAGCCGCGCTGCGGCTTTTTTTTTGAAACGAAGCCGCAAAGTTATCGACCTTGGGACTCGTTGGAAAGTCATTTTAGCTAACTTCTATCTTAGCTAATAGTCCGCTAATCAGTGGGACAAATAATCACCGGCGATTGCGGGTAGAAAATAGATATCTCGATATCTGCCAGAGTTGTCGGCTCAGGGACAATAATGAGGCGGAAAATTGTAAATTGCCTCCAAAACTGCATAAAAAATATCCAAAGTCGCAATAATCATTGGAACCAGTCCCAACATGATAATTTACCGCAAAAACGCAAAAATTTAATATATTCGCAAAAATTTAATATAAAAAAATGAAAATTAAAAAAATGATTAAAAATGGCAAAAATTTGCGGGAAAATCAACCTCAATTTGAAATACTACTATTTGCTGATGTTTCTGTTATTCTGAGCAATTACAGGCCTGTTCTAGTGTTTAGCCAAATTGGCCGGTATTGGTCGGTAAATGACGGGGCAACACTCGAAGCGATCTCCGGATTCAAGTGCCAAAAGTTTTGATTTTTATCGAAATGCTCCAACAGAATCAAAATATTGAGCTTTTTCAAATTGAAACTGAGTTTTTCAACTCTCGAGTGTGTCAAAATTGCCGTCCTTTAAAAAAAGTGTTTTTGATCAAGGCTTGGCAACCTGTTTAGAAAACCTGAGTCAGAATTCGAAACAGCTTTTTGAAATCCTGACTCAGGTTTTCTACACAGTATAGACTAAACTGTATAGTGTCTGGAACCGACAAAAAATGTCGACAAATTTTGCGTGGAAATTTTCAGCCAATCAGAAGCCTGGATTCGGCAAACCGGCCAATCAGCAGCCGAGTAGCCGCCCACGCAAAATCTGTCGAAATTTTTTGTCGGTTCCAGACACCATGCCGTGTAGAAAACCTGAGTCAGGATTTGAAAAGAAGCTCCTTCAATTCCTGACTCAGGTTTTCTTAGCAGGATTTCTAGTTTTTGATCAAACGGCCTTATCAGATTTAATTTTCTATTTTTAAAATTCTTTCTTTCGAAACCGGGTTTTGAATTTTGCCGATTTTTAGAAAAATTAGTTTCTCGTTTTCTATTTTTTGTTTCGATTTTCGGCCTTTTGGTATTTTTATAATAATTACGATGTCCGTTTTGACAACTTGGATAAGGCGCGTCTTCATTATTCAGTCTTCTCAGATTGAGCCGGATGAGCCGCGCCTAGCAAAGCTCCCCGAGCATCATTTCTCAAGATCGACAAACGAAAAAATTTGATTTCCGCTCCGGATTTCGCCATAATTCCGAAACGCAAAAATAAAAACGCCAAAACGCAGGAGAAAAAGATGCTTTGTTGAAGGGGATAATTCAATAACAAAATATTTTTCGAGCCAGAGTAATCGAATTTTAACAAATTTTTACCAGCACCTTGCTAGTAAATGACACTTTTCAAAACTTGCTTATTTCTTTTGCTTTTTCGATAGCGATACCCTTATTTTTTCACTTCTGACTTCATTTTTTACCAGAAGGCGAAAATGAAAGAAACTAAAAATCGAGAAGCCGCTTGCGGCTTCGAGCAAAAATTGATAGAAAAGCTACGCTTCGCGCGGCTTAAATCTCCTTTGCTCGAAGCCGCAAGCGGCTTCTCGATTTTTAGTTTCTTTCATTTTCGCCTTCTGGTAAAAAATGAAGTCAGAAGTGAAAAAATAAGGGTGTCACTATCTAAAAGACAGAAAAGGAGTCTGAAGAACGGAAAATGAAAACGTTAATACATTTGCCGCGCAGCGTAAAATTGTATTTATTTCTCCAAGAAACGATTCGAGCTCGCTATTTGGATATTCAGGTGCTTTGCCTGGCCATTTTATTTATTATCAAAAATTACTATCGTTTTGTGAAAAAAATCAACGGCAGAATTTGCTTGTTTTTGCGAATAAGACCGGCAGGCGATTAATACCCCCGCACCTTGAATACAAGAAAAAAATCCAAATTCAATTTGAAAAATGTGTTTTTCAAGCTGATGCTTCATTTTTCGTTTTTTCTAGCGTTAGGATTTTCTTTATTTTAGTCACCCGCATCATGATAATATTTATATCACACTAAGCCTTGTTTGCCGCCTTTGGACATTGTTTCTGAGGCATTTTCAGTGTAGAATCATCATAAACGAAAAGTAAAATAACAACTTGCCAAATTAATAGACACTTTACTGCATTTTTTCATCAGAAAATCAAAGAAGAATCGACTCGAGAAGGCCTAAATGTGTACTTACCTGTCTTGTGTACTCTCGCATTTGAACTACAAGCGCGATAAAGAGCAAATCCTTTGTGGATTATCAAAAAAGCTAAACAAAAATAAACTGCAACCTGCCGCATCATACGACGCGTCATCCCTTTTTTTCTTCTTCCCAGAACGATTGAAATTTTCGCATCTGGCGTTTTCCGGCGTTTTCGTTTTGCTTGCCAAGTTCCCCGAGAGTTATTTGGACTTGGTTTATACCATTTTATCATGTGCATAAATCGCTGTTTATATTTAATTAGTCAGCGCTTAATTAGTTGTCAAATCGAAATAACATCAAATAATATCAAAAAAGAAACTTTGATTATTAAAAATTTGAAGATTAAAAGTTGGAAAACCTGTGGAAAAAGCCTGAGTCAGGGTCAGGAAAGCATTTAAGAAACCTGACTCAGGTTTTTACAGAGGAAGAATAAGTGAAATCAAGGAAGAAAGTAGCATAAACAGGATAAGGTTTATTTCGATAAAATAAAGAGCAGCTAGAATTGCCAAGAAGCTGACCCAGAATCTTTGAATAACTTGAAGAAAATGTACTCGTCGAGAAGTTGCTGGCACTCTTTTTCGAACTGCTCCATATCCAGAAGTTCCATCTGATTCGACTTTTGCTTCATTTTCACAAGTCATAAACTTATCTATCAATTCGAACCTCTCATGCAGTCCGTCTTCAACCCACTTAAATCCTCTAATTCAATGGCTAGGCCTTGAATCATCTGAAATAAAAGGAAACACTTCAGAAACTGCATTTATTCTGTCTGTGGGCCACAGATTTAGCTGATGAATTTATACAAGGATGTCTTTCTGAACAAATTGAATATTAAAAGCTAACATTTGGCAGTGGCCACTTTTTTAAAGCTGCAATCAAGGAAGAGAAGATTTTTTTTCCTTAACATAGAAAAATATATAAATATATAATTTATTTGATAGTTGAAAATGAGACAGACGACCAATTATTGACAGAAAAACTTATGTTCTCCCTGGAGGCCAATTTGTTCCGATTCTGATTCCAATTTCACCATTTCCAGTCGATTTCAAATTCGACATAAGCAAAAACAGCACAGATGATAAAGCCTGCTGCCAAGCCGGAGTTCTGGAGAATAAAGGGCTTCATCGGTTTTGCTAAAAAAGGGTTCATTGTCTCTCTCCCCAATTGATCTAACCTTCAAGCCAAACTGATCTGGCCTCAGCTTCGTCCAATTCCGGCAAAACGATTCCAAACGAGTTGTACATAAAATAGCCACAGCCCAAGGCAAAAATCCACTAAATAAGAACCGCTACTTTAAGAAGAAGAATCGGACTGACCTGTTCTTGGTGATCATGAGAAATGTACATTCCGAGAATCGCGCCTGGAATCACCATGATCGACGAAAGAAAGATGAAAAACATCGACTGAAGCGGGTTCACGCCATTTTTGATGAGAGTGATGTAGTCTCCGCAGCGATGGAGCGTTTCCTGCCAGATGAACGAGAAGGCGATGATGATTCCCTTGTTTCATATTAAAATATTTCTGTGTTAGAAAACCTGAGTCAGGGTCTGAAAGATCTTCTCGGATTTTTTGAGAGAGAAGCCGCGAAAATTTAATCATAGATTAGATTGGTGACATATGCCGCATATGATATGCGAAGCCGCTTCGCAGATTCGTTTAAAAAAGCCGCTACGCGGCTTTTCACTAAAGATCTTTAGACCCTGACTCAGGTTTTCTACACAGATTGCTTTAAGCTAATAGCTCAATTCTTACCTCAGCAAGGGAGATGTAAAAACTGGCAGCGATGACCATTCCAGCGCAGAAAGTCGCAAAGCCGTTTTGCAAAAGAACCAGCCATGCATATCGTTTAACCTTGTCGAGTCCTTTGAGAGTGAAATCGCTCTTTTTGGGCAGCCGGACTTTGTTGAAACGAACATCGCTTTGCAAATTGACGAGTCCTGCTTTTCCGACACCGGCGATGGCGTTGGCGATTTCTTCGCGACTCATCGAGCCAATGTGGCTCATGGAATAGACCGAGTCCGTCGTCGACGAGGCCGCTTGAATAAACGTCATTCTCGTCGTCCTGCTGCTTTTGAACGCTCTGGTGCTTCGATGCATCGACCCATGCGTCGACAAAGCGTCCCCAGCGATCGTGATTCTTCCACCAGATGTCTCGTAAATCGCCGTTTTTCGATCGCCAAAAGTATTTTGCGGAATCTTCATCATCGTTTCTCGCTTTCGCTGGTACGGAATTTCTTCAAACTTGAAACTCTCCGACTTCGCTTTTCGCTCTTGCTCCAGCATTCTTTCCGCGAAAAAGCTAAAAATATCTCGATTCCGTTTTCTAAATAAAAACCGAGAAGCCGCTTGCGGCTTCGAGCAGAAATAAAAATAGCCGCGCGAAGCGCAGCTAATGTATTTGTTTAGCTCGAAGCCGCAAGCGGCTTTTCGATTATTCATCGTACTTTCGAGCTAAAATAAAAAAAGCCGCAAGCGGCTTTTCGATTTTTAATAGTATATGAGAATCGTAGTACCTTCGTGAGTCGATCGAAAATAAAGAAAAACCAAACGCAGGAGCACAAAATGGAACCAACATGCCTCAGCAAGGTATGTTCATTTTCAAACTTCTTCTTGTCTTCCAAGCACGAAGGAAAGAGCAGATAGAACAGTGACCCGGTTGACAAAGACATGCCGAAAGCGAGGAGAACATTTGTGACGCTCAAATAAGCCGGCTTCTTCGCCAAAGGAAAGAGAAAATGGTCAAGCCGGGAATGATGCTGATAAGAACGCAGCTAATGTAAACTGCGACCGGCGAGTTGGTGCATGCTATGATTTCTTGCTCGTCATCTATGTCGTCGCATTTGAGGGGCCAGGTCATTTCTCTCTTTTTTCCGAAAATTGATCGAAGCTAGTACTCTTGCTCGATCAGTAAAAATTCGCCTGACATTTAGAAACGACATTCCTCAAACTATATAAAACTCGTAAAGAAGAAACAGATGCGAACGACTGAATGTGAAGAAGTTACTGTCAATTAGAAGATGCTTTTGAAACAATCACCATTTAGTGGAAAAATTTCGAGTTCCATGATGTTTGGGTGATTGTTTCAAAAGCATCTTCTAATTGACAGTAACTTCTTCACATTCAGTCGTTCGCATCTGTTTCTTCTTTACGAGTTTTATATAGTTTGAGGAATGTCGTTTCTAAATGTCAGGCGAATTTTTACTGATCGAGCAAGAGTACTAGCTTCGATCAATTTTCGGAAAAAAATTTATATTTTCTCATTTGAATTTTTCTCTTTAGAGCGATTTCAAATCTTACTCTCTCGATTACTCGAGATTTTTGGACTAAATCGGTCGAGATTTTTCGATAGATAAGTTCTTTAGAACTTTATCTACAATTTTGATGGTTTACTTTTCGTTAATTCCGAAGGAAACCGATTCTAGAGTCATTTTATTGAGGGCTACTCAGCGCGTAAAAGCTCTACAAAGCGGCGCGCTGGGAGCTCGCTCACTCGAGTCCTCTTTTCCGAGAGAAAGTGCGTGGTCGAGCGCACCGCTCTGATTGGTAGCACGCGAAAAAACGCGCAGAGAAGAAAAACAAGGGTATAAAAGAAGAGAACACTAGAATGAAAATTCGATCAATTTTAAGAATATGATCCCATCAATTTTGTAGCTTAGCATCATTGCAATACAGAATACGGTTCAGTTTTAGCGATTTAGTGGAAAAATTTCGAGAAATCGAGAGAGTTCGTTTTCAAATCGCTCTAGAGAGGAAAATTCTTATGAAAATTTCTAAAAAGTACCAGAATTTAATTTAACGCACAATTTTAAGTAGGATTGCTTTTGAAATAAAAATGATCCGACTTCGTATTTAGGCGCTATGAAAGTTCAATTTTATCGGGTATATCCTTAAATCAAATGCGTATGCTGTGTGAACAAAATTTAAGAAAGAGAAAATGGATAAGGAACTCGCTAAAATCGCAATTCAAATTGGTTTGGAAAATCTTGAAAGCACTGATCATCCATCTGAACTGACAACGGAAAAAGTTGAATCTTGGCTGAAAGGATGATGTTTTGTTTCCAATAGAGGGAGCTGTTATGTAATGTTGCACCATTGGCCTATATAATATAGGCTATATTATGGACCATAATTTATTGTCAAGTCTAATTTTGTTATGCCCGAGACCAGTTGGCTAGTAGCACGTCGTACTAGCTCGCCACCAAAGAGTGCAAGGAAAATTGAAATCCAATTTGATTTTTAATTGCCTTTTATCTATTATCGTAATTTATTTCAAGATAAAATTCATTTTCCGGCTGTATCTCGAGCCTGCTACGCGTCACTGAGATGGTGGAAGTTTTCTAGCCAACTTCCGCCATACCGTCCATCTACGTTGATTTATTGTGCCTTTGAATAAATCACCTCCGTATAATGGAGCAAATTATTGTTCGCGCTTCAATAATTAATTCAAAAATAGTAATTGCCCTTGACGCGCTTTTAAGGTGGTGAAGTTTTCTAGCCCACTTCCGCCATACCGACCCTGGAACACCATACCTTTTCTGAATCAGCAGAAAATTTCAAGTATTTTGACACATTAAAATTCTAGAAATCGTCACTTCCGGTCGATTCTAGAGCCGGAAGTCATCGAAATTCGGGAGTATGGGCAACTTGTTGCCTATCAAATTGATAATTTCTAGAATATTAATGGGTCAAAGTGTGTAAAATTTTCTGCTGATTCAGAAAAGGTATGGTGTTCCAGGGTCGGTATGGCGGAAGTGGACTAGAAAACTTCCACCACCTTAAAAAGCGCGTCATTGTTTACGCGTAGCAGGCTCGAGATACAGCCGGAAAATGAATTTTATCTTGAAATAAATTACGATAATAGATAAAAGGCAATTAAAAATCAAATTGGATTTCAATTTTCCTTGCACTCTTTTGGTGGCGAGCTAGTACGACGTGCTACTAGCCAACTGGTCTCGGGCATACCAAAATTAGACTTGACAATAAATTATGGTCCATAATATAGGCCGATGGTGCAACATAATGTAATTTACAGAACAGCTCCCTCTTTTGGAAACAAAACATCATCCTAGTATAAATAATGCTGTCAACCAAGAAGTCATCAAACACTTCCAAATTGAGACTAACCAACAACACCAACCCAAAAAATCTCAACAATGAAAATCATCAAAAGCCTCATCTGTCTCTTCGGACCGGGCGTTTTTGCGATCCCATCCATTCAACTTGAAAACGGCTTCGTCAACAAAGTGGCCAACTATCACTTCCCTCAAGATGATGTTCCATCCTATCTTGAGCAGCTCAAGACTCATGATACTGAACTTGGCAAGCGATTTGAAAATTTTCGCACAAAAAGTCAGCTCAAACGAGCTATTCGCCAGCGAATGTTCAGAAGATACCATAGATCTGAATAATTCTCTCCTCAAAATAAAGAAAAAATGAACTTAGAAATGAAAAAAAAACATAAAAAAAATATAAAAATAAACCCTTAGAAATGCTCCTGCTCTCCAGTATCAATCTAGTCCTCTGTACTCCCACGATTTCTTTAACCCTCTTTTTCAACAGAATATCTTCTATTCGACATACCTTACATCCTTTATTGTAAAAGAAATAACCAGTCTGTTTTCACCTCCATATAATTAGAATAAATCCACAAGTTAGGGAACAGTTTTTTTTTAATGAAAGGTTATATTTGGCAGGGTAGTTTAATATTCCGTTTGAAAAGAAAAATCATCAAGTTGTTGCTCGAGTTGAATTTGAAGATCTTTGGCAGCCTGTAGCTGTCTTCTTTTCCGCCTTTTCGAATTCGCATCTCGTTCTATTTTCTCGTTTTCCAATCGAAGAACTGACCATTTGCTCATATCATCATCCGCCAAGTACCCGGCTTCGTTTGGGTCGATCTTCTCTTGCTCAATGTAGAAAGGGGGAGTCTCGGTGCTCTTCTCTTTTCGTGACTGGATACAACCCATTTCGGGACTTTCTTTGATGATTTTTGTTGAATTAACAAATGGGAAATGCATTTCCTGGAAAAGGACCGGTTCTAGAAATAACAAAGAATAAGCTCTTTCAGGAATTTTTTCGTCAAAGGGAAAATCTGTTAGAAAGGATGGTTTATTCAAATTTCTCCGAGGGAAGGGTACACTGAATTTGTCCGTGCTGGAGCCACTGGTTGATTTGGTTGCTCAACTGGTGAGGGGTTTTCGGCAACTTGTGCGTCTTCTATGTCTCCGAATTCAGGAGCCGATGGTTCAGGAGAAGCTCTTTTTTCTTCGACAACTGGTTGTTCCTGTTTTTCTGGAACTGGTTCTGGCTTTTTTTGTTCTGGAGGAGGAGTCGCTTTTTTCGTGCTACTCGTAGAAGAGGAGCTCTTTTGCGAAGACGACGAAGATGGTTTTGGCTGATAAGGATGCCCCTGCGATCGCTGCTTCTTCTTCTGCGCATCTTTCACTGCTTTTTGCGACGCTTTCGTTCCCGCGAAAAATCCCACTCCGGCGCCAATAGCAGTTCCAATGCCCGGGCAAATCGCAGTTCCGATCGCTGCTCCACCAGCTGCTCCTCCAACCTGAATATTCACACGTTAATTCCATCCCTTCTTGCTTATCAGTCCACTTTTTTTGTGTAAAATTCAAAGCAAAACACACCTTTTTCTTTTTCTCATTCGGATCTTTTGGAATATCGTCTCTGATATCATGAGCTTTTTCTTCTCCCTCTTCTTTTTCTCCTTTTTTACCCTTCAATGCTTTGTAGCCGAGATAAATTAACGCCATTTTTTGCTTATTTCAAATTCTCAAATTGGACCCTCTGTTTTTCAACTGCGCGTTTTTACCTTCACGAGATCAAATATTTGCTGCAGTAAATGTCTCTTATTGACAATTGCTTATTCCTTCATTACTCAGAACTGAGGTCATAAGACGAACAATTTTTTATACAAAAAACATGAAATTTTATTGTTCGTTGAATAATCGGCTATTGAGCCTGATTCGTCATTGTGCAGGATAAAAATGGCAAGAGTTTTAGAAAATAAATTTTACATTCCAAGGCCGCAGAAGGCTTTTCGTTCGACAATTTTCGTGAATTTCTTGGTTCGGTTGATGTATTTGTCGACGAACAGCTTTTTTGGGAGGCTTTCTTCGCAGGTAAATCTTCGAGCGTACGATCGAAGGGCTGAAATTTTCGATAAAAGAAGAATTTCGCCTCTTTTTTTGTTACCTCCAGCGAGATCGTTGGTCAGCTGGCAAAGATCGTCGGCAGAAAAGCCGCGATTTTCTTCGTCAAAAAGTCGCGAATCTTCGACTGTGGCGTTGCAGTTCATCGAGGCTCCTTCGGCTTGGTCGAGGAGTTTCAAGGCCAAATTGCTGATTCGGTTCTTGGTGAAATCGTTCAAGTCGGTGTTGTTGTTCGCAAGGGCGATCAGGTTGTCTCCGTGGCCCTAGAATCAATTTAATCCCAAGTTTTTCTGATAAAAATTACCTTTAGTTTTTCGAGTCGTTCTGTGTTAGCCAAAGCAGCAGCAAAAAGACCAAAAACCTTCATTTTTTCTTTTGTAGTTTTTTCTACTTCTAGCTTCTTATCACTCGAAGTGGTTGATAACGATCCCCCGCCGAGCGCAGCCTTTTATAGGTAGAAAAAGAGGGCGCCAGCGCATAAATCGCTCGGGAACTTGCGGATAATCAAATTCCTCGAAGCGATTACGCGTTCTTTTCTGACTTGTAAAGCATCTCGTAATACCTGCTAATACGTCTGGTTCTTGAGATTCCGAGGGATCAAAATGGACTTAGACCTGAGCTTTTGAGTATGCCAATTTAGAGGAATTAGAAACTAAGCCGCACTTCCATTTTCTCAATAAAAAATTGTCGGTTTTATGGAAAAAAATGAGAATCAAGAAAATTTTTTTCATTGAACTAAAAAATAAGCTCGAAATCCCCTGAGTTTCACGTTACGTGTATATAAACGTTAATGTTTTTTCCGAGTTTCCATTAAGCTGATAATTTGCGTTGTCTCGGAACAAGCCCGATTGCCACCGAGAGTGATTATTTAATAATTCTGAAAGGGTATCTATCCCTTCTCACGAACTTATCTCACCCCTCTTTTTTTTTTGTTTTAGAGGATGCTAGCTTGGGTTTTAATCGTTTTTCGTGGATTTATCACTGAGTTTACGCGTCCAAAATGAAAACGCGAACAGAACTTTAAGTATTCTGATATTGCTCCTGCTTCATTTTTTTTAATAAATAAAGACTGGAATAAATTTCAAAAGAGATGAAAGGAGACTTTCTCTGTTGAAATCATCATCGTTTTTTTCCGTTCGTTGTATCAACTGTATTGTTAATTTACAAGGGACGACATCTCATTGCCGCTCATTGTATCATTTTCTATATACAGGATTATTAAAACTGTAAAATTAAATTTAATAATTTAAAATCTTAATTAAATAGTAGCACAATAAAAGCGATTGTTGCTCGGCCCAATAGTTCGCCATTTTTTTAGAAATAAAAATTTGCTAAACGAGCTTTTTTTTGAACTCAGAGTCAGTTTTAAGTCGGTTTCAAGACAGTATCGGGACAGACGGAGGTAAAAGGTTCATCTTCTTTCTTGGCGAATTATAACAATAAATATAAATTACTTTGTAGCAATTTTGAAAAGTAGGACTTTTGGGAAGCTTGTTTTTTCTAAAATTAAGCATAGGCTTCAATCACAATCAAACTGGAAGCAATCACAAATGCGCCGAGCAGCCACGCTTTCGAAACCACCCGGTCGTTTGGGTCGTAGCGCGCTGCTTCCAGAAACAGGCCGGAAACAGCGACTTGCGTCATGATTCCAGATGTAACTCCGAACAACCAGCCGAAGATGTTCAGTTGCTCTGGCGCGGAGGGATCCTAAAAATGGAAAATCAGCTTTCTAACAATGCTTCGCGCTTTTTGAGCCTGCCATCTCGGACATCATCTTTGAAAATAATTTCTCTTAGAAAACGCGAAAAATGAACCATGTCATCAAAAATGATGATTGATCTCACGAAAAGAAGCAAGAAGAAGCAAAAGAAAACAGGGATCTCTAAAGATGAACAATCGTAAGAAAATGCAGCTGCGGAGTAAATTTCTCCGAGTAAATTGATTTCACCGCTATGAAAACAATTCATTTTTTTCAAGGTGAGATAAGAACTAGTCTTTCTAATTCTAGTGCTCTTCTTTCAATTCAAAATTTTCAAGTTGGAAAAAACTTTTTTCGTTTGCTGATGTTCAGCTCTGTTTCACAGAAAAATAAGGGTGTCTCCACGAAGATAAGAATACATCAAAGGGAGATATGTAATTTGCCCACGTTTCATCCTTATTATTTCGATAACCGTCGCCCCCACCCTTAAGTCATTACCTTATCAGCGAGGCCAAATATCAGCCAGCCAATGAAGGCTCCCAGTGGTTCAGCTAAGCCAGTAATCGCCGCGTACAGTAGCGCCTTGAACTTGCTCTTCGTTCCGACTTGAATGGGGAAAGCAACGGCGAAGCCTTCCGGAATGTTGTGCAAGCCGATGGCGCAGGCAACGCCCAGTCCGACCGTCTGATTCGAGGATAAAGCGGCGGCAAAGGTGAGAAGCCCTTCCGGAATATTGTGGAGAGTGAGCGCGAGCGCGGTGAAGATGCCCACGTCGGTAATTCGCCCAACGTCCGTTTCGAATTTCAATTGGGCTTAAAAGCGTATTTTAGAAAATCGAGTGATCGAATTAAATCACGTGATGGGATCATTTGGCACTCAGGGACTGATCTTGTTATATTAGAAAGCTAGAACGCGCGTTATGTAAGGGATAAATCCTTTTTAACAAAGAAAAATCTATAACTCCAGGAGCTTTCGATAACGAATAGTCAGATCAAGGCTCTGATTGGTCAAAATCATTCATTATCGAAAGAGCCAACTGTAGCAGCGAAAATGATACCTCGATCAACTGTAACACTGTAACTGGTAAGTAAAACTAAACTATATCTTTTCGGGTTGACTTCGTTAATAGATCATATGATTTTGTATCGAACGTTTTCGTTTATTGGATAAACTTCATCAGGATACTAAAATTAAGATGAACGAAAAAGAAACAGAGGAAAAAGAATACTTTTATGTTGAGAGAGCAGTGTGAAATTGCTAACTGAGGAAAACAGAAAAACAAGATCAAAAAATGGCTGTTTTTAGTCGAGCGCCAAGGTGGCCCAAAAATTCGACTTATCAAAATTGATAAAAGTAAAAATCTTGCTTTTGTTAATGCGTCTGATTATTATGATAAAATGAACAAAGAATTTCCACGATCAAAGTTCGTCAAAATTGAAAGTGACCCTACTTCAAAAGATATCGCAGATTTTAATGAAAGCATTAAAATCCTAAAACCGTATCTCTCATGTTCTTCTTTCAAATCTATTCAATGTAATCATAAAGTTAAATCGAGCTTTGGATTATTAAAAGTTTATAAACCAGCTCCACATCCAGTACGCCCAATTATTGGTGCGCCTGGTAGCATTACTGCGAATATTGAAAAATACATCTACTCCATTCTTTCCAAAATTGTTCCTGAGCTTAAATTCTCTTGTTCTTCTACTAAAGAATTTAAAAGTGCATTTACTAAAATCTTACCTCAAATAACATCAGAACATTCTATTTGGAGTGCAGATGTCGTGTCAATGTATCCATCAATTGACAAGGCTAAAGCTATTGACGTGATTATTGAAATTCTTTATAAAAATCCTCTTCGATATTTTAGCCCGGAAGATCTTCCAGATGGCACTATTAGTTATTTTCCCCCCTAAAGATGTTTTTCGATCTATTCTGGTTTCAGTCTTACAAAAGTTTACTTCTTTTTCCACTCAAGAAGGCTACTATAAACAGAAATTCGGTTGCTCCATGGGCTCCAGACTTGCCCCTCTAGTAGCTAATATTTACATCTCTAGCCTGGAAACTGAATTTCTTACTACTGAAATTAAAAAGGGTAATATACTTTTCTGTAGGCGTTACGTCGACGACTACTGTCTTGTAACCAAAACTAGTGCCAAAAACGAATTTTCAACTGTCTAAATAAGTTTGATCCGTCCATTAAAATGACCTGTGAAGATATGAAAGACAACTGTCTTCCTTATCTAGATACATGCATTAAACTTCATGACAATCAATATCACTTATTCTTTTACGAGAAAGCTAACAAAAGTGATATCCTTCAGAACTTTCGTACTGGAATCGCTCCTCTTAATCAGAAAATATCAACGCTTACAGGCGAAATTTATCGCAGAAATAATACAACATCATGTCCGTATGCGTTGAATATTGCTCTTGAACAATTGACTGATCGCTTTCTTAAGAACTCATACCCGTTTCACCTCATTAAACGTAAAATCAATGAAATTAAAAACAATAATTTCGAGCCACTGAAACGTGATGATTCTAAAATTGTGAAAAAGTTCAACTTGTGCCTCGATTTTACTAGTGAAAGATGCTACTCTATTGGACTTAGTCTTCAAAAACTCTTCCGAAAAGTAACACCTTCTTTTGCCTAGTCGTTAGTTGGAAAACCATACGACTCGAAAGAGCCTTAGGCAAATTTCTCAAAAGAGTCCCTGAAAAATACGATTTGTGTGATCTCATTTATTCCTGGAAATGTGACTGTAAAGCGCAATACATTGGTCAGTCCAAACGAAGAGCTGGTATTCGTTGGACTGAACATGTTAATTCTAACAACCAGAATAAAAATGCGTCTTCTTCCATCTTCAAACATTTTTCCACTTGTAAGACCTTTCAAAAAAGCTATGAAACTTACATTAGTGAGCCAAGCACAAAAAATCTCACCAGTCAATACAAGACTAAAATCGCCCAATCGAAACTTGCTCTAGAGTCCTTTCACTCTAAAAATCCTCCGAAAATTCGATACAAATTTTCAAAAAATGACTATGCTTTAAAATACTTTGATGTTCTGCAAACTAATCTAACTAATGAGAGTCAAAGGAGAAGCGCTGAACAATTTCTTATTTTACTGCATCGACCCTCCCTTAATGAACAATCTGATTTCAAACAGTTCAAAACTTTTGATTTAGTCGAGCACTGTTTTGGGCCACCTTGGCGCTCGACTAAAAACAGCCATTTTTGATCTTGTTTTTCTGTTTTCCTCAGTTAGCAATTTCACACTGCTCTCTCAACATAAAAGTATTCTTTTTCCTCTGTTTCTTTTTCGTTCATCTTAATTTTAGTATCCTGATGAAGTTTATCCAATAAACGAAAACGTTCGATACAAAATCATATGATCTAAAACTAAACTATCAATCAATATTACTAAATCACAGGATATAAAAGTTACAGTTAAAAATGTACCTTGTTCATCTTCTCGACAAACCACCGCTTCTTCCCGCATCGCTGGAATGACGATTCCTTCCGCTTCTCTCTGGCTCAATGAGTAGTGCCGATTGGAGTCCCGGGCGTTCATGAATTTACGGAGAAGTTGAGACATCAGAATCGAAATAAGCCAGCCGACGAAGAATGATGCAGTGGCGTGAGTGAGAGATTTTAACTCGACTTTTGATAAGCATTCCTAAACAAAATTAGTTCTGCTTGAACTCGAGAAGCCGCTTGCGGCTTCGAGATACTTATTTTAAGCCGCGCTTCGCGCGGCTATTTTATCAAGAGCTCGAAGCCGCAAGCGGCTTCTCGAGTTTAACCTATTTCTCGCGATCAAACGAAGATAGAACACTGCCTACAGAAAGTGCGATATTTTTACGAGTAATTAGATGATTGAATAATCCTCCAGCAGGTTTCTACGAAGACGTTTTTTATCAATCACCCGCTGTGAATATAAACACGTTCCAAATCGATCTTTACCTCGTCATCTGAGCAAAACGCGTGAAAACTTTCGGCAAAGTTCGCTTTCGATTCTCCAAAAACTTCGACCAGGGAAACATAAGTCATGACTCCGGCCGCGCAGGCGAGGCAAAAACATGAAGCTAATCGCAGTTGACTTGGGTTGATGGGTAGGTAAACAGCTACAGCGCCGATTAATGTGCAGGCCCCGGCGAAGGTGGCAAGCATGAAGCCGTAAATGTAGCGCGCTTGCATGCTGAAAGATTATTGAATTGAGCTGATACGCAACGAAAATACATTGAAAATTCTTGAGTGAGTCGATCTTGACCACACCCAATGTTTTTGGTTCATTTCAAAACTGCCCTTTTTATCAGTAATTATAAATAGCTCGAAGACGTACGTGGCTTTGACTTTTCTCTTTCCTCTATTTTTCTTAAACAAACCCTTTTTGCCCGGGAAAGGGATCACTTACTCGATTTCGTTATCATTCTCCGTGACGTTCATTTTTGTCTCGCTGCAGCTCCCAAGATTGAGGAGCAAAAAACTCAGCAAAAACTTCATCTTCAGACGGAATAGTTCCAAAGTACTCTTTTTCGCTTTGTGTATTTGCTGTCTACTATCAACTGGGCATATTCTGAAACGTGACTGTACTGAGCTTGTTGATTTTTATGGTCGCATGAGATGAACACCAAAAATATTGATACAATACTGCAAACAGTAAACAAGATAAGATAGACGTTGAAATCAAGGAAGAGAATCTCGATTCTCTTTCTACTTTGAAATTTCAGGGAACAGGATGGAAACAACATCGTCAATAATAATAAAATAAATTTGCTTGAGCAAAAGTGGCGCTTCGGCAATTTTCATTATCGACTTGCTCAACGGCCACCACTTCAAAGCAGCTACTGCTTGGTCTCGTCGCGAGGGAGGGGGAGTAACTGTAGCTGTGTTGGAGCTAGAGGCTTGGAGAGTATCAAGGCCGATGCTGCAAATTCCCTCGAGCAATGAGTCGATTGTTTGCTTGACGGTTTCTTTCTCAATCGCTTCTGGTTTGGAAGGAGTGGACGCTTTGATGAGCAAAATGAGAACATGGCGGAATGAAGAAATCAGACTTTTGAAGAATTTTTGCGGAAAGAAATGAGCGGAAAATAACGAGAACAAGGAACAGGCGAGCGAATTATCCTCCCTGGAGTTAAACTGGAAAGAGAGGGATGAAGAGGTTGAAGAAACGGAAAGGGACGAGGATTCAGATAGGTAAGTAAAGGATGCTTGCTTTTCTTCGTAAACTTTTGCCGCGTTTTTGGGCCCGACGTAATTTTCATCGGGAATAGCGGAGTGCATTTTTGCTCGATTCGCGAAACTATGAAAAGGGATTAAATCATCATGATGGAAGGAGTTGAAAATTGAACCTTTCAAGAAGCCGAGGAGCCTTTTTCGTGGAGATTAGTTTGTCAAGTGGTTGCGTCACGCGATTAAGGTTTATGCTGCTCTCGATCAGGCCAGAACCAAAGCTCTCACTAAAAAGCGTTGAGTCAACCCTTCTTTCAACGGAGAAGGCGAGACCCGCTCTCTATTAAAAAGTCACCTTTGATTATTTTGAATAAAATCAAGCAGCAGCCGAGAATGGCGCAATTCCGGACGGGTAATGATCTTCTGGAGCCAGGATTCAAGCTCTGAGCGAATATTGATGTGATATTCTTCCGTTCTGAGGATCAGCCGTCGAGTTGGAAGAGAACAGCCGAGAGTGCCATGAAACTCCTTGAGCTTGCTTTCCAGCGCGTAGAATTCCGGGTAGTAGCGGAGCTGGTAATGCCGCTGCGAGTCCAGAGCTTCTATCGAACTTTCAACAGCAACGACGAAAGCATACTCTCCTTTTGCGTCTCTCTCTACTCGCGGAATCGTCACTCGAACAGTTTGCAGATCGTCGGAGGTCTTGCTGAAGTATTCGGTGAAGCTGAAAGCGTCGGATTGGGAGCCATTCATTTCCTCGCTCGATTGTTTTTGCGGGTTGCTGTTTTGATACTTTGCGTTGGTTTTCCTGTTGCTCAGGTTCGAGGCAGAACGGGTAATGGATTTGCTCGTTGCGTGCTATACTCAGTAATCAAAATGGATTTATCAGAAAGGTCTTTACCTGAGCATCACGAGGCCCAATAACTTCATAAGCAGCGTGTCCACAGGCCAAGCTACTGTCATTAAAAAATATTCCATGGCAAAAGTCCGGCAGATAATACTCTTCCAGCAAGTACAAAGTAGTGTTGTACGCAAGTGTTAATGGGCGAGACGCTTTGATGAGGTTTTCGTGCGACTGCTGCTTCCCAAACACGATCGCTTTCAAATCTAAAGGGATGAGTAGGCTTACGCAATTTTGTGGTAAGTGACAAACCTTCGATGATTTTGGAAGATATGGGAATGCAACACGGGCCTTTCGAAAAATGCACATCCATTAGGTTGCTGAGTTCTTTGTGGAATGACTGTAGCTCTTCTTCCCTGAATTCGACGTGTCCGAAAAATCGGCGGTTAAAATCTTCGAATTTATGGACAAAATTGAGGAGGGAAACTGCCTGGTACTTTTGCAGCCAGCATTTGAAGGAGTAAAACATTTGATGATCTTCCAAAATCTGCCGGACGCTCAAAACGAAGATGGACTTTTCCGTCTTGACAAAACCGCGGCTGCCAAAGTCGTAAAGAATGATCTTGTTTGCGTTCGATTTTCGCCTTTTCCAAATCGGCGGAATTTCATTCGCGTTTTCGTCCAGGCCGAGTTTGACGAGTTCCTTTCGGAATTTCTTGCGCAGCGATGAATTTGCTTCGATCACGATTCTGTAGCCCATTTCTTTGTCTGTCGCCAAGTTAATTCCAGGAATGATGACATTTGTTACGAGAATGTCGCAGAGGACCTGAACGCCCGTATTACTGACGGACGGAAAAGCAAAAGGAGCGATCTTCTGAAGCTTCGTTTTCAAATGCGCTTCTTCGTGGCGCAGCGATTTTAGCGCAGGATGAAGCTGGTTTTCTGGCAGACTTCGCATGATTTCCGAAGACGAAAGGGCGCCATTTCCTTGGCTAGAAGAGTCGATATAAAAGGCGGCCAAGGAGCTCACTTTCGGAATCGTCTCGCTTTTCAATCGACTCCAATCGGCCACCAAAGCTCGCCCGTAAATGACAGCGACGATGTTTCGGAGAACTGCGCGAATTTCCGCCACGAACAGCTGCGAAGTAGTTATGTAATCGTACCAGATGTGCACGTACTGCCGCAAGATTTCGTCGAAAAGATCGGAAAAAGCTTCGGAAAGAGAGGACTCTGCGGTGACTTCCCAAGTTCGAATTTGAAAGCCGTTTGAATTGGCACTTTTGGCGCTTCATTTTTCCGAGAATCGTTTTTATTTCGTTTGAGGCTGCTTTCGATGTGCTTCATATACTGATAGCTGATGTAGAAGCATATTATACATGCAGAAATCAGCCCAGTAATCGAGTGATAAGCAGAGTACAAAATAACCACCGCCAAAATTGCCAGCAACGAAATCATCGTCAACCTTTTATCATCCTAAATAACAAAAATTGTGAATAAAGAAAGTTAGGTTCACACGATTTAAAACAGTTTCAAATGTTTGGGGCGCCAAAAATTAAAGAATAAAAAATACTGAACAATTTTAAATAGAATGTCTATGAAGCAGGAACTAGTTTCTGCGAGGAAGGATGGAGAGGTGGTGGGAAAAAATGAATCTCGAATTGGGGTGCGGTAAATTCAAAATAGTAGTAGACAATGAACTATGTTTTCAGGCACATGTTTGTTTCAAAATACAGGAAGGTTTGCTTGTAGTACTGGGACTGTGACTGTAACTGAAGGATGCTTGAACACATGTTAGTAGTTGGAGGGTTGAGGGCTGAGTAGTATCATAGAGGGAATTAAATCTCGATGATCATTTGATCGAGCTAGACTTTTGGACGATTATTTTTCAATCGACAACGATTGGAAGAGTTTTTGCTTGAGCTTTGGGGTTAGTTGTGTAGGGCAAGTCTGAAGATATCGTTGGCAACGACGAAAGAGCCACCGGCGGGCCGGAGGACGAACGATTGATGGAAACTGTGGGGTGGATCGTCGTCGGTTTTCAGCTGGCCGGTCACCATCACGCAACAGGCCTGATTGAAGGATCGGACAAAAGAAAAAGGATGGAGCTAACCTGGTTGTCGTCGACTCCGATGATCGGCTGCGAGTCGACAGTAGTGATCTGGTGATTGACCTGCTTGAAGGGCAAGCTCGTCAGCTTGTCGATAATCGGTTGTTTTCCTTGAAACTGGGCTCCTTCGAAAGTCATGCAGCTTTGATCTGTGAAGGGATCCTAGCTTCTGCTGAATCTCCCACTTCTAGCGTAGTTTGCCTGCTCTCTATATCTGGACGAGTGAAGAAAACGAGTAAAGTATCTTTGACGTCTGTATTTCGAGCTGGAGTAAAATAGAGGTTAATTCACGAACTGCGTGAATTACCGAATGAAGAGAAATACACGGCGGCGACCGAGCAAAGCTCGATCTAGATAAGCAAGTGACCTTAGGGGACGAGGGAGTCTAACGAATCTAAGATCCCAATACCCCCATGAGACTGAAACGTCCTCTAAGGCCAAAGTGTGTGATTTTTGCAGGAGTATAAGCGTAAGATGAGTAACATGGCAGGTTCGAAACGTCGAGGCAGTCTGATTCGCGTTAAAAACCCTTTTTGGGAAAAAGCTTGAATCAGATGCGAAGTTTTCGTGATGTCCGAGCGGTGATGACATGAAGGAGTAGCTGCACATGTAGAAGAACTCAAAATACGTCGGCGACGGTAAACTGTGATAATTTCCGTACCTTTTCAGGCCCCGGTCGATGAATAGGGGACCTGAGTGGGGCAGTACTTGCGCTTAGTCGTATGACTGACCCGAGTTTGTGCCGATGTTTAGAGGTTCGACGGGCCTCGTTTCACGGTGTGCTCGTTTTGTATGTTTCGGGAGATGAGCTGCTCCAACTTCGGTTAAAGTCGCATTCGGATCGGCGCCGGCTGAGTATTGACGATCTGGTGAAGACTTTGGACGGGTTCTTTTCTTGCTGTTTTCAGTTGCTGAGCCCTCAACTACTGTTGAATTATGTTTATCGACTGACATATGGCTATTGTCGGGCGCAGCAACCTCCGAAATCACTGTAGCATCAGCTGACATGTCCTCGGCAGTTTCATAAAGAGTACCACCAGAGTACCAGCGATCTGACGGCTCGGCTGGAGCTACCGACGAGTCCAAAATAGATGTAGCGGTTGTATCTCCCAGATTTTCCATGTCCAATCGGCGTCTACTTTCCAAAATAGGTGATAGAGATGATCTTGGCGGTTTTTCCATAGCAACCATCGGAGTCGACGCGACCTGAGAAGATTTCCTCCCCCATGCGACTTCGACCCGGACTTTTCCATCGGTTTGGAAGTAGGAACAGGCGATTTTGTGGGACTTTCGACTTAACGATTTCGGTTAAATGTGGGAATACGTACTCGGCCTCGTAGTAATCAATCCAGCGTAAGTCGTGATTTCGTTCTGCGGCGTGAACCACGTGTTCTCGATGGATGAAATCACGTTGTCCTTTTTATCTTCGACCATGACGACCCAGTCGTTGCTCGAAACGGCTTTCAGGGGACCTACCCAGCGTTCCTTCTTGCTTTTAGCGTCGGTCAGGTTTTCTCGCTTAATGTACACGACAGCGCCAGCGGGATTGGTCTCGGCTTAGGCTCGTTTTTCAGCCTGTGCTCCATGGCTCGGTCAGCAGCTTCCATCGCAGTTTTCACAATGGCTTCCGCCGATTTCGCTAAAGCTCCCACATTGAGACCAAACACCTGAGGTGTTTCCGCTGTCATTTCTGCGCCAGTAGAGTGGGTGAAAGTACTTTTTCGGCCAAACCAAACTTCTCGCGGTGAAATTTTCGTGCTTTTGTTTTTCACACTATTGAGCGCGCGCATCACGTGGGGAACGCAGTCGGCCCAAGTTTTTCGACCGGAAGATGAGTTGACCATGCAGAATAGACTGTTTTTGATAGTCCGATTCGCTCTTTCTGCGAAAGCGTTTGATTGAGGGTGAAATGCGGTACTTATTGTATGTTTTATCTGGTTAAGCTTACACATTTCGTCAATCACGCTTGCGCAGAAGTGGGTACCTCTGTCACTGTGTAGATGTTTCGGCAAGAAATCCATGGGAAGGAAGACCTTGTAGATGAGCGCTTTTGCAGCGCAGATAGCAGTGTCGGACCGCGTCGGAATGCACCAAGTGTAGCGAGAGAAAGTGTCCGCCACCACCAAATAATACTTGAATCCGCCAGCGGGAGGCATACAAGCGAAATCGATCTGAATCGATTCGCCAGCTGTTTTTCCACGACGAAGGGTTCCAAGTGGCGGTTTGGTACGAGTTCCAGCAGATCCTTTTCTGCGTAGGCAAGGGACGCAGCTGTGGACGTAGTTAGAAACATCGTCTTGAAATGAAGGCCACCAAACGTCCTCTAATCGCTCTAAAGTCCGCGGCTCGCCCAGATGACCGGACAAGTCGTGAGCTAGAAAGAGAAAGTGACTTTTTACCGCTTCCGGTACCACCGCCCGCGCGCCAGATTTGAATTGACACATCAAGCACCCGGTAGTGTTATCCAGGAACAGAGCTTTTTCCATCTTGAGTAGAGACGATTGTCGGTGGTCGGAGTCCTTCACCAGCGATTTTATGTCCAGTGGCTCCTTACCAGATTCCAGAAAAGTGATGATTGCACTCAGAGCAGAGTCCTCCCTTTGATAGTCCAGAATGTTATTATAATTCGCTGACACCAACGGAATCTCCATTGGCGCCGCGATAGCCTTGACGTTTACCTTATGTATCTTCACCTCTGATAAAGTGATTTTCTCCGGAAACTGATTTTCGTTCCAGAAAGGGACGAAGACACGTACTGGTGAATTCTTGTCGATTTCGTACTCGCGACCAACGGGAAACTCAGAGTCGTATCCAAGTGATTTGTCGTCCTCGCCAGGTCTGCGGCTCATAAAATCGGCGAATTGATTTTCTGATCCCTTGATGTAGACAATGTGAAAATCGAATTCTTCCAATCGGCTTTGCCATCGGCTTATTTTAGAATTCTTGAACTTCTTTTTGTGTAGGAAGATCAAAGATCTGTGGTCTGTGTGAATCTGAAAGAATCTACCTTTCAGGAGCTTTTCCAGTCGCTCGCAGCACCAGACAATGCTAAACATTTCCTTTTCTGAAGTGTTCCATTTTCTTTCAGCTTTGTTGAAGGTGTGGGAAATCGCGCTTACTAGGTGCACTCTCCCGCCATACTCTTGTAGCAGAACACCACCCGCTGCGTACAGGCTCGCGTCTGTGTAGAGGTGAAAAGACTCGTCAAAGTTAGGAAAGCTTATGACAGGAGTCTCGGAGAGTCGTCGTTGAATTTCCTTGAGCGCCAAATCCGCTTCTTTGGTCCACTTGAAACAATTTGTTTCGTTCGCCGAATTTCGAACATCGTTTATGGGTTTCATTCTGCTCGAGAAGCAACCGGATGAAATAGCTTCGCCCATTTTTGTTTCTAGAAAACCTCGGATCCAATTCAATGACCCGATTAATGAAGCTAACTCCTTTTGGGAGCGTGGGGGTTTCATCTGACGAAGGGCGGAGACTTGCGCAGGGTCCGGTTTGATTCCTTCTTCGTTGATGATTCGGCCCAAAAAGTGAGCTTCTGATTGTAGGAAAGAGCACTTTTCGCCCTTGAGTTTAGCGTTAAACTTGCGGAGCGCGATGAATAGGTTTCGGAGAGTGTTGTAATAGCAGCTGAAAGACTTCCCAAAACATACTATGTCATCGATATAAGAAAGCATCTTCTTCCTGGTGGGGCTTGAGTCGAGAATCGTGTTTACGACGCGCGAGAATATATTCCCCGAGCATCGATAACCGAAAGGTAATCTGCAGAAGGCGTAAGATTTCCCACCCCACTGGAAGGAAGTCTTATACCTATCGCTTTTCTTAATAGGGCACTGCCAATATCCGCTCCGCAAATCAACTGTGGCGAAATACTTGTTGCCCGGTCCAATGTTCGCGATCGTATCCTCCATGCTCGGAAGATGATATGGGTCGGATTTGTCGGAGAGGCATTTGTTCAAGCTGTTCTTGTAGTTGATGCAGAAGCGCATTTCCCCAGATTTCTTAGGGATTGGCAGAACGGGGCTATTAAACCCTTTCTGGTCCTTGATCTCTTCTATTATTTTCGTATCGAGCAGTTCGGAGATGTGATCAGTGACCTGGCCATGAAAAGCTTGCGGAATCGGGTGTTGACTGATGTTTCGACTCGTACCATCAGTCGGGATTTCGATCTCGAACGGGAATTCACCCATTTTTGACCGTCGCAGCCGAATCTGTCGTCGAATTCCAAACACAGCTCGGCGACCACCTTCTTTTGCCCCGGGTCGGCGTTTGCTGGTAGGGTAATTCCGAGTTTTTGCTTCGCTAGCTGAATGGGGCACCTGGCTGCGTTCTTGTTAGGTGCGTCCAGCTTTGGGACTTTTGGTGGCGGTTGAGTGCGGGATCGATCGCTATCCTTGACCGCTGATCTAGTAGTCAAGTATTTCTTGATTTTGGTCCGCTTCACTCCGTCCAGCTTCACCACTTGAGTCTCAGTTTGTGTGAAGGCTTCGTTGTAGCAAAATGAGAGAGTACGATTCTTATTGTCGACTGTGAAGCTGTCCGTCATCGCATTCTCTAGTATATCGCGGCCCAGTAGACTTGGGTATTTACTGCCTGGCATAATGGTGAGATTCAGGGAGAATGCAGGGCCACCATTGAATGATAAGCGGCAGGGAAGGATACCCATCGGCTGCTCGGCGGGAATATTTGGGCTGAAACCGGTGACCTTGAAGGGACAGGGCTTCAGCATCTGGAGAAATTCGTCGGGAACGTAAGCAGCGGACAGACAGGAGGACTCGGCTCCGCTGTCGACTTCCATCGATACGTCAAAACTTTTAGAGCCCGTAATGATGGTAGCCGAAGCGAAATAAGCCTTTCCTGGTCGCTTCTTCTTCACTGTGTAAAAGTGAACGTCGAATGGTTGGAAATCTTCAACGTTCTTAGTCGTATTTATCTTCTTGGATTCTGGTTGTTTATCGTCTTTCCCATCCTTAGAATCGTTGCTGGCGCGCTTAGCATTCTTCTTCTTTTGTTCTTATTTCTGTTGAAGTGCTGGGAGACGGTCGCGCTGTCAACTCGATTCTGTCTTGTGGATTGGGCGAGACGGCAGAGTTCGTTGATATCGTAAACTTTTGATAGGCTTGGAAGGATTGCGTTGAAAACGTCTGGTTCTTCTTTCCTAAGATTCAAGTACAGCATCATCGTCGAGAATATGTCAAATATTTCATCGACCCCGGCGTCGGCTGACTTCTCTTGTCGGTAAGAGTTCAAAGTCGCTTGCTTCGCCTCGTTCATCTTTTGCAAGACGTTGGCGGTGTAGTGTGCAAACGGCTTCGAATGGTCGTATTCGACGTCGAAAACTTCGCTTAGCTTCAGTAAGTAGTGACTCTTCGCGGCGAATGATTTCTCTAGCAGCGCCTTGGCCGATTTCCAGTCTTGACAATTCAGAAATTCGGTTCCAAGTGAGCGTTCGATGTTCAAGTCGAAGTGGCTGTACACTGCTGCGATGAAAGGCTGTTCACGTGAAGGTCTGTCGCGGACGTAGGCGCGGTGATAAATGTCGGCTCTGCCCAAGAAGGTGTTGAAAGATGTGTTGCATGCGGCGTCCAGCTTCGGCAAGTCTTGGACGTGACGAGACCAGGTAGTGGCCACCCATGCTTCTTCTCTCATTGTCGCATTCGTAGAGTCTTTTCCTTGATCGAGCTCGCAGGTAAGAAGCGTTGTACTGAGCTGTTCTAATTTTACTCTGCTTTCTGTGATCAAGGGCTCTAGGCTTGGCTTTAGTGATTCGTCATTTCGCACTTGTTCTTCGAGGTAGTTTACTCGATCGTTTATGCTTCTTATTTCGGTGACGGTTTCTAGCAGTGATTTGTTCGCCGCCATAGCTCGAAATATATCGGCAGTAAGGGTTTATGGGCCTTGGATTACCTTTCAGGCCCTCAGAAAATACTGCGACTAAAAGTCGCAATATGATGAGCTGAGGTGCCTTTTGCGCAAACGCCCGACGATTTCTCTGTCCAGCGATTGTCGAAATTTCAAGGTCTGGTCCAAGGGTCGATTCTTCGTAAACTTCTCTCGATTTTTGGTGAAAAGTGGCGAAAGAATTATGTTTTTCTCAGTATTTTAGGTTTTCCCCGGCGTGCGTGCGTGGTTGCGTGGGCGCGACTTTCGGCGCGTGGGTCGTGGTGGCGCTCGTGTGGTGGCGCTCGCTCGGGGTGGTGTTGGTGTGGTGCGGCGCGGAAAATTCTCTGAGTGGAGTTTCTCCGGCGGCGCGGTGGCGGTTGGTGATTCGGTTCCCCTCGACTCCGCTGACGGCCAATCAGCGTCCAAGTTGCGAAACTTCGGTTGTCGATGGCGGAAAATTTACCTTTTCTCCAACGGGACTACTCTGATACCACTGAAGGGATCCTAGCTTCTGCTGAATCTCCCACTTCTAGCGTAGTTTGCCTGCTCTCTATATCTGGACGAGTGAAGAAAACGAGTAAAGTATCTTTGACGTCTGTATTTCGAGCTGGAGTAAAATAGAGGTTAATTCACGAACTGCGTGAATTACCGAATGAAGAGAAATACACGGCGGCGACCGAGCAAAGCTCGATCTAGATAAGCAAGTGACCTTAGGGGACGAGGGAGTCTAACGAATCTAAGATCCCAATATCTGTGTACATATCCGCCAATTTCGCTCGATCTAATTTATTCAAGTTTGACAGAACTTTGTCTTTATCTTACCAGAAGCAAACGTCGGATAATAAAAGCCAACGAAGGCCTTGCCCATCTCTTCAAAAGACATTCTTTCGAGAAGATTTGTTTCTGAAAAAAGGACTGTTGACTAATTTATTTGAAATCCTTGAATTTGAAAATTTAGAAAATGGCAGTTATAGTATTAGTAAACAGAAAGAAAATTGAATCTAAGTTTTTGCTTCTCTCCGCGATTCGATCAGCTTATACGACGCGCAATCAAAGAAAGGAATTCCGTCACGTGTCCTGTATCGAGCTAGCTTTCCCGTGATTACGCAGTACTCCTAAATTGACTGTAAGTCTCTTTCGAGAAAACTTGGTCGTACCCTTTTTGCTGGAACAGGTTTTTTGTAGTTGAAAGTTTTCTCGAAACTCGCTCTATCAGAAAACTCGACAAAGGTGTGCGCTTCTTTGGAATTCGTGCCATTTTTATCGTCCTTGGAGCTCTCGATTTGGATTGTTCTGGAGGTGATTTTGATGCTCGGGCCTTCTATCTTCTTCGCTTTCTAGAGAAAAAGGGGTTAGGGGAAGATAAGAGGTTTGGAGAAGAAACCTTTCTTTTGGATTTGTTTTTGCGGGAGGCTTCCATTTCTTGGTACAAATGCAGTTGGGATAGGTTGTACTCTTCTGTTTTCAGCGCTTCGGCCATTTTTTGCTCCTTGGATGAATGTTAGGGGGTGGATTACTGTAAGCACAGTACCTGAGTCAAATGCGTTTCCGCTTTCTTTGGTTTCTTCTTCTTCTCGACTAGTTCTCGCGTCTTTATTGTTTGCTCCAGTTCGTGCCTTATTTTCTCGTTTGAAGTTGTTTTTATGATTAAAAGGTACCTCTGCTCAGTAGTGTGTTTTCTTGAGCTTTTGCGCTCGCCACTGGTCGTGTGGGAAAGTTTTGGCTTCTTGGGCGCTGCGAAACCCGCGTTATCGGCCTTTTTCCTCGTTGATTTCGCCGGGTCTTTGTACACGTTTTTCTTTCTCTTGCGCTCTACTTTTTCTGGCTCGTTTTGGCCTTCTCCATCTGACTCGTTTTCGTCGTCGTCAGAGCTGGAATCAGAGATACTTTCGTCCGAGCTGCTCGATCCTTGAAATAAATGTAAGAATATCTTCAAAACAAATCCTCTTCTTTACCAGAGAAGTCGTTATCATCCTCTTCCTCCGTGAAGCCGCCATAATGGCCCTCGTAAAATTCATCCTTCTCTTCCGATCTCAGCAACGCTTGATATCGATTACCAGCCGTCGAACGAATTGAGCGACGGATTTTCTTGTCCTCGGTCATTCTCGAAAAGAAAGCATGAATGTAAATAAGCTCAAAATGGCGATTTCTTCATGGCAGTTTTTTTATTGTATTGTCTTGTTTTCAGTTCCGCCAAAGGAAACTCTTTTCTCGACTTTCTTGCTAAATGCTTTTTTCATCTCTTCTGGGAATGATTCGTGAAAACTTGCTTTCAAGGATTTGAATTTTCCTTCCTCATGCTAATTTTTGCTAATTTCTGATTGATAAATGATCATAAATCCATGACTGTAGTTACGAAAGGAATAACTGAGCCTGCTTTGCAGGGTATTTTATGATCATGCCTTCCCTCCAAATTGATCGCTCTTGTGACTAGAATTGTCACGCCCATTTTGCTATAAGCACATTCATTTTTTCTCTTCACAAATCTACTGACCTCAATTTAACAATCCCTCCTGAAATCTTCTCCTTGAGATCATCTTCCAACTCAAACGTAGCGTAAAGCTCGCTCAATCCGTCAACAATCAAGATCGATTTTTTCGGAACCAGAGGGAAATTTCCCTCTTTTTTCGGAGTTTTCAATTTTGATGCTTTTTCTAGCTTGTGAATGAGAACCTGCAGCGCTAGGTCGAGTTCATAAAAGTCCTCTGGTATCTTGTATTGGAATCTTTCCCGCACAGAGCCTGCTTTTTCCATGTCTTTGGGAAGGGATTTTTCGTTGAAATCAAGGAAGAGAACAGGCAAAAAACGGCGACCCCGACCTAATTCCGCAGATGCGTCAATCCAGAATAGATTCTCTCCATTCTGTCCGAAATAATCAACAACTTCCTGCAAGAAAGCCCTTCGAAATGCTGTCATATGCGATGCAGTAAATTCAATGATATGACCTGTCATAACATAAGTAACAGACTGAAAACAACAGTTTCTTCTTTTTTTCTGATTAATTTTAACTCAAATATATATTTTTAGAAATCGAAACAAACAGAATTATTCGCAAGAAAAAGGAATAAAATGAGTTTCGCGTTGCCAAAATATGGAATAACAAATAATAACTTTGATATTTTCGATGAAACTTTTTGAATCTTCAAAACTTGAATATTGAAAACTTTTCCAAATTAAAGTAAATGTAGCATAAATGAAAAAAATGGGAGATTCTGTTTTTCAGAGGAGATTTTATAAAACGGCAAATACATGTTTAGGCATATAAAATGCTCCTCTAGAATTTTCCTACGAAAAAAAGAAGGGATAACGGAGTGGTAAATTGATAAAATGACTGCGCAGGTTATGAATACTGGGGCGAGAATACTGGGTAGAAGTTGATAATATCACTATTTCATAAGAGTAGTCGATATTTTGAGATTTTTTGTATGTTTCATACAGTTCTGAAGAAGTTTCATAAATAAGTAGCTTCACACCATTTTTTCTGTTTTTCAAACTTTTAAAAGCGACCTTCGAGTTGTCCTTCTCGGTTTCGTTGGTCTCCGGCAGCGGGTGTGAAGCCTAAATTACTCGTTACCGTCGATTTGATTGCAGTTGGGTACCTAGAAGATCGGCAGTGGCTTTGTTTTTATTCTTTTTCTTTCGATTGCTCTTTTTGCTCGCTGTTCCTTCGTTGCGGATCTGCTTGCGCTTCTCCATAAATTTGTGGGCAAAGTTAAGAACTTCTTTGCCATTTCCAAAGTATTGTCGGGAGTAGTCTTCTACCTCGTAGTCGTGTTCGACTTCACGGAGGAAGGAGACAAATGTCGGGATGTCGATCTTCAAGAAAAAATTAGGATTTATTCATTTACTTGTTTAGGGCTTTACCTGATTTGAATTGGGGATAATTTCGAGTTCAATTCGAGCCCAAGACAAAAGTGGATCTTCGACGAGGGTGAGCTTTTCAAACTGGCTGCGAGCATTAGCCTTCAAAGAAATAAGGATTCATAAACATCAAACAAACCGTCCTTACCTCGTCAGCGTTCTGTTGCGCGGATTTCTTATTTGGGGTTGACATAACCTTATTGACGGCAGTTGGTTCAGTCAAGACGGCAGTGACTGCGGTGTCCCAGAATCCCAAATCATCATTCTTGGCCTAAAACAATCAGTAAAGAAAAATCCAGGAAATGAATGTTTACCTTGGGCGTTTTGGTTCCGTTCTTGCTTGCGGACTTCTTGGCTGACTGTTGACCAGCTTTTGAGGTAATTTTTTGGGCGACGACGGGTGAAACGGGAACAGGGGCGGTTTTTGTACCGCCACGGACAAGGCCAGCCCAGCCGCTCTAGAATTAGAAAGTAGAAAGAAATGGGAAGGAAACTGTACCTGTCCCTTGCTCTGAACGACGACTTTCTCGGCAGCGCGTTTCTGAGCGGTTTCGATTTCCTTTGCCTTCTTTTCGATTTTTTGTTCCTCCTCGTCCTTGGCTTGGAGATCCTTGAAGCTGGGGACGGAAGTGACGGGGGTAACGGGAGCATTCCACTAGAAAAAGTGAGTCAATTGAAGAAATAGAGGACTCTACCTTTTTGGCGTCTTCTCGAGCTTTTCTGGCCTTTTCCTCGGCCGCTTTTCGCTCCCGCTCCTTCTTCTCCGCCTCTTTCTTCGCCGCCTTTTCAGCAGCGCGTTCCTGCTCCTTTCGAATCTGCTCCTGTCGCTTGGCGAGCTGCTCAGCCTCGAGTTTCTTTCGTTCAGCGGCAGCTTTCTTTGCTTCTTGCTGACGCTTCTCCTCTTCCTTCTTTCTTCGCTTCTCTGCCTCTTCTTTTCGGGCTTTTTCAGCGTTTTGTCGGTCGAGGAGAATTTTGGCTTGTTCTTGAGCTTTTTGTTGCTCGAAAAGAAGTCGTTGCTCTGCGGCTCGCTTTTCCTAAAGACAAGAGATTGTAAGTCGCTTCTTTTAGTTGAAAATTTTACCTCCAAAATACGCTCTTCTTCCAATCTCCTTTGCTCCTCAAGTTCCCTCTGGCGCTGAGCCTCTGCTTCCTTAAAAAATCATTACTCAAATCCTCTACCACAGAGAGTACCTGCTGGCGCTGAAGTTCGAGCTGCCTTCGCTCCTCTTCCTCTTGAGCTTTTCTTTTCGCTTCTTCCTCCGCTCGTTGGGCCTCTTCTTCTTTCAATCGCTCCTCTTCCTGGCGCCTGAGGAAGTCCTGCTGCTGTAAGAATGACATTTCTTTTTGCCTCAGTTGTTCTGAAAAGAAGTAAGATAAAGTTCGAAAAAGTGAGCATACCCTCTCTTTCGCGTAGTTTTTCCTCCTGCGCCTTGAGCATGTTCTCGAATTCAAGAGCCTCGCGTTTTTCATTTTCAATGCGAAGCCTTTCCTCTTCGATTTTACGCGCTTGTTCTTCTTCCAGCAGGCGCCGTCTTTCCGCTTCAGGGTCAACATAGGCCGGTTGAGCCGGAACTTGTTGAGGAGCCATTGCTCCTAAGGTCGGTCTTAACATGGCCGCCATGTGCTGGAGGACCAGCTGCTCCAGTTGCGGTTGGAGTAAATGCTAGAAAAATGGATTAAAGCCGTTCAAAGACCAGGCCACATATAACAAGTTACCTTATATTGATCGAGACTTTGAATCTGTATCATAAACTGGCGATACATGTCCGCATACTGAGGCTGACTTCTAATCAGGAAAATAACTTGATGGATCGGATCCTGTTGCGGAGCAGGAGCGATCGATTGCAGCCCGGCTTGGGCCATTGGCGCTGCAGCAGCAGGGGAGCAGCCACCGGTTGTTGCGAAGCAGGAGGAACTGCTGCCGCTGCTGGTGCTTGCTGTTGAGGAGGGGTAGGAGCAGAAACAGGGACCTCCTTAGGCTTCAGTGTTGGCGGATGCTTCGTTGCCTTGAACGGATCGGTTCCGTAACGAGCGAGCGTCTTCCCCAAAGTCGAAAACTCCCGGTCAATCGATCGCCGAACGAGCAGGTCATCCTTGAAGTAACCCATGGAATTCCACTCGAACATGTCATCCGCCGGGAAGGGGCCTTGAACAGTGCCATTTGGATCCTTGTAGAACCATTGCATAGTCGGAACTTGGATCCAAGCCTCCTCGCCAGCCGGAGTGATTCCAGGAGGACCAGATCGGCGAGGATCAGCAGCAGCTTCAGAAGCTTGAGCCGCTTGGTAAGACTCTTGAGCTCGGAGAATAGGAGCCTTGTCGTCGATTCGAGAGGGCTCGGGCTCAGGAGGTGAGGGGCTCTTCTTGTTCTAAAAGAAGAATCAGAATTGAATTTTTTTCTAGTTCTTTTTACCGCTCCGGGCTGATCAAAAGAGTCCGCACGGCCAGCTCCTCCTCCTCGCTCTTCAGCGGATTGCCGAGAAGCCGCATCAGAGAGCGCGTCGGGCTGGCCATCAGGATGTCCGGACGAAGGAAGGTCGCCCTCGGTGAAGTTGCCCGATCCATCGAAGCCGCCCGCCCCGTCATTCGAGTCAAACATCCATTCAGGAGCGCGCGAGGCTTGCTGCTGCTGTTGCTGCTGCGCGCCTTTTCGTTTCCAAACAGCCTTGCTTGGCTCTTGGGAGCGAGGTTGGCCCGCTTTGCTCCACCCGTCGTTGTCGTTGGGCTCGGGCTTGACGGAAGATTAGGAGAGGAGGATAGAAGAGAATTACCTTTGGATCACGGTCGCCCCGCCAATTGTCGGACAAGTCCGATCGGCTGGATCCAATGCGCGATCGTGGCTGGCCCCAGTCGGTGCCAGTCCTGTTCGAGCTTGGGAACTGGCGCACTCCTCTACCAGCGCCTCCTCCTTGTTGTCGTGGCCCATTGCCGATTCCAATCGCGTTCGCTTGTGCGTTGTCACGAGGCATCTCTACACGGCGCTCGTTTGCTGGCGAAGTATACGCCACTGGTTGCTGAAAGTTTTCAACCATTTCTGGAAAGTCCGCAGGCATCTTCAAATAACAGCTGGGATCAGGGTTCAATTCTCGTTTTTACCTGGCTCAATTCGTCTGGTGCAGCAATTTCAGATTTATTTGTATTGATTTGATCAAAAATCTAGAATGATTTTGTTTTACAAAACTTGTCCGAGTTCTAGTAAAAATTGACCTGGAGCATTTCTTCTCTCCCATACCGATTCCGAGCTAAAGCAAATTGACGCTGGGGAATCGACTCTTGTTGCTGCGGCGGGTTGCGCATCCAATCTGGCCCGAATTTGAGGCCAGAGACAGAGGTTCGTGCTTGGTTGTCGCTATTTACGCTTGATCCAATAGAGCTTGCCATTTTGCTTGATTCCAAACTGAAAACATGGAGGAAAGAACAAAAATCGAATTGGAGAATGTAGAATGATGTCGTATTGAAATTTTCATTGCACAATGAAATGATAGAAGAAGTACGGATAGAATGGTTTTCGGTAACTTTGGGTAAAAATTGCTGACAGAAAATAGGTTTTGTTTGGGTTTTTCATGCTTCGCGGTCGAAGATTTTGCGAATTTCGTCTTCCAGCGTTTGCTCGGTGTATTTGATGTATTTGTTCACTTTCGTCGTGAATTCCTTGTACTTGAAGGTTTTGAGGAAGACGGAGAAGTGCGGCTGGACGTATTCGATGACTTCGTTTCTCAGCTGGTCGCGAAGACGATCGTCGGGCACGGACCATCTTAATAAGCGATGTAAGAAACTGCTCCTCTTTTTGTTATTCTGTGAGGATGAATCGACTGACCAATGGACGCAAGATGCAAAAAAAAAGAAGAATCGCCCCCGTGAAGACGCTACTACTAATCGATAACAGTGGAATCTATACCTTTGATGCTTGGTGACAATGTCTTCGATTTCTGCATTAAATCCTTTGAATCGATCCTTGACGATGCTTTTCTCCCTCTCTCGGAGCTTCAAAAACATATTTACGAATTTTCCCAACTTTTTTTTCCGTACCTTATGGTCGGATAAATCCACGCCGTCGATGGAACAGTGCTGGACAACTCTGCTCCAGCCATTTACATACGCACTTTTGTGGTCAACAATCGAGCTTTGGAAGCCAGAAATGATGCTTTTATCGAACTGCTCGACAATGCCGTAAACTTCTGTCTTCCTCAGTCGGTTGATCAAAAAGTTGAAGTTGTTCATCAAAAAGAGGCCTTTCAGAGCTGGATCTTCGTAATTTCGCGCTCTTAGTTCTAGAGACGCGACGATGGCAGAACAGCATTTTGAAATGTACTCGCCAAAGGCGCGTTTTGCTGAAAACAAAAATGAAGACATAGAAGATTCGTAGAAAAAATCCAGAGTTTTTCATAAAAAATCTTACCTTGAGCAGCGGAGGCACTTCCATCGCTTTTCTTAGTGGCAATCATTCCACCTGCCACTTCTGGGAAGCTCTGCAATTGTTCGATGAACAAAAGCGCGTCTGAAGTCATTTGGTGAACAGTGCCATCTCTCGGCAAGTTCTCGTCCGTCTTCTTGGAATCCGACTTGATCCCATCGACAAACGCGTCAAGTGCATTTGCGCCTGCCATTTCAATGTCGCGAATCAGCTTTCCGAACATGTGGCGATTCTCGTCGTTGCAGTATTTCAACGCTTTCTTGTGGATCTCCGGCTGTTCTTTTTTGAGCATTTGGACGGTTGGGAACACGGCCAAAATTCCCGGATAGTCTTTCTTCACTTGACATTCTTTGACGTGCTGCACGAAGCGTTTCGAGTCCTGCCCAATGCTGTCCAAAGGAACGTTCACTAGTTTTGAGAGTTAATTCGAACAGAACTTCATTTTCAAAAGGAGTTTTGAAAAAAATTTTTTGCACCAACTTACCTATCAAATCGAAAACTTTCTTGTAGGAATGCTCTGGTAGAATCGTCTTCAGCAATGTGACCTCTTTTTCGGCAAGGCGGGTAAAAGCAAAAATGGTTTGAGCAAAGGGTTCGATTTCACTATCGATTGAGTCGTCGTCGCCTCGAGCTGAATATCATATTCAAAATGAATATTTACAAAGCTCAATCTACTTCTATACAAGGTGATACTACTACATTTCTGATCGATATATAGATCTTTATATACAGATTATGAGCTACAGAGCGTTAAAAGAAAACAATCAGATGGTCAAGTTGAGTATTCAGGGTTAATTTTTATATGATTTGAATACATTTATATGCGATTGTTTTGATTAAACAAGTTGTGATGACAATTCACCAGAAGTGGGTTAAAATATTTACCTCCTCCACGGTCGCGCCTGTAATAAAATATTAAATTAGGGTTGATTCAGAATCAAGTTTGAAAAGGAAATTTAATAGATGAACACCACATAGTTCCTCCACCAGCTTCCAAATTTTGCACCAAAATACTGTACTACTTCACCTACTGTAGTGCTTGTAGCGAGCTCCGTTTTTACCTTTTCGAAGCTTGTTGATTTCGAATCAGAATGGAACTTATACATTCATTTTTATGGGTAAAAATAACAATCAAAAAGCATACAATTAATCTTTGTATGCAACCATTACCTTTGCTTTCTGGTCAGAGACTTTCTTCCAGTAAGCGTTCGTCCTTTCGAATTGATGGAGCCCGAGCCATTGACCCGGATGAACTCTTTGTACTGCGAAAGCGCTTGATGGAGGATATTGCCTCTGATTTGGCCGAAATGAAGGACGAATGTTTCGTACTTCGCCTCGTTGACCATCCAATTTGCCGCCTTGACCAAATCCGCCGTAACAGAAGGTTCAAACTCCGCAATTGGCACTGGCTTCGGCCCTTCTGACGAAGCGATTCTAGGGCCAAGGGGACCTTCGCTCTGAGTTCCAAGGAATTCAAAGATTGTTTCGGGCGAAGGCACTTTTGAGGATTGCCTGACTTGCTGCTGGAAAAACTCGTCGATTTTGTCTTTTCCTTTGTCGAACAAGGCGCGCACGTGATTGAGCTCCGGCGAATCTGGGTTGTTTTTGGCGAAGAAATCGACTGCCATTTGCACATCCGCCAACGATTCCAAATACTTCGTCAGGCTTTCCTGGACGCCTTTGCCGACGACGTCGCGTTGTCGCTTTGCCACGTGATGGTAGCCCACTACTTTGTCAATCGCGGCAAGGACGTTTTCCGTGTTGTCTTGCAGTCGTTGGAGATCTTTCGTCTGTCGGTGAATTGGAACAACGGCGTTTTCAAGCTTGCCAAGTCGGCTGCCAAAGTTGGAAAGAATGCTCTCCATCGATTTTGTCATCTCATCAGCTGCGACCAATGACTCTTCGATCGCCTTGAGGGTCGCTTCTTCCTGAAGCAATAAATTAAAAATTACGACCGTCAAATTGAAAATGGAGAAATCAGATTCAGAACAACTTGATTATTTTGAAATATTAAATTGCCCGAAATCCGCCAGCTTGGGCTCGGAAACCCTGTGTGGAAACCTGAGTCAGGGTACTGAAAACAGCTGTTTTGAAAAGCCGCGACCCTGACTCAGGTTTTAATACAGGTTTCCGAGCCCAGTCGCGAGCAAAGAGCAAATTCAAGCCGAATACCGCCGCCTCGCCCGAATCCATCACCCTGATAAAAATGATGGAGACAACGAGGAGAACCGAAATCGAATGGATCAGATGAGAAAAATCAACGAAGCTTATGGCATCTTATCCGACGCTAGAATGCGCGAAAGTTACAAAAATTGGCTCTTTGCGAAAGAATTAAACTTGACAACTGAAATTAGCTGGTCGCCAAAATTAGCGGAAAATCGAGGGCAAATGCACTTTCGCAGCGAGGAAAAACTCCAGCTTCTGAATTCAGAATCTGAAAGAAAAATCTCCTCTAGAAAAGATCTACGAGCTCGATTCAGGAAGGGCTTACTGTAACTGTAACTGTTATTTACTTTTGCTAAAGAAGCGGCAATTTCCCTCCGTCTTTGATGAGCCTCCGATTCGATTACTGTCATTTTTGCTCGTTTCTGAAAATGAAAAAATAGAAGTTGAAAAAGTAGAAGTCTAAATTTATTTGAATAGATAAAGATTCAGAAGGAACTAAAATGGTATTTCAGGTAATGAAGAAAACACTTACAGAAAATATAGAAAAGTGGAACTGATTGCATTTCGAGTATGAGGGGAGGATATAAGAGATAGGAGGGATATTTGAAAATTACAGAAAATGAAATATTAGGGGCAATAACAATATACAAATATATAATACTTGAATAAAAGGAAGAAAAGGATAGATAGGATGTTATATGAAATGAGTAGTGGCAGGGAAGGCACAGAGAAGTGGGAATTGCTCCCAAAAGGCACAGAACAAAAAGTTGAAAATATTAATATTTTAAAATTCAAAAATATTTGTACTCTATTTTGGGATTTTGGGCGTTTCAATCGATTTTGATCTGAGCGTAGATTACTTTGATGAAAGCATATGAAGCGTAAAAACCGATGGTGCCCGTCAAAATCCAGAAAGAGAATACGATGATGCCAGTGTAACCAAAATACAGAAGGGTGGGGATGAACTGGGTGATTTCCAGTTTAGTGACGAAGTAGAAAATTGAATAGGCAAAGACGTAGAGGGCACTTCCGCCGGAAACGAAAAAGCACCGCCACCACCAGTGATAGTCCTCGGCGCAAAGCTAAAATGGCAAAATTAGAAAATGAATGATTTTATTAAAATCTAGCTTTCTGATTGGCTAGAGGTCGTTTTTGAGCATTTTTATTGGCTCGTAACGCAGTTTCTTCGAGAATTACTTTCTGGCCGATCAAAATGCCCAAAAAAGGCCCTTCACCAATCAAAACACCTGATTTCCTCGTCTACAATATGAATTTGTAGTTCTTACCTGGAAGTAAGTCATGACAATCGAAATCTGGCTACAGGCAATGACCAAAATAACAAACACCAGGAACAGGAAGCCAAACAAGTAATAGAATTCATTCTCCCAAATAGCAGTAAAGATGAAGAACAGTTCAATGAAGACCGCGCCAAAGGGCAGAATACCGGCCATGAGCATCGAAACAAGCGAGTTCATGAACCACTGTTGCTCTGGAATTTGGCGCTGGATTTGGTTAGTGCGAACTGGGTGCTCGTAAGCGGGCTTTTTTGTGCCTTGGAAGTAGCCCAGGAAGACTAAAAGCATGGTCAAAATGTGTCATGTCTGGTAGACTCACCAGAAGGGACAGAAAGACCAAACCAAAGGAACAAAATCGCAAGCATCGTCGTAAACGGCACTGCCCCAGACGACTTTTTGCCCCAAATGAAAAAGTTCAAAATGAAACTGATTCCAAAAACGATTCCAGGATAAAGAACAGCGGTTTGAAAAGCGGACGCTTTCCAATCCGACTTGCCATCGATAGTCTTGAACAAGCGCCCAGCGAAGTAGCCACAGGGGTATCCCATCAGCATGAACATGGCGAACCCAGCGGAGACGAGAGCGCCGCGAGAGGAGGGAGAGAGCATTCCGAACATGGCGATAAGAATCGTGATCTAAACGGCTTAATAGCTCAAGAAGGAGCGGCCTTATCTTACCAGAAGCATGCAAAAGATCTGCACTCCCGATCCAAGAAGGCTGCACAAGAGCCCTGGATACTCAGGCGCTCGGAAAACATCTCCATGGACGAGTTTCCAGCCAGTTTCTTCAATCGCTTCATCGAGTTCTTCCTCCAAATCTTCTCGGTTGTACGCCGCGATATCTCGTCTAAAAAGATCTAAAAGCTGTCCCCTTTGCGCTTCACTGACCTGAGCGTGCGAATAATGATCATGGTCAAAATGCCCGACAAAAAGAGAACAACAACAATCGAGTTGACAATGGAGAACCAGTGAATTTGAACGTCTCCCATTCCCAAATAACTGTCCCAGCGAGAGGCCCATCGAATATCCGACGCTTCCCATTTTACGGAATAAGAGAAGGTGATCTGAAAGTTATCAGATACAGAAAAATAAATGGTAGATTCTAACCTGTTTGGTGTCCTTGGTAACTTTGAATCGAGCATCGTTATCTGGTAAGTTGCATTCTCCGTCCGTTTCTAAAAGAAGGTCTAAAAAGTGAGTCGGTCTTGATGATTTCACCTGTCATTTCGAGAACTGAGTGAGGGAGGACATCGAATCCAACGATTCTGTAAAGAGGGGAGTCACCGTCGTCCTCGAGCCGGCTGTATTTGAGGTTGATGATGAGATGGTTGTTGATGTAGGTGTTTCCATCGTTGTCCAAAAGGCCAAGTTTGTAACCATGCTCGTACTTGAAGAAAATGGATTGAAAAGGTCGACAAGTAGTGGAAAAAGTACCTGGACAAGATCATCATCTAGTTCCCATCTGGTCGCAGCAGGCAAGTTGTCGGCAAGGAGATGAACAAAATAGTCTTCGCTGACTCTTTGAATGATCTTTTCTGCGTCACCTTCTTTCAATTCCGAAGTGCACATTACTTTGCAGTTCACTTTTTCGTCCATCTTCACGTCGTACGCTGTATTCACGATTCTAGAGGCCATTTTAAATCATTCTAGCGCTGGAATACGCACCTGTCTCCTCTGAGAACTTCGCCAAGATTAAGCGACTGGTAGTTGACACCCTCGCTGGGCTGGCAAAACGGCAATGAGTAGTATTCGTACGGCAACTGAGTCTTCGACGATGTCATCTTTACAGCGCGGATTTCCACCCGTTCGGAGCGCTTGAAATCGATCGGGGCGACTCCAGGGACGTAGAATCCCTGGATTTCTGTGAGCCCTGCTAGCAAAAGCAGGTGACGAGCCCACATTTCTGCTGAAAGAAAAATAATGGAGATAGGGTTTGAGGAATTTGCATGCTCTGTTTGGAGTACCAGGAGTAAGGCATCAAAGGTAAAATAAAGATTGAAAACTGCACTTGCAAGGATTCATAAAAAAGAAGGATGAAATTGGAATATTCAATATTGGCAATGGGAGAAATGAAATAATGTTAATTAATAATATTGGTAGAGGGTTTATTTATCGAATAATACGAACGAATGAAAGATGATGTAATGATGGGTTTAGCGATTTTCGACTTATTAATGATTGCACTACTGAGATTTGAAATTGTTGAAAATTGAATATCACAATTAGAGATTTGAGAAGTGAAAAAATATTTACAAGAGAATAAGTGAGTGGCAGGTAAAATACGATTTTAGTACAGAAATTTCTTTTATATTGAGATTTAGATTTTCGTGAACGCGTTTTTATGAAGTCATGAATAGGTTGAATAATATAAAAATATCTACTTGCGAGTTATTTTTAATATATAATAATAAAAAGTACGTTTTTGAGGCTTTAATCAGCCGACTTGCATGTCGATCGAGTGCGGATGTGAAGCTTGAGAGATCAAGGAACCTCTTCGATCCTAAAATTGTGGTTGAAAAAGGTGCAAAAGTGTTGATTTACGAACCTGGACTACAGACGGAGGCGATAAGATTGTGCTGTAAAACTTTTCTTCCTTTAGAATGTGCTGGTAATGGTCCTTGACCTCTTGAATCTTTCGCATTCGTCTGTGGCTGGCATGGGTGTGCGCGTCGCTGTCCAGGCGCTTCCTGTTCCCGTAGTTGATGACTGTCTCGCGCACCATTAAACTCAGAATCGATTTGGAGACGACTGAGCCAGAAACCAGCGGCGATGGATGACCTGAATAATCAAAATCAACTATTACGAGCCTTCAGTACCTTTCAAGTTCTGAGCCATTCTAGTGCTAACACGAACGAGCCCATTTCGCAGCGGATGAAGAAAGATGACAGAAACATCTTGCGCAGGCTCTTCTCCTGTAGTTGCATCGTTGGTAAGCGTGTCGATCGGGATGTAGTCGATGTCGTCCCAGTCTTCAAGCCAAAAGATCAGGACGCGCGAATCGCAGCTCCCTGGATTGAGTTTTCTGCTCGATGCAACTTGGATATTTGATAGTTATTGGATGTCCCTAGTGTCTCTATCTACCGGATTTACTGTCTTCGGACTGATCATCTCCTAAATTGAACGAGACCTCCGACGATTCTCTCGGACTCGGCACCAAAAAGGCGACCTCGTTGTGATAGTCCGCCCAGTAAAGCACTAAATTCTCGCCATTGAGCGAGCCAATCCCGCGTCCATTAAGAATTTGATCCTTGCTCAGATCAGCTTTCTCCTTCTTCGGCGCTTTACTACAAATAGACCGCTAGCAACAGAAGGGAAGAGAAGAGCTCTTACCGAATTCGGTAGCTGGTTTTGACATTTCCAGTCCAATCTGAATGGTCATCGACGCTGACTGGTTGGCCAAGGTTGAAGAGAAACTCGATGAAGTCTTTCTAAAGAAAAATTAACTCCAAGCTGTTCTCAAAACAATATCTTACGCTTAGAGCTTTTGTCTGTCTCCCCGTAGTCGAAGCATAAATCTGTTCACGCTGATAACAACCTGCTTGGACGTAAAAGACAAAACCCGTGTCATGATGTGTGTGCGGCATTTGATCGAGCGTGTGCAGTTCTTCAATGATATCTGCCCCTCCTCGTAGTCGCACCAAATCAGCGTGATCTCCCAGCGAAGCCTGCTTTTTCACACTATCCAGTTGCAACAATCCCAACGATCCAAACAGCAATCTGGCGCTCTGGAACTCTTTCACGGGATTTGGCTGATTGCATGGATTAATCGACGTTTCTCGAGTAGATTTGGCCTCGTCAGCTTCGATTTGTCTGTCGAGTTCTTCTTGGAGAGAGCTAATCTCGTCTTGTACAATTTCATCTTCTTCAGCAGCTACTCCTTCGATCGAGGGAATCGAAAAGTCGGCCTGGACGCGTGGAATTCGCTCAGTGCCGATGGGAACAGTCTTTGAAGTTGGGTAGAAAATCGGGTCCATTTCAAATTTATCCAGCGGCAGTTGCTTGATCTCAGGCGGCTTGGAATTAGCGCTACTTGTCAATTCGTGCTCCATTTTCCACGCTGTTCTTCCACCTGGATGACGGACGATCATGACCACACAGGGGTTCTGGCTCTCACTGTCTGGATACTCTGCTACAGTCACGAGCGCGTTTCCGTAAAGATAGTAGAACTCCAACGACTCGGTTTTCAGCACACTCTCATCCACCTGACTGTCGGTAATGTTCCGTTGAAAGATGAGATGCAACACTTCCTCTGCCGCATGACGAACGCGCCCCGAAACTGGTTCGCTGAACTTTTCATGCTTCGCCGTGTCGACTTTGTTCGAATTCCTCGACTTTTTCCCTGAAATTCCGAGCTCCAGGACCTCCATCAAGTAGTACAAAAACTTCGAATCGTCCAACAGCTCCGGATGAAGCTTCAACCAGCGAGAGACGCAGCGAAAAGCGGCAACGATGGTCGAGTGGAGTTCCCGACGATGTTCTCGACGATCTCTGCCGATGCTCTGCTGAATGTAGTTGCAGAGATGTTTGACGACAAGTCTGCTTTGATCAAAACACAGCTTTGGCGGGAGAATTTCTTGTATATAACCAGCTAGGGCGCCGAGAACTTCAAAAACAGAGAGAACGACTGACAGGACGCGGTTGGAACTGGAAGCCCACTTGTCCAACTTTGCCGTCAGTTTCTGAACCGTCGCTAGAATCAGTCCCGGAGCTGATGCCATGTTGTCCAAGCTATTTTCCTTGAGAATGTCCCCTGATCGTATTGTTGAATCAGAGCTCAAACTTTGCGCATCTTCGTTCGAATTCTGCTCTGCGAGGAATTTGACCATCGTATTTACCAGCAGTTGGTGGAGCGCTGCGATCGTCATTTGCAAGTTTGTCGAATCTAGGTCCGTGTTGATTTCTTCAAAGAGCAGCGCCGCCTGGCGATTGAAAAAGTCTGAGAAGACGAATTTAGATTCCTTATTGTTTCCAAGGTCGACGGAGGGGAGGAGGCTGATCTGCGCGTTGCCGTAGTGGAGAGGAAAGGCGGTCATGGACAAGAGCATTTGGACGGCGGAAAACCGCAAATCAGCTAAATTAACGACCGGCTGGTAGTTTGACATTTTACCGTCCGGGATTAAAGTTTCCAGCACCGTGATGAAGAGGGGATAGAGACACGTAACGCCGGGCAAATTCACGCGCAGGAAATCGCAGCCAAAGATCAGTATCGCGGCTCTTGTGGCTGAGGACTCGTCGATCAGCCCATGTGATAAGACGAGGTAAGCTCGGGCTAAGTACGCGGGGATGATCTTCTCATTGGTCCTTATTGTGCTCAAAATACGGGACAAGCAGCCCAGCGCTTCTGCTCTGCCAGCTTCGTTTCTCTCCGAATCGTCGAGCCCAGGGCTCGGGATCATTTCAGAATGCCAACTTGGCTCTGAAATCGAAGTGGCTCTAGAAAACGAAGCGGTGTCGACATCTGCTGGAGCTCCAAGGGACGCATCAAACAGCCACTTTCCGAAAAGATTGAGGAGGGAGTTGACGTACGGGCGCGATCGCGGCTTCGTATCCGTGAATTCAGTGCGCATTTGAAGACTAGCTTGGAGGTAGCTGGAACTCACTTCGGAAATCACATTGCCCGAGGAGTTTCGACCCGATGTTCCTTTCGATGTTTTGTGAATCGATTCGGACATTTCTGAGCCCATGAAACTCTTTGGCGGCTCTGGAAAAGCCGTCATTATATTCGAACTTCGTCTTGAAAGACTCTGCTTTGTCCCTTTTCGTCCAAGGGGTGGGGAAGCCGATCGGGGGTCGAACTGGGGATGGATCCTGAATGACCCGAAATCGTTCCAAATTTGAGCTCCCGTCGATACTCTTCCGTGTTTGACAAGCCAAGGAAGCCGTCACAAAGCTGGCTTATTCCCTGCATCAGGCGGAGAAAGTTCTCAGGTAGCTTTTGCAAACAGGGGTGGTTCAGCGTGCTGAGCATTTGATCGTTTCTTCCGTTGAGCTTCGCCATTTGGACGAATTTGTCGCGGCGGGCGAATTTTGACGTGTCCGTCAGCTCAACTGGATTGGAGATGATTCTGAGGAACTGGTACCAAGCCAGAGTGATGGTCTCTTGGTCCATTGGGTAGATCAGGTTCTTATCTTCTTCTGGGACGAGGAGTTCCGGATACGTCGGCCCCTGGGAGCTGGAGATGACATCTCTCGTCAAAACAGCTGTAAACCTACTCCACCAGTCAATCACCGCGTAATGGTGCCGCCAGCCTTGGACAAAATCGGTCAGCGTTTTCCAAAACGTCGGCGTTGGGAAGTTCTTTGCGCAAGCGACCAGCCAAACTTCGAAAAGAGTTTTGATGAGCTCAGATCCCAGGAGATCCGCCAGGCCGCCTGTTGCCAGGGGCGGCGCTAGAAGAGTATCCGCAATTGCTAGGAAGAAGAGAAGGATTGTTTCCCATGTCGCTGCTTCTAGGGAGGTGGTTTCTTTGCAAACGGCAAGGACAGACTTTAGGACAGTTTTACAGAGATTGTACTGAACATCGAGCCATCGTCGTTCTACTCTCGGGACAAAAAGGTTCTGCAGGTGCTCAAGAATCTTCTTCAAATGCGGCTCCGGGTTTTTCCGAACTGGAAGGGGAATCCGCTCGGATGGGTCGACAACAACGCGAAGCCAGTCGCAGTAAAGACGGACCGCATCTTTGACGGTTTGGACGCTCTTGTCGTCGGTGAAGGACAGACTCAACGCATAGCAGAGGATTTCCTCGGTGAATTTCACCTGAAGAGCGAAATTTGATGATTTTTTCAATTAAAAAATTGAGTTTTTTTGATTTTCTTTTTGCTCTAGTTGGCTTTTGTACCTCTTTTTCAGTGACAAGATCGACGTTGGACGACACGATCGAGAAAACGATGAGATCTGAGACCTCCTTAGCGACTTTCGGCGGAAAACGATTGAGGACCGAGAGTTGATTCCTGAGTCCAAGCACGTCGCCCTCAAGGGAGCACCATTCGCTGTACATTGACAAAACTCGAGAACGCGCTCTAGAATTTATGAATTCAGCGCTTTTTTTCACGTCAAAATCGATTTTTCTTCAAATAATGGACTTTTTTTGCTCAATAAAATAGAAAAATTCTAGTTTTTCCGCTTTCTTTTTTCATTTTTATAATAAAAAATTGGTCCATTTAACTAATTAATTGATTAATTAAACAATTAAGCCCAAAGTTGCATCTCAAAAAGCAATAAAACCTATAATTAAAATTCTCGACATTTTATTAGGAAAATTTGCCTCAAATTCAAAGATTTTCCAAAAATAAAAAAAGATAAAAATATAAATTACGATTTTTTGGCGTAGTTACCTTTCTAGAGAAATTTTCTCTTCATAAATAATAAATTTTCATTGTATTTTTTTCGTAAGTTTATGTTTTTCGGCTTTTTTGTAAATTTTCGCAGCGGCTTATTTCTTCCTGGCCAAATCTGCCTGAGGAGCTGGCTGAGTCATAGTGATGACTCATGCGCTCGCTCATTTGCCAGAGCGGACAATGGAGCAAAGGAATGAGTAATTTAGTGAGTCATTGAAGAGCAAAGAGAAAGCAGATCAGCCAGAATTGAAATGAAAATTGCGAATTTGAAATTTACAGAAGATATTTGAGAAAAAGCGAATTTCGCGAAGCCGCAAAACAAACACGAAAATCGAGAATTGAAATTCCAGCGCGAATTTGGAACAAGTTTATTAAAAAAAAACAACAGAGAAAAAAAGAGAAAGAATGGGAACTAAGCAGTCAGTAGCTCTATCAGCTGATGAAGCTCAAGAAGTTGCGAATAGAACTGGTTTTTCAAAGGCGCAAGTCAATAAGCTTTACCACAGGTACACTTTTAGTAACAGTAATTTTGAGTCATAATGATAATTTTTACCGTTTTATTATTAGAAGTTATTCGAGAGTTTTTGGAATTTTAAGCCGATTAAAGCTCTTTTTAGTCTTGACCAATCAGAGCGCCGGATGAAAATTTTCATTATCGAAGAGAAAAATTGTAGGATTTTTTTTCAATTATTATTTCAGATTCAATCTTTTGGACAAAGACGCGAAGGGCCATCTTTCTCGCGACGATTTACTGGCTATTCCTGAGCTCGCTATGAATCCATTAGGTAAATTTCCCCCTTTTTCAACCTTTTCATTTCTCATTTTTAGCCGATAAAATCGTGAATCTCTTCCTGCCCGCAGAAAACAACGACGCGACTTCTACTGAATGCAGTTTTCTCAAATACTGCGAAGTAAGAAATCCCACCATCCTTTTTTCAACGATTTAGGTTCTTTCGCACTTCCGCCCAACCAATTCGAAAACGCAAGAAAGCGACCTCAACTCAAAACAGTCCAAAACAAAGTTGATCTTCGACATCTTCGACAAGGACAAATCCAATCGGCTCACTCGAAACGAGCTGCTCGAAATTCTCCGAATGATGGTACTTCCAATTTTCTTTCCTCTCTTTATCCCTTTTTTTCTAGGTCGGAAAGAACATTTCGGAAGATCAACTGTACGCAATCGCTGAACGAGCAATCGTAGAAGCAAAACAGAATCTTGATGGAAAATCTGATGCTGGTCTTTGTCTTGAGGATTTTGCCGTGGCGATGAAGGTATTTACAGTACTCGATTCAAACGAAAACTGTTTCAAAATCCATCAATTCCAATTCAACTCATTTTAAGTCGACCGAAATCGATGCGAAAATGTCGGTGCGCTTCCACGACTAAAAAAACGAAACTCAATTTTGAAATCAACAAAGACTACTCCAAAACGAAAATATTTCCCAAAGCTCAAATCTGTCTGTTCCACAACAATGTTTTCCTCTTTAAATCCTCTCTTCATGCGTACTTTTGCTTCATTAAAAATCTATTTATGTAAAATTTATATTTTCAAGGAACAGTTTTTCGTTTTTTTTATTTTTTAATTTTCATTAATTTGACTTGATTCTGGCGCCATGTAGTCGTAGTCGGGCATTTGTCGGGAGAGCACCTCTGCGCGGTTTTGTCGAATCATGTGCCAGATTTGCGCCATTTCGCCTTCCAGCTGGAGTAGGCGTTTGTCCATGCTGTCGACGGACTCGATCACGCAATTTTCGCCTTTTGGCCCTTCCGGTCCGGGCATTCCTTTTGGCCCTCTGCGGCCCGGCCGCCCGCTAAAACGAAATTTTCACCAAAAAAGCGTCCTTCCAACTCACCTCATTCCTCTGGGACCATGTAGGCCAGGAATGCCAGGGTTGCCATCCATGCCCGGATTGCCATTAGCGCCTCCTCTTCCCACCGGTCCGGGAGGCCCAGGTTGTCCTCTTTCGCCAACAGGGCCTTGGTAACCCGGCGCTCCATCAGCTCCTGGCGGTCCGGGAGGACACGCGCACATGTGCTTTCGTTCAGCCACTGCTTCGCAAAAGCTCGAATTTAGCGACAAAATGAGGGCAATTTTCAACTTCATCAAGTTTTATTCTCTTTTTATTCTCAATTAGGTAAAAAACATCGGTCGCGGGAGGTTTTTGAATTTGAGTTTACATTTCGCACCTCTTTTCTTCTTTTCGCGGGGGAGTCCCTTAATTAGATCCTCAAAGAAAACTGTTAAGAATCGCTTGAATGTTGAGACGGTCAGCGAATCGTATCGTTTCCCAACTCCGGTTTGCTTCAATCAAAGGAGAAAACTCGATAAATCTGCAGCCGAAGATTGAAAACGTCGACCCTTACGCAGCAGTTTCTGATGTTTCTGCCGAAGCAATAACCCAGCCCATCGCTGAAGCAGCCGCGGAAGTTCAAGAGCTTGGCTTCGTCGCGGATTCTTTTCTCTCAATATATGACGCGACTGCAAATGCTCTTGGAATCGAAGTTTTCGCCGCCATTCCGATTGTCGTCGCCACCGGTCGATTCGCGCTTTTCCCGATGTACCGAAGCATGAGACAGAAAATGCCGGTCTTTTCCAACAGCATGCAGCGAATGTCCCACATTGCTCATTCCCAACAACTGAGGATTCTGAAAGGCGACTTCAAATCGGCAGAAGAAGCGGCGATGAGCGAGCAAAAGATGCAACAGGAAATTGGAGAAATTCGAAATAATCTGATGCGAAATTACCCGATTTTTAACATTTTGCCGCTTGGGATTTTTATGTCTGGAAATTTGTATGCTACCTGGTCGCTTTGTAGAGCCAGCTCGACTCCACTTGCGTTTATGGGGATTGAAAATTTGATGGAATTTAATCATGCAGCTGCTCTTTTGGGAAGTGAGTACATTTAACGCTAATTTTTTAGGATAAGTTTTGAGTCAGAAAAACAGGTTCTGATTTGATGATGCGAATAAAGGCTTAGATTAGAGTAAATACGAGTTTCTGATTCGCTCTTAGGTCAAATATAAGCCTCTTATTAGTCGATCGACCAAATGCCCGTTTCTCATTGGCTTTTAGGCCAAATACGGACGTCTGATTGGATAAAAGGAAAAAAATACATTTTTTTCATTCAGAGCCTAAAAAATAATTCGAAATTATTGCTCAGTTGTAAAACTTTTTCTAGCATTCTTTTTTAGCTGCAATGCAATTACTGGCGATCAAAATCGGCGCAGAACTCGGAAATACTGCCCGCAAAAACTCTGGAGTTCAACCAAGTGGAGCAGCAAAAGCCCAGGCTGGAATTACAAATGTCTTCATGGGCCTCGTTTCTGTCACTTATCCGATGGCGATGCATTACAATTGTCCGGCGTTCATTTCTCTTTGCTGGGCGGGAAATACTTGCATCACGCTGCTTTTTAGCTCGATTTGTATGAAGTTTAGAAACCAGCTAGGTAAAAAAGGAAAGGAAAACTTGATGATGGTGATTTCTGATTTTAAGGAATCCCGGATTTGGACGCTGAAAACGCGCGACTAGCGATTGAAATTCAAGAAATCTCGACAGAAATGATGGAGCTGCAAAAATCGTTGAAGGAAAATGCTTCTTTTGACAATGTTGTTGCTGATAGAATGAAGAAAATAGAAGAAATGGAGGTCGGTTCTTCCTTTTTCATGGAGAAAGTAATGAAATTTTTCAGGAAAAATTAAAGGAGATGAAAGAAAATTCTTCAAATTTAGACGAAATTCAAGAGAAATCGAGGGAGAAAATGGAAGAGTTGAAAAACAAGAAGAAATAAGCCCTTTTTCTTGCTTTTTTCAGTTAAAAAATTTCTAATATTCCGAACTTATGCTTCAAAATTGCTAAACACGATTCTTCCTAGAAGGCTAAAAATGTCCTCGGCTGCTATAATGATGATAACCTGCCCTTCCGCAGCTGTAGCGAAGAAACTGGCCAGCTCTGCCGTGAAATCAAGACTTGCTGCTTGTGGAAATATCATTCCGGGAATGACTTCTATTTACGAATGGAAAGGTAGACAATTTTTTCTTGTTTCAATGAGCTTTATTGTTGATTAATGAAAAGGGGAGATCTGCGAAGAAGAAGAAACATATCTCCTGTTGAAAACAGAAAAGAGCATGTCAGAAGAAGTGATTAATTTTGTGAAAGAAAATCACCCGTATGACGTTCCCTGTATTGTTTCTGTGCCAATCGAAACTGGAAATCCAGAGTTTTTGAAATGGGTAAAAGATATGACGGGCGAAAAAACAGTTCAAGAATAAATCAAAATTGCAGCATCATCCATTTGTAAAATGAGTTCAATTTGGAGCACTTTTGACAAAAAATTGAGTGATCTCGTGTATGCATTTTCTATCTTGTGACAACTAGCGGGGGCGAGTAAGTATCAGGAACAGAATCTACACAGGCTGGTTGTTCCAAACTTCAGTCGTGTTCCTCTTCTTCTTCCATTTCAAGTACAGCGGCTTGGCGAAAATGCCAAAGATGAACCCAAGAGCAAGGCCGACAAAAAGAGCAATGGTGAGTTGTTTTGGACCGTCAAGAACTACTCGATCTTCCTCGCAAAGATTTTCCTCCATTTCTCTCTTTCTGAGCCCGGTTTTTTGGAAAAATGCCTCTTTGCGTCTTTGAAATTTTATCAATTTGATGCTCCTGCAGCGTGAATTTTAGGTTTTGTCCTTGCGGGATATCTTGATCAAAAATGGTTCGAACCAAGAAAGAAGGCATGAAACGAGCCATTTTGATTTTTTGAAAACTTTTATTGCAAATTCTGGGAGTTTTGGCAAGATTTTACGAAAGCGGTAAAGTAATGAGGGAAGATAGATAAGAACAGTTGTTTCGATGACAATTTCTTAGATTGAGATGATCGTTTTTATTCGTGATTTCTGGAGTGGTCGCTTTCTTCGTTGTTGTCGTTTTGTGGCTGAGGGATGTTTTCGTATTAACATGAAAGGAGGGGCACTAGAATTAAAATATAGCTTGAAAAAATGAAAAGTTAGCTTACGTTTGGTTCAGAGTCTTGCTGGCTTCTGAGTTTTTCTGATCGCATTTGGAGCTTTTCCCTTGTTGGGCTTCTTTTTGACGTACTTCGGCTTCTTCTCCTTGACTGATGCTTCGGAAAAGAGAGTGATCAGTTCTTCGTCGGTCAGTGCTTGTGCTTGCTTCGCCGCAAAGTCATCCTGCATCTCCTTGAAGTTCGTTGTCGTGAGATTCGTCTCCTTGGTCTTCTGCAGATGGATTGTCGAGGTTTTGTCGAAGAAGGGGAGCCAGAGCTTGTATGCGATCATCGTGAGTTCTGTTTCAGTGATTTTCTGCTTTTGAATCGAACGGAAGGTTTCGCTGAATTCTTTGCCTCTTCGTTTTTCCTTTGGTGGAGTCCAGCAGAGAGCCAGATATCTGCCAACGGTCTTTTTGCCAAGTTGAGCGGTCATCTTCATCAATTCCATCATCAAATTGGGATCTTCGGGGCAGCAGACATGAGGCGTTTTCGGAAAGCAGTTTTTGTTCAACGGCGTATATTTCGCCGTCGCTTGTTTCGTTGCTGATGTCGGTCTCAAACCGTGGAGCTTTTCGAGTCCTCCAATGTAGAATCCAAAAAACGCATCTCTGCTCTTCCGCATCAGTTTGTTGCCGTTGTCGACTTCGAAGCAGCAGCCACAGGAGAACTCAAAGAAGTCAGTGTTGGCGAAGGTTTCAATCTTGATTTGCGTCTCAATTCCGGAATCAGCATGGATAAAACTGGCGTAGCGCGGACCAGTAAAAGTCCCAATATATTTGAGACCCATCATTTTCTCTTGGTTATTCATTTTGATTTGAGACAGAATTTTTTTCCAGCGCGCGGCAGAAATTCGAAAATGGCGCCCAAAGGAGGCGCTGTTCTCGGCGCCAAACTACCGAGCAGGGATTATCAGCAAATTGGCAAGTCAGCAAGTCGGCCGATTTTTAAGAAAAGAAGTGATATTCAGCCGATAATCCAATCAAGAATGCCATCTTTCGTATTTTATTCGACCTTGTTTTAAATGTATATTTCATTCTGTGACAGTATCGGAAAGTTTTCACGAACTTGAAAGTTGAGGGAAAGGGACTCAGAAGAGAAAAGCGCCTAAAATTGCTAGTAAAACAAAAAGAATGTTTCCAGCTAGTTGTTTTGAAGAAGATTTCTTCGCTGAAGCTTGAATGGTTTCGTTGTTGTTGCTGATTTCTGGAAATTTTGGTCTTTTCGTTGTTGTCGTTATTGAGGAAACTGTTGAAGGGATTGGCTTGGAGATCGGAGTAGATTTCGAGCTGTAAATCAACATTTTGATGAAACAGTGAAGGTTGATTTATACCTTGTTCTCGTTGAACTTGTCATCGTTGTTATCGAGGTCAAGGGCGTTGAAGGAGACGCTGGATAAGCGCCAACCGTAGGGCGACTTTCGAATGGCTGGTAGACGATCAGAGGAGTCGTTTTTTCTTTCAAAAATGTTTCAAAACTTTTCAAAAAAGAGCTGATCTTACTTCTATTGGCTGTCATGGACGTCACAAACTCATTGTAATGATCAGTGTTTCCGTAAGTTTTCGTCGCTTCGGTTTCTAAGTCTTCATTTCTGTCGAACTCGGGCTCAAAGGAAGTCGATTCTGGGTAGTACAAGTCTTCAATTTCTTTTGCTTTCTCAAGACTGCTTATATATCGGTCCATATATTCCTAAAAAGCGCAAATTATTGACTCCGTAATTTTAGACCCATCAAGTGTTGGCATTAATCTTATTAACAAAGAGTCTATCATTCTTCTTTTCTGGAAACTTACTTTCTTTAGTTGCGAAAACCGTTCTTTTCCGATGTATTTTTCTGCCTCGCTGTTGAATAAAAAGGGAGGAGGTGGCGGTGGAATAAACGGCTTTCTCTTCTTCTTTGAATATGCTCTGTTCTTTTTCAGGGATGATCTTTTACGGGACGAATTAAATGACTGGATGATGAGTTGTCTTATCTCAAGGAAATTTTAATTGAGAGATCATCCCTGCTCTTTTTGCTTCCATTTCTTCTAGCAATCCCTGTCGTGAAATGCCTGTAGCCTGCTTCTGTTGGTTGAGCTTGAGCACCAAGCGCCACTGACCATTTTCTACTACTAGCATTTGTAGAAGCGCCTTCGTAGTGATTCTGTAGGGAGAGCAGGAAGAGGACTTGAAGCTTCATACTTTTCCAATTTTCGAGTTCAGCGAGTCTCCATATTCGGCAAGGGTTTTCTCTAAAATGACGCAAATAGCGAAAAACAGTTGGGCCCAATTGATATCCCACTAAGCCTCTGAAACGCCCTCCAGGAAGAAAGACTCCGTTATCAAGAGTTTACCTTAAGAATGAATAAGCTTATAAAAGCGTACTATTCCATATTTCTCTGCGCTAAAAATGAGATGAGTACGAGTAGGAGCGAAAGAGTGCTGCTCAAAAAAAAGTCTTATGATGAACAACTTCCCGTTTAAAGAAGATATACCTATCGTATAAAAAATTAAGCGCCCAGTGCCAAGCTACTGATGGCACATTACGTGAAATAACATCATTTGACAGCCAAGATTACTACTCATTCTATTCTGCAATTAACAAATAAATACCTCAAAATAGACTCTGACTTCTGAATCGCTAAAAATTGGAGGCCTCTTTCGCTAAGTAATCAAGTAAGTGGAGATCTGTATATTCGAGTAAAATTATATGGGCTACTCTCTTCTGATTGGGATGGAACTTTCCTCTGATGGGCCTCGTAATCGGCCCGACATTAAATGTCCCTCGAGAGAAGACCTCTTTCGCCTGACATTGAGGTTGACTGAGTTGATCTACAGCCTCGCAAAGCTCATTAGTATTGAGTCGTTACGTAATAGCGACTGTATTTTTACGGAAAAAGACCATAAATATCAGAATTATAAATTCTTATCCAAAATATGGGAAAATAGGGGTCAAAAGTTCGATTTTTAAAATCTCCAAAGGAAAAAGATTTGCAAGCGATAATCCTCTATGTATCCATCCTCAGGTCACCCTTTCAAATACGGAACTAACAATGAGCTCAAAACTCAGAGATGCGGTCTACGCTTACTTTTCCTGGATCAAGGAGCTCCGAAAAGCACCAAAGGTAAGGTGCAAAATATAATGCAAAAGAAATACATCTTATCTTCCTTGTTATCCAACTACTTACAAAAAGCGACTAGCAACGAAGAAGTCAGAAGTCTATTTTCCATATAATTAGTTTAGCAATTTCATTTTACCCCAATTAGTAAAGAAAAAAGAACACGTGATAAACACCAGTAATCCGCCCTCTTTCTGATGTAACCGTAGCAATCCCAAATCCATCGCCCAAATCGTCGATATCGGACCATATCCTTGGCTCCGCAACCTGTGCGGAAAACCTGAGTAGAGTTCTGAAGAGCTTATATGAAAAGCCGCGTAGCGGCTTTCTTTTAACAAAGCCGCGAAGAGGCTTCGCTAAACTATCAAAAATTCTAGCAGAGCCGTTTCGCGGCTTTGTTATTAAAAAAGCAGCTACGCGGCTTTTCATTTCAGTTTTTTCAGACCCTGACTCAGGTTTTCTTCATAGGTTGCCGAGCCAAGACCATATCGTTTTCCCTAGACCTCGTCGTTCCTCGATATCATTGGGCAGCTTGGTATCAGTGAAGAAAACTGGTTGCGTTTCGGAACGATTTGGCGGGAAATAGCAGCAATGTGCCCCCACCAAGAAAACAACTCGCGATCGTTGCTGACGACGTTTTTAAAATACACCGACCAGGATCTGCACATTCAAGCAAATCTGCGCAAATGCGACCAATTCATCGACATAGAAGACTTGCCAGCCCTGATGAGGAGGGTCCTAAGTGAGAATATCTTTAAAAAAGGGGTTTCAGAAGCCAGCAAATCCGAATATTGATTGAAGACTAAGAGCAAGCTTGCAACCTAGATCTTATTTTTCTATTTTTCAAGGCAGGTGACATAATTTCTGTCGATTTCCCTGAGGAGCGGGATTAGACTCAAGTCAAGGGTACTCTTGTTATTTATGCTACAGTGGGATTTTTCAAATATGATCTAAAAAGCCTCGGCAACGAAGCCGCAAAATTGATTGAAAAGTTAATTTTTCTTTGCGGCTTTATTTTCAAAAAAGCCGCTGCGCTGCTTTTCATGAGACATCTTTCAGACCCTGACTCAGGTTTTCTACACAGGTTGCCAAGCTCAGGATTTAGTAACACCATTTTGAAACCTTTTGAAAGGATTTGGACATCAACAAAAACCGGTTTATAAAAGAAGTATCCTCGATGGAAATCCCAATGATCCAACTCTACGAAGAAGGGACCATCAAACTTCACCGTCTGGACGTGGCGCTAGAATTATTTGAACGACTGAAGCCGGTGAAAAGAATGAGCCCAAAGGACAAGATCATCTTTTTGGAAGAAATTCGCTACCATCTCGGTCTTATTTTCATTGAAATCTGAATTGACAGAAATTCTAGAGCAGCGATTCCCGACGAGATCGATGATGAAATCGTACGTTAATGGCACTTCGAATATGTTCTTCAAAATCAACAAAATGGCACTTCCAAAAGATCCTTAGAACTTGAAGATCCGATTAACGGATCTTGCCCATTGCTCTGTCTATATGAATAAAATGAAAAACTAGCTGATGAGAGAGAAAGAAAGTGGCGTTTCTTTTAAGGATTGCGGTCGCTAAAAAACCCATAAAAGCATTTTATAGCATAATTCCTTGATTGAAGAGAAATCTATTTCTTCTTTTTTCGCGCGATTTGAAATCATCAGTTTCAACCCCTTTGAATCAATTCTTTTGAAAACGCGCTGATTTTACTTACCAACTCCTCGTCAATGCTGTCTGGCGCCAACCTTGGTTGCACTCCCCCGAGGGCAAAACACCTCCTCCCCGGTAACAAATTCTCCAATTGAAATATTTTTTTATTAGTCGAAGTCTTACAGATAAGAGAAAGTAAAAAAAGAAGCTGGTGAAAAAATGATCATTCCGCTGTATCAAGGTAAACATGGCATCGTCGTAATGGGCAGAAAGATAATTGTCAGAAATAACTGTATAAGTCGCTTGTGGAAACTCTTGCTGCATAATTTATCAGTTTTGTAATAGATTTCACAAATGTATTTTTGTCTCGCGCGGTAAAATGCCTTTTGAAAGGGATTTAGAGAATAGTGAATTTAGTGATGCAAGTCTATGTGTATTTAGGTCATTTTGGTTCCAACATATTTCGATTTGAAAAAGAATAAATGAGATAAAACCAAAGTTTCAAGCGAGAAAAAAGCCGCAACATGGACGGCTTGTGCGCTTTTATCAAGGTTTAGCGTCCAAATTAAATACCTTTATTTAATTATACTGAAGAACTAATAGCATTAGCACTGGGTTTTCTGCCAAAAACAACTTTTTAGCCATGCTGCTGAACCTCAGGGATCTTATGGAGCCGCTGAGAAGAAGAATAGAAGACCCGCAAAAGTATGAAGTCATTTTCAATTAATTTTCTTACAAAAAAAAACTAGACAGAAACAGTTGATCTTGTTCGTCGTTTCGACCGCACTGCTGCTCGACAATATGCTTTTTATGGTTATTGTGCCCATCATTACACAGATATTGGAAAAAGGGATGAAAGGAGAAGGAAGTTCTGACCCAACAGAAGCCTTGGGATCGACCGATTTCGCTCTAAGTTTCAACAGTTCGGCACAGCAAGTCTTCAATTCTCAATACGACTCGAGCCAGGCCTGGTTGCCTGATAAAACAAGGCTGAAAATATGCCGCCTAGCCCTCAATTTCAATATGTCTCTACTTAAAAATTGGGCAACCGCGCAAAACAGGGATCGGAAGACATCACTCTTGGGATTCTCTTTGCTTCGAAAGCGATTGTACAGTTGATAGCAAACACAGTTACAGGCTCGTTTATCGATAGAATCGGATACGAGGTAAACTCATAATTGAATTTGTTTTTTAATAAAATTTCGCGCAGCTACCATTATTGATGGGGCTTTCGATCATGTTTCTTTCGACACTTCTATTTGCCATTTTTACTAGGTAATAGTGATAGACTTACATGCACTAATTAATCGCTGATTGAAGTTATGGTGGGTTGTTTTTCGCCCGAAGTTTGCAAGGCTTTGGATCAGCTCTTGCCGACACTGCTGCTCTTGGCCTCGTTGCAGATAGATTTACAGTTGATGAAGAGCGTCAGAGGTCGAAAAATTATTGAAAAATACGCTACTGTATGTTTTAGGGCCCTTGGTATAGCGCTAGCATTCATCTCCTTCGGCAGTCTGGTCGCACCTCCTTTCGGCGGATTTTTCTTCCAATACTTTGGCCATTCCGTTCCGTTCATTCTTCTAGCGCTCATGTGCTTTTGCGACGCGATTTTGATCGGAATGATTGCTTCGAAAAAAGCTGAAGAAGATATTGCCAGGGAAAACAAGCCAGTAGGAACGCCAATGTGGAAGTTGATGAGTGATCCGTACATAGCAATTATCGCTGGAGCGCTTGTAGGAAAGGATTAAACGACTTGGAAAAAAGGGTTGAAGACTGTATTGAGCATCAAAGGTTCAATATCCGAAGACTGAAGTAAGGGAACAAGTCACTTAATTTCGGGAGCAAAGGTGTCCAGAAGGGCAGCCCGCTCGTCATAAATCCGCAGTCAATTGATGTGAATTGCCATTGCCCAACTGCGTGGCCGAAAACTCGCCTAGATCATTTTAGATTGATTTAGGATCGATGACGGCAGGCTCAGCAATAAAACCACCCTTGTTTAATCAACAGACAAATTAATTAATGGATCTTTGTTTTTCATCTACAAAAATACGGAGCTTCTTTTTTGCAATTCAGAATTCATAGTTCTGAATTAATCTTTTTTCGTATTAAATTTTAAACCTTCTTTTCATCCTCGAAAGTGGCCAACATCCCTCTTGCCTTTCTCGAACCAACGATCGCCAAGTGGATGGAAGATGTGATGGACGCCACTCCCTTTCAAAAAGGCTTTGGTCAGGCCTGATTGACGATAAATTTATAATAACGCTCAAACACTTTTTAGTTTGGTTTCCAGCATTTATCCCACATCAGGGTTCGGTAATTTGAGCTCACGCTAAAACTCAAGGAAACAAAGCTTGAGACTCACGTTTTTAATTTGAGTTTTGAGAACTCAGAGATGAGAGCTCGTGTTAGAAATCAATTCTGGCGATCCATGAGCCAATCAAGGAAGCGCTCGCTTAATTTGAGTTTTGAAAACTCAAAACTCTCAAATCTCCCAAAAACTCAAAACTCCCAAAACTCTCAAATCTTCTCAAAATGATTTCTCAAGTCACTTTGAGTTCTCAATTTGAGGAAATTTGAGCGTCTAGCCAAAATGAGTTTTAGCTTGAGCTCAAATTACCGAACCCTGTCCCACATGTTTGCGGCGTGCTGATATGCGTGGCCCTCGCGAATAAGTACTTTCGATTTCAGTGGTTTTACGGAGCTGTTGGCCTGGCTTTCATCGCCATATCTACTGCTTTTCTGCCGGTAAGACGTCTTTTCCTTGCTTCGTGAAGTTAGCATCAAGAGAGTATATCAAGTTTTATGGAAAGCTCGATGTTTTTCGTACACATCTACGCAGAAATCCAGAAAAAATCACTAGCCAGCTGCAGGAAAAGCTCTATCCCCGTCATCGAAAACTTCTTTGCCAAGCATGAAGTATGATCTAACATGGTTTAGGAATGCCGGACATATGGCCAAGTTACCGTTCCACTCGGCCTCATGTGCTTCGGAATCGCTCTCGTAGATACAGCGCTGCTACCGACCTTGGCTTTCATTGTGGACACCCGCCACGCTTCTGTTTACGGATCTGTCTATGCCATCGCCGACATTTCATACTCCTTCGCTTATGCTCTCGGCCCGATTGTTGCTGGAAACATTGTTGAAAAATTCGGCTTTATCACACTCAACCTTGGCATGGGCGCTGTATCGATTCTTTATGTACCCATGCTGATTTTGCTCAGGGGCGTTTACGATCGCCAGGTACTTATTCTTCTATATAATATAATATAATATAATATAATATAATATAATATAATATAATATAATATAATATAATATAATATAATATAATATAATATAATATAATATAATATAATATAATATAATATAATATAATATAATATAATATAATATAATATAATATAATATAATATAATATAATTTGACTTCTAGGTGGACAAAAGTGAGCGAATCGGGCTGATCGACCAAGATGAGTTAGAATTGAACCTGGAAAGTGGTGGACCTAGCGGCGGTTATGGAACCGCAAATAGCGGGGGAGCGATGGATTTACCGATTTCTTCGTTGGAAGATTCCCAACCGAGGTTTTTAAGAAGAGTTGGATCCAAATTAAAGCATATATTTTCAGACATTCGTTGATACAAACAAGCAGTGAAGAAAGTTTCGATGGAGAGTATTAAACAAACAATCACTTTTACTAATACTTAATTTAAAAATTACCTCTTTAGAGTTATTATAAAATCAAATAATTTATCTCTTCAACCCTTTTTTTCCTGCTTTTCTACTATATATTCCTTGGTGCCTATATCTTATTTTGTGAATACTAATATCCATTTTTTGCTGTATTTGGTAGTCCTCGTTGATTTCAATTTTGAAATCTTAGTTTAAAATTGTCTAGAATTTTAGTAGATTCTTTATATTTTTGATTTTCTGATTAAGAAACCAGATAAGGTCAATAACTTATTTTTCATCTGCTGAACCGCATTCGCCATCAATTCCCAAAATTTTTAATTTTCAGAGAAAGGGGCTTTGGTTAATTGTGATTGATTCAAAATGGGCCATGCAGATAAAGACAGGTGAGATGAATAAATGAGGTCTTTGAGATATTAAATTCATTAACATTTTGCGGATTTTCTCATTCCGGATACTATCACTCAGTCTAAAAGCCGAGCGGCCAGAGTATTTTTTTGAGAACATGGAGCAGAGCGCGAAACATGCAAAGGAGATTAATTCTCTTTCCAAATCGAAGCAAAAGAGAAACACCACGAATTTTAAAAACATCGTTCATATGTCTCAGTTTTTCACGAGACTGAAAATATCCAAGGAAAATCGAGAAATTGGCAATCAAAAGCCCGCCAAATTGTACCAAAAACCCACCGCCAAAAAAGCCCCCTAAAAAACATTTTCAGCGACAACAGATCGTCGATTAAACATTGTCCGATCCAAACTGTTCAAAATGCGAGACAAGTTCCTCTTCTTCCGGTTCCTCAGATAAGCGATACGATTGAGAGGTATCTCCAAGCCCTGAAGCCACTCATCCCGGACTTTCAATATGAAAAAGTCGCCTCTTACGCAGAGAAATTCTTGAGCCAAACGGCGAACAAGCTGCAGATCTTACTTGAAGCCCGGGCCAGGTAAGACCATTTCCCTTCCCATTTTTCTATTCCCAGAACACGAGTGAACTGGATAACCGATTGGTGGTTAAACGACATGTATTTGGAGCAAAACTGTCCCTTGCCAATCAATTCCAATCCTGGAATGCTGGTTCATCGCAATTACAGTCGCTCCAGAAGCGAAAATGTCACCTTAATCGCGACCATCATCAAAAGCACTTTACGCTACAAAACAAAAGGTATCAAGAAAAAATAAATGACCCAAATTTTAACTTCCTAATAGTGGAAAACAACGAGCTTCATGAGACGAGTGGAGGGCAAATGGCAGGCTCGCATCTGTGTATGAATCAATACCGGAACCTCTTTACCAGGGCGCGGGATTAATCATGATTCATGACCTTTCTAAAATTGAGACATATTTTTGAGAAAACTTGAATCACGATAAACCCCACTGTAGATATCGCCAGCCGGGGAAAAGTAAAGACCTCCACGTGAGCAGAAAAAGCGACTACTTCCTCGTCATGCGCAATGGAATCTTCTACAAGCCCAGCATCAACGACCTCGAAGCGCAGATCTTCGGGATCGTGACGAAATCCACTCCTCAGAAGAACACGGGCATTCTGACAACTTGCACGAGGCGGGAGTGGGCCATTCTGAAAAACAAGCTCGAGCAGATTTCATCTACTAATGGCTCGTTACTCAAGCTGATCCAGAACGCCGCTTTCGTTGTCAACCTCGATCAAGGTCAGTTTTCATTACTCTCTTTTTTCTGAATTCGTAGTAGCCGGTGATGATAGTCCAATCGAGCAATTTCTCCACGGTGGAAAATTCGCGACCAACCGCTGGTTCGACTGCACCCTCCAGCTCATCATCAACGACGACGGCGACTTCGGGATCTGCTACGAGCACTCCGTTTGCGAAGGAATCCCAGTCGTCCAGCTCGCCGCAGAAATCAAACGAGCAATCATCCAAAACCCAACGAAAGAAAAGTACTACTACGGCAACTCTCCCCTCGAACCCCTCTCCTTCCGAACGTCCCACGAGCTGGACTTGCTGGTCTCTCGTCAAATAGAAAATCACCGGGTTCAACAAGAACGGCTCGATTTAAACGTCTTCAAGTTCGAAAAGTTCGGCAAAACATTTATCAAGAAGCAGAACATGTCCCCCGATGCCTTTTTACAAGTAGCCTTGCAGTGCGCTTATCATCGAATCTACTGTCGTCTTCCTTGCTCCTACGAGTCCGGGTCGATCAGAAGGTTTCGAGATGGACGGGTAGATAACATTCGAGCGTCGACGATTCCCGCCCTCCAGCTTTGTCGGCACCTGAGCGAGTTTTACTCCAGAGGCGATTGTAAATCATCCCTGAGTACTAACTCGATGGACTATCTTCGCAAAGCAGTGAGGTTTCAAACCAGCATTACTCAGCAAGCAATCACTGGCAAGGGACTGGACAATCATCTGCTCGCCCTTCTGAACACGCTGAAAGAAGTCTCGCTGCCGATTCCGGAGTTGTTCACCGACAATTCGTTCAAAACATTCAACCACTTTGAACTCTCAACGTCTCAAATCCCGACCATTTCGAGGGACATCTACATGTGCTACGGACCAGTCGTCCCCGACGGATACGGCTGCTCGTACAATCCGCAAAAGGTAGCCTTATTTTTCGGCCAATTCGGCCGATTTCTCAATTTATGTGATTTTTAAAACAAAATCATAAAGGACTGCATTGTTTTCTGCATTTCATCATATAAAGATTGTGACGCAACCTCGTCCGAGCGATTCAGGTTTAATTCCGTCGTCAAATCTGTCTCTCATATAAGTTGTCTCTTTCATATCATGGAAAATTATATTTTCATTTTTGAATTATTCCTTACTTAGGAGAGCTTTGGCGGAATCGCTCGAAACACTGATGGATATTTGCAACCAATTCAACTCCAAAAGGTCTAATTCTGCTGGTAATCATTCATAATCACAGTAAATACCACTGTAACTTTGCTTTTATGAAGACAAGGAGGACATCCGAAAAGATGTTTTTGGCAAAACCCCGCGACGAGTCAGATGCAATTCTCAAGTTGACGACCTCGGTAAAAAATGAACCTAATTTTGTCATAAAAAATTATCTCTCAGACCAACTAGCGCTAGAAACGCGCCGCTCAACATTCAAACGTGCCCAAACAGAAGACAAATTTCGCCTTTGAAGATTCGCCTCTTTTATTGTTCTGAAAACCTTATTCTTCAAATATAATCCAGTTCGAAAACCAGCGTTTTCCGCTTTTGAATTTCATGCCTTCTCAATTCCTTCTTCCCGCTCATTTCATCCCACGTGGTCCAATTTGCCGGGTCATCGAGGTCAAGGTTGAAGATAACAATCAATCTGTTGATACACTCCCCCGCAGGTGTGTTCTTATTTGCCGCCGGCCAAAATTTCGAGGTGGCGCTAAATTTTTATATTTTGAACTGGCGACTCCCGCACCGAATCGGCTCATAATAGCGTCTTTTGAAAAGGAGAGAAAGAAATCGAAGAAATTGGCCCTGCGGTCGATTTAAAAAATACGGCTCTCAGCACTGACCTTTGAAGCCTTTACTGAAGAGAGAGATTAGTGGTGACGAAGACACTTTTCAACTCAGAAGAATTAGAAAATTGGATTTGTTCGACTCTCTCTAGAATAGCTAGAATTGTTTGGCAAGAAACAGAAAACTTCCTCAGTGTATTCAAAAAAGAAAAGAGAGAGAAGTGAGAAATACATGTCGGCTCTTCAGGAAAGGGATGAAAAATTGCTTCAATCAAATTTTTCTTCAAAAAATGCAAGAAAAAATTCTCATCCGTGAAAAAGTCAACCCTGACCGCTGCGATCGGAGCCGCCGCCGTCGGTTTCTGCTACTTTCAGCAAAAAACGCACGAAGAAGAAATCAACAGTCTCAACGCTACCGTCGCTTCTATCCGAAAAAAGCAAGCTGAGCAAGACGAAATCGGTAAAAAAAATACTCCTCCTTCTTTCTCCTCATTTTTCCAATTTTAGCTCAGCGAAACGGCGTAAATGCCCTTGAAGTCGAAGAATCCAAGCGTAATCATTTGAACGATGAGCTCGGCCGCTTGTCCAACACGATTTTCGGCTCCCTCGAAGAGCAGAAGGAAGAGTCGCAGAATAAGACGATCCAGTTCAATGAGCGAATTCATTCCTTGGAAGCAGCATGTGAGCAGCTAAGATACGCGATCGAAGACCACAACGAAAATAGCGAAAGAATTCGCGATCAAGGTAAAAAAAAAACGAAAAGTAGAAAATCCGAATTCTGATTCGTTTATTCTGGGCTCGGCAACCTGTGTAGAAAACCTGAGTCAGAGTCTGAAAGAACTGAAATGAAAAGCCGCGGAGCGGCTTTTTTTTTAAAACGAAGCCGCAAAGCGGCTTCGCCAGAGTTTTTTTATAGATTGAAATCGAAATATTAGCGAAGCCGCTTTGCGGCTTCGTTTTTAGAAAAGCCGCTGCGCGGCTTTTCATTTTAGCTCTTTCCGACCCTGACTCAGGCTTTCAGCGTTTTATGGAGACCCCTTTTTTAATTTCATTCCATTTTTCAGTGAACGAGGGTCAGGAAACGATCAATCTCATGAACCAAACTCTGAACGAAAACTCTCATCGAATCGACGAAGCTCAACTTCACTTCGACGAAGCGCAGGTTAAGAACGGCGAGCGTCTTCTCAAACTGGAAGAGGGCATGGCTTCGCTTGTTTCAAAGCTTTCCGAGCTGAAGACGGAGCATCAGAATTTCCAGCACGAGCAGCTTGACAGATTGCTCAAGATTGACAACGCCCAGCGCTTGACCGAGACGCAGATGCGCGACTACATCGATGACAAAGTAAGTGGATTTCAATTAATTTCCAAAGAATTTTCGTCTGAAAATTTTCCGCAAATTACCGAAAATTCAAGGTCCAGGCGGCGCGGGAAGACTACAACGAGCAACTGCACAAGTTCGGAATGCTCTACAAAAATTCCATCCAAGAGCGTAAGTTTACCATTCATTTACATTTATACTGGGACGGAGAGCGATTTACAGGCAACAAGCGGCCGCCAGCGAAAATTTTCAAAAAGAACATTCGAAAATTCGTCCTCGTTGGCGGCCCAAAAATCCTCGAAAATCTCCTCTAACCGAGCCCACCCATTTATCTCTTCACCCAAATGCATGATTGGGTCATTTATCACCATTTACAATTTCAGTCCTATCACGTGTTCCGTCATTCGAATGAACACGAACTCGCCAGTGGTGAATTTCAGTGAACGCGCGTGTTGAACTCCAGTCAAAGAGCATCGAATCCTTGGGGCAATTTGAGAATCTTGAGACGGTCTACTCCTCGACTACGCCTTCCAATCGAGATATTTTGTAAAAAAGAGCGAAAAAAGGCGAAAAGAAGAGAAACCCTCTCTTTCTTTCTCTTTCTGTGAATACATGTTAATAAATAAAATATAATATAATTATTTTTCTTCAAAGAAAACTGCCGTATGTCCAGTCTCTTTGAAAACCGTAATTGCCGGTATAAAAAAAGTCGATAATAAACGATTATTTACCCTATAAGGGAAAGGAAGCTCAATAATACAGTTGACGATTTTCAAAAAGTAGAAACCGAGAATTTTGTTTTGATAATTTTGGCAGAAAAGAATTTGACAAAGAAAGAGCTATTTTGTTGATTTAAACTTCTGTATTAACTCAGAGACTGCCATTCCGAATCTTCCGTCAGAAAAGATAAGATAAATTCCGCATCATCAGGGCCGCTCGTTACAGTCAACAGGTTCAATTTATCAATTTTAAAAACAAGTTCGAAAAAAAAATAATAATTCCTCAAATTTTCTCTTTTTGAAAAAAAACGGAAGCGCTTTGATTTGAAACAACCTTGTTGAACCCAGATTCATCGAGAGCTTATCACGGCTAGGGAGTGAAATAAAAAGCTGTGAAAATAAAATTTTTCACAAGGGACTGCGAATAAGGTCCTCTGTCCTTGAAAACGATCTTCATTTCAATTTTCAATTGTCAGAGATTTTTGAAGAAAAAGAAGGGAAGAGGAGTTTTTCTTGATGAAATTGCTGAAGAAAGAGTTTCAAACGAAGATACTTATTACAGTAGTCGTAGCTTCTTTTTCGTTTTGTAAACTCAAATATGACCCTTCTGGTTTCGCACTCGTTTGCTCGTGCTGAATTTCAACTTTGCCCTTCAATTTGCGACTGCAGAGAACTTGAAAATGGAGGACTCGAAGCTCTCTGCATCGATCAAGAGATCACCGACCTTTCCGAGCTTTCCGAGATCGCCAATGACGTCACGGAGCTCAACCTCTCCAACAACTTCATTTCCTCGCTGAACGGAGTCTCGCAGTTTTTCAAACTAGAGAGGCTTGTTCTCAGAAATAATACGATGGAGATCATTTCTGATGATTTTCGCGACATGCCGTTTTTGAAAGAAGTGGATTTTAGCTTCAATGAGCGGCTCAAATCTGTTGGAGATTTTGCTTTTTTCTCGCTTCCTTCGTTGGAGAGACTGTCTTTTGCCGATTGTAGTCGGTTGCAATGGTTTGGTCATCGATCGGTTTACGATTCTTACAGGAAAGTGGTTCAACATTCTGAAAAATTCCGATCTGGACTCAGCAACCTGTGTCCAAATCCTGACTCAGGGAGTAAAAGCACTTGAATGAAAAGCCGCATTTAGCGGCTTTCTTGAAAACTTAGCCGCAAGGCGGCTCGGCCAAAATTACCATCTGTGTCTATTTTTTAATCTGGCGAAGCCGTTTCGCGGCTCAAATTAAAAAAAGCGGCTACGCGGCTTTTCATTCGAAGTTTTTTACGCCCTGAGTCAGGTTTTGGACAGATGTTGCTAAGCCCAGATTCCGATTTGAGAGTGAAAAATTGATGACACCACTGCAAGTTTGAAAGAAATAGACTTTTCGTTCACGAAATTGCAGGCTTTGAGTCAGCATTTGACGACTTATTCGCCCAGTTTGAGATCGATTCTCTTTGACGGAGTGGAGCTAAGCTGCTCTTGCCTGAACACGTGGATGCTGGACTCTAAGTTCGTCTTTGACATTTCCGAAGAGACGGAGAGATGTTTGCGGAAAGCAAGAAAAGCTGGAAACATCTGTGGGCCGATTCTCATTCCTTCCGACGATGTTGCTGTCGAAGAAGGAGATGAGTTCGCGATCCGATGTCTCGCCATGGGAGAACCGACTGTAACGGTTCGTTTACTCGACCAAGATGAGAATGTTGTTGGATCAAGGAATGGGGCACTTTCTTCCTTTTTTGTGGTTACCATAATAGGTATTCCCTTTTAAATCATTCGATACCCCTCTTTGAAAGAGGCGAACTGCGCATCAAAAACGCCAAAAAGCAGCACGCTGGAAAGTACACCTGTCAGGCGGCAAACCAATACGATCTCATCCGGGATTCTTTTCAAGTGCGCGTCGCTGAGCCAACACCGTTTTCTTCCGAACATCTCGAGTTCACCCTCGACTCGATCGACTTTAGCTACGACAGCAACAGCGATTCCTACAGCGATTCCTACGAAGACATCCTCAGCGAAGAGCTCGATCGATCGAGCAGATATGGTGGGGTTTCCTACGAGTGGGAGACGAAAAGTTGCCCGGAAGGTTGTATATGCACAATTAATACCGTCAGCTCGCGGAAAATTGTCACGTGTGCTGGCGCGCATCTCGATAATGTCCCGCTTCCAAGGCACTGGTTGACACCTACAAAGCTTGACCTACTCCTAGACAGAATGTTATATAATGATGACATTGAATGATACTATTGACGTAAAATAACCAGGATACAGTGACATGAATGTACTCATTGCTCGTCAAAGCAACCTCGATCTCGGAAAAATGAACCTCTACCGAAACATGATTCGGAACCTCAGAATTCAGGAAAGCGAGTACCCATCGATCGACAATGAAGACTTCGACGACTTCGTCAATCTCGAGGACTTGTCAATCATCGAGGCCGGGCTGACTGAAATATCCGAAACGGCGTTCGACGACTTGGAGAAGCTCCGCTACTTGGATCTCTCTGGCAACGAGTTGGCCAGAATCCCGGTCAAGGTGTTTCAATCGCTGGAGAATCTGGAGCTTCTGTCTCTTGCGAATAACCCGCTACAGGAACAGGATGGCCAAAGCGGCAACTAAAAGAATAAAGATTCTTCGCGTTTATAAAATTTTTCACTACCAAATTTGACTACAAAAATTTCCCTGAATATTGAACCATCCTCGAAGATCATCGAATACAAATTATTTTCCCCGATGGAAAATTTAAAAACGCTGAACGTCGGAAATTGTGATCTAGACGATTTTCCGGCTTCATTAACATCCAGCTCATCGTTGTTAGGCACGGCTGGAAAATGTTAGCTTGTCTCTCTCTTTTTCCACGTGAAAATTGTTGTAAAATTACCATATTCGAACATGTCTGGAAAACGGGCTCTTTAGACGGCAAATTTAGACACTTGAAACAGCCAAAATTTTTCACCAAAAACTAGAGTTTCTTTGGCTCGACGCCAACAATTTAGTCGACGTCCCGGATTTCTCCAAACTCAAGTCCATTCGTGAAATTCGGCTGACAAAGAACCCGATCCAATACTTCAAATTCAACGACTTCCACGATCTCCCAGAACTCAACACAATCATCGCCGACGAAATGCCCTGGCTAGAGTTTGTCGAAGAAGCCGCTTTCAGAAATCTCCCGAAACTTACCGAAGTCTCCATTTCCGATTCACCAACTCTTTCATTTTTCCACCAGGTTTTTTTTCTCCTCTTCTTCGTTTTTGAATAATTGAAGAACGCGTTCGAAAATACTCCAGAGCTTCGAATTCTTTCACTGCGAAGAACAGGCTTGATTTCGCTGGGAAACTTGAATCTGCCGACAATTCATACTTTGAACATCGACAGCGTAAGAATAATACAACTCCCCCTGGCCTCGGCAACCTGTGCTGAAATCTGAGTCAGGGTCTGAAAAACTTTACTGAATAGCCGCGTAGCGGCTGTTTTGAAACGAAGCCGCGAAGCGGCTTTGCCAAAATTAGGAAAATTATTCAGTAATTTCATTACTGTATGTGTAATTATATTACTGTAATGACATTACTGTATAATCTTGTTCCTAATTTAGTCAAAGCTCTTTCGCGGCTTCGTTAAAAAAAAAGCCGCTACGCGGCTTTTCATTAAAATTTTTCAGACCCTGACTCAGGTTTTCAACACAGGTTTTGCCGAGCCCGGCTTCTCCTACTTCTAACAATTATTTTCAGAACGAGTTCTACTGCACCTGCGCTCTGGAATGGATTGAAGCCCTTAATCTCAAAACAACCGCCAAATGCCGCGCCTCAAACCAGTACCTCGTTGAATACTTCAAACAAGCTAAAAATCGGGAAGAAAAGAAATGCGAAGAACATCTTTTCTTGTCAAATAAGGTTTGAAAAGAAGGCCTAAAATCAGTTGAAAGGAGTTTTCAGGGCCACTCTGTTCGCCAAGAAGATGATACAGTCAGACTTGTTTGTTACAGTACTCTTAATTCGCCAGGTAAAGATTCTTCTCAGTCTTTTTTCGAGCAAAAGTACCTGTTTCTAATGTTTTTTGAAGTTACTTTATCTGGCGTAAATAGCAAAATCAAAGAAAAGAATATCTTCGAATTCGACGTATCAAAAGAAACCGTCGGAACGTATTACTGCCGCTCAGGTGTTTCAGAAAAAGAGGAGTCGATTAAAATAATCATGGATGGTTACCCAGGTATTTTTCTCTTTATTGTTTTGAATGACGATTATTTTCAATCAAGAATATTCGGAAGAAGAAGAAACTCCTCGGGCTTTGGAAGTAAAGACGGCAAGCGCATCTCCACTTCAAGCTGCCATTTTGGTTCTTTTTGTAATTTTTCTTCTGTAAAAAATTGTAAATAAAAACGACCTGACATGATTTTGTTGATTTCAATTTGCATGTTCAAAAATTTGACACTAAGCGCCATGTGTAAAGCTATTCCGAGGGATCGCTTAAAATTACTTAGACGTTGAAATCGAAGCATTATTAGGATCCATTTACGACGTAAACTCCGCCAGTGGGCGCTTATCAAACTCTCTTTTTAAAACGTGAAAAATACAAGTTTTCCATATCTCTTTCTTGCTTTTCTGAGCGTTTTTGAAATGGTAAGAGATTTTTTTTCGACTAAAAAATCGAAAAATCGAGAAAAGCCGCTTGCGGCTCCTCGATTTTTAAAAATCTTTTGCTGATTGATTTTTTCAATTTTTAAAATATCTTTTTAGATGAAAATATTTCTTCTTTCAACTTTTGCCGCTGAAGCAAAACTCGCCCTAAATCACGTTTCCCGAACATTGACCGGTCAGTGGATAGATGATTTTTACAGCAGTGAACACTCTCAATCGTCAAGCAGATTCAAAAGAGAAGCTTCTGTTGGAGAGAAGGGATTCAGGCCGCTAGCCGCGATGATGCTTTACATGCAGGTTAGGAGGTTTTAATCGATTCAGAGAAGAATTTTGTTTCAGGGAGAATTTCGGAGGAACAAGGATCCTCGAGATCGGGATGATTTCAACGAAATGCTCGCGGAAATCGAAGCGAAATACACCTCCTACGGCTGTTATTGCTGGATTGACGGCGTCGACGCTGGTGTCATCGGTGGAGGACGTCCTAAAGATACAATCGATCATCACTGCAAAGAACTCTACAGGTAGGCCACCATCTTTCTTCCCGAATCAACCGATTCCAGATGCTACAAATGCGTGAACAGCGATTACAACACCAACTACACCGAGATCTCCTACAGCGTCAATTTCTCCATCACCGAGCCAGAAAACGAAGGAGGAAAGATCCGGAGAAATCTGGAATGCGGCCACAACGGGAAAGAAGATGCTTCGAACATCTGCGAGTGCGATAAGCATTTTGCAATTGAAATCGCCAAAGAAGCTCGACAATGCGATAGGGGAGCTGATGACCATGAGGATTTTGGATCGAGGTGTATTGATGAACAGTACAGGTAGAGTTCGTTTTGGGCTCGTCCTGTGTAGAAAACCTGAGTCAGGACCTGAGTCAGACCCTGAGTCAGGTTTTCTACGCAGGTTGCTGAGCACAGGTCCCGATGTTTGTCTTTTTAAATAACTTTTGAAAAAAATAGGACGATCAATGGCGGAGGATCATTTGTGCCAAATGCCCAGTGCGACAAGAAAATGGCGGACATCAGTCGAGATCATTGCTGTGGAATCTACCCCGAACGGTTTGAAATTCGAATTTCCGCAAAAATGCTAAAATTGATTTAGAAAGCCATACAATAAGGACATAAAAGAGTGCTGCGAAATAACAAGAATCGACTCCAACTTGAACAACGTCACTACTTACGAGATCTTCGGCGCTGGAACTTGCGAAGATCGCGAAGGAGTAGTCGTCGAATCTATTCCCGGGGATCCTCACAGCTATATCGCGACTTTTAAGAAATCCAATTTGTAAAGATGAAAACGCGACTGTACATACATTTCTGAAAAATAAAGAAATATACTGAAAATCAAGCCCCAGAGCTGTTCTTCTTTATCAGCATTTTTATCAGCAGCAGCCCTGTTCTTCCGATCTCCCAAGAATCAAAGTTGCCAAAAGAGAAGAAATAATCAAAAAAATGAAATTTTTATTAGTCATTTTTTGCCAGATTGTTTTGGGAGACAGAGAAATAGAAATTACTTCTGATTCAAATCGTGGCTTTCTGGCGGGTCAGAGTTCATTACTGTCGATTTACGATTCCTCCGGATAGAATTTTGAGTAATGATGATGAGCACATTTATGTCGATAATGTTTTACGGCCAGTCTGCGATAGAAAATTCAAAAACGAAACTGGTAGGAAAAAATTAATCAAAAGAATCTCTTTCTGATGAATATTTGTAGCACAAGTGGTGTGCTCAAGGAGGAGATGGAAATCTACCATTTTCATATTTCCAATATATATATATTTAAATTGAAGAAAGCACACTCATCTCCGTGCAGCTTGGGCTTTCCGAAAGAACGCAGCTACATTTCTTCGGAGAAACGGACGTCGAAGGAACGAGTTGTTTCCTCATGATATCTTGAACTTTTTCGAAGCATTGGTTCTTAGCTCGACAAAGCTTGATTTTTCAAAGAGCCAAGAAACGTACCCAATTCATTTTGACTGCAAGGACCTAGGGTAGGCAAGTCCGTGCATGGGGGCCTATGTGTCCTCTGGGCCAATCAGCGGTCAGTAAGGGGGAGCGCCCCCCCTTTTCTCCAACTTTTGCCAACCCTAGGCAAGGGTGATGAAAAAAGCCTCGACGAATGCGAAACTCAAAAAGCTCGGCCTTGCGAATGCGATTTGCTAGAGCATACAACAGATGTCTTCATCGAATGCGAAGGCCAGCGGGAGAAGAAGTTCAAGTACTCATCTGGTGAGAAGGAATCATTTGTCAATTTCAATTCGTGTTTCTTCTAGCAAAACGACCTCCAGTGTTGTCTTTCATGACTTCGGAAGAATCCATCAGCGAAGGAAAGCTTCAGTAATTTAACGTCATTGAGTCGAAATCGAAAGATTTTGTAGCTGAAAACAGGCGGAGATATGATTCAACTTGTCGAGAAATATTCATCAATGTACGGAGAAAATGATTTCACTGACAGCCAACTTTCCACCGTCACTACGTCAACCGAATTTGAAAATATTCAAGAAACGACTGAAGCCGATTTCCATGAAAGTATCACGAGAGCAGCCTTCCGAGGAAAATTACTCAACAGCGAACCTTCTCGAAATTCTGGAGCATTCGAAAAGGAGCTTCTGTATATCTTCGCTGGAATGGTTTTTATCACGTTATTCGGAGTCGCCCTTTGGTTTTATGTAAAGAACTGAAGGTTAATTAAGGGAGTAGACATCGTTAACCAGATTTTAAAACGGTAGGAGGATCAATATTTGGGCTTGAACTCAATTTTAATAGAAAAATAAGGGTGTCACTATGTTAAATTTGACAAAACGCCCGGTCGAAAATCGGCTTTAACGATGTCTACCCCCTTAAATGATTTGATTAGTTTTTAATAAAGAAATTAAACAGGCCTTGATGAGTTGATTTCTTCATCTAATTACATTTGCCAAGCGCGGTCGGATATCATCCCTTTCTCTGTCGCGGGCAGATGATTGACATTCTCATTCGCCGCGGGAGATTAATGTGCCCAAGCACTCATTAAAAAAGCATTTGGGCACGAAATCCGCAATACGATTAAGCTCTAATTCGAAAAGTATAAATTCGAAGAGTAACGGGCGCGAATGTCAAATTAAGAGCATCCACGACGTCCCGGCGCGGCTGATCCCGTGATCGCCGCGGCTGGACACGTGACTTAGTGCAGCGAGCAGAAATAAGCAGCAAATGTTAGATCTAACTTAATAACTAACTTTTCTCGCACATGGAAACGAGTGTAGATAAGACGGCTTAGTTTGGAAGATGAATTTACGGGAGTTTGAAATCAAAGAAGAGTCGCAATTTTCGAACAGCGTTTTCTCCCCGTATACCCTTAGGAGTCAAAAAGATTTTATTATCAAAATGTAGCTTATGAAGAGTTCTAGAGCAAAAATGAGTTAATTTATTGACACCCTTAAGTTATCACTATAAAATCGACAAATTTAGGTCTCAAACAGTAATTTTACATAGATACCCTTAAAATTTCGAATTCGAAATTCGACGGGGGGATCCTTAAAATCGGACTTTATTTTCGTACGGATATTTTCATAAAATAAATTTGATTTCTTTTATGTTGAAATGAAAATTAAAATAAAAGAGGAAATTTGAAACGCACAGTCTGCCAGATCAAGAGCTATTTTCCGCGTCCTAGTCATGATGGTATCAAAAGTGTAGCGTAACAAAATGTGACCATCGACGCAACAAATTCCTGTGGAAGGACACATGAGGTGTAATTCTCGCACAGTGAAACCGAATCCGAAGCGCGATGAGATGAAATATAAAGTGTCGCCATTAAGTAGTTGTTTACGCTTTTTTGAGGAGTGGGGACATCTTTGTAGTGATCGTACACAAGCGTTTATTATCACTCGAAAAAGGACAAAAACGGCGAAAACAGGTGTCAACCAGATTTTCTCATTCAAGTGGCTTCATTTGATGAACATAGTCCGTCTCGTCGACGTGGTGGATCAGCGGGTCAATGCTAGAAAAAGCGCATTTTCAAAATAAAATCGCGAAAATGAATTTACCGGCGATCGCGAAATCGCTCGTCTTTTTCCTCTTCTTCCGGGATGTATTCGACGGTATCTCCTTGAACGTCCCCCGGTCGCTGAGCAAGCCAAGCTTCCGGGTCTTCAAATCGATAGTATAAAAAGGCAAGAATCAGGACTATTCCCCTGAAAATAAAAATTCTCTCTTGGAATCTCTCTAGGAACCGCAAACCTGAGCAAAATCTCGACAAGAATTCTTCCTTCATTTTTATAAGCCATTTTCAAATCTTTTCCCTCTTCACTGAAAAAGCCGACACATAAGAACCTCTCTCGTAAAACGCTAAATCTCTCTACCCTTTCTACGCCGACAGCCGAAAATGCCTCTTATTCAAAAACCAAAGAAAGGAGGAACTCTTTCGTGAGAACTTAGGTTTTGAATTTATTATGTATTTTGAACTTTTGATTAAAAACATATAAGAATGAATAAAATATAATACAGATGCTAATACAGTAATTTCCAGCTTAATTTACAGTTGAAGTTGAGTAGTCTATGAAGCTTTCAAGTTGATACAGGTGGATATTCGTTGGTTGCTTTCTTTTTTCCTGATGTTTTTCATCTTCTCATCTATGCTTTTTCGCTCTCGCCTTCGGACGGATGTTCTTCCGGACTTTCAGTTCTGGCGCGTTCTATTTCTTCAGCTACAGACCATATCCTTCTCGGCTGGACGGGTGGGTCAGTGATTCCGGAGTTTGTTGACTTTGGAGGACTTGAGCCCAGGGAACTAGTCACGGACACTGCGGGCAACTGACTTGTAACGGGTCTTAGAATCTGATTCATCAACAGCTGGTGGTAGAGATGGGTCGCTGGCGGAAGCGATGGCAAGTGGCCCGGCGCTGCTACTCCTAGAAGTCCTGGACGAAGGCCAGGTAAAGTGGGAATCGTGGGCAAAGTAGAAGGAATCGCAGCTGTAGGAGCAGACGAGAATGTTGGTGACCTTCGACGAGGGGGCGACGGACAGGATGTCTGATCGTTGTTTCGAGCGTCGGTTTCTAGACAGAGATTATTGAAGATGTAAAAACAGTAAAAATCTGAATTTGAAATTGGATAGTAATTTTTCGAGCCCGATTTTAGCTATGTTTATTCAAGTCGACTTTTATTCAAGCTTCTGTACACCATTCTTTTAACAGAAGCTTGTCAGATCTCAAATTACTTCAATTTTTAACTCCCTAATAATTAAAAACGGGGAGTCCTTTTAACCTACCTCTTGATCGTTCTAGCTCTTCGGTTTCAGCTTCTAGCTCATCAGAGCCGTTAGCTTCTCGTGGCGTTTCCCAAGTCACTCGATTTTCCTTTTTCAGCCGGCGACGAGCATTAGCAAACCAAGTGCTCACTTGGGTAAGGCTCATGCTAAAATTGAAATGTTCGGCGGAAACGACGCTGTAAGCCGCTTACCTTGAGATGATCGCAAGAGTAATTTTTTCCGCCTTGGTTGGGTAAGGATTCCGCATGTGTTCCTCCAACCATTTCTTCAACGGCGCCGTGTTTTCTCGAGTAGCGTTTTTCCGGTGTCCATTCGATGGAAATCGTCCTGCAGAGCCATACCTAGAGGCGAAACTAAGTCAAAAAGCTACGTCTAAGCTGTCATTTTTTACATTTGCTCCGTAAAACATCGACATAATTCGATGTTAACTGCACATTTTACAACTCATTTAACTCGTTTTAAAATAAAATTTGTCTGGTAAGTATTGGCTGTTTTTATTGGACTTTACGGCGATGTTTTTTGCGTTGTTATTATTTCGCTACTAATTGGCGCAGCTGTCAACTTGACGCGTTACATGGTAATTACTAGTAGCCCGTAAACAGGCTCCTCATTACCGGTGATGAGTTTAATGTGCGATCTCATTTGCTTACCGGAAAGCATAGGCTTGCATCATCCCAGTGTCTGCGAACGGCGGCTGGTTGAAGACTCCATTCGCTGCTCCTCCATCCTAAAATAAATTAATTAAAGAAGTATCACAGGATGGTGATCAGGAGATCAAGTTCTTAACCTGACGTCAATTCAAATCGACACCTGAACTTTCGCCTTGTTCTTTAGTTTCTATTAATTGTTTTCTAATTTGACCGAATTTGATACAGAGAATTTCGACGACAGTGTTTCGTTCTTTTATCAGACTAAAAGTCATAAGATCCCACTCTTTTTTAGGAGAAATACGGAAAAAATGAGTTAACGAATTGACACCCTTATTTTTTGCCTGCCAATATCCAGGCGCTGAAAAAGTTAAAATGAAAAGCCGCGCAGCGGCTTTTTTTAAAACGAAGCGGCTTCGCCAGAATTTCAACAAGATTTAAATGACTATATTTATATATTTAATTTTATATTGAGTATAGTCATCTAAATCTTGTTAAAATTCTGGCGAAGCCGCTTTGCAGCTTCGTTATAAAAAAAGCCGCTGCGCGGCTTTTCATTTTAACTTTTTCAGCGCCTGGATATTGGCAGGCAAAAAATAAGGGTGTCAATTCGTTAACTCGACTTCTCGAGTTGGTGGCCTGAAGAAAGTAGATCTTGGTCCGCGAGTTTATCCCTTTATCTGCGTCAGGCTTTGAGTTCAAAGAACTGGGGCCCATTATACCATTATAAGATGCTTTTTAGTCAAAACATACATTACTAGCGCGACGAGTTGTGCCAATAATATTTCGCACTTATTATTTCCGCTAGAGCTGCTTCCTTTTATTCTCCGACTTTGATACCTCCCTGCGTAGATAAAAGCGAGATGTTTGAAGTTGGTATTTGGTAAATAACGCGACGAGCTTTGGCTATAATTACGAAAGCGTTACTTTCTTAGACCAGAAAACCAAGAAAAAATCAACAGTGTTAAAAGCCCCTTTGAAAGAGGCTAAGCTGCTTGAGCCAGGCATCACGAGCAAGAACAACCAGAGCAAGACGAGTTTAATCCTTATTCTGATGGATGGAGGCGAGATATTTTTTTGTTAAAATCAGCGATTTACCGGGCCATAAACAGCGAAAAACGAAGAGTACGGAAGATCAACCCACTGCGTGATTCCAACGCTGACGCGAACGAAAATGATCGATCGGAATCGGCGGCCGTGTTGATCATTGATCATACATACTTTCCGACAACTTCGGAATATAAACTCATAAAACTCTGAGGAAGAGCGCGAGCATCATTCACATCAGTCGACTGCTTCCGTACCTGGTCAATCCTCTCGCAAAGAAAGGAAATCCTGATTCCTTCCTTTTATACGCGTTTTTTTTTGTCTGAGGCCATGGAGAATACCAAAAGCTTTGGTCCGAAATTGCCCGCAAAACTTGTCAAGTAGAGCCCAAAATTGTCGATTTTCCGCGCTCTGATTGGCCACTTGCGCTTTATGACTCATAAGAAATCAAATAAACCTCTATGACTCATAACGAGCAAGTGGCCAATCAGAGCGCGGAAAAACGACAATTTTGGGCTCTACTTAACAAGTTTTTCGGACAATCTTGGACCAACAATTGACTTATCCTTATTTCTTCAATAAAAATTTCTAATTTTCGCACACTTGAGTCTGAAAAAAAAGACCGCTCTGGAATAGTGGTATCGATCCTTCTTTTGATTAAAATAATAGACCGCCCGGCTGTGGCTGTGGTGTACACTTAAAGATGGCGGTACTACAACAAAGAAGCGATTTCTTACTTGAATAATTGAAATTCGCTAAATAGGTGCTTATTAATAATCGCGTGTGGTTTCATTGTGAGGTTGAGTGTTAACCAACCGGTTGCCCAAATATTATTCCGTGGTTGATCGTTCCCTGCATGTCCGACAGATTCATTCAATTTTCACGACCCCGCACCTTTATCAATCTCAACTCAAGAGTCAGCATCTTTCTCTTCAAAGATGAAAATTCCACCCGCTCCAAGCGATAAAAAATGCTGAATAATGTCTCATTTTTTTTATTAAAACGACACATTTGTAGTAAATTCCAAGCGCTGGACGTAATTTTGTCTGGGAAAAAACATTATCCGTCATTTTCTTATTTGAAAATTTTAATAAATGATGTCTCTCTAAAGCTGTATAAATTACCTATATAATTTAAATTTTATGATTATGATTACGATTTCGTCGATTTTGAAATAAACGAAGCTAATAATGGTAATGGTAATAATTACATTAACTCTCGTAAATTGAATGCGATTCGTGTTTTGGGCGACAACTTCCGACAGGATTGTCCCCGGCCGGGCTCAACTTGACGTAGACCAGCGACGATCAGCTTCTCCGGTAAAACCTGAGCTACCAAAAATGATCAATTTACTCAATCACCCAGACGATGATTCTTTTCGCTAATGACTACTATGTAAAGTCGTAAGCAAAAATTGAATTGAAAAGTACTGAAATCATGGAAGACTCAATTTTGGATTCCAAAAATGGAAAATGGAAAATGGAGAATAGAAAATCATCTCCTTGAGTTTTTGCTAATTTGGGCCAACAAGTCATAGTTTCAATTAGCAACTGTTCTCAGCAGAACAAGTCAATAATGTTCATGCAAGGCTGACAGTAACAGCCACCCGCTAATTAGTTTTGTAACTACACTCTCTGTCAGAAACAGTCAGATGCCAATACTGTATCGTTTCAAAGACTCTGTGATCGCCGCTTTATGGTCATAACAAGAGACCTGCTTGTAATTGATTGTACAATAAAAATCAATTCCCGATTCTTGAGACCGCGATTCTGACTGACAAAATTGACATTAAAAAACGAGAAGCCGCAAGCGGCTTCTCGTTTTTTAACGATAATTTTTCTCATTCAGAAAAGTTGTACTCAGAATTGAAATCAAAAATCGGTGAGAAAAAACGATGAAAAAAGTCAAGTGATTGAGTGTGCTAAATTTGTGGGAAGAGGAGTAATGTTTCGTTCTTTTTTTGTTTGTAATAGTGAAATAGGCTATTTCCGAAAGTTATTTGGTTTCAAAACGATTTGCGACAATTTGTGATTTCGTTGCTTTTGTTGATTTTGTCCTTGCTTTTTTCTATTTTACTGTACCTGTAAGGCGGCTGGAGTTGGAGCCAAAAGACCAGCGCTAGTCAGAAGTGGTGTTGGAATTGGCAGGGCGGTGCTCGTAGCTGCTTGTGCTGTCGGAGGAGGCCAGGAGGAGGTGCCGATGTATCTTTGAAGGCCTTCTAGAGGCAGGTTTATGCTTCGTTGTCTCTGGAGATTTAGCGAGGCTTGGAGAAGACGGAGAGCATTCGGATCGCCGAGAAGACCGGGAAAGCCATTTTCGAGAGAGCCTGAATTGTAGAATTGATGATAGAGTTGATTGATTGTTTGGGATTTACCTAGAGTAGGGACAGGAACTCGGATTGAAGCTGCTTCTGGAAGTTGCCGATGGGGGCTGCTCCCGAGATTGTTTTCGGAGAGGTTTCTACTCGGTGGTGTTTGGCGCAAAATTGGAGAAGGGGTTTCTTCTCGTCGTTTCGTTTGAGAAGCATTCGTTTGAGCTTCGTCTTTTTCCATGTCCTTGGCCACGAATATTGGCTGAATCTCGTTATGATTATGTATTACAAACAGGCTCTTATATAGGGTCATCTATGTTACCAAAGTGGCGCTATTCCGACTAAAATGACGGTAATAACGATGTTGTACATGTTCGACGTAATAAATGTCAGACATTTAATCTGTCTCGGAAATTTCTATTGATTTTGTACTAGAGACTTACGTTGTTGTTGATTGCAGTCATACACGAGCTGGATTCGGGCAAAAGTGAAATGACCATGAAACAATCTCTCTTTTTGTTCAGCTGGTTTGGTTCTAGCGTTTCTTGGATTCTTGGTAAGCAAGCAAGGTATTCGTGTAAACTCGACAAAAGCTTGTAGTGCGCGATTAATGTAAGGGCGTAAGCAAAGCGCGCCGCCGAATCTTAACAGCGCCACCCTCTCGTAGTATTGTCTACACAAGAATTACACCGAGAGTTAGGGCTATATTCATGCCATATTTGCATCATGCGAACTAGTGCCATCTAGCGAAGAAAATTAAGTAGCATTTCGGAGCATCTGCGTCTCCGGAAACTGATGGGAAATAAGTTCCAGCCAGCCAAATATAAACTGAAGCGCTGAATTTTCTACTGTTATTACGGTAGAAAATTGAAAGTTGAGGACAAAAATTGATGATTTTGAAAAAAAATGTCATTTTTGGGGACAAAACAAATTTATGAAAGCTCATTTTTGGAAAGCCAATAAGATTGCTGTATTTGGCCTACCGGCCAATCAAAACCCTGATTCATAAAATCACCTCCAATAATTGGTTTAACCCATTTTTTGGCGCAAAAATTATTCTGTCAGCTTTTTTTGGGTTTTGGTGATTTTTGATTGGCTGGGATGGAAATAACTCGCATCTGATTGGTTGAAATACTGGTTTTTCTTTTTTAATTTCACGAGTTTTCAGGACGAAAAAATATTTTTAAAGGAGATATATTTTTTCGAAGTTGACTTTTTTGAAATTGCCGAATGTAAAATCCATAGAATACACACATCTGTTCGAGCTGTGGATCTATCTGTCACGTGAGTTGGGTTTTGTGACATTTAGTCGTTCAATTAGGGCAACACTTTTTCACGACTAACAATAGAAAATTAACATATCGGCGGCAGGGCCCGTGACAGTGATTGTTATGCCAATAGCACTCCGTCCGTTATTTATACATCCTTTCAATCTCGAGCGAAATGAAAATGTAATTAACTCAGTGTGAAGGAAGTATTGATTTCGCCAATTTATTCCGGAGCCACTCCTCGAATGGGACATCCATCAGCGCCGCGCTGGACTCAACAAAAGCGCTCAGTGTTTATGCTTTGAATCCTCTATTAGAATTTTTCCTCAAAATCTAAACACTGCCAAGCTCAATTCAAAACAAATTATCACGCTAAACAGTAAACTATAATTAATTGAATCGACCAACCATTTCCTTTTTTCATTCAGAAAGATTTTCACTCAATAAATGCTCCGCAACCTGTGCAGAAAACCTGAGTCAGGGTTCTGAAAAGGCTCTCATAAAAGCCGCGTAGCGGCTTTTTAAAAACGAAGCCGCAAAGCGGCTTCGCCAAAATTACCATTTCAATTCACTCAATGAATGCTCGCCAACCTGTGTAGATAACCTGAGTCAGGGTTCTGAAAAATATTCAATAAAAGCCGCATAGCGGCTTTTCAAAAAACAAAACAACCCTTTCAATATATTTTTTCAATTCTTTGCGGCTTCGCTTCGGAACCCTGACTCAGGTTTTCTACACAGGTTACCGAGCATTCATTGAGTGAGGTGAAACGGTAGTTCTGGGGAAGCCGATTCGCGGCTTTTTCTTAAAAAAAAGCCGCTACGCGGCTTTCATCAAAGTTTTTTCAGAACCCTGACTAAGGTTTTCTACATAGGTTGATACAGATCTACACAAGATTCCCGACTGTAACTTACTGTAATAGTAACTGTAATTGTAGCATATTGCTTTGGACAACTGTCAACATCTTATCCCTAATTATCTCAAAACTGTGGTTATTGATTTTGCCATTAATAACTACTAGTGTTTCTGTTAAGCTCAACCTGCAGCTGGGCGCATTATTTTCCTCATTTATCCGCTCACACATTTTAGCGGTTTTGACTGGACTCAAGCTATTGGCAACGAATTAAGAAGTTCATCTGTATCTCTTTCTGATCTCGAGAGCTTTGAAACGGTAATTGTTTCCGCGGGGAATGATCAAAACCTAATAGAGAAAGCAGTTGTTTCCGCAGGAGAGCTCTGATTCCGGACGTACTCGAGTACCATAATAATACAGATAATAATCCACAAACAAAAACGACTCGTAAAATTTATCGAACCAACTTTTGAACAGTGAATACCTAAGCTCGGCAACGTATGTAGAAAGCCTGACTCAGGGCCTGGAATAGCTTTAATGAAAAGCCGCGTAGCGGCTTTTTTCAAAACGAAGCCGCAAAGCGGTTTCGCAAATCAATCACCTTCTTAATCTATTCTTTATTTTGGCAAAGCCGCTTCGCTCAACGCTCTTTCAGGTCCTGAGTCAGTTTTTGTACACAGGTTGCCGAGCCCTGTTGAACAATGAATACGATTTATTGAAGTTCTAGTCCAAAAGAGTGAATGTTGATGAAAGATTTGCCATCCAGATCGTCGACTTTTTCCCGGATAAAAGCTTTCAAATAAACTTTTTAAATTTATTTACTATTTTTATCGATCCTGAGAATCATCAGCAATATCACTTTTTTGGATTTAACAAAATTAAAAATAATATTAATTCTCTGATTAATTCCATTATTTAAAAATCCTTTCTGAAAATCGTAAGTCCTCCATCTTGGCTCCTGAAATTCACCGCCTCTTCATTCCCATCTGGCAAAGTAATATCGGTAAAAGACTCGGAAGAGACTTGAAGACATTCGGAAAAAACTTGTTCAGTGCTCATCATCCCCGTTTTTATCCCCGGATCCTCCCAAGCTGTTTTCTTCTTTCGATCTCGCTTCCATTTCGCTCGGCGATTCTTGATTTTTAAGGATTTTCTTTATATATTTTCTTTACTTGGAACCAAACTTGAATCCTGCTTTCCGGGAGATCGAGGCTGGAAGAAATCACTTCTCGTAGAAAAATATCTAAATCAAACTACCGTTTATCCGACTGTTATTCGCATACCAGGATAATGTGTTCGGGAAAAGTATTCTTCCAGGCTCTAAAATGAGAAGTAGACTTGTGCAAATATTGAGATCAAGGAAGAAAACCTTTATTTGTGCATTCGTAAAGCGAGTTCTCGATCTTTTATTTTTCTCTTCCATTTTCCTTTTTCTTATTTTTTCCTTCAAAAGTTCACGCTCGACATTTCACACTGCTTATAAGCTTTCCTCCTTGTAATCAATTTTCATATTCTCTTAGAACTTTTGCACCTGGGGAAAATGCACAACGAATGGACCTGTCTTCTGCTCTTGATAAATTTTCGAGGAAAAAAGGTTGAAGTAAATAATTTATTTTGGAATGTGCCATTTTCAAATGTACAAGGTTCTGCATATTTTCAGAAAAGAAGGTGGAAGCACTTGTTTCGGAATTTCACAGGTTTTTGGGCGCCAAAGTGGACATGAATGAAGATGGATACCAGGGCGAGTACAGCAGATTCGCATTCGTCTGAGCAGAAAAGTCAGGAAGTGGTACCGCGGGCATCTGTGGAATTGACATTTGTGAAGGGAAGTAGGACATGGCTCCGACAAAGCTGGCAGGATTTGGCTGAGAGACGCCTGGCGGAGTGGAAACTGGTGGAGAGAGTTGTCGTCTTCCGTCGAGTTCCACGACTGGTGGTCCGTTCGAAAGGTCTTCAGACTGATCCAGATTAAGAATAGATCGGATCGAGTGCTTGTGCCCAGTGCTCACTGCTTTTGGCTTGACATTTGGCAGCGCGACGTTTGGAGGAGTGACGCCCGAGTCGAGATTGTAGACATTGACTTTCCGCGCCGTCTTCTTCAATTCTTGTTTGCACTTTTTGATTTCGCTTTGCTCCTGGAGCTCTTTTTCTTCTTCCGGCGAGCGTTTTCGTTTCAGAGTGGGCTTGCTCCTTGGTCGATGTTCCACCACGCCGGTAGGAGAATCGGCTCGCTCGCTGCTGCTCGAGGATGAAACTTTGTCTTCTTCGTTTTGTTTTGCTTCCTGTACCGGCGAGTTCCGGAGCATGTCGGCGGGGGAGAGGGGAAACGATGGGCTCAGACGTTTGGGGCTGAATTCGGAAAAACTCGAGCTTGGGGAGGATGACAACGAGCCAGAAGTAGAGTTGGCGTAGGAAAAGTTATTGCTAGGCATGGGCATCATAAAGCCGGATGTCTGAGAAGCCGGATGTTGAGCCTGAATTTGAGCATGTTGCTGTTGCTGTCTGTAAGCATGAGCCAGGGCGAAGGGGTTTAGCAGCGGGTTAGCGAATGGAGGAAGATCCGGTTGGCCTTTGAAATCGAGCGCTGGATTCGGAGAAGAGATGTCCTGCAAGATGACGTTTTCGAAGATGGTCATGGGATTACTGGGGTCGTGAGGGACGCCAGGCTTAGGAGTTCCGCTGAAGAAATCGTACACTTGGCGAAGATCCGCCACATAAGTCTTTCCTTCAGGAGCTTGGTACGCCACGGAGGTATTTTGCCGTTTATACATTTCTCCAGAAATAGCCTCGACGGCGACGGTCCAGAAGTTGCCCTTGCCGTTCGGTTTCGATGGATCGCGAAGGATTTGGCGAAAGCAGTCGTTTTGCGTGAGATTGTGGCGGACAGAGTCTTTCCAGCCGCGATAATCGCCCTAAAATTTGACTTTGAAATAATGGTTCCGGCGCGAAGGTTTATTGGAGATGCGATTTTATAGCGAGCGGCGAATTAGCTTTGCGACCACTTTCTTGGCAATTTTATGCAGGTCAAATTGAATGCTACTAATTACTTTCACTTTCTCACAAAAAGGGGGATGAGAAAGGGAGGGCCCTTGTGTATTTATGTTTTTGGTCTGAAGCATTCGAGAATATCTAGTTTAATCCCAGGCGTAATGAGCTTAGTGCTTGTTCTGCTGTAGTTTATTTTCATTTCTAACCTAGTACTGCTCCAGTGGCGCTTGGTGGTGCTCACAGGTGTTGAACAGTGCTAGTACTAAAGCTCGAGTTAGTCAAGCTCGAATAACAGTACCTTCAAGCCGGAAAATTCCGCTAAATCTCCGGCTTTCTAGGTCAAGGAAGGGGGCAAAATAAAATCTTATCAAATCAGGTCAAGGGGATTTTTATCTCTATTTGTCATAATAATTTCACCACGGGCAGGAGATCTACCTCTTGTAGAAGGATGTTCAACTTCGATTCTGAAGCCCTCTTGACCAGATGACATCACTTAGAAACTAGGGCCTAGTTACTAGGCCCCGATAATGGATTTTCTATTTTTCGCCGTATGTTGAGGAAATTTTTTTCTTACCTGAAAAAAGGGGAACATTTGCTCGATGTTCTTCAGAATTTCCCGGAGTCGAAGTTTTTTCGAAGGAGAAGATTGGATGCAGATGGCGACGAGGGCGACGTAGCTGTATGGAGGTTTTCCTCGGCGCTGATATCTGAAAAGATGTTTTTACAGGCTTTGTCGGAAATGGGTTAACCATAGGGCCCTAGAGGCCCCTTGAGCCCTTGAGATAGCCCGAGCACACGGGTCAACTCTTTCTTCCGTCCGCTGATTTCTGGGTGTCTATACAAAGTAGCCTGCTTTGATCTCCCCGCCGCCTGGAGCCGAAAAAAGGCTCAAGGAGGATCCTCTCTTGTGTCTCGAACCCCTATTCATTATAAACATAATCCCTTAATAGTCCTTGAGAAGGACCAAACTGCCGCCTCGACTTTTCCGCATGAGAGACCTGTGGATCGATACATTGCTCGGTATGGGGTCTGACAAATTATGGGCCAACCCCATAAGCGCCCTAAATAGCCTATACATAGACCGTTTTATCGTAATTACTTCCGACCCTGATCGATATTCGGAAATTCGGAAAAGCTCAAAATACTCTGATTGACAATCAGATCGTGATTTACGAGCTTTTCCGATCGGATCGACCGTCCTAAATTGTACTATCAACAAACTTTCAAGAAAACTAGGCTAAAAAATACTGATAAGAAAAAAGAGAGCTTATTATTTTTATTGCTCAAGTTGAAAGGGATGAATTGAGGCTGATCATGGCGGGAGGTAACGCCAGATCCTGCGGGCTTTTATGTTTCTTTTTTGGAACAATTGTGCAAAGCAAACGCCTTTTCAATCTTTCCAACCCCGGAACTGCTGGACGAGGCTGAGCAAACTTTAAAGTTTTTAAGTGTTCTATGCATTATTGAAAATTGTGGACGAACAAGTGAGCGGAAAGTTTTTCACTTCCGGAAATTATTCGGACAAAAAAGAAGCCTTTCCTTAGTAGGCTACTATATTTGAAAATTTTTTGAAATCAACGAGGACTCATCCAAAAATTCTTATTCGAAAAATGCTACTGAGGCTTTGACTGTACTTACTTTCGTTTGCCTTTGGTTTTTTCTGGCTCCATGTCGAGTTTCTGAGGAGTTTGGTTTTCTAGCATCATCATTGGTATGATAGTCTCTGTTTTAGCGCTGTTCTTGTCTCTAGCTTTGGCGTTGAAAATAATTGGTATTGGGTGTTTTATGTATTTGGGGATGATTTCGTTTCTGTTTGAGTCGTGTCCTTGCCGAGGTACTTTTTGAGCAAAATATTTCTCAGAGCGATGGCGCGCGAGTGCCCGAGCTCCGAATGGCCACCCGTTGGCTCAGCGCCAGCTGATGCCCATCGGACCAGCTCCAGCCTGGACTGCATGTAGGTGATTATGGAGGAGGTGCATTGGATGGCGATCCTGCAGGTGCGAGGCAATATAAAAGCAATCGGAAATTATGATGTGCTCGATTGATAAGGGGGCAAGTGACAGGTTCACCAGCTAGAATTATTTTGCTTCTCAGTTTGGGCATCTCAAAGTTCATTTTTGTCGGAAACTGTAAGCACGTGCGTATCTATAGATTTCAATTAAAAGCATTCAAGTTTCCTTTGAGGAAAACGACATCACTGGTAGCAGAATTTATGATTCGAGCAGTCAGAGGAGACGGATTAAACTGATCTGTCTGCCTAATAACGAGATTATTTCCCTTTACGGAAACTTAACTTATTCCATAGATGATATATCTGCTCTTTTCAAGATTCAGCAGTTCAGGATCTTCCTGAAATCATGGACTAATTTGGCCGATTAGGGCAGTTAACGAAAAACCCATGAAATGCAAGTTTTAGTGGCGATTTCAAGTCGCTATAATTTTGTGTTTATTGGTAAGTGTATTTGGTCGCTGGAGCAAAAAGATGCCTCTTGATAATGAAGTTGGGTAAAAACGCGTTTTTAGCGTAAAATCGAGCTGGCTTTGATCCCCTTGGCGAGTTATTCTGACCTCGATAGCGGGCCGCTGGGAACTCTTTGCTCAAAGTTGGTTGTTTACATCCGACCAGAGGGGCAGAATAATAAATACTGTTTGGCTGAATAACAGTACCGACGACTGTATCAAGCAGGGGCATCATCAGCTGGCAAGCAAGATTGACATACTTTTAGAAGGTCATTTTGAAACTTTCATCAAACAGCTTTTTTTCGCAAAAATTGTAATAGAAACTTGGATTACTAAAAAAGAGGAGAGAGATTCAAAAACATGAAACTCAAGGGCCCAGAAAACGAGAGCAAGGGCTTTTTTTGAATTGATTAACGGGTCAATCGGCCATTTTTTCCGAGGCCACTTGAGTTGAGCAAGACGAGATTTAACCCTCTCGAGCATGTTCAACAAGCCAAAGTCCTCTTTTCCAACTTTTCACAAAAGGGAGACTCCATCAGAGCAAATTCAGTAATCAGTCAAGGTAATTAGAGTTTCCCTTCTGATTTACTGTATATTGATCATTTCTGTTTACCTGTAGCTGTGACAAATTGCCACTGTCTCCCAGGTCCCCCTTTTCTGAGGAAATTGCAATTTGGATTCAACTTTACTTCCTGTCTCACACTTAACCGTAGCGAATTAGCGAAAATTGCTCCCACTGAGCATCAAAGGGAGCATTTTTTATAATTGCAAATTTGAATTTTACGAAAATGAGTTTGTGGATCTGTCAAACAAAGCGCAGTTGAGTCGTAATCGTAATAATCGGCTCTGAAAGGAGAAGAGCAGGCGGCAAGTTGAAAGGCGACTGATGCGCGATCAATTACGACTGACAAATTATTTCGGGACCGCTCTTCTGTTTCCGTTTTTAGGACAAACACTAGACCGTACCGAGAGGATTCACTTGAGAGAATAGCAAACAATACCGCTAAATATGGTACATTTCCCTGCGATTATGATGAGCTACGGTACTTTCAAACGGATGACAACGAGGAGACTCGATAAAAACTGACAGGACTCCTAAAATTTCGTCCCTTTTTGTCTCATTTGGCGAAAAGACTTGCTGTAACCAGGATTCGAACCTGGGTTGTCACGGCCACAACGTGAAGTACTAACCACTATACGATTACAGCTTGTAAGACTTCCGTATCAACACCCTTTCAAAATCAACCTCTTGGGTTTCCTGTCATTTGTTTCAAATAGCTGTTAATGCGGATGTCTTCCAAGCTGTAATCGTATAGTGGTTAGTACTTCACGTTGTGGCCGTGACAACCCAGGTTCGAATCCTGGTTACAGCAAATCTTTTTTGTTTTTCCGGACAAAAGGGATGAACTTTCGGAGCACCGGTCATTCTTGCCTTTGTTTTGCCCCTGCGGTTATCCTAAAAGCCTGCAAAAGAATGAAAAGATTGAGAAATGATGATTTAGTCAATCAACATTTTTGAGCATCTCGGTGGTCTTCAGTTCGAAAAGTTTATTGAGTCCAAATTTCATGAAGTCTTTCGAGTTCTGTCCCGCTCAAGCTCGCCCGAGCCTTGGACATGACAATTCCAAGTTTTTCAAGTTTCTCCTTTTTCGTCAATCGCAAAAGCTCGACCCAGCATTCCGCTACATTGTTCATCGAGCAACACTTTTCCGCGAAGATGAATTTGTTCAAATCCGTCCCTTCCAAAAGCCCTGAAAGCTCATATCAAAACCAGCTCAAGAATCAGCAAATTTCTTACGTAATCCTTGTCTCATGAATTGAACATTGACGGGCGCAGTTGAAGACAATTGAAAAGCGAGTTTTCCGACCGTTTTCGAGTTCTGCTCTTCTTTCAGCTCCAAAACCTACATTTGCCTTCCGCACACTTGCTCGACAGCCAGTACAATCGAGATTCATCCTCTCCCGCCCATTCTAGCGCCAAGTCCACGGTCCGTTTCAACACCTCCTTCGAGTCCGCTTTGAACAATTTTTCCAATGAATCTTGCGCCGCAGCTCGCTCCAAACCGCATTGAATATTTGCCAGTAGAAGTCGTTCATAATCATCAGTCGGGTTTTCAGTGCATATTTTGTCCTGGAAAGCTTCTGCCAACAGATGCGAACCTTGCTTGTTTAGGAAGTTGACTAGCACACCCCTTCTTAGCTCTTTTTAATTGGCTCTCCTTCCAGCGCTTCTTTGATCCTCAAAAGATGTTACCATCAAACTAGAAACTTCTATTGAGTTACCTCCCGATACATTCATCAATTCCGTCGAGTTGTTGCTCTGTCAAGAAAATTGCGAAATGATACTTCAAGGATAAACTGCCTGAGAACTTTTCAACATTAGTTTTGAACAGTTTTCTTGCAGCTTCAACCCTCCAGTTGTGAATTCCACCATGTACTTTGTCTGGTAAACCGTCGCCTCAGCTAGAACATCTGGTAAAAAAGCAACAGTACAGCTACTAACCTGTTTCGAACTCCATCAAAAGCACGACGAGTTTCTTGACCAACACTTCGATGGGATCCTTCATCTGTTTCGCGCACTTCAGCATTTCAAAATCAATCTCGGGTTCTCTGGAAACTTCTTTTTCGCCAGTTCTGCAATTTTCATCGCCGCAGCGCCCATGCTCAAATCCTTGTCGCTTTCGTTTTCTTCCGGCAATTTCCCGCCAAGGACTTCCAATCGTTTTCTCAGCTGCGCTGCGTTTATCAGCTCTACTCGAAAAAGCTACAGTCAGTTTTTATTGAAACTCCTAAAGGAATCGTTAAAAGTTTGGCATTTGAAACTGTTCCTGATCCCAAATTAGCGGTTCTTTGGGAAGCTGCATTTCCGCGCGCAACAAAATCTTCCTCGCCTGTTCTATTGATCCGTTTCTTTCGACTTGAAATCGAGCAGACTGCAGCCATCCTAGAAATAGTCCATTACAGTCTTTCTCTGGAGAGATAAGCTACCATGAACATTATGAGGGTGCATGGCAACAAATTCTTCGTAAAGTTTTGAGAGTTGAGTCCTCTTGTTCCATTTGGCGAGAAGATTTATGTGGGTCTGCCAGAGGTTCATATCTTGCGGCCAGAGACGATGAGCTCGCTTGAGCAGTCGATTGAGACGTTCGACAATTGGGTATTCGATCTCAGCGAGCTTTTCTTTGTACTGCGTTTTGTGGCGCCTCATTGTGATCAGCTTGATGATCATTGTATCCATATGAACTTTAGGAAGGGATAGAAAATTCTTATATTTTCATCAAGAAATCTTGGTTTTATCCCTTTCCGAAATCAATGAAATCGCGAAGTTCTGCCTCTCGTTTAATCAATTTGCCTTCTGCTTTCTTGCGTTTCATAACAATATCTTTGACCTCCTCTTCATTCAGCAGTTCACAATGAATAGCTGCTCGAAAGGTAGGCAAGAGTTTTTCGATTTCTTGATCAACAAGTTCCATTTTCTAATTTTAAATTCTGAATGGAAATAAGTTTATTTGGAGCATTTTTTGTTGACAAATGGTGGGTGGATTTTCCTAGAATTCAGATAATCAACGGGCAGTTACGGAGAGGACAAGTAAGAAAGAAAAGAACGACTAAGTTGGGGTGATGACTCAATCGGAAAACTGAACTTTCTAGGCAATAAAACTATATCTTTTACAGGTGATATTCGAGCTCATATCGAATGTACTGGTTGTTTTCATCGTCAGGAACTCGTGGCATCGCAGGAACAAGCGCATCCTGAAAAAATTCAAAGATGAGTCCTTGTTGTCTCCAGGAGTGAAGAGATTTCTTACCTGGGCGCCAAGATAAAGGTTGTTATAAATTCGCCAATAAGCTTCTCTTACTCTTCGAGCTGGATGGAACAATCCCTATAGAATTTGTAGAGAAAAGGCTTGACAATGCCTCTTACCTGAAGTGCATACTGCAGCACACGAATAGGCCCTAAAGATATCCGCATTCCTTCAAGACAAGCGTGAACAGCTTGGCAAACGTGAGGCGAGTTTTCAAAGATGTTCGGCCAAATGTAGTTGAGAAGATGGTTCAACGCGTCTTCGCAGCCAAAGCCAGCTACACCGATCGTCATGTGACTGATTGCAGCTGTAGCAATCTGAAAAAATAGTGAGAAGAGCTGTTATCGAAGGAAGATCGTACCTGTCTGTGGACAAGATCTCGTTCTTGAAGGGCGTCTTCGAAAAGAGGAGTGACCGCGTAGATGTAATCTTTTCCCATCTCACCGATGTACTCAAACAAGAAGGAAAGAGCTTTCAAGACACCATTTTGAACGTTCAATTCTGGCACTCTGTACTCATTCATCAAACCGGGAAGAACCTGAATCAGCCTTGAGTCTCTAGCAATCTCTAGTCAAATACCGTGAATGGAGAACAAGTTTCCGCGACGATAGCGATCGCAATCGTCGTACAGACACGAAGCTGTCGCTCTTGGACCTTCAAGTTGTTCAGCAAAGTCGCCAAGACATCATGAGGACCGATAGCTTTGGCGATGTAACCAAAGGTGTTTACAGTCGCTCGCCGAATTGATTTCTGAATAATGAATAAAGAGCCATGTAAAATATTCACGAGGTTACTTTGTGGGCTTTAAGAAGATCCAAAAGTTCAAAGCAAATTCGCATCCATTCACGAGCGGAGACATATTCAGCACCTCTATCAGCAATTCTACCGACTAAATCGATACAGTTCTCTTGCACCTTTTCGTGTCTGTTTTTCAGGATTGGCGTCAGTCGTGGGAGCAAATCTTTGATTGGAGGTGTCATTTTGTGCATTCCAATAACATTCACAATTGCCTATTGAGAACAAGAGTTTAGATCACAATTTTCAATCTACTGTGCTTACCTTTAGCGCTCCTAAAATAGACCCGAGAACTTCTGGGTATTCTTCTCCAAGATATTCGTACAAAACTTGACCCAAGTGACCCATGAGCTTTTCTTCCTGGCATAATTTCATCACATTAGCGACCTTGGAAATCAAATCTGCAGCTTGCTGTCGAACTTTGGCAGCCTTGTTGTTCAGTCTCCACAAAACAGTACCACAAATTTGGGGCAAATAAGGCTAAAAAACATGATTAATTCTACCTCAGAGACGCGAATAGATGGTACCTTGACTCGTTTTCCTAGCGAGTTCACCACAGCTCCAAAGCCTCCCAACATGGTGGCATCTTCGGTCGTTTGTTCCTGGAAAGCATAAAGAATTCCATCAATAAGCTGCTCTTCTAGCCGTGAATCGACATCTGCCGATCCCATTTCTTGCATGATTTCTTGAACGGTTTCCATCACCATCTTTCTGTATTGTTCATTTTCATCCTTGAGGTCATCGACGATCCTGTGTAGAATTTCAACAGATCCGACTTTCTTTGCGATTTCAACTGTTGTCTCGACACATTGTCTGTAGTTTCTTCTATCTAGCGCCATTCGATGATTCCAGAAAGCTTTGAAAAATGGTGGAAGAATGTCTTCCTTGATATAAATCGCGTCGACACCATCAGTAGCGCAGCATTGCTTGACAACCTTCAGCACGATCTTTTTCATCTCTTCGTCGGGCGAGGAGAACTCTCTGATCAAAATCAACATGACTTCTCTAGTGTAGTAGTTCGCGTATTCAGCGTCCATCAACGGGATAACATAACCGATGGCTTTCAAAAACGCAGCGAGACCCTTGCCTCTGTGAGTTCTGATACCCTTCCATAATGGTTTGAGGACAGGATCGAACGATTCAATACCATACGGGTGAGCAGCTTCGGCTAAACCAGCGATGGCAAGAGCAGTGATTGTTCTTACTTTCTGCTGCTCGTCTTCAAGGCCGTTTTCGATGATTTCGACCATGTTCTTCAAATGCGGGAGGATACCGCAACCCATCGAGATGGCAATTTGCTGGACAATCTTGATACCAGTGTGACGCGCTTGCCACGATTTCTTCGATCGGCAGACGGCCTTCAAGAACGGAAGAAGAGATGGAATACCCAGCGCAGTAGCTACGACAGCAAAAGCTCGAGCAGTTGTATTTCGCACGTACTCGTCTATGTTATCAATATCAGGACGCATGGTGGAGATCATCGTTGCCAAACCAGCGGCCTTGGCAAGATTGGAAATAATCTCACGACCTTCAACTCGAGCGTAGTAATCCTCATCGATCAAGAGCGGCTCGATGACGACAAGAATCTTGTGCACATACGGCCTCACGAGATCATCGAGCTTGTACAAGATTCGATCGATGACTTTGACCAACAAATGACGTTCTTGGTCTTCCAAACTCGGGCTCATCAGAAGTGGCAAGATTTGATTCAACAGAGGTCCGGCGCCAAATTCACGCGCACGGTCAGTAATTTGACGCAATGCGGATTTTCTCATCGGAGGAGTTCCATTCTTAATCTTCAGCAAGAGCTTCATAATTCGACGCTCCTTGGCTTCTTCAGTGGTCAACGCGTTTTCATCAACATCGATCAGGAGCTTATCGAAGTATTGCATGTCATCGGGCTTCAACATCGGCAGTTCAGCATCCGGTGTCACAAGTTCTTGACCCTTCATCTTTGTCGACATCGTCTGCTCTTCCTGAATGAAGAAACCGGAGTTGGCTCCAGCCATTGGAGTCGGTGTAGCCGTAATTTTTCGCGATGGAGTTCTAACGGGCTGATAACCAGCTGGTGGATCCAAGACTTTGTATCCAGGAGGAAGCATCGCGTCAATCTCCTCATCAGTAAGTGGCTTATTTCGCTCGTCAATCTCAACCGCCCAGTCGTGAGCAAGTTGCGCTTGAGAGGAAAATCGTTTGGTTCCAGGAGCAGGGGTCTGCATTCCCATCGCTTTCGCGCCGACAGGAGTGCTTCCACCGGGAGTCATACCGCCAGGCGTCATCCCACCGGGTGTTTCGCCGCCGTGTTGAGGTGTCATCATACCTTTCCCCATTGGGGTCATTCCTCCAGGTGTTTCGCCACCATTCATGGGCGTCATTCCTCCAGGAGTCATTCCACCCGGGGTCATGCTCGGTGTCTCGCCAACCTTCGGTGTCATATCCCATCGGCTCTTCTTTACGCGAACACTAGCCCCTGGTTCTTCTGCTCCACCTCGATCAACTCGGGGCGTAGTTCCCCAAGAAGCAGTTCCGGGTGTTTCTGAGCCAAGTCCTCCTTGATCCCATCGATTTCTCTTGCTTCCAGGAGTCTGCGAAGGAGTAGCAGCACCAGCAGCGACATGAGCAGGTGTAGCATCCCATATCTTCGGTGTAGCATTTACATTTGGCGTTGCGTCGCCCATTGGTCGTCCGGGGGTCTCTTCCCATCCTGTTGGTGCTCGAGGAGTCGCTGCAGAGATCGATCCAACTCCACCAAGATTCAATTTGCCCTTTGGAGTCGCGGCTGCTTCCTCAGCTGGAGCAGACAAATCAAGTCGTTTCTTCGGCGCGTGCTTTACTGGAGCGCCAAAATCGCTTGCTTGAGCTTCTCCGCTGTCGATTTTCCTGTTGATGTCTCGCTTCATCTGTGTCAGTTCTTGAGTAACGTTCTGTTGCTTCATGATTGAGGCGAATGAGCTGCTTCGCGCATCGGGAGTTTTTCCTCCTAAAATAGTGAATGAGAAATTGAAAAGGTAAGAAAATCAGGGCGACATCGTTTTCCAGTTGAGTTCGGCGCTGATTGTAACTGACGTAACTGTAATTGACTTGGAGGAACCTGAACGCGTCCTATACAACGACCGGTTGCGATCATGGCGATTCCTGCTCATGATATAAACCTGGCCATGTTGTAGATGGGTTGACTAAAGTGGCGGAGAGGGGAGTTAAAGGGTGATCGTTGATAAACGTACTTATGCAACTTGACTCTCAAACGAGCCGCAAATGATCAAGGCCATCGATCTCTCTTTGTGGCTAGAAATAGGGGTAAATTGAGGGAGAAGGGTTCACGAAAAGAGGGTGAACGTTAAGTCCTCGCGTCGTCCAGTCGAAGGTTATTTTGGACTGATGCTTTTCCCTAAATTGTCTCGAGATTGAGAATAAGTATGTTCCTTTCAATAGCAAATTCACGCATTTTTACCCGTGGTCTTCTGAATTTTACGAATTCACAAGGCCTCGGCTTACCGTTTTTATGACGTAAATAGAGAAAAAGGGGGAGAGGGGATTTTCGACTTACCATCTGCAAACGGATCCGAGCGCTCTGGCGAGATCTGTCGGTGGAGTCGTTTCTGCTGGTATTCGTTTTGTCGCGACGCGATTGAGCGATCTTTGCGAGTTTCAGCGAAGGGGTCGTGATTGTCGTCTTCTTCGCCGCGGAACTTGTCGATCATCGCGCGCGAGGCGTTGACTTGTCTTTTCAGTCGTTCGTTACAAGGTCAAACTAACTTTCATGAGGTCAAAGAATGATCGAACGGTTCCTGACGCCAAGTTTGGGCATCGCGGTGGTGTCCATTTCATCGTCGTCTTCCTCCAAATCGCCACCGGCGGCGATGGAAGCAACATAGCCGCCGGAACTCTTCAGTGCTGAGCCTCCAAGGAGATCTGTATCATAAACTGGCCCACCGCCAAGCTTGATTCTATCTCCATTTGATTCTTCAGACATTCTTTCAACGCAAAAATTAGCACTCTTTTTAGCAGTGAGACATGTTTAAAAGTTGTTGAAAGAAAAACAAAATAGAAGGAAAAAGGACAGTTTTCAGCAAAACGTAACCGGTAAAAGGAAAGAGAGAGAGAGGCAGTGCTTGACATTGTTTTCAATATCAATTAGTTTCCATTGGTTTTGCAGCTTCCTAAGAAGATAAAGTTATTTCGGTAGAAAAACTCGCGTGACAACCGTAGTGGACTTTTCAGGAGATGATTTCTGAGCGTTTCCATCTGCGGGAGGATTGTCGTTCCCGGAAGTTGTCTCGTCTTTCGTCCCAGTTCCAGCTAAAGTCGCTGCTTTTTCCGCCATCTGCTGCTTTAGAATGGCTTTAAGAGGAGATGTCTTTTCCTTCTCCTGCTCTTCGGACTACAATTTTTTATACAGCATATCGTCTGGGAAATAGCTAAGCTGCTACCTCGGAAACTTTCTTGGGCACCCATCTGTAGACGCGTAATCCGCCGTCACCAAGAACCACCCACTTTTTCTCCCATTTTCGGACTTTTTCAAGTTGCTTTTTGACCCGTTTGATTTCCTCTTTGACCAGATTTCTAGTGCCTGCACGGGTAGTGCGAAGAGTCATCTTTCTAAGAAGAAAATGGATGAATCTTGGAATGAATCTTAGAATCTGTGAAATCTTGACATGACATCATGGCAAGCTGGAAAAATGAGTGGAACTAGTAACGAGTAGAGCAATGAAGAGAGGGAAAAGAGCTTTTCGTTTTTACAGCAGAATCAAACAATCAAATCAAATTTTAAATGAAAAAGAAATAATTACAAAAAGTGGTAACAGAGAATTTTTATTCACTTGGTGTTATTGTTATTATCAGAACTGGAATTAATTTGAAGTGATTCGTAGGATGGTGGGAGGTCTATTTCTTGCGTGTATTTCGGAACATACGATACAGACACTTCTTCGTATGCAGGTGGTGAGTCGCGGGCTGCCAGGAGCCGAAGGTTCGTTCGATTGGCACGGCGTATTAGTGAGAAAAAGCCAAATACGGATGAGAGCATGTTCAGCAAGAAGAGAAGACAGCCAGCGAATGAATGGACGAGAAAAATCATCGATGTTTTGCGCCTTTCCGCCTCAAGAACATCCCCCTAAATGAGAAATAAGCTTTCTGGATTTCTGATTGGAAGGAGAGCGTTTTTGAATGCTCTGATTGGTCGAGATCATTTCTAGTGAAATTTTCAGCGCTCTTACCAAATCAGCACCGTCAGAATAGCCAGCTGGGCTTGAGAAACTGGGGCAAATAGTTGTACCGAAAATAGGTAGACAAAGAGCCGCGATTGAAGCCAAAAAGGAGCCGATACTGTGCATCAGGCTCAGGAGATACACTTTGTAGTCGTACACAACCAGGCTTGAATGAAGAGGTAATGAATAAGGAGGATCTTTGGTGCGCTTACCCAGTGGTTGGATCGAGTTTGAAGATCTGCTTGTTTGAGTAGGCAAGATTGAGGCCTGTGAGGGCAAAGATGAGGGATGGCAAGGGAAGGGCGATGGAAAAGTCGAGGAAGTCGTCAGTTTGCTGACACTTGACCTGGCCCAGGACATCGGCGAAAAGCAAGTGCAAAAAGTAAACTAAAATTTTCAAAACTTTCAACCTCTCAGCCCTCTCTCTTACGCGAAAAAACGATGCAAATGAGACAGCAGCAAACAATAACTTCTCTCGACCGGTAAAGCATCAGCTCTGGTGCTTGGTAGTGTGCTCAAATCATTCTAAAATCTCCTCGAGCTCAACTTGCGCTTTCTTCTTCAATTAAGTATTCTGTGAGCATCAATAAGTAATCACACGTTCAAACTTCATGAAATTTAAATTAAAATAGTCTAAAGGAGGCAAATTGGATTGCTCTCTAAAGTGATTGAACTTGGCAAGAAATAAATGTATACTATTCGTTTTTACTTTCCCTCGTTCGTGGATAATCGGGGTAGATCTTCGAGAAAAGATCAGTTTTGCCTTCGATGGAGTCAACAAAGATCAAGATACGAGGTAGCTCTTGACGTACTTGAAGATTTAAAATTCAGTATTCACTAGTCGAACTATGCTCGGAAACATTTTCAATGAAAACTTCTGCTACAGTACTGTAGGTAAATATTTGAAGACTCTGGCTTTGGGAGGCTCGTACGGGACAAGAGTTGATAAGAACTCGTCGACTTGATCAGGCCGAAGTTCCTTCAGTCGATCCAAATGAACTTTCTCTACTTCAAGTCGCATTTTGTAAATAATTTCTTGGAGATGATCCGTGACCGCAATTATTTGATCCAGTTCGTCCGCGTATTTTTGCTTAAGCTCTTCTACGAAGGCGGTTAAATCTAATGGCTCGCCGACAATGATCGTGATTGGGTTGTCAGTCGACCATTTGTATCGATTCGGACCCCAAGGAGGATATACTTTGTCCATGCCAATATGCGCCATTGGCAGGAGCGTTGGCACTAAACAGAGATAATGATAAATGGAGCGATGAAATATTCAAAACAGCGCACCTTTGGGGTAGTTCTCAATCACCATTCGCCCGATGCCCATGTAAAATCGCAGCCACTCGTGATGCTTATTGACCTGGCCTTCTGGATAGATGTGAACCCACTCGTCTCTCCTCAACCGCTCAATGGCGAAATCAATCGCATCTTGATAGACGCCCGTTCCATGCGTCACTGGGAGCGTTTTCCCGGCGGTGAAGAACCACGTCAAAAACTTTGTCTTCCAGGGCTCGTCGAGGAACTTGTGAAAACAAATGTCCGCCGACCCCATCACCCAGCGATGCTACAGTACGATTTTGTCTGACGAACATTAGAAAACCGCAAAACACGCTGGCCATACCTTCATCCATTTAAAATGAAAGGAGTACGGCAAACTGCTCCAAATCATGGCATCATCGATTGTGCAACGATGATTGGCAAATGTTATCAATCCTCGATCACGGTCTTCGAGGATGAACTTGTGAAGCGTTTCTTCGTTGAAAATTTTAAAGTGTTGAAAGTTCGCCGTGTAAAAGTGTTAAGGGATTTGGCAAATACTGTTATTATCAATCAATGGAGATGTTTTATTGAAAGGTTAAATCCCGTATCTTGCCAGTGCAACCAACAAAAGCAGGGATGAAAACGCGCAGCGGATTCTTATACCAGTCAAGATCGTCATGATCTCGAAATGGCCACGGAATTCGTAACGTACTCGGCCATCTACGACTGACCATTCTGATGATTTTCACAACTGAAATCATAGAAGAAAATATATAAAATTGAGCAATGATCGACTCGGGTCGGTAGATCCATGTGCAAGTTATAAAAATATGATTCTAGCGATGATTTTAAAAGGATTTCTAAGAGCGAATGAATTTTCAATGATTTTGTATTGCAATAACTCAAGAACAAGACAGATTTTTTAATCCCATTTGTTATCTTTTTGAAGTTTATTGATGGGCTCAAACAGGGAAAACTAATTCAAAAGTTTAAGCCGACATCTGTTTCTTCCACTTGGAAAGAGGACCGTGGTCGGGTCGGTACTGGCAGGTGACACCGTCTGGGACGATGGAGCCGTTTTTGATGCCCTCCTCGAAGACGGGTCGGTCGAACTTGGTGAAACCGAACTTCTTGGAGAGGTAGATCTTTTGTCGGCCGGGGAACTTGAACTTGGCTCGTCGGAGAGCTTCGCGGGCGGCGGCCTCGTGGTGGTCTCGGACTCGGATGGACATCAGAGGCTGTCCAATTCGGACTCGGGCGACGAGACCCTGGGGCTTTCCGTAGGCACCTCGCATACCAGTCTGGAGTCTATCAGCTCCAGCGCACGACAACATCTAAAAGGGCCAGTTGAAATCAAGGAAGAAACCGTCTTTGAAATTTACCTTGTTGATTCGAGTGACGTGGAAGGGGTGGCATCGCATACGGAGATGGAAGGAATCCTTGCCAATGTTCTTGACGAGGTACTTGTTGGCGCAGATTCGAGCGGCCTCGAGGGCTTCGGAGGAAAGCTGTTCCAACTCATCGGAGACCATGACGATGTGTCGTGGGAAGAGGAGGACAGAAGCCTTCTTCGATCCAAGATCGTAGATTCGGATCTTGGGGTCTGGGACACCTCGACAGAATCGGGACTAGAAAGGAAGAGTTAGGCTCTTGAAGGTGGCTTTTTAGACTTACCTTGGGGTAAGGCTTGTTCTTGCAATACCGATAGCATCGAGCAGGGCGGCGACCCATGGCTGCTGGTTGGTCCGGTTCGGTCTAAAAAGGGGCCGATATTAGAAACGAATAGGTGTTGGATTTGATTTGTACAAAAGCAGTTTTTGTTGAAAGAAGGCAGTGTACTTCTTTGAGACAGGAAGTAGCAGTTTTTTTCAGTACTAGTGGTTTTGTTTTTTTCTACTCGCGCAAATTCAGAAAATCAAATCTACGGTTGTAAACAGAGTTTTGTGGGTGCGTTAAGTCTTTCAATAATTTGATAGGAACTACGAGGAACGAGATGGTAGGATTCACGCTAGACTTGAGGAGCTAGAACTTTTGAACGCAGTCCAAATGGTCAGGAATTGTCCGACACTGGCGTGGCAGTAAGCGTGTCCTCGCTGTCAGAGTCAGCTACGTTTGGAAAAACGCGCTGCCCAGAGCCCGAAGCGAGGACTGGCGCGAAGGGGTGAATGCTGGCTGCATTTGCGGCACTTCTATGGACGCTTCGTTCGAAGAGCTTTTCCGGGGTTCCGTTGCGGATTTTCCAGTAATGAAGTTTTCCGTCCGTCGAGCCACAGAAGAGCTCTTTTCTGCTTTGGCTAATGTCGAATTGGATCGTTTGGTTGGTTTCGGATTTTCGCTCGACTTTCCAAATTGGAGTGGTGTTGTTTCGCAAGTCCCAGCACTAGAATCGAGTAAGAAAAGGTCGGATAGCTCTTTATACCTTAATAAGCGGACATTTGCGCCCCGCGGAGATTAAATTCTGATCGTCTAAAAACGCCACGCCCGTGATTCCACCAGAATGCGCCTTTTCCATGAACGCAATTTGGTTGTGACTTCTGCCGTCGTACACGCCCAGGTCTTTGCTGAACGAGCCGGCGACGATGACATCGTCGTTGATTGCGATTGTGGAGATGATGCCAGCGTGATAGCCTTTGCCGAGTTTGATTGTTGAACTTTCATTGCCAGGAATCATCGTTTCGAAAATGCGAATTTCGTTGTTCAATCCAGCGTAAAGTTGCATTCCGTCGGTGGAAAACGCCAGCGAATGAGCGCTGGCTACTTCGTCCACTGAATCCTAGAATGACTGTAAAAAGCGATTCCAAACGACTGTCACTTACGATAATCCTGTACGAAGCTCTCAACTTGCCGTTAAATGCGTCAAACAAATGTATCGGCTGATGCTTGGCTGAAGAAACGAAGCAGCATGAAGGCGGGTCCAGAGAATTCATCCTGGGCCACCAACTGAAGTCGTAGATCGCTTCGCCTTCCGGAATTCGCAGAACGGACTCCATCTCTGGCTCCGCGTTCTCCAACTGGCCGGTGAGCAGCGCTGCTGGAAGGTTGAACAAGCGAAGGGTGTTGTCGTTCGAGTTTGATAAAAGACACAGTCCATCTGGGGCGAAATGGCAGCCGCGAAGATAATTGTCAAGTCTGAATTTTCAGATTAAAAATTTTTAAAATAGAGAAGCCGCCTGCGGCTTCGAGGGGAAAATCGAAGAAGTTTTTTTTTTATTTTTTTTTTAATTTTACCTTGTTGCGAATTCTCTTCTACTGGTGACGATTTGCGAGAAATTGCCAAACTCGTGGTCGACTCCCTTCATCTTCATGATCCAGGGTTGACACTCAACCTCGGGAACGACTGGAACTTCTACTGATATCGAAGGTCTATTCACCCTTTCCGGACGGAGCACTTCGCCCAGCGATTCTTTCATGTCTTTTTGGCCCTGAATCGGGAATTTCATAAAAAGAAAAATTTAAACTCATCTTCAAAGTTCGAAGAAGAAGTTCAAAGAAAAAAGTCGAGAATTTTGAATAAAATTGAAAACGGAAAGGGATGATTTTTGAAAAAATACTTACATCGACAAAGGAAGAAATAGAAGCAACAGATCCAAGATCATCAACATCACCAACCGTTGCAACTTCCGACATTCGATCATTTTCGAGCACTTGTGGACTTGGCGTTGCCCTCACGTGACTCCCTGGCATGGGGCTCTTGAGCCTTGGGATTTCAAGAAAGCCATCTGACGAGCCTGAATCGCTAGGGTTGAATCTCTTATTATAGAAAAAGGGGAAATTTCACGGAGAAAAAAAAAGAGGAAAAAGCGTGTTTTCTCTCAGCCAATCCGTGGGCGGCGGCACGTGAAGCTATCGATGGTCGGAATGGCGCGCCAAACTTGAAAAATGACCAATCAAAACGCGCGCAAGGCGAAAATGAATGAAAATCCCTTCTCGTAGTAGAAATCGAGAAAAGATGAGAAAATCTGATGATCTCTGCCGCTAATTGAGTGAAGAGATATTGTCGAAAAATTTTTTGCTCAAAAAGTGATTAACTGTAATTTCGAGATTTTTTACCTTCAGTTCTTTGTCTCTTGAGATTTCTATTGGCGATTTCTTGCCGCAGCGAAAGTCCTTCTGGATTGCTTCTTTTGTTTTTGGCTTCTCTTCGGTTTTGATAGTTCGAGATTTTAACTGCTACAGTAGGTTTGAAATGAATCACAATAGAATTACGATTTTTACCTTTTGGTTGTTCTGTTTGATTCTGCTTGTCTTCGATGTTCTCTTCTTCGAGCTCAGCTGGCGGCGTGGTCAGCTGATCTTGGTCTGGTTCGTCGTTCGAGTGCTTTGTTGTTTCATCGTCGGTTTCGATTCCTTTGAGCGCCAGTCGTCCGGGAGAGGGAGGTTCGAGGGTGTAGTTGTAGAGCCGCTCCTTCAGTTCCAGACGGTCTGGACTCGGCGGCATCTGGTTGCTTTGATTCGCGGGAGTGCTGAACATTGGTCCGACCACTAAAAAAGGAGGGTTAGTTCCAAGGATCCAGTTTCAAGGGAAAGTTGATCAATGAAATTGCTTACCTGGGGTAATGATTGGAACAAGAGTCGGTTGTGACAGTCTTCTGATTACATCTGCCGTGGTCATCGACGGATTTAGCGCAATCGAGTGCGCAACTGATGGCTTCCTGGCAGTCGTTTGTTTCGTGGCAGCATTGGTCGTGTCGTCAGGGCTTTGGTCGTCGTCGGCTTCGCAGTAAGTCGAGCTGCAGCGGCTGGGCCACTCGCGCGCCGGGCTTCCACTTTCGACTTCGACGACCGGCATTTGGACTGGCAGTTGTACGCTAGCGGCTACTTCGGCTGGCAGTCCGAGCTTCATGGCTTCGATGTTTGGCTGGATGTGGTTGGCGATTTCTTCGCCGTTGAGATTCGAGTTTCGGCGCTTTTTTAGTGAAAGTTTTCTTTTTCAGGGATGAAAGCAACTATTCCGCTATTGAATCAAACAAATATTTCAACCCCTTTCCTAGCAGTTTTCTTGTCCATTTCCTCGCCCGAGGAGACATCTGCGTCTCTGGAATCATCCTTGCTATCTTCTCGCTGCAATTCGAAGTCCTGTTCTTCCTTGATGCTCCCTGAAGCTGAGGCGATTCCTGCTAAACTCTCATCGTCCGCATTTGCTTCTATCGCGTCTTCGCCATCGATTTGCCCCGATGTCGACATTTGTCTAAACAGGTTAAATGGGTTAAAGAGGAGTGCAGCACATAAATTGAGTCTAAATTCAAAATTGTGAAAAGGGGCAGTACAGTAGAGAAACAGGAAAAAACGTTCCTGCAGTTGATTTTTCTTTTTAAACATGTAAATGAGATAAAAGTTGGTTAACTTTTTCGGGTTTACTGAATGTTTTGAACTTTTTGAAATTTTCGGTAATTGAACTAACGGCGGGATTTTCGCTCGCTTCGGGAGTGAGACTCGGAACGATCACGTGATCGGGCGCGCGATTTCGACTTGGACTTGGATCGCTCTTCATCCCGCTTGGACTTTTCCTTCGATCGTGCCTTGGAACTCATTAAAACGATCAAAAACGAAATATATCAATTCACCTCTTTCTCCTTCTTTTCCTTTTCGAGTGCTTCAGAGAGCTGGGCTTTCTTATCTTCCTTCTTTTTCTCCTCGTCTTTTTTGTCTTTGTCATCTTTCTTCGCTCGCTTCGGCAATTTTTCCTGCGATCCTGGCTCAGAACTTGGATTGGCTCGCTTTCGTTTATCGCTGTCATCGTCCTTCGACTCTTCAGCCGCTTCTTTCTTTGCCATGCCGAGTTCCCGCTGCCGTCGCTTTTCGGCCATCCTTTCTTGCATCGTCATTTTCGACGTGTCTTTCGGCGGTTCTGGTTCTTTCTCCTTCTCTTTTTCCGCCGTCTTCTCCTTCTTCTCGCTCTTTTCTCGAGCCCTGGAGCGCTCAGCTGTCTTTGATCGAGAACGACTTTCAGCCTTTCGCTCTTCCTTTTTCGCATCTTCTACGTCCATCGAGAGAGTTTTGCCTTCTTCGCGCTTTTTCGCAGCTTCTCGACGTTTTCGCTCTTGGATTTCTTTCATGGCAGGTGCTTTTTGAGTTTTCTGAAAAAAAAAATAAGCAAGAGAAAATGTTTAAAAAACTTACGTCTTTTGTATGGAATTCATTTTCCTGAACCATGGCGCTCTTTCTTCCCTTCAGTTGTCCAGCGTATCCCATCGCCAAGGCGTACAAGTCCTGTCGCTTGTCTTTCTCTTCGTTTCGCACCTTTTCCACGCGTTTTTCTAGTGCTGCTCCGAGAGTAGTGACCATGGGGAAGAAGGGGAGGATCTTGGTGAGAATCATCAGCGCGTTTCGAATTTGAACGTATTCGCCAGACTCGAGGCAGAGAACAAGAGCTTTGGTGAGCTTGTACTGCCACTTGTGGCACACGTGGCGGAAGTTTTCATAATCAAGCTGGTTCGCCTAGAAAGGAGCTGAATATTTTTCATTCAGAAAGAAACTTACTCTTGAACTGGGCTCATTAGCTTTGTTGTGAGTTCGGACAACCGTGATGAAGCCTGGGAAGTCGCCACACTCTTTTTCGTAGTATTCAGGATCAGAGTGCCAGCGCATGATCGTCGAGAGCATTCCGCAAAGGAAACGGCCGAAACGAGATGCTTCGTTTTCGGTGAGGGAGGCGGCGATGTAGCTGATGTCTGTGAATACTCGATCGTAGCAGAGAAGAGTGCTGAAAAAAGGTTGATAAGGATCAGGTACATGTAACTAGAAGCGGGTAGTTATTTTTCAAAACTCCCGCTGAGTCTTGACAGGTGGAAATGAATGCGAGTGGCGCCCTCAACCGACAAAAGGCTACATAAAATCTTAGAAAGAGGACTATGGTATCACATTTAAAAAAAATATCCCAGATTATGAAATGAAAGATTCATGAAAACAGAAAAATTCTCCGTTGTGGTTGATTGATAGTGTTGATTGTTTGAAAATATTGTGAAAGTCCATTTGAACTTCTAATATGCATAAAATGCAACATAAAAATATTTTACTTGACCTGACCAATCACTCTAAATAAAGAATATTTACCTGAAATTCGGAACTCTCAATTCATGAATCAACTGGACCATTCTGGCACAGTACTGAGCATCCAAAGCCGAGAAAATGCATCTCGGGAAGAGGCAAATTCGAAGGAATGTAGTGATCGCGTCATTTTTCGTGTTTCTTGCAGGGAACCAGTTTTCACACTGTCGCTGAAGTCGGCCAAAAACCATTTGTTGATGCTCATCTTGTTTCTGTTTTTCGGCGTTGAGTTTTTCGATCAGAGTTGTGAGGCGTTCTTTCTCTCGTTTTCGTTTTGCTAAAAATTAAATATAATTCTTTTTGGAAGAAGAGGGGATTATATAAGGCGCTTAAATTCTCCACTAGTTTATTTGTAGCGTAAATAATTACTTGAATTTAATTCCAGATTGTCGTCCAGTTGCTTGATCTGTCCCTTAAGCTTCTTCACTTCCTTGGCGTAAGACTCTGTCGGCGTTTCAATATCGTACATCGTCATTGTCCAAAAAGCGGTGTATAAGTTGGAGCTGATGTCGAGCCAGACGTTGTCCTTGTGCATCGATTCCACCGTCTTGGCGATTGGCAGTAAGATGTGATCAGCGCAGTCGATGAACATTTCTGACTACAAAAAAGGATAATGATGATGACACTAACACTTACAATAAGCAGACAATAAGAAGTATAAGCTTATTTTGCTAAAGAAAAAAGTAAAAGCGTTGCTTTTATGTATTCGCTTACATAAACATCGATAAAATTTGATATTTCATGCAATAATTAGGCCTTCCTCGTTTATGTAACCGAGGATAAGTCTTGATAAAATTAGCATTGCGCGCTATACTCTTTCCATTCTTGCTCGTTGTATAAGCGCTTATACAACCCAGCAGCTTGAAAAGAACATTGCGTGCGAGGCTTTATTTAATCAAAAATTATCCTTGGTTATATAAACGAGAGGCCTCTTTATTGCATGAAATATCAAATTATGACGCTCTTGAGCATTGCATAAGCGTCGATAAAGATGCAATTTACCTTTACTTCTTGGTCGTTTATTTTCTGATCAGTGACTTTGATCTGGTACTGATCCTGTATCTGATGATTGTACATTTGCCTCGAGATGAAAAATGCCACGTCCCAGGGAGTGCCGTACTTTTCGATAAGCTCTTCGATCGGCGGCACTTGCTTCATGTATTCTTCCATGTTCAGGTTTGCGCTGAGAAAACCGCCGAATTGATAGAGAGTGTCGTGACACTGATCTGTAAGTTTGCCGACGAGTTTCAAGTGTTTTCCTACTCCTTCTTCGAAAACGATATGAGCTCGATGTGTACTCATAAGGAGGCAGAGAGGTAGGGCGAGTTTATGCTCGATCAGGACTTCTCGTAATCTGAAGATTTTGGTTCTATTTCTAGCTCATTTTTCCTCTTTTTGAAAAATATTTGGACCTTATTAAGGTTTCAGGCTTTTACCTCAAACTTGGCTTCTTGACGTTTCGAATTTGACCGAAATAACCTCCTTCTGTTTTCAAAATTTCGCCGCCAGAGAGCGCATTCAACTGATCATCAGTGACCTCAACATTGGCCTCGATTCCCGACATCTTCTGGACCACTTCTTTCAGCAGCAAAAGATCAAGAGACGATCCTGTCTGAAGCTTATTCGCCACGTATTGAATCAAGCCGATCAAGTCGATGCTGTATTTTTTGCAAACAGTTCCGCAGAAGTTTGCCAAACTCTGAAGCCAGTCGGAAATTGTTGTTCCATCAGTTTTCATCGTTTCCTTTTCCGGATTCGCCAAGGCCTCAATGACACAGTAGATGAGAACATCGTAGCTAACGCTCGTTAGGTATTTCAAAGTGTCGACGACTGGACCGATCAGGTTGTCATAACGCTGAATTTGCACCAAAATAGTGTCGAAAAGCGCGCCTGGGTTAGCGTGAGAGATTTTGCCGAGCTGTCGACCGGATTGCTTGACCGTGTCTTTTGTTAGCCGCTTGAGGACGTATTTTGTTCGGTCGACGGACTTGGCGTGCGCGACGATCAATTTCGGGTGGAAGGTGCAGCTTTGGTTCTTCCAATGCCCGTAGAGGCGGTAGCGAAGCTCGTAGTCCATGTTTTTGAAGATTTGCCAGAGCTCTTCGGATTGAACAACTGGGCAGTCCATCATCGTCAAGGATGGAAGCAAGACCTCTTCAATTATGCAAAGAAGAGAAGCGATGGTGGATCGGTTTTCAGATCGCCAATCGGCATTTTCTGCCTCGCTCTTGTAGGTTCGGAAGAAGCTCTTGGTGATTCTCAGGATCTTGGTGAACAACAACGGATCAACGGAGAGCATTGGACCAAGAGTATTGACAATCGGCATCAAATTCGTTTCGATATCGGAAAACTCCTTGACTTGAGACTTTTCGTCGATTTTGACCTCGACCGGTTTTCCTGTGCCGATTTTCTTCGCCGCTACTTTTCTGAAAAGAGGTTCGATGATCTGATGACATCTTTTGGTTATCGCCTTCGCCATCGATGGATCAGAAACTGCGCAAAACTGTGGGTAGCGCTCGATGATTTCTTGAGCTGTTTCCCAGTTTCCTAAAACGACGAGCGCTCGAGCGAGCCCGAATTTCTGGTTGGTTTCTTGGGCCATCATCGCGTCGATGTTGATGTCGTCTTTTTTCTTGTCTCCAAGTTGGACCACGCTCAGGCGCTTTTTCAACTCGCCCGCGGCCGCCATCGTCTTTTTATGATGCTCTCTGATTTCCGCATCGCTCGGAGAAAGATGGGGATACAAATCGTCGAGGTCGACCATTTCGCTTTGAAGCAAAAGCCCAGCTGTTTGGTAGAGGCTTTCGGGAGTCTTGGTTTTTTCGTAAAATTGAAATTTGAAGCCGAGAAGATGTGTTAGAGTCGTAGAGTCGCAGAGGCGCAAGTAGCAGGAAATGAGCTTTTTTTGCGGCGCTTGGTGAGACTGAATGCATTTATTAGTGTTTTGCCAAAGCATGTTCCTGATTTCGATCCTGTTTTATTAAGAAAAATGACAGATTTCTACTCAGGAACCAGGAGATGATCGAAAACAGGACCAATTTTTTGATATTTTTGGTAAAAAGGGGTAATTACCTATTGAATGCTCCAGATATTCCAAGCAAATATCGAGAACTCGATTAGGATCAATATTGAAGCATCCGATGAGCGACTTGACATGCTCTAGCGTTTCCTCAGGATGATTATTTTCAAATAGCTCTGTAGCCAGCTTCGAGTAGCCCTCAATTTCTTCACGGAGCAAGTTGAACTTTTGCTGCTTGTAAAACAGACGCGTTTTCGTCTTGATGTATTTTTGTTGGAATTGCTTTTGATTTGGAATGATTCCTGCTTTTTCCAAAGTGCCGGTTTCCAAGTCGAGTCGTTCTTGAAGCGTTTTTTCGGCGCCGAGTTTTGAAACCAAAGTCGTGAATTTCGCCAGCCTGGCTTTGTGCTCGTCATTGTCGCAAATCGAACATTCCGCATCAACAACCAACAGTACGTCAACGCATATGGACTGAATTTCCGGACATTCTTGGCTCGCACTGCCAAGCCACTGATTCATATCGTCAGTGGAGACGTACTCGCCGAGGTATCGCCACAAAAGCTCGTGCATTATTTTACGCATTTGGTAGCCCTTTGTGTAGTCTTTTTTGAAAGCTCTGAGGATGGATCAAAATATTTCCACCTATTTGGCAAGGCCAACTTTGAGAAATCTCAATTGTCTTCTGTTCAAAATTTCAATTGAAAAATACTGTATGTTTCGATCCATTTCTGTAAGAATCATGAAACTGCTTGAGCACTTCTGCTCTGCCAGAAGACGGCCAGGCCTTACACACCTCCTTCGTCAGAAAATTATACGAAGTCGGGTCCATTTTAACACTCGTCATTTTCCTTTTTTTCTAATTTCTAGTGCGACCTCGCCGTCTGAAGAGAAAGAAAGAGGAAACAGGCGTAGTATAAAATAGAATATATTTTGTATGAAAAAATAAAGTATATCACGGATGTTTGTTTCGTGCAGAATGAAAATTTAGTTCAAGGCTGAGTGACGCAGGGTTTGTTCGGGTTGTTCTGGTCCAGGTATTCGGCCAGCCACGAGATTGGTTCGCCAGGCTTTTCCTTGCACAGCTAAAAAGGGGGGTTAGGAAAGGATTTGGGGAAATATGGGGAGGAATTGGGGTTAGGTGGCTTCTGATTGGCCCTGAGGAGCGATATGGGCTTCTGATTAGCTTAAAAGAACCTAAAAGGCTCAACCTATATTTTAAGAAATGGAGGATGAGAGGTCTATGGGGAGATTTAAGCCAATCAGAAAGCAGTATGTCTTGCCTCATCCAACCAAAAGACGGGTTAACCCAAGAAGAACCCCCATCAAAGCGGAGAAAAGGGAGATCTTACCTTGCAAAGAGCTTCATTCAATGTTGGAGTAATATGCTGTTCAATATAACGTTCTGTAGTTTGACCAGTAGGAATAGGCTCGAGGATCATTTGTGGAAAGAAGAATCGAATTTCGCGAGCGGCGGAGGCGACCGAGTCCGATCCGTGGACCGAGTTCTGAGTTTGATCTAAAAAGAGGTTGATAAAATGAGGGAGCTGGGAGTTACAGTACCTTTTCCAAAAAGCGCCCTGATCGAATCTGGGAATCGCTCCCGCGCGTCCATCGGATTCGTAGGCCCCATCAGTTTTCGCCAGTCTTCGATCGCGTTTTTCTTCCCCAAAACAATAGCAATAATCGGACCACCGGACATGAATGACATAAGATTTGTGAAAAACATCTAAAACCATGAAAATAAGAAAAGAGCGAAAAACTTACTTTTCCGTAATGTTCAGCATAGAAGTCGCCTGCTTGCTCGGTAGCTAAATGTATTTGTCGCTGGGCAATAATTGAGAAGCCAGATGCTTTGATGATTCGCCGGATTTCGTCTGCGTCCTGGCCCGAGTTTTACAGAATTCTTGAAGGAAAGGGTTGAAAAGGGGATGAAGTAAAACTCGTTCCTGAAGAGCGTCAGGTTTTATAATCGCCAGAGTTCGCTCTAACTCGATATTTCCGGCCATTTTTACAAAATCTAAATTGAAAAAATGGGGCTTTTGTAAACTGAAGGAAAAAATGAAGGAAACAACAAAGTTCTAGCGCTATTCTAGAGATGATGGTACACTATCGCTTTCTCTGAACGAGTTTATCCAGATCTGCATAAAAGAATCTCGTCAATTTAATTCAATTGTCTTGCAGAATAAAAAAATCTTTTTCAAAGCGCAAAAAAGGGCATTATGGCGTTCGATGAGTCACCCGCGCCTGAAATTCCCACGGGCCATCGCGTCTTTTTCAGGCCGCCTCGGCGCGTTCGCGATTTTCGCCCCTTTTCAACCCTTTTTTCAAGAAATAATCCGCTGAGAGAGATGTAACGAAGAAAGAAAACAACCAAATTGTAAGTAAAATTCTCCAATAAATTTATTTGGGGAAATGTTAATTTTAATTTTTGCTCATTTTTTTAATTTATTGCATTTTCAACTATAAACTTTCTTTTAGAAAAATTTCTGAAAAGCCGCGATGTCGACATTAGGCCTGTATTTCGAAGACAAGCCGCTGCGACAAGGCACGAAACGCGCCCTGGGCCCAGCCGACCGTTACCCCCAAGATCAGTTTCAAAAAGAAGACGAACTTTCCGCAACCTTTCTCAAGCACGGTTTCTCGTTACTGAACCCTCTTGTCTCCCAGCCGAACGAGTCCTCCAGTGCCAAAGATGTTTTCACCCAAAAGTTCATCGAAAAATCCGAAGAAGACGAAACACTGATGCCGAATTTTTACGAAAAACGCGTGTTAAAAAGCTTGAAGCAAATCCAAGATGATTCATTGCGCTGCTCGCAGATCCAGGACGATTTCAAAAACGAAAAGAAAAAGTTTCAATCCCAAAAGAAAGTTTCCGAATCCTCCAACCTGGGATCGCCGCTCATCAAAATCGCCACAGAGACTTGAAAATCTTCCTGGAGGATCTCTCCGATTCGATTCCTCTGGAAGACTTGCTCAATCCGAAAAAGCGAAATACGAAGATTCCGATGTTTTTGCCGCGAAAAAGCGAGCTATTCTACCTTTTCGGGGAGCACAACGTTCCCGTCGCCAGAGCTACTTGGTACATCAAACTCATCGCTTACAACATGCCGCTTTTGATGCCAGAAGCGACCTCCAAAAGCACCAGAACAAAAAGACAGAACAACGATCCAACTGCAGAGTGGACGAAAAAAGTCGTCGATTTCTTCGAAGAAATGTGGAACAAACAAACCGACATGAATTTACCTACTCAAAAGCCTCAGTCAAACAATCAGGCCTGGGCTCAGAAAACCTGTGTAGAAACCTGAGTCAGTTTCCTCAAAAATGAGTACCCTTGTTCATCCTTCTACTCCGTCCATGTGTCCCCTTGTTCATCTTTTGGCCACATAGCCTTTCTTTTTGGGTAATGTAACATTACTTATGTTACGATGCTCAAGGATAAACAAGGGGACACATGGAGGGAGTTAGAGGATAAACAAGGGTACTCCCTATCTTTCAGGTTCCTGACTCAGCTTTCTATACAGATTGTCGAACCCTGAATCAGGCAAAACCAATGTCTCGTGAAGCAATCGAAGACTACTGGAATTACGCGAACGATTTAATGCGATACATGTACACAGAAAATATGCTGGACAAAGAAGAAGTCCTCCAGCGATTGTTGAAAATCTGCGAGTCGATCAAAGCCGGCGAAGAATTCAAGCTCCGGCAAATTTTATCCACGATTTTAGTCTATATTTCCGATTTTGTCAGGAACACGCTTCATTCTCGCAGATTAGCGTTTTTCGTCAGCCAAATGATTTACTGGATCGAAGTTGAAATTCCAGAAGAGATTTCACAGTTTCAGAGTCGCGAGAAAAGCGAAGCGCTAGTGCCCAGTTCGACGAAGGAGAAACTCAACAACAATCCAGAATACGAACGGCGCTTCGACACGCTGACCTGGGGCCTGAACAGCATCATTCACTTGATAACGATGTACTGTCCCAGCGCGCTAGTTTGGTACGAACCGGCCGACATTCGAAATCACCCCGGTTCGCCGCTCGACATTCTGCCCCAAGCGCCCTCGCAAATGCTCATTCCTCCTTCGGCAGCGCAGTTTTACAATGGCGAGCAAGAGTATCTCCAATACCTGCGACAACATGAACGCATGATTTCGAAACGCTCCACCGCCGTCGAGAACAAATGGTCAAGATATACGTCCAAAGACAGTCTTACTTCCGCAGTCATTTCAAAAGTGGTCGACATTATTAGAATTCTCGACAAAGCGGCTCAGGCGATTCGAAACGCAGACCCTAACAAAGCCGACCCACTGAAGCCCGTTTACGATGCAATCTTCAAACTTGGCAACATCGAAACCTCCTCCATCATCGGCACTCTCTGCGACTGGGCAGTGAACTCTAAGCGCTACGGCAATTTCCGCGCAATTTTAATCGCAAAACTCCTTGCGCAGCGACAAGAAGAAATTGACGCGCAAGAACCTGGGCGAAAAACATCCGTGCCCGTTTTTCAAAGTGAGCTGTTTATGTATCTGCACGAGAGCGCTCCATATTCTGAGAAGACTGAAGCCTTCCATCACCTGATTTGTCTCTTTGGAGAGCTGATTAGGCACGATTGTTTTTCGCACTCGATGTATATCTCTTCCTTGATTTCAAGGGGCATACGGACGGATATCACCTCTCATTCAAACCCAGGAAAACGCTCGACAACTCATATTTTATTTTCAATTTGACAAGTTTTCAGATAGAGAAGACATTAAAGTTTTGCATAAAATCTTTGAGCCCATCTTCTGGTTCTTCATCAAAGAGCTGATCTTTCGATGGTTCTTTCCAGGGAGTTCCATAGAGCGAGTTCTCGTTATAATTATTCGCCATTTGTAGCAGCTGATTTATGTCAGTAATCAAGCCAGCAGTTACAGTAGCGGTGAAAAATGAAATCAATGAAAACAAATTCATATTTGAATGTTAACATGATCCCTTTCTCGCCGTATTTATAGCCGCTTTTGAGCACTTAACGTCTTATCTGTCAATAGCCTCATACAATAGCGAAATACTGATACTGCAAGTTTTATACTGTAGCCACCGGCTAATCCTTTAAATGATTTGACGATTCACCGATTTTGTCGAGCGTATAAAACAGGTGACTCTCGACACCGTATTCTTCTGGAACATCTTCCTATTCCCGTTTCTGTTCTTTACCTATCACGTGACGACGATGACGATACAGTTGGAGAGCGAAATCAGCGCGAAATCGCCCTGTATGGCATTGGGTCAAAAAGAAAAGAAGTCAAGAAAAACAGCAAAAAGATCTTCAACGAGCTGCTGAAAATCATGCTGGAAGCAAGTGAAGAAAACCCGCTACCAAACTACGAGCCGATTAAAAATTTAAATTCGTGTTGCTACTTTCAGCGTTTTTACATTTCCAGCATGTTGGTGAAGAAGATTTCAAACATCATGCGCCAGTATTATGAAGGAAGATCGGAGAAACTCCCGCCGAAAGAGGCGTTTTCGATTCTTATCAATATCCTACTCGAGTGTGGAAACTTTATTGCAGTCATGGAACTGGCTGCGAATGTTCTACCGTCTTTGAGGAACATGGAAGTTCTGATCAAGCGCAAGAGCGATTCGGAGGGCCACTCGAAGCAGATGAATACGCAGCAGAAGCTGATCAAGACATACACCAACAACGTCGGTCTGATCTTCACCGGAGCGCTGCGATTGTGCCACGATTACGTCTTGCTAGAAAGCGATCTTTGCTCCAAAATCTTCGACGGCTTCAGACGATTGCTTGTCGGAACAGATCCTCTTGAATGTTTTTCTGCCGAGCGAGTCATGCTATTTTACATTTACGAATTGTACGCCTGCACGAAGCAGAAAGAATCAAACGAAACATGGAAAGCGATGCTCGCCAAAATCAAAATCGCGCACGACAAAGTAGCTCCGCCAACTGCCACAAACTTCCGCTACAGCACGGAAATCTACGACGACATGATGAAAATCCACCTGGCCGATATTTACAAAATCAAAAAGTGGTGCAAAAAGAACATCTCCGACGGCTGCGAAAAAGCGGAAGAAAACCGTTTCTCTATTGCATCGGCGATTTTGATAGCAGTTTGCTCGCCAAACACGCCAAACGCGCGGTCGAACGAGCTGGCAAAACTGGCCGCAGATGTGACCTCGATTGTGCCCACCTTGGCGCAAGAATGGCTCGGCATTTTACAAGCAATTATGCCCAAGACAGAATCGGTCTCGAAGTCGTACTCGGATGTGCTTCATAGAATAGAGACCGGAACCATCCGCGCTGCCGAACAAATGGCCGTTCTTTACGGAATATTGATCGCCCGCAACGTCGTTAAACTTGCTGACGTGCTCCATATCATTTTCAGCGCCCTCAGCAGAACCTATGCCAACGGTCCAAGCGCTGACAACGTCAGGGAAAAAGAAACGCGCAAGCTTCAAAAACTCTGTTGCGAGTTCATGCTCTTTCTCCTCCGCTCCAAGCCGCCAAAAGACCGCTCTTCAAACTCCTCGCGAGATATGCTGACCCAAAGCGTGGATCGCCACCTTCTCCGAGCTTGCCAAGCTTCACTCGACTTTCAAATCTGTCTTGCTCAAGCTTTGCGGATCCTGATGGTTCTCAGTTCTGAAGCAATGCTTTCTGGTATCCCAGGCAGCCAGCAGGATCAATTTAAAATCTTCAAACTTCCGGTTGACCAGTTCAAAACCATCGATACAAAATCCTTGCTCGATACTGGCAAAGTACGGGACATGGCGGAATTTGCTTCAAAGATCCTCAAAGCGATCTGTTCAGAAGGATGGGTCAAGGAAAAGAGCTTGTTGAATGGAGATAACTTGGTCAAGGCAATCGGAAATTTGCGTCCAGAGCAGGCGCATATTATTCTCCAGCTTCTCTGCTACCCGGAGAACTACCAGGAAGACTTGGAGATGAAGGAATACGAAGGATACATCGAAGGAATTCTCAAAAATCTTGATATTTGGACATTAAGGCAGAGTCGCCTCCTCCTTCTGTTCATTTTCAAACATACAGAGGGCCATGGCGGCTTTGCTTCCGGAAGACTTGCCAGTACTGTAGCGAAACTAACGACGGACATCATTCAGACATCCCCGGTCAGCAGGCATCAGAAGTTCCAGATCACCGGCCTCGCGAAAGATATTCCAAACGTCTGGCTTTTGGCAAATTTGATCGCGAATTTACCAGAAGCGGTTCACTTGAAAGTTCATTCTTCGACCACTCTACTGCTTGAAACAGGCATCAAGGTAACAGCCTAATAGGGACCTGCTTTTTACCAGCTTGTTTTAAACTAGGTTGGACGAGACACGAATTCAAACTTGCAACTGCCATTTTTGAACCTTATATTGGTGTGCATAGAAGCCCATGAAAAGGAGCGCAAAAGTTTGATCGACAAACTTATCGAGCAAATGCAACATTGTGTGGAGGAATACATGCGTGACTGTAAAAATGAACGGCCACAGAAAGAAGAGGATGAGAAACGCACCGTTCTCGTTCAAAATATTCAGCTGCGGTTGTCGCTCATTGGTGGCATGTTTAAAACTGTTCTGCAACACAGGAAAGGGGCTAGAATTCATAGTTTATTTATATTTATTTCAGTTGAAACTGGTCAAGTACTGACAGACATACAGACATATAATTGGTAGATACAAATTAGTTTCGTTTTGTAATTGATTTACTATGATGACCCTTCATTTAGTAAAACGTATCGTTTCATAAAAATGATTCTCTCATTCTTAGAGGTCTTTTTATATTGGAATGTGGCCAGTTGAGGGCGCAACTCTTAGCACTGCGGGAGATCATGTCCTCCCTTGAAACACAAAATCGGCCAGCTCTAGTTATCGAGATTTTTATCTCCTGTTGATTCTTATCAGTCTCTTACTACTAAAATAATCTGAGCTGCTTTTTATGCAAGAAGCTCTCTCTATGAGAAACGTGGAAAAATGATCATTATTGAAAAAGATCAGGCCGCACTTGTGTCTGATTCAAAAGCGCTGGAATTCGCTAAAATTTGAGCATCAATAATAATTTGACAGGACTAGGTTGTCTAGCGACTTTAGCCCGTTACTAAGTACCCTAAATTGCGCGTCGCTGCTGATCTCTTTGATCGTCTCTGGTCTCGCTGACGAGGAGCTCTTTGAGGACATTTACTTCACGTGTATTGACATGCTGGCTGTGATCATCCATCATCTGGCTGGCGGAGATGTGGGGCTGATTGAGCCGTCCGAAACGCGCTCTGGCTCGCGTCGAGACAAGCTCCACATCGAGAAGAAGATCAAAAAGGAGATTGGCGAGTCGGATCATCCCCAAATCATGGGCCTCCGTCAGCTCATTCCCCTCCCTCGCGATTCCCTGGACATTGTCAAGTACGAAAAAGCGCCAGTCGACAAGGAGAAATCCTGGCGAACAGGAAGCTTGAAACCTGTTGGAAAAGAAAAAGTCAGCCCGTGGGATTTAATTGAAGGATTGAAGAGTACCTTTCCGATTTCCTTGTCTTGGTTCGGCGCGAGCAGGGCGTCAAGGCTCCCTCCTCATTGGCAGTATCGCGTCAGAATGGTATGACTTCAGGAAGTGAAGACGATGCTTTTAACTAATAAATGTAATAGGGCGAGTGTCCAGCGCGTTCGCCGATGGAAAAGTGGCTGGAGCTTGCTGATCTTCCACCTGATGACGTGCAGGAGCCAGCGAAAAAGGAAGCAAAGACCGAGAACAACATTCTTCCACCGGTAAGAGTGACTATCTCTACATATTTTCATCGTTTTTTTTTCAGCAGCCAATCGACCCAACAAAACGAGGAATCGGAATGGGCCCTCCTTATCCCAACATGCCAAATGCCTCCCAGCCACAGACTCAGGCGCAGTTCAACCCTCAATTCAACCCGCAAATGAACAACCAAGCGATGAACCAGCAAAACATGCAGAACAATATGATGAGAAGAACATCGATGAACCCAATGCAGCCAATGATTCCGTCCCAGGAAATGCTCCGAAATCGATAATTTAAATTGATTAACAGTATTCGAGATAAATTTACTTTTCTAAAAATTGTAAAAAGTAAACAAAAATGGAATCAAAGAGCATTGAAAAGCAAAATATGAACACTCGTGCGGCGCTGAGAAATGTCGTTGGAAATCAAATGCAGGGTAGAGTCATGAATATGGGCCAGTACGGAATGCCAAACAGTTCTATGGGAAGACAGCACCAAGCGATGGGGCCTGGTCGTGGACCTATGAACCCTTACGGCCAGCAATAGTAAGAGAAAGGGCGATGAATTACTCTATAATCTTTTCTAGCAGTCAAATGCAAATGATGAGTAATCAAGGAATGCCTCCACGAGGTCCACAGATGATGAATTACAATCCTTCAATGAGTTACAGCCGCGGAATGGGCATGGTCAGAAATAGGGTATGTCGGTAGACAAAAGATAACTCTTCAATTGTAGATGAACAACCCAAACATGATGCAGCAGAACATGCAAATGCGGCAGAACCAAATGCGCCCAATGAACGGAATGAACAGTTGGCCCAATATGGGAAACATGCGCATGGTAAACTAATCCAACAAAAGCTCTGTACTTTACTGTATCTAACTAGCCAAACAATCCAATGATGATGCAGCAGCAGCAACACCAAATGCAACGCTCACAGATTCAAGCTGGACAAATGGGAATGAACACTCAAAACTCCATGGCTTACAATCAGGTTTCTTTCCGTAAAAATGCATCCTAAAAAAACAATCCAAAATCAAGATGGGAATGCAGAACAACTATCAAAACCAAGGAAATATGATGATGAATCCGCAGAACGCCCAAATGAACCCACAAAGTCAGCAGCAAATGTACCAGCAAAATCAAGCCATGAACAATTACGGCTAGTTCCAATTCTCAACTTCCTGGTCGAAGACCTTGGATTTCTACTCACTGTATAAAAGAAAAGAACATTCACAATCTGAAAACCGCCCGCAATACCGATCCTTACAAAGTTCACTATTTCTTTCTCCCCCTTTTCACTTCACTAATTCTATTTTCTTCTTGTCTGAAATTACTGATCTTTGACTTTCTTTCTTTTTTTTTACTTCTCCGCAAAGATTTCCAGCTATTCTACTATTACTATTTGAAGCTACTGCCATTTGATGATATTTAAACGTATCAAGCATTCGAAATTTCTCTTCGTCTCATTTTGCTCATAAAAGTAGCACTAGAAAGAAATGCCGTCGAGGGATCGATCTCGAACGCAAAGGCAGCAGCGAGCGAGGCAAATCGTCGAGGAGGAAAGGTAGAATCGACATTTTAGAACAAGCAGCAATAATAGCTTCCTTTAGCATCGCAAAACAGCCCCACTCAATTGTCATTTGCCGGGGCAAAACGGGCAAGAACCTGAACGACTTGATGATGGACTTTCGTCGCGTCATGTCGCCATTTACAGCGTCGAATTTGAAGGTGAAGAAGGCCAATGTTCTCAAGGATTTTCTCACGATCGCAGGGCCGATGAATGTGAAACACTTGGTGACTTTCTCGAAGACGCGCGAGACGGTTGGAATGCGGCTGATTACTGTGCCAAAGGGGCCCACCATGAGTTTCGCTATTGATGAGTTTGCGCTGAGAAAGTAACTATCACCCTTCTTTTCGATTTTGATAACCTCTTTTTCAGGGATGTTGAGAGCTCTTTAGCGCGACCTATAAAGGATGAAAAGGTGCTCAAAAATGCTCCATTGTTAATTATGTCACAGTTCCCCAAGTAAGTATTTCCTGATAAGTTATCAGCATATTATTTTTCCCTGGTTGCTATTCTTATCTCTTCCTAGCCAAACAGATGTGGAGAAATTCACATACGAAGCGTTCCGCGCCCTCTTCCCGAGAATAAAGCCTTCCCAAGTCGCAGTGGATACGATACGGCGCGTTGTTTTGCTTCACTACAACAAGGACACGAATCAAATTCAATTCAGACATTATGCAATCAAGGTAAGGATGATGACTTGTATTGTAAAATATCATTTTTCAGACGAGAACTGGGGCCGGTAAACGCGTTCGAAAGTTGTTGGAAAATGGAAAATCTGTTCCTGATCTTGGAAAATACGAATCTGTGGATCAGTTTTTGAATGGAATGAGCGGATCGGAATCGGAATTCGATGATTCTTCCGAAGTGACGAACCCGAAATCAGGTACACTATTCTATCAATTCCAGCGGTTATTCATCCCTTCTTTTAGGGCGGCAAATGAAGGTTAGACTGACCGAGCTGGGGCCTCGAATGAATCTGCGACTGGTGAAAATCGAAGAAGGCCTTTCCGGCGGAGCAGTTCTTTATCATTCGTACAAAAGCAAGACTGAAGAGGAAAAAATGCAAATGGAGGAAAAGATCAACAAAGCAGCTGAGGACAAGCAAGAGCGAATCAGGCAGCAAAATCAAAACGTAGCAGCGAAGCAAGCAGCCGCCGATAAAAAGAAGAAAGAAGAGGAAAAGAAAAAGCGAAAGGATGAAGCTGCCACGAAAGCGAGAGTGGTAAGATTTACTTTTAATTGAAATCTCTTCACCGTTCTAAGGAGCACATCGAAAAACTGCGCGATGGAAAAGAAGAAAAGCACGGAAAGAGCATGGGAAGGAAGCGAGGAGCTGCTCAGAGTGCTGGAAAAGGACAAGGACCGAAGAAGAAGCTGTCGAAAAAGGCGAAATCGAATATGCTGTGATGATTATTTTAATTATCCGCTAATAAATACATAAGAAATGACGAAACATGATCCACAGGCTCAAGTGTTCTTTAGCGCTTTGGGAAAAGGCATTAACGAGATTCAACATTCTCAAGATTCAGATTCTCCTCCTTGAAGGGTCTTTGTTCTCGAGAACCATTTGCATACGAAATTTTGATGGAAGACAGAATGATCCCCAAACCGACCGTTTTTTCTTCTGAAATATAAAAGTGACACCCTTATTTTGCTAATGCAAAGTGAAAACCAACTTTAACGAATGTTTTAACCACTTTATCTTGCCATATTTTTGTTCCCAAGATATTTTTGCTAACAGGGAAAGAAAGAAAATAGTTGATATTCAATCGTCTCAGCGGGTGTCCTCTGCGATTAGAATAATTTCAATCGGAATGATCCGCCATTCGCGGCGACGATCGCGCTGTCTTCTGAGCAGCTCTCTCTTGTTTTCTTACTACGGGGGGTCGCTCGGGCTCGCTTCACACGATGGCGCGCGTCAGTTGATTTCCTCCAAAATTGTGGCTCCAAAGAAAAGCTATTTTCTCTTGGTCGGAATCTTTAAACATCCCAACTAGTCTTTCCTAAACATTGATTCAAAAACAAAACAAAACACAAAATGGGAAGAGATAATGGTTCTTTTTGATTATTAGAGAGAGACAGATTTATAAAGAAGAAGAAAAACACTATGAAGACTCCATCTTCTGTTCGATGTCTTCTATTACTCCTACAGTAAGTTAAGTCCCCAATCTTGATGAAAACCGGATTTGCTTAGGTGTCATTTTCTTCTTGGAAAACGAACGAGAGACAAAAGAGATCGACCGAACATCGTCCTCTTCGTCGCCGATGATTTGGACATAGCTTCTGAAGAATTCCTATCTTTTACCAGAAGGCACATTGGCGGTGTAGAAGACAGATGGTCTCAGAATCCAGGTGTTACTGGCGCAACCATGAGGTGAGCTGTTCCTCGTTTTCTTCCTTGATTTCAAAATCATTCCCAAGAACATAAGCGGAAGTCCAGTCCTCCTTTTTCTAACTAACAGTTACTGTATTTAGCAACGCGTACGTGACCACACCAATCTGTTGTCCTTCACGGTCATCAATCTTAACGGGAATAGGTCAAAATTTTTTCTTTTTTCAAAATCATTCTGATTTTGTTTCAATGACGATCTATTTTCTTCAAAGCCTGGACCGTGGGACTGGCTTTCTCTTTTCTCAAACTTTTCGCAAAGTCAAAAGGTCTTGTGGCCATTTCTAGCTCATTAATGCCAATTTTGTCGCGACGAAAACCACACAGCTGTGAGTGCGGGCGATTAAATTATTTAATCAAGCTCATAAGTTATGAGTCATAACTACTTCTCTCTTTCGCGAAAGTACGAAATTTACGAACAAAAAGTGACGTCAAACGGTGACACTTTGAACTTTCTCCAGCGTTTCCGGTTCCGGAAAGCTTAATTACAAGGTTCATTTTTGACCCAATCGAAAGGGCATGTATGCTAGAAATCACAACATCATGACAAACATGGCGCCTGTTTGTGGCGGAGAGCAGTGGAGAAAGGAACGAGAAAACATCACTTTCGCCAAGTACCTCCATGATTTCGGTAAGTAACTAGCAGCTCTTCTCTAGAATAGAAACCTCCTTCTCAGACTACAAAACTGCCATGTTCGGAAAGTACCTAAACGAATACGACGGAAGCTACGTTCCAACAGGTTGGGACACCTGGCATGGGCTTGTCCACAATTCTCGCTACTACAACTACAAAGTTCGCGTCCACGGCTGGTCAGAGAACAACACGGACATTCAAGATCCGAACAATTCCTTCATCGAGAAACACAAAGACTTACCGCTTGATTATTTTACAGGAAGGTTGTCAATGTGAGTGATAAGGGCACGGCTCAGGAGCCAGTGTAGAAACATGAGTCAGCCTCCTGGAAGATCAAATTTAGCTCTTTCAAGACCCTAACTCTGGTTTCTATACGGGTAACTGACCTCAGAACAAGCGAGTTCACATTCTGAACTTCTCAAATTAATTAAAGCTAATTAGTAGTTAAGCGTAATTGAAAAAAAAACGCTTCTAAAAGTGGTTTTTGTCTGAGCTCACTTTTTACGATTTTGCGTAGTACCTAGTACCTGGTAGTTTTGGTAATTAATAAAGTTGGTTGAATCGTTGACAACTAGGCCAGATGTTATTGCCAATCGGTCTTCCCAATGGGTGCAGGATCAACACCGGCTAGATCCTGACAGCCCAAAATTATTAGGTAAGCCAAGCATAATCAGCGTAATCATAATAATCAGCAGCTAAAATGTGTGAAAATTAACGCTGCGAAATTATAGTTGTTAACTTTCCCGCACCACATGGACCAGCAGATGCAGCTCCGCGACATACCGACGAATTTGAATATCACGACGAATCGCATTTGAAAAAGTCTGGCGCGTTTAATAATGTCGACGATAATGAGAATAGAAATTGGTTCCTCCGAGACACCAAGGAAAAACTTACGACCGAAGAGCAGCAATTTGGAGGGCAACTCAGGCGAAAACGATTACAGGTACGGGAAAACCTGCCTAAAAACCTGAGTCAGGCGCCTGATGAAATTTGTTGCTCTGGATTTATCAGTTTTGAGATGGATTTTGTTGAATATTCAAGCTTTTTGGAAAAGTTATTGTTTTTTATGGCTCAGTCACCTGTGTAAAAGCCTGAGTCAGGATCCTGGATTTATGTTGAAGCCCTCTCAGAACCCTGACTCAGATTTATACACAGGTTGCCGAGTCTTGGTAAACAGTAGCTTGAAAATCTATTTCTTAGTTTCTCAAAACTGCCAGATCCGGAGCAATAAATTTCCTCGGAAGTTGTGGACGTCAATAAGTGCTCGAAGTTAAAAATTTATGATCGGGCGCGGTACTCGTCCAGAAATCCATATTTCAACCTGATTTTCCGGTCCTGACTCGCGAGTTCTGATTACGACGTATTTATAATGTATTTATAATGAAAATGACCCCACTATTCAACGGCGATAAAAACATGTCCATAATCGATGTTTTTAGACGCTTTTATCGCTCGACGAAGCCGTCAAAAGGTCTATTTTACGTTCAAGAACTTGGGAATTTTGGAGAAGACCTACATGATCTTCACTTCTGACCATGGGTAAGGTATTCTTTATGCAAGATTTCAATAAGAAAATCGAATTGCCTCTTGAAATCGTAAAGAAGGGTGAAATTGAGAAGCTGCTTGCTGCTTCGAGAACCAAAAAGCGCGGCTTTTTTCTCAAGCTCGAACCGACTTCTTGATTTCATTTTTCTTTCCAGTTTCAGAAGGCAGTTATAAATATATTTATTGTCTTATCTAAACCTTGAATCCTACGAATAACCAGAGTTCAGATTCCACATCGGCCAATTCGGCATGGTAAAAGGCAAATCAACCCCTTACGAGTTCGACGTCCGCGTGCCCATGTACGTGCTGGGCAAAGACATCAAGCGCACCACTCAGTCCAACGTCGTCCTCAACATTGACCTTGCCCCGACGATTTTGGTAAATTATCGATAATTATCTCTGCCATTGTCTCTCTCCCACAACTGACCTCTGTTTACCAGGGCCTGGCGTATCTGATGCCGCCGAAGCACATGGACGGGATGAGCATGGCCGGCGTCTGGCGAGGCAAGTACGAGCAGACGCGCGACCAGTTCATCATCGAAAAGCACGCTTCGATCATCAGCCGCGGTTCAGCAGCAAGCGCAGTGGCTAGATTCGACAAAGACAAGCAGATCCGCGAGTTTTGCTCGCAAATGGACGAGCCGCTGGGTTCATGCTCCGCGGAGAAAGAGTACAAGTGCTCGCAAAACGAAGAGACGGGCAAGTGGAAAGTTCAAACTTGTAAACTGCCCGGATTTATTCACCCGGGAACTGGACAATGTAACTGCGACGAAGAGTGGGTTAATAAGATCAAACCGGTAGGGGGCCTAATCTCAGCAAATGAGTCGAAAATAATGAGTGATTTGCCAATTTCTTTGATCTGGCCAATCAGATTTGAGTATGCGAACAACGAATCCAATAAGATCTAACGGACTAAAATTGCGCGTATTTCAAAAACAGTGGTTTGGCTGCAATTTTAGAGTTTCTAGAACGAAATTGTTTACAAAAATGACATTTTCTTTTCCACAACTACAACTAAAAGGAAAATTTAAAAGATATCTTTTTGAAGTAAACAAATTGTTCTAGAAACGATCTTTCGAAGTTCTGATTTTCGAGCCAATCAGATTCGAATATGATCGAGACATAAACCAATCACATTCATTTTCAGCGAAAAAATATAGAAAATTAAATTTTCCCTTCAGAATAGGCGACCTCAACGGGACACAGCGCGAAAGACGGACAGTTCGAGCAAAGTCAGTAGATCACGCCAGAAGCGACGAAATCATAAAAATGATCGAAGATCGAGCCACCCAAGCAGGAAGTCGCGCAGGAAAATGAAAGATGCCCTGGTCGCCGCTGAAAACGATGATCAAAAGGGCAAGATCGGAAGCATAAACGACTTGAAGGCCTGTTCGATCCAAGAAAATCGCGTCAGCTGCGATCGTTAGTCAATTTGAACATTCTTCTTCCCTACTTACTCTTTTCTCTTTTAGACGTTTCTCCGCGGGAATGGCGACAAGACTTGAATTTGGTCAAAGAAAGGATTGAAATGCTCAATCAGGAGATGCAGTTTTACGAGCAAGCGAAGAAACAACTTTTGCAGCAGAAAAAAGAGCGCAAGTACCGTGGCAACTCAGCGATTTCGACTGCCCAAACGTCCTGTTTCTGCACGCCGGAGGGACCGAAACTGTTTGAATCGGAGAGAAAGATCAAAAAGAGCGAAAACAGTCGAGATTGTCCGACTTTCAGAAGACTTGCAAAAAGGATGGAATGAGCTGCTTTACTGTCGATGATAAATACTGGACTGTAAGCGCCTTTTTGAAGATTTGCGCAGGCGGGAAAATAGCCGATCTTATTGATCGAAATTTTAGCCAATAAGAGTGCTCGATTGAGCTTTTCGGCCAATCAGCGGCTGAGATTCCGCCTAAACATGACTTTTAAACTCATTAAACCAAATTCATCATTTTCTAGGTCGAACCAACTTGGAAAGGCGATCCCCAGTGTCACTGCTCAATGACGTCCGTGCAAGGCTACTCTTGTCTTCGCAAAATCGGCGCCGAAACAAGAAGCGCGATTCCTTTTGTTGAGGACGATTCTTCGGAAGACATGGCGTACGACAACTTCATCTACTGCGAATTTTACCTCCATCAGCGAAAGAGCGAAAACCCAGACGATTTCGAGGTGTTTTACGAGTACTACGATTTAGACGAAGATGAGGACCAGCTTTTAATGCTTTTCAAACTGTATGTTTGGATTCAAATGGCTTCAAACTAATATTTTTTAGCTTCCAGAAGACCGGAAAGAAGCTCTGAAAGAATCCTTGTCGGAGCTGAAGAAATGCCAAGGGAAAAAATGCAGCGGGCCAGATGGAGGGCTGAAAAAGCGAGCTCCAAGACGATACCACTACAGATTCAAAGACATAAGGAAACGGTACGCACCGTATGTCACGAAAAGTCGCACGCTAGAAAGTCTACAAGTCTAGTTTCCTTTATCAAATTGAAAAATAGCCCAGTTACAAGTTCGCGAATTTCTTCAAAAATCCATTTCTAGTTGATGATTAATTTCAATCTTTCTGAATCTTCAGGTCTGTTTTGTGTCTTTTGTGAAATTTTTTGAAAGAAAAATTCATTTATGTCTTCTTGTAAATTTCGTACTGTTGCCAACTGCCCTAATTCTGCCGAATCAACAACGATCGGCCAAAATTTCAATTGTACAAATTCTGTTATGTAAAGCTCTCTCTCTGTTTCTCCTCCTGTAACTGTAATATTTAACGATTTTTAATGAATTTGCAAATTTCGAGCTTTTCTCCTCAAATCTCCAAAACATGAAAATTTCCAAAAGGAGAGGAAAAGAGAGAAGTATCGATAGTAGTTTCACTGTGTATTTCTGTAAGCCCTGACTGATTGATTTGGATCGAGTTTTCAATCAAAAGAGCCTGCATATTGATCACGCGAAGATCAATGAATAAACTCACCCTGTATAAAAAATCTTTCCTTGCCAGATTGAATTGCTCAGAATTGGCAAAAGAGAGTCCGGCAGGAGCGTCGTTTTAATTTTTGTGAAAATTCTAGAGGCCACTCGTCGCAAATAATCGGACGCAGCAGCAGATCCGGATGTCAGTGAAGGCGATTAGTGAGTTCGATGCGAAGGAACAGGCTGATAAATTACAGTAATTTTCTAAAGCTAGTACCGCGATTCCGATTCCTGAGTCAGGAATCTTAAAAATTAGAAAAAAAACATTGGCCACGAAAGACCGAGAGGCCGCTTGCGGCTTCTAGCTTAGTTAAAAAAGCCGCGCAAAGCGCGGCTATTATATTAATTTGTCTCGAAGCCGCAAGCGGCTTCTCGGTTTTTAATGGTCAATGTTTCTTCTAAATTATTAGGAATCCTGACTCAAGAATCAGAATCGCGGTACTAGCTATTTTGTAAAATTGCAGAAGAAAAGCAGAAAAAATTCGCATTTGATGCATTTTCAAATTGACGCATTTTCTTCCCATTTTCAAAACTGATAAACAGAAATAGATTAAAAACAGCCAGGAATAGCGTCTTGTCTGGAACAATATCGACTTGCCATGCGTGGCAAATAAGAATCTGGCGATAGCAGTGAATCCCGCCACGGATTTCAGTGCACTTAGGGCCTCCCATTCATGGGCGCAGGACAGCTCTCTCGTGGCCAAGCCTGATCAATTGATTAAGCGAAGAGGCAAATTAGGACTTGTGAAGGTGAAATGCTCGCTCGACGAAGCGGCAGGCTGGATTGCCGAGAAACAGAAGGAGCCCTTTACGATTGGAAACACGAGTGGAAAGCTGAAGAACTTCATCATCGAGCCGTTCGTGGCGCACGAGGAAAAGGATGAAATGTACGTGGCGATTTTGGGACTAAAACTGGCGACAAGATCCTCTTCCATCACGAGGGAGGAGTCGACATCGGCGACGTCGATGATAAGGCCGTCAGCTTGGACGTTGATGTCGACCAGGCTATTGAAAAAGCCGAGGTCGAGGAAAAACTGTTGGGCGGAGTGAAAGATTCGGCGCAGAAAAGCCTCGTCGCGGAATTCATTGTTGGGCTATTTTCTGTCTACAGAAAGCTTTACTTTGCTTACATGGAAATCAACCCTATTGTTGTCCGAGACGGGAAGGTTTTCATCCTTGATTTGGCCGCCAAACTTGACCAGGTACTAGAATGATGATGAAAGTTCAACAGGGATGGGTGAACTTCCAACAAGAGAACACATAAAATTACGCTGAGCTTATTACGATTACGATGTGTTGAAAAGTTGGCAGAAGTCGTGGGATCGGGCCTGGGTAATTTAGCGTTTGCGGCGAATCGTTTGATCTTTTCGACCTTTGAAACGCATTAATCGGCTGTTTGATGGCTCACTCGTGAGTCTGCCCGGGAAAACGGGCAATTCGTCATGGATTTTCATCTTAATTCAAGCATGAATTCTTCTTATTGGATTCTGCCTCCCGATGTTCGAATCTGATTGGTCAGAAATCCCAAATTTTGGGAAAAATTTCTAGAACAAATTGTTTACTCAATATTTTTTTATTTTTCCCACAACTACAACTAAAAAGAAAATTTTTGAAAATATTTTTTTAGTAAACATATTGTTCTAGAAATTTTTTAAAATTAACTTTTTAATTAAAATTATTGAATTGACATTTTCAGTGCGCTGAGTACATTTGCTCGCGGGAATGGGGCTCGATAACCTTTCCGCCCCCATTCGGACGTGATGCCTTTCCGGAGGAAAAGTATATTGCCGAGCTCGACGCTAAATCCGGCTCATCAATGAAGCTAACGATCTTGAATCCAAAGGGCAACATCTGGACCATGGTTGCTGGCGGCGGCGCTTCCGTCATTTACAGGTCAGAATTTATTCCAAGACGTATTTCAAATTAGCTTCAGTGTTAATTTTTACCTTGGCCAAGTTCGGAACCTGTGTAGAAAACCTGAGTCAGGGTTATGAAAAATGATTTGCCAATAATGCATAGAACCAAAACTCTGGCGAAGCCGTTTTGCGGCTTCTTTTCAAGAAAGCCGCTACGCGGCTGTCAGTTATCCCTGAGTCAGGGTCTTTAAGAACTCTGACTCAGGTTTTCTACAAAGGTTGCTGAGCCCAGAACCCCAGGCTATTTTTTATAAAAACTGGTAGTCTTCCTTGATTTCAGTTGAGTCTAGTTGTAATTGAATTGACTTGCGAAAGCTAATTCGGTGAAGTAGCGCGGCGCTAGAAAATTAAAACTAGGTTATTTTCGGGTGGCATTTTCGGAACATGCTTTTGGTCACGTTGTCCGGGTGTTGAGTGACTCAATAAACCGCAAGAATGACGGAACAAGCCAAAGACACACGGTTTTATTTACCACACCGTTGGACGACCGACCGGTTGTTGAATCCAGCTAATCATTGAAAGATATGGAAGCTCATCCATTTCTCGCCCTCTCAAATTAGACATCACATGCTGTTCTATTTTCTTATGGTGTTTTTCTAGCGACACAATTTGCGAGCTCGGCGGAACTTCGGAACTCGCCAATTACGGCGAATATTCTGGCGCGCCCAGCGAGCAGCAAACTTACGACTACGCCAGGACCATTCTTTCCCTCCTCACGAGACATCCTCATCCAGATGGGAAAAAACTCATCATCGGCGGCGGAATCGCCAACTTCACCAACGTCGCTGCCACATTCAAGGGCATCGTCAGAGCACTCAAGGAATACCAGCTCCAACTTCAAGAGCATAAAACTCAGATTTTCGTCCGCAGAGGTGGTCCAAATTACCAGGTAAATCATAATTCAAAATTCAAAAGCAGTAAAAATGAAGCGTTTTATCAATTCACGGAAGAATTAATTAAAATCAATGATTTTATTATTAAAACACTCGCCTCTAGAGAGTTGTTTCTCGATTTCTTAAAAATAATTTATAAAAAGATCGAGAAGCCGCTTGCGAGCTTCGAGGAGGAAAAGTTCAAAAGCCGCGCTTCGCGCTGCTTTAAAACTGGTTACTCGAAGCCGCAAGCGGCTTCTCAATTTTTTTATAAAGAAAAATAATTTATTTACTTCGGAGAAATCGCAAAATTAGATTCTCGTTGCGAATTTTCTGAAAATCAAATCAGATTTCTCGAAGTATTTTCTGCAAAATTTACTTTTAGGAAGGTCTACGTGTAATGAAAGAGCTGGGCGACACACTGGGCGTCCCCCTCCACGTTTTCGGTCCCGAAACGCACATGACAGCGGTGGTGGCGATGGCGCTTGGCCAACGTGCCACCACCACCGCCTCGCGTTCTAATCAATCGCGAGCGAGCACCACCGCCAACTTCTTGCTCTCAACATCGTCATCAAACGTTCTCGGCAGCGGCGCCGCTGGTTCAGGAGCTCAAACTCCTCAAAGCCGATCGCGCGCCGGAACTGATCAGGAAGAAAGAAAAGCAGAAGCGAGCAAGGATTTGTTGAAAACAGCTGTTTCCAAGGCGCAAAGTTTATTTACAAAAGACACGCAAGCGATCATCTGGGGCTTGCAGAATCGCGCTGTACAGGGAATGCTCGACTTTGACTTTGTTTGTCGAAGAAAGAAACCGTCGGTCGTCGCCTCGGTTTATCCATTCGTGTAAGTCGAGCGTTACACGCACACTTCGTAGCTTTTTTCCCGTTCATTTCTTTTTAGAACCATTTTTTTAATTTTAAAATTATAACCGTGATTCTCATTCCTGACTCATTAATTTTTGCTCGAATTTCGTTTCTTACTACAGTAAAATTACTGTTCAAAATCGAGAAGCCGCTTGCGGCTTCGAGCTTGAGAAGAATTAAGCCGCGCGAAGCGCGGCTTTCCTTTCTTACTTTGCTCGAAGCCGCAAGCGGCTTCTCGATTTTGAACAGTAATTTTACTGTAGTAAGAAACGAAATTCGAGCAAAAATTAATGAGTCAGAAATAAGACTCTCGAGTCGGGATAAAGTTAGAAGAGCGAATCTTGTCAAAATTATAAACAGACAAGATTTAGGCAGGTGCTAAACTTTCGGATCTTTCTAAAAATTAACGAGTTCCTGTTTCCACGCGGTAGGTTTTCAAGCTTACTATTCGCGGCCTGGTTTTCCATTCTTGTAGCATTCATTTCGATCGAAACAGAATTGTTGTTTCGATAAATGCTGCCCTCTTCGGTAATAATTCTGCGCAAGAGCGTTCCTAAACGGTTTTTTCCTCTTGAATTTCGATATGTTGAGAAACTTGACTTTCTTGAAAACGGACAATTAGGAAATTACCTTCCGGAGGACCCAGAGCATTTCGTGAGAGCGGAAAGTACTCGTCTTGAAATCTTTGAAGTGTTTCGTGAAGCTTTCGGCGTTGGAAAGCGCGTTCTTTTTCGAAAAAATAACTCATGTAGCAAAGGATGCACAGGAATATTACGACTAAAATGGGTCTCTTCCATTGTATAATTTGTAAATTTGAAAATTGAAAGGCCCCTTTCCTAAGATAAGATTGCTCAGCACCAACTGCCACAACACCACTTCTTGATAAGGCCATTGTGCAATAGTCTCTGAAGGAATTTCTGTAAGGTATTTCTCTAAGTCAGCGGCCTCGTTATCTAACCAGGAATCATTCTTTCTTCTTTCCATTTATTCGACTTTCGCGAACTTTTGAACTAGTTTCATTTTCTTTCTTGTCTAAAACCAGCAGCTTTGTAATCTTCCCATCGTTATTTTCCGCTAATTAATTTTCGGCCAAGATCTGAGAGAGGAGAAAAAAAATTGATTAAAAATTGAATATCGACGATAACACTTTTTCAATAGCTAGTTAACTAAAGTATTATTGGAAAATGCGTTTTACCAATTTTGAGGCGCGAGTCTTCTAACGTTTAATTATTAATTTCAGCGGCGATCATAATCAGAAGTTCTACTGGGGCCACAAAGGTAGGTCTTTTTCCACAAAATGACAGATGATTTTAAAAAGAAGCTTATCTTGTATTTTCTCATGTAGCTTTTCTTTTATCTTTAGACTTACATGCAGCTTTAATCTTTTTTTTTTCTCTAAAAGTGACCTGATTAATTTTTCTTCTTAGAAATTCTGATTCCCGTCTACAAGAACATGTCCGATGCTATCGCCGCTTTTCCAAAGGTTCGAAAAAATGACAAAAAAAAAACAAAATAAAGCCCTGGCAACTCGCTAGGGAGAACATTAGGCAGTACACATTACGGCGCACGTGTTAATATTAATTCAGAAGGAAGCGATATTACTCATTTTTACAGTAATGCCCGTTATCTCCTAAAGCCCGTTGTTTAATAAACGACTACCTTTTGGAATCGATCCAGAAATATGTATTCTCATCAGGATTTTTAAGGCTGATGTTGTTATCAATTTTGCTTCGCTTCGATCTGCCGAGGAAGCAACTAAAGGCCGGCTGAATACTATTCAGTGAATAGAATATCGAAAAAATCATCAATAACCTCAATTAGAACCGCGAATTTGAATTTTTCATGGTTAAAAAATCTGAAAATGACGAATTAAAAAATTGTTCAACCGTTTCACAGACATTCTAAAATACCCTCAAATTCGTACCATCGCCACCATTGCTGAGGGCATTCCTGAGAACAAGACAAAACTACTCAACAAAATGGCAAAAGAGCGCGGCGTCACCATCATTGGTCCCGCAACAGTGGGTGGAATCAAGCCCGGTTGCTTCAAAATTGGCAACACTGGTGGAATGCTCGATAACATCCTGGACTCGAAGCTCTATCGACCTGGAAGCGTTGCTTACGTTTCTCGATCTGGGGGAATGTCGAATGAGCTGAACAACATCATTTCCAGAGCGACAAATGGCGTGTTCGAGGGATGCGCAATCGGAGGCGATCGCTATCCCGGCTCCACCTTCCTCGACCATTTAATCCGCTACCACAACGAGCCAAAAGTGCAGCTCCTCGTCCTCCTCGGCGAAATCGGCGGCTTGGAAGAATACGAAATCATCAAAGCGAAGGAAAACGGATTGATCACGAAGCCCGTGGTCGCCTGGTGCATCGGAACGTGCGCCAAATTATTCGGCTCCGATGTTCAATTTGGCCACGCTGGAGCTTCGGCAAATGCCAATGCCGAAACTGCAGTGGCCAAGAACGAGGCACTCAGAGAAGCGGGCTTTTGCGTTCCGACTTCATTCGATGGACTCGGCGATGCGATCAAAGAAACCTACCAGAAACTGGTCGAAGAAGAAATCATCGTCGAAGAAGAAGAAGTTCCACCGCCGACAGTGCCGATGGACTACAACTGGGCTCGAGAACTCGGGCTGATTAGGAAGCCCGCGAGCTTTATGAGCTCAGTTTCGGACGAACGAGGACAGGAGCTATCCTACGCTGGTGTTCCAATTTCGAAGGTGTTCGAATCTGACATGGGAATCGGCGGAGTTCTGTCGCTGCTTTGGTTCCAAAAGCGCCTCCCTCCTTACGCCGCCAAGTTTCTCGAGATGTGCTTGATGGTGACTGCCGACCATGGCCCCGCCGTTTCTGGTAAATTTAGAAGCTTCGTAGTACCGGGACAATTAATTTTTAATTCAGGAGCGCACAATACAATCGTCTGCGCTCGTGCCGGAAAAGACTTGGTGTCATCGCTGACAAGTGGCTTGTTAACAATTGTAAGTAGATAGAAGAGAAAATGACATCGTGCATTTTTAAGAAACCTATATTTTTATTTATCAAGAAGATATAGTAGCAGATAAGTGATCTTTCAAAGTATTGTACAGGAAACAACGTGGTACAAGTACAGTAGTAATATTGATATTAATCTAAAACGGGTATGAACAGAATCCTTTTTGGATATTCTAGTTTTTTCATAAGAGACAGCAAATCGTTTAATTCTTTCCCTTCCAGCTTAATTCGTTCGAGCTGGTCCAGTTGATCGGTCCGTTTCCAATGTGGTTAGCCATGTCGATTTCTTTGCCCTGGCCCATTCGTTCTCGAGCGACGCGAATTCGCATTAATGTTGCTTTGTCCATTTGACGCTCCTGGAGACACGTTTTCATCATTTCGAGGCCGTCCTACGCCGCTCATTAGGATTGAAGAACTAAGTAGCAATTAGGTACCTGGTACATTCCATGCTCGGGGCCGTGCGTGATCTCCAGATGCTTGAGCGCTCTGCCAAGCATCTTGATCGCATCCTCCACTCGCTGCAAGTGCCAGTAGTGCACGCCAAGTCGATAAGCTTGCATGCCGATCTTAATAATAGACAGACTTATCGAGTGGTCGTCATTTGCCCAAGTCGTCATCTGCCCAAGTCGTCATCTGCCCAGGTCGTCATCTGCCCAACTTGGGCAAATGACGATCTTGGGTGAAAGACGATCTGCAATTGAATTTGAAAAAAGCTTTTCTATGTTTCACAGGAACGGACTCATCACTGTCAAAGTCCGGAAGTCCGGTCGATATATTTTAATAGCAAAGATTTACTCGATTAGTCCTCGATCAGAAAAAGACTGAGAGAAAGTCCTTCTTAAAAAATCTCCTGAATACTGTACCATACAGTATGGTCAAAACTTGGAGCTAGCTTCCGGAGGAGATTCATAACTTTTCTCTACTTTTTCAAAAGTTATCACTCAAGTTCAAATGTGAGCCGAGACTAGGCTGCCGGGTTACTCGGCCCGAGTATCCTCGGTTCCACTTCAACATTTAAATTCAATCAATTCAAACAAAATTTCATCCAAAGTTCAGACTAAACACAAAACCGACTTTAGCACCATTTTCCGGCGCTAAGAGTCAGCAAAGGGGGATACGCGTTGGCAAAACTCATAACACCTTGCTTTTCGATACGGTGCTAAAGTCCCAGATTATAGCAGATGAGATTGTTTTCTCAACAAAAACTGTCGAATTTGAACTGATAAAACGCTAACTTCCTGCGAGTACTTTTTTGCAAGATGTCAGTTAGACTTTCATCTTGCTTCATTTTTCTTAAATTTTGAATTCAATTACATCGTCATTCACCCAGGTCGTCATTTGCCCAAGTTGGGCAGATGACGATCTTGGGCAGATGACGACTTGGGCAGATGACGACTTGGGCAAATGACGACCACTCAGATTTATCGGCACATATTCTCATCAGGTTCAAGTTTACCTGTGTAGAGTATTCGGGGTAAATTTGCTCGTAAGCCGCAAGAACTCGCTCTGCATATTGCGCAGCATCATCGTAGTGGTTGAGAATGGCTTTCAAAAAATGTGTTAGGCGACTGCTGAATAAGGAAGGTGTACCTGAAACTTCAGAGCATGTTTGCAAGATCGTTAGTTTTTTCAAATGCGTGTCGTCGAAGAGATTTTCTTGTTGCAAAAGACATCCTCCGGCTTGAGCTGCGACTCGTTCCCACGCTTGTACCTTTTTAGAACTCTCGATTTTCTTCAACATGATGTCTGGAATTGATATTTTTTGTAGATTGGTCGACAAGTGGTTATTAATTTACCCGTGTTTTTCTCGATATAAGTAGAGCGCTTTTCGGGAACATCTTCTTTTGGCATCACATAGGCACTTTTGAGTTCGTCTTTGTCGCCACATTCGCACATTTTGCAGCCGCAATCGAAGTAGTACTGGTCTTTCAAGATCTGCTTACGGGTTTCTGACGTAGCTGATGTGTCGATGTACGAAATGAACAGTTCCTCGCCTTCTTTAATTGGCTAAATGCGGTCAGTGTTAAGTGCAGTAGAATTAAGTTTTTATTCTCCGATTTTTCGGTGAACAGAGGTTAGTTCAATGTAGTTAATAAATAATAGGGATTTGTCAATACCTTAATGGCTCTAACGAAGATGTTGGGGCCACAGGAGACGGCGACAACATTAGGGTTGCAATCGTGGTTGATCAAGTTCAAGGTCGGGTGGATAGCAACTCCGAGGTATTGCAAACCTCGCATATCGGTTATTGACATTCCGTTACAGGAAACAATGCCAAACAAATGATCGATGTACTCGTCAGAATCGGGCAGGTTTTCGTAGCCAAAGTAGTCGCCAATTTCTTTTGACTGCTCCTCCAACTTTTTTCTGGTTCTATTTTGAATTCCGTCTATTTCTATTTTTTCAAATAATTGACGTCAGTTACCAATTGTGATCATCAAACGTGGCTTACGAGGAAAGCTAATTTAAATTTGGTGTTAGCTGTTTATTATGCCAAGTTCTAATATTAGAGTTTCTTGTAATTGCAAATCGCAAATTGTAAATGTAATTCGGTCGTGAATTAAACCTTGTTAATTCACGATGTGTTTTCGTAAATTTCAAGCGACTTTTTATTAAATGAATAAAACCAGTTCCTTTTGGACGTCCTCAAAGGACATGTCATTGAGATGATCGCAAAGCTCCTCGACTCTGCATAACTCCTCTGATTTGGCTCGCTTGTCGCCTCGCTCAGCTTGTTTCCATAGAATTTGCGACACCATACGAACCTCATCCGATGCCGTACGCGGCGCGATTCGCTAAATCACCGATTACCATTTGTTCGTGAAAAAAGTTTCATACAGGTTTTATATAGTTTTGATATGCATTGATTGTTTGCTGACCTTGATCGCCATGCACTCTTTTTTGTGAGTAGGCCAGGCTTTTTTCTGACACTCGCGGGAACAGTATCGAGCGAACTTGCAACTCGAGCATCGAAGCAGCTGACTTGTCGGTTGACCTTGACGATCTCGGACGACCATGTTGAAGCATTGATGACAAACATGCTCGGACATGTGGTCGAAGATGACGTAAGCGAATGGTTCCGCCTTGAGCACCAGGTTTCCAACTTTGAAGTCTCTTGTCGCCCGGATCCCTCGTCCCTTGACGTCGTCGACGAAAATCTTGTAGCCAAGATCTTTGACATTCACATCCTTGTTTTCCTTTGGCATCGTGAATAGAAAGTCGGGATTGTCGTCGTCGTCGAGATCGACTTTACCGATTTTCTTCATCAATTCGGCGGTTTGTTTCTTTTTTTCTTCGACTCTAGCGGCTCGAGCTGCCTTTTGCTTTTTGTTCTCGTCGTCGACTTTTCGTCTTCTTTCTGCATCCTTCAGCGCTTAATTACTTTTTAATCCTTCATTCTGAGCGGAACATTCCATCTGTCATTCCATGACGACAGTAGTAAAACCGTTACTGTAATAGCATTACAACGATCCTCTTCAACTCAGAAGCTTATCTTTGTCTATTTTCCATTAGAGCGCACTTGCTTTACCTTTCATGAAAATCAATTCCAATGTTTTTTTAAGGAGATTCCTTATATGAAGATTATAGCACATTTTTATAGCATTATTTATTCATTCATCAATAGCTTTTATAGATTTTTAAATATATGTATGGATGCTTCCAAGAAGCCGTTTGTGTTCGGATTAAAGTTGAAACGAGTTAACTAACAGAGTCTATTTGAGGTAACTTCAAATAGAGTACCTTGAGCGTGCTCTGCCTCTTCCTCAGCCTTTTTCTTAGCAGCTTGTTGTTGCATTCGCTCTGCCTCTTCATCGTCAATTTCAAGAATCTCTGGCATGTTTGGATCTCTTGTCTAGTTGCAATAACAGCGAGTCTAACTTTGGTAAACTAAAGCCGCAGGGCAGATTTAACTTGGCCGCTAGCCCGTGCTTCGAGGTTTTACTCGAATCGTCCACTAGTCCAGCTGACGCATACAGCAGGTGATAAGCGCCCGCGGTGCTCTCGAGAGCCTAAGCGCCCTTTTTGAAAATCCTTTGTTCTATCGGCTCATATCAGCTGCTTTTTATAGAAAGTGGAAAAGGTTTGAACTCTTTATGCTTTATTTGAGTATTTCAGTTATTCAAAAACGTCATATAAGGTTTGAAAGACGATGCTTTTTGGTCGCCACCATTCGTCGAGTCGTATAAAAAGTCCTTCGTTGGTTCATCCTCGTAAACGCTAGAAAACCGTGTTAGTATCTGCTCTTGCGGTTGAGCTCTGTCGGCTATCTCTAAGTGGCTTAGGAACGTAGAAGGGCCAGCTAGGAGCACCTGTCTTACCAAAAGTCCGAATGACAACTCGGTTAAGTGTCCTTATTAGATAACCTTCTGCGGCGGGGAGAGAAAAGGTTCTCCGAAACTATTCTAAACCATGTGCCGAACCGCTAAATCTGCCGATTTTCGGAAAAGGTTATACGAGTTTCGAAAGAAAAATTGTTACATAAGACGGGTTTCACGACTAGTTATGAGTTTTAGTGGGAATTTTTGCGTTCTACTGGTCTTTATCTTTAAAAGAATGGAGAATCATAGCTCTGGACCGCGGTATTTTGGTACTATTTTGGCTACCAAGCGATGGGGAGAAAGTTTGCCCCGTGGCAACACATTCATTGTTCACAGAACTCACTGATCTTAAGCCTAAATCTTATGTTCTAAAGTCTATGACGTCAATTGATGAATGTAGAGTACTCACTAGTTCCAAGGATTGAACCCGTCGCCGCCTCGTTTTGAAAGTCGAGCACTGAAAACGGCTGTGATGGTAAAAAATATCGCGGTCCTCATTCTTATGAAAACTGATTCTTTTTTGCTTCTTTCTTTTGGTGAAAGGAAGAGACCTTCAGGGCTTTTTAAATCGGAGAAAATCTTGCACTCACGCGCCATCTACCAGTTCACCAGCGCTACTGGTGTACTCATCAACGCCATTGATAATGGATGAAATATTTAAGCATGTATAAGTTATAACTAGTTAACTTCTGCTATTTTAACACTTTTCAGAGGTCGTCTTGTGGTTGATCAAAGATTGGTCCCGTTTATTTTCTCTGTCCTAATTATTGGCAATTGCCGTATTTAATCGCTGAATAGGGTATTCCCGAAACACTCAGCTGCACTTCAGATTAGTACGTTGCTTAGTAGTAAAGTACCCATTTTTTGAATAGCTGCGGTATTTCGTATAAATATGCACATTGTCATAGATAATATCGAAGTCATTATGTTTCAGATTCGTTTCTTATAAAACCGATGATCTTGGATTACGGAGATTGTAAGGGATTTTAACGATGCTTTTTGTTAAAAAAAAAGAGAATCTTCGAATTAATCGACACTTTGGATTAAAGCCCGCTCCTTTCTATCGAGTTCAAAGAAGCAATGACGTTGTTTAGCGATTTTAAAAGGCTGCGATTTAACATTTTAACACTTAGGGAGACCGTTTTGGTGGTGCTCTGGACGAAGCCGCACGTCAATTTTCGCGTGCATTTGATTCTAACCTGCTTCCGCACGAGTTTGTCACCGACATGCGCAAACAACACAAGCTGATTATGGGAATAGGTCACCGAGTCAAATCGGTAAGCTAAAATTTCCAGCGTAAAACAGAATTAACCCGACGTTCTTTAGATTAATAATCCTGACAAACGTGTCGAAATCATCAAGAAATTCGTGATGGAATCGTTCCCGTCACATCCTCTACTCGATTATGCGCTTCAAGTTGAACAAGTCACCACTGCCAAGGTTCGTTTATTTCATTACAAATCGCTATTTTTTATTGAAAAAAAAAGGTTCAAGTTAATAAAATAAAACGAAAATCGTATTAACTTCGTCTCAATTTCAAAAGCTTCGAGACAAAAGCTGAATAATATACAAACACACTAAGAGTCTTCATCTTACGACTATTTTTCAGACGATATTTATATTAACGGGAAATAAAGTCTTTAAAGTTTTAATGGGGATAAAGCGACAATGATCCGAAAAGCCTGAAAGTAACACTGCTTTAGAAACCCAATCTCATTCTTAACGTTGATGGCTGCATTGCTGTATGTTTCGTCGACTTAATGCGCCAGTGCGGCTGCTTCACCAAGGAAGAGGCCGAAGAGTTCATCAACATTGGCGCGTTGAACGGCGTTTTCGTTCTCGGTCGAAGGTAATTAGATTTTTCTGGCCAAATCCGCATAATTCCTGGATTGTCACCTGGTTCTTAGACGACTCATGTCATTATTGAAATTGACTTTTTATTGAAAGTTGAAAGTCACTTTCTCGATAAATCTATCAGCAGACAGGGCGATCTTATGAAAGTTTAAAAACCGTTTTAAGCATGGGCTTCATCGGCCATTACTTGGATCAGAAGCGACTCAAACAAGGTCTTTACCGCCACCCATGGGATGACATCAGCTATGTGATGCCAGAGCTCAATGGAGAACTTCCTCAGTAATCTGATTCTAGGACCCTTTTCGGTCAGTGCAATTTACGATCTCGATCTTTTATTTTACCTTCTGCAAGCAAAGTTATTTTACGCTGTTCGTGATATTCGTAATTCTTGAATTATTTAACTACTAAACGGAAAATGCTTCTTTCTTTACTTTACTATGATCCTACTATCTTACACCGCTGTTGTACTTCCTTTATTTATTCAGACAATAAGTATAAGCTTTGACAAGCTTTAAAGCTTTAAATAAATTGATTAATAAATCAAAAAAAGTGTCGAAAGCTATTTCCGTGAATTGCAAAAGTTTTCGCTGTCGGTGAGACAGTTTTTACTGTTTGTAGTAAAAGAGAATGACTTACATGCCCGCAGGCTAAGAACTGCTCTCTTCACAGTAATATCAGCTGTGGTTGAACGTCTTTTAGGGCACCCCTTTCAGATATACAGAAGTATCCGCAGGGCCTTACAGTTTCAGACGGAGAAAAATATTATGAACGCGCGAAATGGTCATAGGAATAATACTAGCACATATTTTTTATATTAAAAGTGACACCTGAACGAATGAACGAGACATAGTAGAGGGTATCTACTGTATTGGATTGATGTCACGGCTCTTTCAAATATGCTTGGATCCGATTTTGGATCAGTTATTCAACTGAATCATCTTTTTTGGTCGAACATTGTCGTCAAAGATGGTATGGACCGCTCGATTTTCTCCGAAACTTGTTTCGCCCAAAGTTACTTATTTCGTCATTTTTGGTACTGTAGCTTTCGTCAGATTCCATGAAGCCAGAGACTTACTGCTTGCTACGAAGTGCCGTGGGTTGCGTAAGTTACGGGAAGCACGATGACGGTCGGCACCACCACCACGCGGTGGCGGCTGGCGCAACTCCGCGCGACTCTATAAAAGCGCGTGATCACGCAGCCGCAGTCGCTTATCGCTCACCAAGCGTTTACCAAAGCTATTCACTTTTTAATTAACACTCGGCAACTGAAATAGTCAGGCGAGATGAAACTTGCGAAATTTTTCATTGCCACTTCCGTCAACGCTGCTGTCACTCGACGAGAGACTTCAGAGGATTGTGTCCAGACCGCTCAAGGATGTATGTCCAAATCAATGACTCTTGGAGAACTTGATCCCCTTCTCCTCGCCCTCCTCCTTGGAGACAACACCGACTCTTCCCTCCCACTTCTTGCCGCCACTGGTGCGCTCGGAGGAGACTCTAACAGTGCCCTTCCAATTCTCGCCGCTACTGGTGCTCTCGGCGACAACAACGATGCTCTTCCAGTCCTTGCCGCCACAGGTGCTCTCGGCAAGATGGGCCCCGTCGCCACCGTCGCTCTCGCAGGTGACGATGACATGAAAGCTGCTCTTCCAGCGGCTATGATGGCCCAGAACGCCGCTAACGGAGGTAGCGTTGCTGAAAGTTTGATCACTGCTACCGTCCTCGGCGCTGACGATATGGAGAGCAACCTTAATGCTGCTGCCATTCACTCCCAGAAAGATGCTCCAGACAGCGGTCTTGCCACTGCTGCCCTTCTTTCTTCTACCGGAAATGACGGTCTTGGAAACCTCGCTCCACTCGCCCTCATGAACGGTGGACTCGATACTAACACTCTCCTTACCGCCAAGGCCCTCCAGGACCCAAATGCTGAAGGCAACAGCAACAACCTTCCACTTTTCCTTGCCGCTGGAGCATCTGGAAACAACCTTCTCACCGCTGCTGCCCTTACCGGTGGTGAAATCAGCGCTCCTCTCTTCTTGGCCGCTCAATCCAACAACCCCGCAGCTGCTGGTATCGCTCTCGCTACTGCCGATAACGTCACTCCAGCTATGTCTGCGCTCGTTGCTGGTGCTGAGCCCGCCAAGGTCATGGCTGCCACTGGCCAGATTAGCAACGACAACCTCGCCCTCGTCGCTGCCAACGAAGCCGGTGTCAACCCATTCAACTACCACTTGATCAACTCGAAGCTCGAAGATCCCGCCACATCTCTCCTTGCTTCAAAGACCAACGATCCACTTGCCACCTTTGCCTTGACGCAGAACCCAACTCTCTCTATGTTGACTGCTGCCAACAACGGCCAGGACGTCTCTGCTCTCCTTCCTGCTCTCTTGATCAACAAGAACGGAGACACCTCCAACAAAATCAGCGATGCTTCTCTCGCTCTCATGGCCGGCACCAACGGTGGTGTCAACCCAGCTGCTCTCCTCCTTGCTGGCAACGCTGCCGATAGCCAGGCCGGCAAGTACATGCAGATCGCTATCCAGGGCCAGGCTGGCAACATCACTCCTCTCCAGGCTGCTCACATCTCCCAGAAGCCAGTTGAAGAAATCACCGATGCTCTCATCGCCGCCAACATCAAGGACCCCGCCACTTCTTTCCACGCTTCTGGTGGTGATGTCGATGCCATTCGACTCCGAGAAGGACCTGAATACATCCGAAACAACCCAGGTCTCGCCAACGCTGCCGTCACCGCCGCTGCCGCCGAGAACAAGCCCTTCAAGGGTCTCTTCCACACTGGTTCCCCAGCTGGTTTCCTCGCCGCCAAGGACCAGAAGCCAGGTCTTGCTTGGGGTGCTGCTTCCACTGGCAACCCACTTCTCACTTACGCTTTGACCGACAACCCACTTCTCGCCATGATGGCTGGTCAACAAGGCAACGTCCTTCCAAAAGAGCCAGTTAAGGTCGACCCAGCCACCGGAATCATCGCCGGCAACGCTTCTCCATCTCTTGGCTTCGCTCTCACCGGCGACTCCAACTATTTGATGATGGACAAGCTCATCAGCAACACCAACCCTGATTCCTTGAACCTCGCCCTTGTCAACGCTTACAACCACCCAACACCATCTCAGCAGGATCTCTGGTACGGCTCCATCGCCAGCTCCCCACAGACCGCCTATGCTTTGACTGGCAACCCAATCATCGCCAACATGGTCAACCGACCAGACACCAAGGAAACCCTCACCAACTTGGCCGTTGCTCAGCAAATCGCGGACCCATGGACCGCATACGCCATCAACAAGGACCCCAAGATGCTTTTCGCCAACTCGCTCGGCGGAAACCCACTCGTCAACATCGCCGCCTTGAACAGCGACAAGCCACTTTTGAGCTACGCCCTCACCGGCAACAACCCACAGGCCCTCTTCTACAGCAGTCTTTTTGGAGATAACTAAATCGAAAACCGAAAATCAACTGTTATTTATTCCTTACTGCCTGTCTCTGGAAAAGCTGACAAAAGTCGGAATTTTCAGCCATTGCTTGCCAATGAAACAATAAATCGCTTTGTCTATCAATTTATTTCCTTCATGAAAAAGATGATGTTTTTCTCTCAGAAACAAATGACTTTTCGATAAATTGATTGATCCACGATTTTTACTCTTCCTGAAAAGAAATTGACAAAAAAAGACAAAAGAAAAAATCTTACCAAAGAGTCTATCCGAAAAGGGATGATCACAATTTTCGCCGAGATAAGAATCTCCTGCGTTGCATGACATCCAAGCAAGAGCGAATTCTAGTGTTATTTACGACACTAAATTATATTTGAGCAACTTACTTCCTTTACTGGTAATCGTAAGATTCGTGAGGTGAAAATCGTAGTCTTTGAGCTTCAGGCCGGAGTAAAAGCCGTTTCCGATATATCCATCGCTATTGAAGTAAGTTTCCAAAAATGTTTTTGTGAGAACCATCGGCTTACAAGGTAGATTTTCAGCTGTTTCACTAGAATACTCGTTTGGGAGAGCAACATCTTGAATTCACTTACGCAGTTTGTATTTTTATTTCTCCACTTTGATCATCAACGCGATCATCGTCGCAAATAAACCGAATATAATCCCAATAATGCTCTCCTGGGAGAGTGAAGAAAAGACTATTTTTTCTCATATGCTCTCCGTCATAATTCTGCAGGACCCAAAGAGGCTAATCAAAAATTTTTGACATTATTTTTTCGAATTTTTCTTGCATCTTTGGCAAACCATAACTTATATTCTTAGTAACATCGAATGAAGCATTAACCCAAACGCCTAGATCAGGGTATTCTTTGGATTCATTGTCCTTTATTTTAAAATAATCAGCTGGCATTCTTTTTTCATTTTCTTCGCAAAATTTCAGCGCATCGGGGAACGTAAAGCGATCCGTAGAAATAATTCCGTCGAAAATTTCTTTTTCCATTTCGATTGAAATATTTCTGTAGCCGATTTTGCTCACTTCAGTGAGTTCATCTTGAATCCATGAAATTTCTTCCAGTTGTACTCGCTCTTTATCGTTTAGTTGAGTTAAAAGAGCAGCAAGAAAAACCGAAATAATAATTAAAACAATCGCTGCGAGTTCCACTTTCATCGTCGTGGTGTGAACGTAGAACCTAATGATGCTTCTCTTTTACTCTCTGTTGGGAAATAATTACAATCAAGTAATAAGCGGATATTTCGTCCTCGTCATGGCTCAGAAAATACATGACCAAATCCTGAATATTTCTCTATTGCTTCGAATAAAACAATAAATCGCTTCGAGTGTTAATTTATTACTTTCTCGCTTGTCCGCACGGAGACATAAAGGAATCATCACTTGCAATCAGCAGCTCTGTAAAACGAGACATACTTAATCCCGCCTCAAACTTTTTATTTTTTTAAATAGTTTTTTAAGTATTATGAATATAGAAGCCCCAGCTGCCCGCGTAGTCCGTCAAAAACCAGCCGCAGCATGGTTCCCAGCGTAATTCACTCAACTCCATGCAGAAAAGACAATGCTCCTTGTTAGACTGGACATGAGTGAGAATTGCAGATTTGATATGCCGCCGCTCTTGCGTTGCAATTAGCTTAATTCTGCTGCTCTTGTGTGTTCGGCATCTGAAAGACTTGCGACCAAAAACACTTAAAAGCCAAAAGTATTTGTTCCCGTCACAATCATTGTCAGAAAATCAGCGAGCGCGAAAAGATACCATATTCAAAAGACACACACGAAATTTCTGAGAAATGACGATTTATTAGCAACAATGTTTTTTCAAAAACAGAATGAGATTAGGGCTCTTTTAGCAGAATCAAAGAGAAAAAAATCACCAATAAACATCAAAGTCTCGAAAGTAGAAACTCGATAGACTTAGTTTCCGCACTTCATCTGCTTGAGCTTCCTGGTGACAATCTGCATTCGCTGTCGTTGGATGAGTCTTGTCAATCTGAGAGGGCTCTCGTCGGCGTCGTTCATGCAGACGTAAGAGTCGACGAAGGACATGAGCGAGGCGAAAACTCCTTGAAGTTTTTCGCAAGCATCGTCGGAATCGACAGGTGCGACGAAAGTGGCGGGATCGTTCGAGCCGGCGGGGTAGTCGCAGGGATCAGCAGAAGCTTTGTTCTTAGAGAAAGGGTTCACGCGTTTTGTCGCAAAAAATATTTCTTTAATCATTTGTTGTCAACCCTTTCCTGGAGGAAGAGCATCTTGTTGAAGAAAGCGTTGTATCGATCGACCTTCTTTGATGCGAGAACTGAGTTTTTGCCGAGGCCAGGAAGGGCGGCATAAAAGTCGTCGACTTCGACGGCAACATCGGCAGCAGCTACGGCGATCGCATCCCAAGCCTCGGCCGGAGTAGCGGGCGCGTCTGTAGTAGTACCGTTACCACCGGCACTGCCGGCAGATCCTCCATCAGGCAGCGGGCAGGAGTCATCTCCGTCAATGGAGATGCAGAGTTCGAAGCCTCTGTACGATACGCTGTCATCGGAGTAAAATCTGATTGTACCCATGTTTCCATTCACAGTGTGCGTTTTCAGGCCGGTCTGGTCGGTCGGTTGCCACGAAGTCTGTCTACCTTCCAGATCTCCACCCGATTTTTTTTCAGCAGATCGTCGGCGTCGAAGAGTGTTGGGGTCGACAAGACCACAGTAGGCCTTTCCCTGGTAGCTCCTGTCGATAATTTCAAGCCAATCGCAGCCGCAACCTGCACATTCTTCAACGGAGAACGACTTGGCAACGATGGTGAACTGAGTGACGGAAGGATCGAGTGCAATGTTCCAGAAGCAGTCCACTTGATCGTAGTAGAAGTTATTTGCGCTGTTTGGAGATCGAATTGTCCCCGGGCCAGTGATTGATCCTCCGCATTGAAAATTGTCCGGCTTTGCTTCCCACGATGAATAAGAAGATGAAGTCAACGCTTCATACGCAGAGGCGTAGCTTGCCGCAGTGGCGAAGATCGTAGATAGCTAAATTTAAGCGTTATTAAGGGTGGCGGGCGGCTACGTTCGAAATCGGTTTTTGGGCCGATTTTTTGAACGCCGTTTATCTCTGATTTTTACCTTCATATTTGGAAATCTGATAATTTATCAGAAAAAGAGACTTTTTTGAATCTACATATTTTACGAGTACGAACCGTTTTATTTCGTCGATTCGTAGCGCCGCCGCGAGTTGTCGCCATTACGCCATAAAGAGTTTTCAAGAAAAGTTACACTCAAGCAAGGTCGCCATGGAGAGTTTTCATCAAAAGTAATACTCTAGCAAGGTCGGCTCGTCTCTAGAATTGAGACGAACAAAAAACCCGTTGAAAGACTGGTTTTAAGGGGGAGAGATAGGTTTTCCCGAAAATAACCGATTCTAGCCCGGCGCTCAAAGCCAGCTAGCCTTAAATTTTCAAATTTTCTCTTTGGCGATAGACAGAGCTATCTTAAATCGAGCAACATCTCTCTCAAATAAATTTTTCGTCATCAAATTTTAACGGTAGAAAGCGAGACACCAACCCATCTCATCGAAAATCCCGATTTTAGCCATTTTTTGACCTCGAATATATATAATTCTCGAGATGAAGGAAGTGTTATCATCATGAGCGGTTTTATAGATTGTGATACGTTAATCATTTTTACGATTTTTTTAAGATTTACTTGTTTACGTTTTGCTCGAAAAAAAAATTATTTTGCTTTATAAGCATCAGAATTTGCTAGAGAGACGAACACATCTCATAATTTATGCCGGCGGGCTGGTTGTTCTTGGTCATGTGTTGTACGGTGTTGAATCGAGTCGAATGCGAAGTACTTCGATCGCTTGTATTCTAAACACCGCGGAAGCCAGGTTCAGCGAGGGTCGAATCAAGAACTTTGTACTTCGAAATGGTTTAATAAAATACGAAAAAAATGAAAATGGAGGAAACCTTCGACTTATAGCCATTTGGTAAAATGCTCCTCTTGTAGCCACGCTTCTCTGGTCACTATGCTTCTCTTGTAGTATTTATTAATATATTATTTAAAAAATCAGTTCGGCATAATTGACGGTAAAATTTCTGACGGTAAAAAGTGAAGATAAAGAAGATTCAAAGATGGAATTCGCTAAAACTTTGCCCAATGGGGTAATTGAGGCCGAAAATTCAGAATCTGAAGTCAAAATTGACTGATGAAGGCTTTCGATGATTGATTTTCGAATAAATCATTTCCTTTTATCAGCTGCAAAGTACTCAATCTTTCCTGCCCTTTGTCAATTTTTAATTCAGATTCTGAATCTACATGTCTACAATGTAGGGCCTCAATAACCCCATTAGGCAAAGTTTAAGCAAATTCTCTCAATTTATGCCGGCGGGCTGATTACTCTTGGTCTTGCGTTGTACCGTATTGAACCGCGTTGATCCGAAGTGCTTCGTATCCGAGGGAACTGCCCTTGATTCGGCGAATCCTCGTTCTCCCCGTGTGGACAAGTCTCACCGTACAACAAAACACCAATATCACCGGCATAGCAAGGTCGCCGGCATGAATTTCGGATGATCACAAAGTCACCTTACAAATTTTTTCGAATGATACATAAAGAAGTTATTCCGAAAACGAGAAAATGCCTTTTGTGGGCATTTCTGATTGAACAATCTAAGTCAATGGCGGAATTCATGCTTCTGATGGAGGGCGCGATGGATTTCGACGCAAATAACTTGATTATCTACGGCTGCTGGTGCCAAATGGTCCCTTATTCCGGCTTGTATCCTCAGCGAAAAGAGAAGGGTTTATGATTATTACTCGCTAGTCTTGTCAGCTCAAATCAAAACCATTCGACAGGATGAGAATTGGACGGACTGGATCAACAGTGTCGAAGCCGGCATCGGAATTTTCAGCGATTGCTTGCCAATGAAACGATAAATCGCTTGTCTATCAATTTATTACTCTTTGTCCAGATAAAAGAATGAAGGTCCCTTCTCAGTAACAAACTACTTTTCGATAAATTGATTGATCCACGATTTTTACTTTTCCTGAAAAGAAATTGACAAACAAGAATAAAAGAAAAGATCCTACCAAATAGTTTATCCGAAAAGGGATGATCACAATTTTCGCTGAGAAAAGAATCTCCTGCGTTGCATGACATCCAAGAAAGAGCGAATTCTAGTGTTATTTAATAAACGATACTTAATTCTATTTGAACGACTTACTTCCTTCATTGGTAATCATTAGATTCGTGAGGTGAAAATCGTAGTCTTTGAGCTTCAGGCCGGAGTAAAAGCCGTTTCCGATGTATCCATCGCTATTGAAGTAAGTTTCCAAAAATGTTTTTGTGAGAACCATCGGCTTACAAGGTAGATTTTCAGCTGTTTCACTAGAATACTCGTTTGGGAGAGCAACATCTTGAATTCACTTACGCAGTTTGTATTTTTATTTCTCCACTTTGATCATCAACGCGATCATCGTCGCAAATAAACCGAATATAATCCCAATAATGCTCTCCTGGAAGAGTGAAGAAAAGACTATTTTTTCTCATATGCTCTCCGTCATAATTCTGCAGGACCCAAAGAGGCTAATCAAAAATTTTTGACATTATTTTTTCGAATTTTTCTTGCATCTTTGGCAAACCATAACTCACATTTTTAGTAACATCCAATGAGGCATTGACCCAAAGGCCTAAATCAGGGTATTCTTTGAATTCATTGTTCTTGATTTTAAAGTAATCAGTTGGCATTCGTTTTTCATTTTCTTCGCAAAATTTCAGCGCATCGGGGAACGTAAAGCGATCCGTAGAAATAATTCCGTCAAAAATTTTTCTTTCTATTTCGATTAAAATATTTCTATAGCCGATTTTGCTCACTCCAGTGAGCTCATCTTGAGTCCATGAAGTTTCTTCCGATTGTACTTGCTCTCTTTTTCTTCCTTTGGTTAATAAAAGAGCTAGAAAAACTGAAAAAGTAGTTAAAACAACGGCTCCGAGTTCCACTTTCATCGGTGTGAAGTGAATATAAAACCTGTGGAATCCAGTGTGGATGCTTCTATTTAACTCTCTGTTGGGAAATAATGACAATCATACTCATAAGCGGACAGCGTAAATTTTTGAATATTCGTCCTCGTCATGGCTCAGAAAATACATGAGCCGTACAAAAACCTGAGTTTTTAGCCTTGGCTTCGAATAAAACAATAAATCGCTTCGAGTATCAATTTATTACTTTCTCGCTTGTCCGCATGAAGACATAAAGGAATCATCACTTGCAATCAGCAGCTCTGTAAAACGAGACATACTTAATCCCGCCTCAAACAATTTATTTGCTGAATAATCTACTGTTTCTTGCAATTTCTCAAGTGTGAAGCCTATTGAGCCGTATGCATGAAAGTTGTCGACGGGAGATTTGGATCGTCTTGTCCGGAAGAAGATAATGGCTGAGCTCGGCAACCTGCTTAGAAAGCTGAGTCAGGATTTGAGAAGCGAAAGTGAAAAGCCGCGTAGCGGCTTTTTTAAAATCGAAGCCGCAGAGCGGCTTCGCCAAAACATAAGAATTGATTGGAATGATAATTTTGCGAAGCCGCTACGCGGCTTCGTTTTCAAAAAAGCCGCTACGCGACTTTTCATGTCGGCTCTTAAGATCCTGACACAGCTTTTTCACCAGGTTTTCGAGGCCCGAATTGAGGACTTTCTTTCTTTTTCGGCTGAAATCTCTACTTTAATTTTTGTTTAATAAAAGAAGGGTGCTGGACTTAGATGACCCATGCTTAGTTTAATTAAGCATTGGCGCCACCTTGTGGAGTTTTGGTGGTGATTTTTGTATTCATCGCATTGTGTTATGCGGGAAATCGATCGTCAACTCGACATAGCCGCGTCAATAATGCAACTCAAACACTTAGCATGGGCTTTCTGCTCGAAGTAAACTCCAGAACGGAATATAGTGGCGGGACCAAGGATCATTGTTCTTTGTAGAGCCGGGTGTCTCTCTATAATATACGAGATTGGAGATAATGATAACTGGAAAGACAACTGAGAAAAGAAGAGTAAATCACTAAGCCAGTTGACAGAGGCGCTAAGCCAGCCGCGCGTACTAGAGTACATCCGGCATCAACGAAAAAAATGCTCTCATTTGTTATTTTCCATATGCGAGTTGAATGAGTTGCACGAGCTTAACTCGTTACCAGTAAAGATGGATTCGACCCTCCGGATAGCTGGGGGGCGCGCGCGGGCTGCAAATTCACGCCTGAGGGAGAATCGCCCTTCTCGATTTTTCGAACGCCTCTCCACCAGGAAAATCGCTCGAAATCTGCTACTCTTTCTCGCAAATTCTTAATAATAATGTTTATACCAAAAATACCAAAAAAGGGACTTATTCAAGAGATTCGCTTTTCCGGCCAAAGAGATTCAGAAGAAAAAAAAAACTCTTCAATATCCAAAAGAGTTAAAAAGAAAAACTCGCTGCGATTTTGAAAAAAAAAGCAGAGAGTAATAGCCAATTGGCAATATAAAGGATATCTATTCCCTCTGTTTCTCAATTTGGCAAATTGGGAGAGTGAACTTTACGCTGCTATTTTTTCTCCGCGAAGAGGAAAAAAAATATGCGGATTCAGAAATCGATAGTAATAGACTGCGAGCTTATTAGGTTACAAAGTAGTGAGCCATGGAGGGCAGGCTAAATCACGCCACTGTGCCTGGGCGGCTGCTAAAATGACATTCTCGTAATTTAGACTGTAGAAATCGGAATCGGCAAATACCGCCAACTTTTGCCAAAAAAGCCGCCAAAAAAAACGACAATTCGAAAAATTGGCGACTCTTATTCAGGAAAAAAATGTCAAAAAGTGACAAAGAGGGGGGCTCTTTCCGGGAGAGAAAGAGCCAATCATGCGTAATTAGGGCGCAAATCATCTGCCAATTTATGAAATTTTGAAGTCTGAATTTTCGTGCCTCGATGATCGATCTGTGGATTTTTGAGCGGGTGTAAACGGGAAGTCGCTGATTTATAAGTGCTGATGTGAGACTAAAAAGAAAGTGATGATGAAAGAGGATTCTTCTTTATTTACGATATAACTTAATAAAAGGCTCAATAAAAAATCCAGATTGCGCTATTTAAAACCCAATAAAAGCTTACTATTTCGAGCGTTTTTCAGAATGAAACTCTTTTTTTTCGACAATTAACGGTTGTTACTTTTCGTAAACGCCTCGGAATACCGTCACGTTTCATCGTAAACTTGACCATTTATTACCCAGGCTGCTGGGTTCAGTTTCCGCCACTGCGCACCTCCCATTCTCTTTTTCGCATTTCCTATTTTCCCCATTGTTTCGATTCATCATTCAAAATTGATTTCGCAAAAATTTTCAAACAACGACCCTTTTTGCAAGCTAATAATAACCAACAGGCTAATTTCAAATTTTCCGTCGTAAAACTTTCTTTTTTTTTCTCCCCTCTTTTATTCCTTTTGACATTTACTGATGAAGGCATGTCCTAATTAGATAAACAAGCATTTGGGGAAGGGTTCAGATCTGTTCCTTTTCTTTGTTGGCGAGGAGGGAGATTTCTCAAGAGACCGGCGTCTTCTTTCGAAAATTCTAGATAAACATAACAATTTTAATCAACAAGCGTCTACCAATTGTCTTGGTGATGACAATTAACCATGTTCTTTGGACGGGTGGCGCTTATTTCATGAACATCCTGAGGGCTTTCCGCCGCAGATCTTCTTGCCCAATCTTGAACTTGTCCAAACGAGCTTATCCCCTCCTCCTTTTTAGTAGTAACTCATTCTTGCACTGGGAACAGATCTGAATCCTTTGTTACAGGTGGAGTCTGCCAAAACACACTACGCCTAGCGAGCGGTCCAAAAACGATACGAAAAGAAGAAAAGCAATTCCAGCGAGGAGAGAGAACTAAACTCGAAATCGCCGAATTCGACCATCCTCCTCAAGCAGAAGCAGAAAAAAGAAGATCCTCTCTCTCTCTCTTCTTGGGCGGGCCGCAAGAGGGCGCACCGGCGCGCAGCCTCGATTTGAAATATTATTAACTGAGAAAAACGAGAAAAGAGAGCTGGTGGAAAATCGAAGACGGCCAGTCCTGCGATTTATTAACCTAGATTAAACTAAACCGCCGAATATTACAACACAACTACAGCAACCTCACTCACTAGAGAAACGAAGCCAAAGAGAACCAGAAAAAAGACAGAAAAAAGAAGACTTCGAAAAACAGAGAATTCAACGAAGAAATCAACGAAGAAGAACAGAAAGCTTCCAGGTGATGGAAGCACTGCCCTAAGACGAAGATTCTCGACAACCACGTCAGGTTCATCCACAGGTTAGTTTCTTTGCTTCGAAAAAAATGTCAGAAGCGGTGGTTGGCGAGACGCCCGTGTTATGGCTTTTGGAAGTCGTAAAAATCAAAAGAAAAACTATCAATAATCAGCAATAATCCCTTTTGATATTTTCGACGCCATTTTTCTTTTATTTTTCTTTTGTAAAATATTCCGATAAAATGAGTCAGCGAGGATGGGTCCATGGGGAAAGGCCATCCCTTCCACTGCTCGTCCGATCGGGCCCATCGGCGAATCATATTCGCCCCTGTTCGCCACACAGTGTAACATTAATCAAAAGAGCTGACAGCTTTGAATTTTCCAAAATCGATCGGCAACATGTCCAAAATGGACCCCTGCCGTCAGAAGGCCGTCATTTTTCTTTCGCTTTCTTTGCAGTTTAACTGACGATTTCTATTACAAAATTACTAATTCAAAATAGGCTGTGCCCTTTCATAGGGCTTTTCAGCCAATCAAATGCCCTTATTCCTCAATGGAACCAATCAGAGACTTCCAAACTCCATAGACTTTCTTGCTTACTAATTTCTAGGTAGATTCTTTTAGGGAATTTTAACTTGTCTTACCATTAGTAAAATAGATTTGATTATAGATAGTTGTTAGGATACAGGAATAGAAGTATGTTAAAGGAATGTTTAATTTGATAAGCTATTTCTGTAAGCTTTCTTTTTACAACTTCTTGAATGAAATAGATCAGAGGGCGGCGGATAACTCGGCGAATTAAGGGTGTTACCGGCGTAATAAATTTAGCCGTGTACTTCTACTTCTACTCGGTAGTTGTGCAGGATGAGCTGATTTGTTTCCGACTAATCATCGCTTGTGTGACATTTTGCCGATGCGGCGCGTGCCCAAAACTCGCTCGCCATTTTTCGGTGGGGGCCGCGCTCGCGCACTAGCACGGCTGGGCACTCCCCTGGGGGCAGAGCAGCCACACTCGCCACTCGCACGTAGTCTAATCCAGTTGTTTTAGAAGGCGGCCGTCGTGGTTGTGTTTATGTTTAAATATCAGCAGCACCGTTGGCGCCTCATCCCGTGACATAGCAAATGTCTGATGGGGGTGGCTTCACCATTCTTGAGGTGGAGTGGACCCCGCTCACGCACGATGAGCTCAGACTCCGGCGTTCCGGCGGAATACGTCGCGGAACGGCTCGCGCCAGGAACGGATTCGCAGCTTAAAAAATGCAATTTTTACGATGCAGCCTGCAGGAGACCGTCTATTAGAATGATGGAGCCTGTCTTCCGCGAGGAAGCAAAATTGACTACCTAATTTCTAGCGCTATAAATTCATGTCACATAGCAGCTGTCAAAGTACGGAGATTATCATTTTGATTAACGGGTTAACAACAGGGCGATTGTGAGGTTAGGGCTTGTCCAACTGCAGCAGGCAGGGAGGGTCATTGCAGGGTAACGCTAGAATGGATGTTCGAAAAGTGGCAAAATGAAAAATGAGAAAAAAATGGCGCGATAGGAAAATAAGAGGGAGAAAATAAATTACCAAGAATGTTAAAAACAATGTTGAATAATTAAAGTTTATTGTTTCATTCATCAACGAGAATAACGATTCTCGGAGGCGGCATAAGTCAAGAATGAAAGCCTTTCTTTTGATGAATTATGCGTCGACCTGCTTTTTACTGGTAGCGAAAATCAGACTGGCATTTTCCATAAAAAAATGGAATGACGAAATCGACCAATAAAATAGCTGTATTGAGCCCATTAACCAATCAAATTTGCACCAACTTTAAGATCTAGAACTGTTGATTTTGCTCAAGTAGAAATTCCCAAAACGCCTTTTCCATCGACTAAAATTGACAAGCTGACCTTCAACCTTTTTTCTTCCCAAAAACGGTCTTTGCAAGAATTCATGTGCCATTGCATATTTCATCCAAAGCGATATATTTGAGGATCTCTTCCGACTGAAACCTTCATTTATTCAAAAAAGACATTTTTTATTTATTCGTCGAGGCGTTTAAATAATTCACCAATTTCGTTCCTCAGGGTGATCTAGCCCTCCACTTTCCAGCTAAATGAATGAAACAAAAAAAAACGAAAAATAACATAATTACAAAAATTAAAAAAAAAGAAAGATCAATCTGTATGCTGCCAATCTACTATTGTCTATTCTTCTTCTCAAAATGAATTGATAGAGCAGAAAAGGATCGATACTACTAGGAAGATGATGAGTCTTTAGGTCACCTTCAACAGCTCACTTCTCGCTTTTTTTATTTACTAATGATTATTGTCGTAGAAAAAAGACCATAGCTAGGCAGAATAATACCTAGGCAGACCATAATAAATAATAATAAAAACTAGCTATTTTACTATAAAATTAACTTGGCTATTAGCATAAAGATTTTAAGAGGGTCTATTTAATAAAAAGGTATTTCGCATTTTTAGAACAGTGACACCCTTATTTAAACCATTCAAAAGACGTTGAAAGCAGTTTTTCAGCTTCGATAGCAAGAAGTTTCAAACTAAGCAAGGGCAATTTTCGCAGGCAAATTTGTATTTGAAAGACGACAGAGCTAGAATTGTCGATTCTTTTATGTTTCTTGCGAATCCGAAATGAAGCCGCGCCGCATCCCGACTTTCCCGAGACCGCTGCGCATCGGCTCGCCGCCGGGAAACAAGAAAACCAGCAGCCGACCTCGAAGCAGGGAAGTCCGTCCCCGAATACCTGGCACGGCTTTTCAATATTTAATCCTCAACCCTAATCAACTAGAATCGACACGATAAAGACCCTTCTTTCAAAAATCCTACCATTGTTCAGATTTCTTAATTATTGACAACTTCTAAGGCGAAATTTCGCGGCTTATCGTCAATTAGAAATTCTGAAAATCGGGCAATTTTGTAAAGCTAGTAATTTTGGAGTAGTGTTTTGGATTTAGCGCCATTAAACTGCAATTTAAAAAGCCGCCAAAAAGTGGGCAGATATCCCGGAAGAACATCTGGGGAAGACGCTTATCGATCCGGATCCCTATTACCAAGATAAGAATGTAAGTAAACCCACGATCGCTAGAATTACAAAGAAATCTTCAGACCTATGTTGTGCTCGACAAAAATAAGCAGATATATCGGTTTTCGGCGACTAAGGCGTTGTGGTGTCTGGGTCCTCTAAACCCGCTGCGGCGCACCTGTTCACGAATCTACACTCATTCTGTATTCAACAACCTAATTATGCTTACTATTTTAACGAATTGTGGCTTTATGATTAAAGAAGATCCGCCACAATGGGTCAACGACTATGTTGAGTAAGTAAAAACAACCAAAAAAGCCTTTTCAAAATAGGAATTCTGGGCTTGGAAACCTGCGTTTCAAACCTGAGTCAGGTTCTTAGCTAAAATGATGAGCCGCGTAACAGCTTTTTTACAGAACAAAACCGCAATTGCGCATTTGCGGCTTCGGTTGTATTTTATAACAGGGAGTAAAATGGTTCTATTGCGAAGCCGCGCCGCGGCTCCTCATTTTAGCTTAAAGCCTGACTCAGGATTTTGAACCCAGTAGTTTTTGGCACTCTAGCCAACTACTATTCTGATAATTTACACCTTTTTTATGTTCCTTATGAGAATTGCCAGTTAACAGCCCTAATCAAAAACACCGGCAAGAACTTTCTCACGCGTTGTTTTTTAACGAGTTCCGAGCCCGGAAGTACTCAACCTTAGCTTTAAAAAAGACCCTTAAAAATCTAATGGCCGTTAAAAATCATCAGAACTCTGCATAACGACTTTTCTTTCAGACGCGTTTTCCTTGCTATTTATACCCTCGAAATGACGGTGAAAATTTTGTCACGTGGTATGGTGCTCGCCAATTTCACCTATCTGCGCGATCCGTGGAACATTTTAGATATTTCTGTTATTCTCACAGCGTAAGTACTGCTTTCGTGATTGATTATTTTGATTGCGATTTTAATTTATTAATAATAATTGCACGACGAAAATTAAAATCTTTCAATAATCATCAATCTCAAATTTAGCTGGCTAAGTGAAATAATTATGGCAGGGTAAGGCCACGAAAACAATAAGAAACGGTGTCTTTGGCTGGTGATCTGGCTTTTTATAATGAATATACAAAAAAGTAGGAAATACAACTTATATTAATAGCGCTCAATTTTTGATACAAATTGCGACAAATAACTCTCCCTACGATTAGCTTGTCAAACTTCTCGTGTTTTTTCTTCTTGAGCACATATAATAAGGGGCTACCATCTTAACAGGCAAACCCTCCTTGTGAATAAGAAATCTGGGTTTCGACGTCTACCCCCTTAAATTTGACCGATCACCAGCCTCCTCCTATACTCTCCAAAATTATATCCGATGAATGTCCTCACATGTCCTCATGCATTTTTCCTAAATTCTTGCATTTGGAATTTTTGAATTCAAATTTTTAAGTTCAAAAGTTGATTAACGACTTGGAACATTTCGCGCGAATGTGTGCTTCTATAAAAGATAATTCCAGTTGGTTAGAAAAGACCTCTGCTTTCATTAAAAATTCAGCAGCGCTACTGTATTTGAAAAAGGTCACCACTGCTAATTAACGGACTAATAAGGGCTAAACTATATTCGGTTGACACTCAATTCAGTTACCTGGACATCGTGATTGACTCCTTCAGTACACTCGCTAACAAGGATAAGAAAGATGGAGAGGCCGAAGCTCCCAGTCAAATTCCTGGAATGGCAGCTCTTAGGGCATTTCGTGTTCTGAGAGCGCTCAAAGGCACAGTTTCATTTCAATAATCAGAATCGATTCTAGCGCAAATAAGGGAATAGCGACTAGAAAATTCATACAAAACTCAAATTTTTGTCACATTTAATTTTCTAAAATCTGATTGGCAAAGTGGCCAAATGGGGAAATCCGATTGGTCGAAAAATTTGACCAAAATTTTGGTCGAAATTTTCGCAGTTTTTTGGTCAATTTGGATCTCATTCGCTATAAGAACCCTTTTCTTCATCCTAATTCATCAATTTGGGAACTGAAAAAAGCCATATCCGTCATCCCGGGATTGAAGACGATCGTGTCCGCTTTGATAGAGTCCGTCAAAGCGCTCAAAGATGTCATGATTTTAACGCTTTTCGGACTCACGGTTTTTGCTCTCATCGGTCTCCAGCTGTTCATGGGCTCGCTCAAGCGCAAGTGCATCAAGGAATGGCCGGGCCACTTCATTCATGGATCGTAAGTAAAGGATTGCTAGTCGCGTTGCTGATCTAATTGCCCAGGAGTTGGAACTACAGCGATGACCCGAACTACAATCACCAGCGCGAGCCGGCGATGGAATGCGAACTGAACGCTGTCTGTTCCGAGTGGCCCAAGTTCGAAGTGGACGAGAACGGCGACTACCCCAAATTCGAAGACTGGGTCCTCGACGAGTGCAACTACTGCAATGTCAACGGAAAAGTCCAACTCTGCGGCAACACCACCGATGCCGGGTAAGTTCTTCCAGAAGACATTTTTTAACTTGAACGAAATTCTTTCTAAATCCGCCTTGCCGGGAATTTACGACTACGCTCTTTTGTGTCTTTTCGTTAATTTTTTAAAAGCCACCCAGGATGACTCCGCTTAGCTTTAGTAATAATAATAAAGTGCTCATAATTTGTCTGACTTCAAGCAGTTGAAATAATTCTCTTCTGATAGACACTGCGAGCGCGGCTTTATTTGCCTTCCGTATGGTGACAACCCAGATTATGGATATACGAGTTTCGACAGCTTTTGGTGGGCGTTCTTGTCGCTATTCCGACTTATGGTGCAGGATTATTGGGAGAATCTCTATCAACTGGTAAGACAATAAAGGCTTTTTAATTGGGACATCTATTTTATTGATAAATGCGGTCTTTGATTGGCTATCACAAAAAATCTGGCCTCTGATTGGCTGAAAAGCCTCAGAGGCGTTTTGGATTGGCTATGAGAAAAGTCAAGCTTCTTATTGGCTGAAAACACCCGCGCATCTAATGTCCCAATTACAGATATTTGACTGTAAAGAGAATGATATTTAATGGTTTTCTTAGACATTGCGAACGAATGGAAAAGTCTACGTGTTATTCTTTATCTTTGTAATCTTCCTGGGTTCCTTCTACCTCATCAACTTGATCCTCGCCGTCGTCGCGATGGCCTACGAAGAACAGCATCAAATCGTAGCTGATGAGGAGAAACGCCAAAAAGAACTTATGGAGAAGCGCAAAGCCGAGCTGAGCCAGCTGCTGGAAGAAGTGGAAAAGACGGAACAAGCCAAGTCGAGGAAGCCGAGTGTGAACACGCCGACCCCGTCAGGAGAACATCTCAGCAATCGGTAAGAAGACGTCGCTTCTTCTTCTTTTTCGCGTTTTTGGGAAATCGATATTTTCGCGGGAACTTGTTCGGGTCCATATTTGATCATCCAAATCGGGGAGAGACAATCTATTTCTAATTTATTCTAGCGCCAGCGAATGTCCATGGAAAGTGAACATTCGAAGGGGGCGGGAGTCGGCGGAACATCCTTGATCGACGATGGAAGTCGCTTGTCGCCCAAGACGAACGGCTCGGCGAACACGAACTCGGACAGCAGCACGAACAGGGCAGCGAGCGGCAACGGGACCGGCGGCGTCGACAACGGTAAAAACGGGAGTGTGCAGATTGAACGACGTCCTTCAATCGCAGGCAAAGCGCTAAACGCAATGAAACGTTGCACTAAACGCAGCGGGAAGCTTTCGACAACTACCCGTAAGTGTGGTGCACTCTTGGCGGGGGTGACCACCGGTAGTCTCTATCTCTTTCCTCGTCGTAAAAAGCAAAAACCAAAAAGCGGGGTGTTTTTTACGCGAGTCACGCTCTACCCGTTGTAGAGTAGTTCTAGTGCCCCCTCTTTCTTGCATGTCGATGTTGTCCTGGCCTCTCTAGTAGCGTTAGCGCGTTTGCCAGTTGATCCCCTCTCCTCTTTTCCGAAGAGAGAGAGCAGAGGTGATTGACCTGGATCGATGTTGTCGCCCTAAATGAACCAACCGGTTGATTTGGTGATCATGTGTGCTGTTCAGAGCACGAGAAGAAAAATACTGTTGCAGATTGTAACGGTGTCGTCTCCATCATCTCGAAACCCGACATCATCGTCACGGAGCCCAAGGACAACCAGCTAGTGAACAACAACCAGGTAACTTCAAGTTGACTACTTTGGCCAGCAGACCTGCCCTCGCAAATTTGCCGTGTCTTTTTCGCAATCATTCAAAGGAGATTCAACAAGACGATCAAAGCTAATTTTATTGTCATAAATCAAGGTCCAGTTTTTTTTTGTTTTAAATCAAGCTAGGTTTCATTGATTGTGGGCAGCAGACAAATGGTCGCAGTGACCTTGCTCGGTCATAAATGTCTGTTCGAGTTTGAGCCGCGCATTTTAGAAAATGGAATATATTTATCCTTTTTTTTCCCGAAAGGCGAAAAGAAAAAAAAAAGACTGAATAATTCAAGCATTTAAATATTCTGAGATGTCAAACTTGCTCCTTTTTATCGAAAAAAAATGAATTTTTGGTTAAATTTTGGATCCGATCAGATTCTTCTTTGACTTCTGAATTGATTCGACGTAACTAGTCTGAGTTTTCGTTTGCGAGGAAATGGCAAGAAGGGTTGGGATGGGTTTACCCGTGGTAATGGTACTTGTGGTGATTGGTGGCTGCTTTTCTCCCCCCGGGCGTGATGCCAGTGGTGTGGCATGGCGGGCGTGTGGATTTGAGATGCATAATTGATCGAGGCGAGTCCTTTCAGCTGATCCGAAGCTGCCGCAGCCGCATCAATATTCATCCAAGCGCCAGCTCCATTCCAGTGAATAAACATTTTTTTGCAAGAAAAATATCTCATTTTCTCATCACTAAAACTACCCTCGTAATTGTTGGAAATCGGGGCACACATTCAATCTCAAAAAAGAACACTTGCCTCTCGAGCAGCCTGGCGACTTCAGCGTTAGTAATCCCCGGCAGGCGCTCTCAAGGGGGCCACAACTCTCTTACAAATCAATTGGAAAAGTTTAATACATCCATTCCACGCGTTATGACTCTCCAGGGAGCGTACAGAAATGTCAGCTTGAAGAAGTGCTAGTGCTTCTTTGACAGTACCGTACAGACTTTATCCTCAAAAAGTGTCATTTTTACGATGTTAGCCTTCTGAAAAATATCGATTTCCCACCAAAATGAGAATGAAAAAAAAATACTTTTTAAATAATCAAATGAAAAATAATTTCAGGGCTCTCGTCCGTCGTCGCCATCAGCTGATCGCCTGGCCGAGCCAGAACTGAAGGTCATCAAGCAGCGAGCTTTGTCCCAGCACTCGATTTTGACGCAAAATGAGGATTTGGGCGACCAGCGATGTCCGCCCAATTTCTACATTTGGACGAATCGGCTCCTCATTTGGAACTGCTGCCCGCTCTGGAATCGCTTCCAAAAGCTCTGCTCGATGATCTGCAAGGATCCCTTCTTAGACCTGTTCATTACGCTGTGTATCATTGCGAACACCGTCTTCATGGGGCTGGAGAAAAGGCCGATGGAGGAGGATTTCGAGAAGATGCTGCAAGATGCAAACACGATTTTCACGTTGATTTTCGCGCTCGAAATGGTCATCAAGCTAATCGGCCTGCATCCCTACTACTATTTCCAAGACACGTGGAACATCTTCGACGCGTTCATCGTGACAATGTCGCTGATGGAATTCATCTTGGTCAACGTCTCCTCGTTTTCAGCACTGCGAACATTCCGACTCATGCGAGTCATGAAGCTGGCCAAGTCCTGGCCGACGCTGAACATGTTGATGAAGATCATCATCAACGCAATGGGCGCCTTGGGAAACCTCATTCTAGTCCTGATTATCATCCTCTTCATCTTCGCCGTCGTCGGCATGCAACTCTTCCACGAAAAGTACAAGAACCAAATCAACAGCGCCACGCACGATCAGGACAGACCAAGGTAAACTTTCTTTGTTCAAAATTATTCCTCAAGGGATTCCTCACAAATTCATTCTTAAGATTACTCTCGAACATCCGAGAGGGATGAGAAAGGGATGCATTTTGTTGCGCAGGGATTCTACTTGCGCCGCGAACTTTCGACAATCGATAATTTAAGGGGGGACTTGTTGTTTTTCTTCTTATTGAATATCAATTTTGACAATTTAAATCTAAGATGATAATAATATAAATTTTAGATGGCACATGGCAGATTTCTGGCATTCCTTCTTGATTGTCTTCCGAATCTTGTGCGGAGAGTGGATCGAAACAATGTGGGATTGCATGCGATTTGCGCGCGATACTGATGACAAGGAATCGACCTACTCGATGGTCTGCATTCCCGTATTCTTGTCCGTGCAGGTCATCGGCAACTTGGTCGTGTTGAATCTCTTCCTCGCCTTGCTTTTGAGCTCGTTCTCTGCTGACAACTTGGTTTCGGAAGGAGATGACGCTGAGCCAAATTCAATCCAGGTGAGAGTCGATCCATAATTATGAGCTTTGGCTTTGTTTAATGGCCTCCATTAATTTCTTGCTGATTAAGGGGGTAAACGTCGTAAAACGTGATGATCGAGTGGAAATTATTTTCCACGGTTTAGACTAAATTCCCTTAAAAATGAACTGAAGCGAGAAATAACCTAAAAATGAAGGTCAAGTCAGTGGAATTTTAATAGTTTTGGAAAATCAAGTTTACGATTTTGTCTCGTATTTACGGTGTTTACGAAGCAATCGCTTTGATCAGATCAACGATCTAACTTGTTGAAATTCTAGCTCTCGCAAGAGCGCGTGCAGCGATGGTGTGCCATTGTCGTGCGCAAGATCAACAAACTGTTATTAACGTGCAAGGGCAAAGCGATGCTGATGAGCGCGCCGCACTCTCCTGGTCAGGAGGAAGGTCACCACGGCGAGGTCTTCTCCGCCTCCGAGCAACATCGAAACGGCGTCTCGGTCATCAATCCGTCCGAAGAGCTGCTGAAGCAGGACAACAGGAGCGATTCTGTGCTAGATCCGACGAAGAGTAATGCGCTTGTGGCTGTCAAATCGAGCCCAGTCAAGGAATGGCTCGCAAAACATGAAAAAATCAAAGCGGAGTTTATAAGGATATCAGAAATAATCCCTCTTCATTTCTTGTGACACGTGACATCACAGAAAAGGATGAGCCGAGGAGATTTTATACTTAATGACGTTCTATGACGTAGATCCACTAGATTACAGTAGATTCATTCATGCAGTCGCTTTTTATTGCCAATAAGCAGGTGATAAAGAGGTGAAGCTCATTTTCCCCTTTGAATTCCTTAGGACTTTTTATGTCCTTTATTAGTTTCTGATGCTTCCTTCCTCGCTCATAAACGCTTCACGGCATCTTTTCCGAGCCCTTTAATCAGCCTCCTAAGGCCGAGCCTGAGCACGACGAGCAATCAGAAGACACGGACACTTTCACCGAGTCGGATTCCGACGATTCCGACAGCGATGACAGCGACTCGTCCTCTTCGATTTCGCAGGCGGACATGCCGAAAGAACAGTCGAACGTCGCCCCCGCGCCGGATCCAGACATGGAAGGCTCCCAAAAGCAGTCGGAAATGGACGAGGAGCCGCTTCCGTCGGACTGCTGGCCGGATAAGCTCAAAAACAAGTTCGCGTTCCTGAACCCAGACGTCTCGCAAGGCAGTTGCCTAGTGATTTACAATGCCCGAAAGACGTCCTATCGCATTATTGAGCATCCGTGGTTTGAAATGTTCATTGTCTTGATGATCATGCTTTCCTCCATCGCCCTGGCCTTTGAAGACGTCAACCTGAAGGACAAGCCTCAGCTCCAACGAGGCTTGAAGTACTCGGACAAGATCTTCACCTACGTCTTTATTTGCGAAATGGTGCTCAAGTGGATGGGATACGGATTCAAGAAATACTTCACCAATGCCTGGTGCTGGCTCGATTTCGCGATTGTCTCGGTAAGCATCATCTGCTGAACTCAAAAATTATTTAAAGAAAGTTCGGCCTATCAACCATCTGTCATTTTTGAGCTTAATTACTTGTAGAGTCATTTTATTGCGAGTAAATACAGTAGCGACTTTTTACCTTTAGATATAAGGACATTGACAGTTGAATAAGAAAAAGTCATATTAAATTTTCACCGGCAATTCAAGGTCGACTAGAGTTGATTCTTTTTTGAGAATTCAAATTATTCCTTCTGAATTATTAATTTCGGCGAAAGACAATTTTCTTCAGGTGTCTATTGTTTCGTTGACGGCAGAATTACTCGGTAATGGGCAAATGGCTTCCATCAGGTCGCTGAGGACGCTGCGAGCGTTGAGACCGCTCCGCGCTCTTTCGCGATTCGAAGGGATGAAGGTCGTCGTCAACGCTCTCGTCGGCGCCATTCCTTCCATCGGAAACGTCTTGCTCGTCTGCTTGATCTTTTGGCTGATTTTCTCGATCATGGGAGTGACGCTCTTTGCTGGCAAGTTCCGCAAATGCATCGACATTGAAACGGGCGAGAAACTGGAGCCGGAGGTGACGATTGTTATTGACGGAAACAACTACGTTTTGGAGAAGCTGTCCAAGTATGCACTCAAGTTCTTGATTTGTTTGTAACACGTTTTAGGGACCTGTGTCTCCACTTGAAAACCGTCACAAACGGCCGTTATCGCTGGGTCAACAGTAAAATCACCTTTGACGATTCGATGTCCGGCTTGCTCGCCTTGCTGCAAGTAGCGACATTCAAGGGCTGGGCGCCAATCATGTACGACGCTGTAGATATCACGGAGACGGACATGCAGCCAAGATATGAAGAATCGCTCATGTTCTACGTTTTCTTCGTCATTTTCATCATCTTTGGTGCCTTCTTTACTCTTAACTTATTTATTGGTAAGTTTGTTCTTTCTTAATTCTAGCCTGAGACCGTTTTTTAAACTACCGGAAATCATAAAAAAGAGGAAGATGTCATTCTCAAATGCACCTGTCTGTCCTTCCACAGCACAACTGTAGTGACATGGGAAGTGGTCAGCTGAGGGCTATTGTCGCTCTAAGTTAACTTATTTATCAAAGTCTGGCGAGCAACGTGAGAACAGATGAAAAGTTAATCAAGTTGGTCTTCCTTGATTTCTACTGCAATTTAATCTCGTTTAATTATTCACCGCAGCGTTGTGAATTAATGATTCCAAATATTTTCTAGCCTAGAATTTTCTCGTGAAATTGAAATTGAATGATTAACTGAATTGATAAGGTGTTATCATCGAAAACTTCAACCAGCAGAAGAAGGCGCTCGGTGGCCAGGACATCTTCATGACGGAAGAACAGCGCAAATACTACAACGCGATGAAGAAACTCGGATCGAAGAAGCCGCAGAAGCCCGTGCCAAGGCCAAAGGTGAGGAAGCACAGGCCTGTAGTTGAAATTAGGCAACGCCTCCCTCGCTCGATTCAATTTCTGAATCACTTTGGCGCTGTCAACAGCGGCAGCTAAAACTAATTAGCTAACCAAGTAACTCTTACCGGGAATAATGAATTCTTCTCTTTCATCCCAGTACTTCACTCTTTCTATCTAACACTCCATCGATTCAATTCTTAAAATGTCTGTTTTCAGAACAAACTTCAAGCCTGGACATTCGACATCGTGACGCACCAGACGTTCGAAATCACGATTATGATTCTGATCCTGTCGAATATGATCACGATGTTGGTGGAGCACGAGGAAATGAGCCCCAACTTCGAGTCCGTTCTCGAGTTCATCAACTACATCTTCATTGCCATCTTCACGGGCGAGTGCGTGCTCAAGATGTTCGCCCTGCGGCACCACTACTTCCGCAACCCGTGGAATTGCTTCGATTTCGTCGTTGTGATCCTGTCGATCATCGGTTCGACGCTGTCCGAGTTCATCAAGCAGTACTTCGTCCAGCCGACGCTGTTCAGAATCATCCGTCTCGCCCGAATCGGCCGTATTTTGCGTCTCATCCGCGGCGCCAAGGGCATCCGAACACTCCTCTTTGCCTTGATGATGTCGTTGCCCGCGCTGCTCAACATTGGACTGCTCCTTTTCCTGGTGATCTTCATCTACTCGATCTTCGGAATGAGCCAGTTCGCGTATGTGAAGAGGGATGGCGGCCTTGATGACATGTTCAACTTTTGCACCTTTCCGAACTCGTTCCTCTGCTTGTTCATGATCACTACGTCAGCGGGTTAGTATTGAAAAATGATTTTTATTATAGTATTGCTTCTTTTCCTCCCTCTTATTGGTCCATCACAAATCATTCGGCTTTCTTATTGGTGTTTTTTTATACAAAGATCAACTTTTGTAAAAAGGACCAATCAGGAGCAAGATGGAAATATTCGTTATCTATGAGGTCAATTGTAAGTCTTATATTTCAGGTTGGGACGGTCTACTCACGCCGATGCTAAACACCCAGGCTCCGGACTGCGACCCGCACATTGAGAATGGGAATCCCTCGAAGAACGGAAATTGTGGCAACTATGCCCTCGGAGTCGCATTTTTCTGTACCTATCTTGTGATGACCTTCCTCATCGTGGTGAACATGTACATTGCGATTATCTTGGAGAATTTCGGCGTCGCCACGGAAGAATCCGCCGATCCGCTGTCGGAAGATGACTTTGAGATGTTTTACGAGGTAAAAACATTTTTTAAAAGAGCGCCTTCATTTTGTTGACATTTTCATCACAAAGTGCTGATTTGTGAACTTTATGTTTGTAGGTCTGGGAGAATTACGATCCCAAGGCGACGCACTACATTTCATACGAGCAGCTCTCCGACTTTTGCGACTCGCTGGAGGACCCGCTTCGTGTGCCTAAACCAAACCGCCTTACGCTTATCACGATGGACTTGCCCATGGTCATGGGCGATAGGTTGCATTGCTTAGATGTCCTATTCGGTAAGCAGCTCTCTTTTCTCGCCGATTTTAACTGTTTCTTCTAGCCCTGACGAAACGGGTTCTTGGTGATTCGGAAGAACTAGACATGTTACGAGTGCAAATGGAAGAAAAGTTCATGGCGTCGAATCCTTCGAAGGTGCAATACGAGCCGATCACGACTACTCTGCGACGCAAGCAAGAAGAAGTGAGCGCAGTGCTGATCCAACGCGCTTGGAGAGAGTACCGCGCCGCTGCCACTTTTACCCAGCAAACCATGACAGAAGGAAAAATAGGGCCAAGCAAGTCGACGGAAAATGTGCAAGTTATATCAGAACCAGTGTGAGTCCATTCTACTTTGATTTAGCATAATAACGAATATGTCCATCTAGCGCGCCGATGGGTCATCGAGCTTTTCAGCCAATAATTAAAGCTTGAAATAAGATTGACCAATCAAGAGCGTGGATGAAAGTATTCACTGTATAGACCATCTGATGTAGAGATTTTTGATGAAGGATATTTTAGTGATGTGAAGGAAAAATCGCGGCGCGCCAGCTCGCCCGGGGCAAGTGAAACCGACGACGTTGTCTAACTGCAGCCACAGCTCGAGATGAAAATGAATCCTGCCCCTGTCTCGCGTCTGCCATTGCTGATTCCGTCATTGCTTTCGAAACTCCTCAGAAACTGCAATTTTCCAAAAACAAAAAAAAACGTCGCCACTTGAGGTCGCTCCGTCCGCATGAGCCACACGTGATCAGTCCCGAATCAAAATTGCTGCTAGAATTATTACCACATTAATTCAAGGCAGGTGAGTCGCCCGCACGTACAGTAGCTACTGTTCCTCGCCATTTGCACTGCTCGACCGAGGTGACTACTGAGAGAGAGTCAAGACTACCAGAATCCCAAAGTTCACTTTTTCTGTTCTCTTATTTCACTTTCCGCCCGTGGCAAGCGCACTCACCAAAATTTCCACACCTCCTCCACCTCCAAGCAAAAAGCAAAGACACCACCCAAACCAGAACCAATCCACCATAGAAAAACCCTTGAAAACAACAACGAACCCACAATGGAAATAGCTTCGATCACGCAAAAGTGCTCGCCCCGGGCCGCTGCTACTTTTGCTCCAAAATTAATAGCGCCCCGGGCGAGTTCCCACCTTTCTTGTAAAATATTAAACAAAATATCAACTCTTAGGAACTGAGTGCCTACCTGTAACAATCAGGAAATAAACTTTCAAAATCAGAAAATTGATATATTCACTCAAGTCAGTGTCAACTGGTAATTAGCGTCTTGGACGCCGTAGAACAGTGTGCAGCTTCCAAACGCGAAACTCATAATAAAAATAAGCAGCAGACAGCGATCGATCACCAGCGCCAGGAAGATCCAGTCCGCCTCGCCCGAAGCCAACTCGTCCGCCACTTTTTGCTGGTCAGCGATCATTCTCGTTTCGGATTGTTTTTTTTTCGTAAAATTTAACGAAGAAAATGAGGTCTTTGAAGGACAATCCTGACTGCTCTGTTGCTCGAAAAAATCATCTCTGGAGCGAGTCCTTCCAAAATTTGACTCTTGTATCGTTGCAATCGCTTTTTTTCAGGGCTGAAAAATGTCTTTCAAGGTCGAAATCGACCGCTTTTTAAATTTTGAAACCCAAGCTTGGAAATTCGCCGCTCGTTAAAGCTCGACGTGGCCGAACTTATACTCGAGAAAGATCCGTAGATGGTGTCCTGTTTCGCTATTTTAACTTTTCGCGGCTTCAGCTTTTTGGAAATGTATTCTTCTGATCTGAGACGGCCGGAGAGCACTGGAATGTGATCCAACGTGAAAACAGTTTTTTCATCTTCGGGTTTTTCCGAGTTTTTTCGTTCTTGATAAGTGCTAGAAAAAATGGTCGGGGAAATACTTTTTGGGGAAGATTCACTATTTACTTGTAGCTTGAAGGGTATTCCGATGAAACAGAGAAACGATGACCAGTTGGGAAGATCGGATGCGGGACTGTATTTTGGGCTCGGAAACCTGCGTTGAAAACCTGACTCAGGATCCCGAAAAATCATTTATTAAAGCCCAGTAGAGGCTTTTTCGATAATTCTTTTATCAAAGCTCTTTCAGAACCCTGACTCAGGCTTTCTACAAAGGTTTCTGAGCCCAGACTGTAGGTCTTTGCATCAAGAGCACTGTAGGAATGGTATCCAAAAAGGTCTTCTGTAGCCAGCGAGGCATAGCGTGAATTTCCGGCGTTCGGTGATGCAAATTCGCAATGCAAACAGACGACACAACCGATAAGCTGACCAGCACCATCGAGAAGATGAGATATTTTGAAATGAGCGGGATCGCGGCGGCGCTTTTTGGAGTCATGGAGGAAACCAGGCCGAGGAAGAAGGTGAGCGCGAGGAGGACCGAAATCGAGAGCGTGATTTTTTCGCCGCCCATGTTTGGTTGGTGGAAGACGGAAATAACCATGGAAGTGATCATCAGAATCGGAAGGGTGATGTAAAGAGTGTAGAAAAGAGGCAGGCGGACGAGGTATAATGATGCCCGGACGAAGGTTTCGTTTTGGCCGGTGAGCGGGTCCCATTTTTCTGAATGAATGAGTTTTTTAATAAAATTTAATGGAATTTATATTGAATATATAATATGATTTCACAAGAAACTACTTAGTTTTTGATTGAATATCGAAATAGAATTTGTTCCATCCCTACTTTTATTTCAAAATTCGGTCGAAACATAGTAACATAATTACTTTCTCAGAGCCTCTTTTTTGATTAAAATGAAGTACCTTTATATTCCGTCGTGGCTCGTTTCAGCTCCCATTCACTGTTGGGCTTCAAGTTCTTGCGCATTACTTCTGCTGTCTTGAGTTTGACATCTTCGCCGCTGTAGACGTAGGGGTGGAAGTCGATGCTGCAGACTTGCTCGTCGTAGGGGAAGTTCTCGACGTTGACGCGGCAGAAAGTGCTGTATTTGCCGATGTGGGAGTGGAGCACCGTTCCGTTGGAAAAGACGATCGCCTTGAAGGTGGGAACGGAGGAGGAAATGTAGGTGCCGTCGACGTTGTTGTGCACGGCGATGTCGGGCCGCCAGATTCGCTCAATGTCGATGTGGAGCCGATCGATGGTGTTGAATCTGCAGTCGTCCATCCAAAAGAAGCGCGCGTCTATCCACGATTGCCGGATTACTAGCCGCGTCACAAGCGTCTCCTCTCTAATGCGCATATCCATCACTATCGCCGCGTTCAAACAGATGCACCAGTTTGAGCTTGTTTGAAAGGCCCCATGTTCCCGGCCCGGAAAGGATCAGTTATCGTTTCGCCTTCCTTAAACACCAATTTCAGTAGAAAATCCTTATTTGAACTTGTTTGAGCGGGCCCTTGGTCTAATTGAACTTCTAGGAGGACTTTTTTAGGATTCTTTATCATAAAAATTGGGTTAGCATAAGAATAAGAACATGATGGAAAAACCTTTTCCTTCAACCAGTCTATCGGGACTGGCATTACTGTTGTAGCTCTCGAACAGCATCTTTCTTAAGGGGATAGACATCGTTAAACCTTCTGTTTTTGTCTCAAATGTCCGGAGGGGACAATAAGGGTGTCACAACGAAAACTATTGCTGAAGAAAACTCGAGCTGAAATGAATCGATTTAACGATGTCTACTCCCTTAATTCTTGCTCCGATCCTTTTTCGCTCAAATCGCAACTCTTTATAAAATAGTCATTCTCGTAAATGAAGGGGTAGAAATCATCGCTTCGAGACTCATCGCTGTTTTCGTAGCCGTAATACCGGTAGCTCTTGAATGAAAAGACCTGCACGACCGAAAGTAAAAAGATGAAAAAGAGCATGAAGAATACGATGTTTGCAAAAGTGGCTGCAAAAGTTGCTTTTATTCCTCGCCGAAAGTTCTCGCTTTAAATCACTTTAAAATTGTGCGAATTACAGATTTAAGCGTTCCTGTTTTAAATTGATGACCTGTCAACTTTGAAAGTCGAGGTTGATTTTTTGAGTTTATTTTGTATTTTTTCGAAATGAATAAAACAGAAATCTACATAGAAGTAATGATGGTGTCTTTTCTTTCTCTTAGAAATTACTTTGCTGGATTTAGGGTCGAAGGATCAGTGTTCAAAGATTTGCCAATTGAATGCGAGTTTTTAGATTTGCTCATTTTTGGAGCAAGAATTGGGAAATTGTGGAAAACGATGAACAAAAAAGCAGGTAAAAAACAGGTTGTGAAAGCTTGGAACACCGAGTTTAACTTTTGAGCAAGCAAGAGTTTTTAGCTATTGAAATCGAATTCGTGAGGGCTCAAGAAGCAGAGCTAGAATGAAAAAGGATACTTTTCAATGAGATTTTTCTTAAATTTGAATCGAGAAAAGAAGATTTTGGGTTTTTTAAGAATTTTTTTAATATTCGGGGTCGTGAGAAACGGCGATAACGAGTTCATAATAAGTATTGAAAAAAAGAAAATACAGCAGAAAGCGGACTCAAGCCCGAGGCGACGACGAAACTCGCCTCGAGGAGGAAAAAACATGTTTTTGAACTTAGAATGTTGCTGGGCATTACGGGGAGCGGGTGGTACTTTTTATACTTTTTTTAATAGCTTTTTTATAAAAAAAATTTTTTGAACCTTGAACTTGAACATGACTCGTATTTGGCTGAAAAAGCACAGTACTAAAGTATTGTGCAAGTAGGAAAGAAAAAAAGTTGTGAAATGAGACTCGAGTCAATGTCACGAAGATGAACGAATATGTAAATCAACATAATTACGAAAGAAAATACGAATAAAATAGAAAAATGGAGTAGGGAGGAAGAATTCAGGCCCGAGGAATATTTGCAGAAGATATTTTGCATGACTGTTTTTCGAAAAAAAAGGTTGATACGAAATGATTTTTTCAGGTACGATGATTTGTGTCTGGGCAGTTTCGCATTTTTAAGCGCGCGGTTGGCTGCGTTTTGAACTTGGCGCGTTATTCTGGCTCGGTGGCGGCGTGGAGCCCGAGCCGGGCGACGAGGAGCTGGGGGAGCAGGAGCCGATGCCCGAGGTTGAAGAGGAATGAGATTCGGGAGTCTTCTGCAGACTCTGTTTCGTTGAACTGCGGATGATCTGGATGTGGTCCGTGTGGCGATTCAGGCGAAAGAAGGAGCTCGCCTGGGGCGGGGGCGACTCCGCCTCCACCAAGTCCTTCTCGTTCTCGGCCGCCATCTTCTTCCGCGCCGTGCCCATCGGGTCAACGATCGACTGGTTGAGTTTTGTTAGTTCTTGTGAGGCAAAAAAGATAACACCTAAAAAGACGAATTGAAATCAAGGAAGAGTTTCGTTTTTTCAATCGGACATTTTCGAAATTTAAAGGGGATTTTCAGCCAATCAGAAGGCAGTCTTTTCTGTCTGAATAGAATGTTCGCTTCTGATTGGCTTAAAACCCCCTATAACAGTGACTTGCTTACCTAGTAGTGCGAGATTGTTGAGGACATACATGAAGACATTCAAAATGGCTAGTTTGGGATGATCAGCTGGCTCGAAGCCGTTTAGCAACTGTGGAAAGAGCTCCTTTGTTTTCTGCACGATGTACAGTAGCACGAGGGCGGCGATGATCAGAATCTGAAAAGCGGTTAGGAGGAAAACAAGGGAAGGGGGACATGCGATGAGTCTGACGAGGGCAGTAGAGGAGGCGATCTGTTTGCAGAGTTTGTCCTTTTTGAGCGCGAGCGGGGACTTGAAGTTGCGAGCGGCGGGGGGCGTGTTTGACGCAGTCTTGAGGAGCTGGATGCCGACGACGATGGCGGTGAAGATGAAGAGCGAGTAGCAGACGTAGGAGATCAGGTCGCCGGACAACTGGCACGAGACGGAGAACATGTCCGGCGAGTGCTGGCACATCGTCTCGTACAGGCCCACCTCCACCACGAAACCAACGAGCAGGACTGCCCATAAGCACCCGCCGACTAAAATTGCCACTTTAAAATTTGAATCGTCAACTTTGGAAGGACTAAAAAGGGCTGCGCGCCGCGTAACTTTCAAGTGCCTGCAAACAGAATAAATTGGTCCCAATGACAGCTTTATTGCCCTTCAAAAAAAAAATCGAATAATCGTCATTACAATTTTTTTTTGAGGAACAAGTAAGTTTACAGTATTACAGTATCCATGATCGATTGATCATCCTAAGCGTGTTTAGTTCTAGCCAGCGATTTAAATATTTAATCGTTAGAATAGTGGCTCGCGCGAAAATGATATTTTCGAGCTCGAAAACTAATCGATTCTCAACTTGAGCAAAAGGGTCTTTAATTGAGAAACTTTACTGGAAATTTGGAATTTCACGCCTCATGACTTCCGGCGCCAATTCTAACGGACCCCTTCTTTTTTCAGATTGTTTGTTGTTTTGTCTATTTTTTTTTATTGCCAAAAACAATTTCCAAAGGATGAAAAAAAAGAGGCTTCTGCCCTTGGTTGGCGCGGGCTCAACGCGAGGGGGATGTTTTCAAGCTCGTAAGCAGCCTTTTTTGGATTCCAAATTCTTGAACACTAATTTTTTTTTTCATTATCAAATAACTCACTTTTGTATTCTCTTCCATGGAAAAGAAGAAGAAGATTCTCATTGAGAATTTGGACAAAGATTTCTTTCAAGCTCAAATTTTTTTCGGTGTTTTTCGTCATTTTTGATGAAAAATTGAGTCTCTTTTTCAATTAATTAAAAAAAGGTGCGAGAAGCTCTTTTTTTAAACTGGCTTGTTTTTGAGAATGTCTTGCGTTTTCGTCCTTTTCCGTCGAAAAAAAAACTGCTGACGGATTCAAAGTTTATCTACTAATTGTTTGTCGCGCGGGGTCTTCTGAGTTCTACATTCTAGCGCTGTGACTGGAACTCTCTCGGGGTCACGCGAACCCACCCTAAAAAGGTGTTGTTGCTTTCTCTTGTTGATCTATGGGGATGACAGGGGCCACCCAGGATTTAAGACGCGAATTTTGTTATTTTTCATGATGTTTTCGAAGAAATAAATAGCCCATTCAAAATACTGTAGCGCTGAAATTTTCAATACCGTAGCTACCGAGCTTTCTCGTCTACCAGACGGCCAGCAGTCTAAGACGGTCAGGCCCTGACCTTGAATTATGACCTGGAAAATCGATTTTACGCCCAGTTTTTCTTTTCGAAAATAATCATAAAAATAACCGTCGAGAAAAAAATTTTTTTTTGGCAAAAAATATTTTTACCTTTTACTGCTGAAGACCAAAAATTTGAAAATCCGAAGTTGTTTCTTTTTTTCATCCTTTTTTTCGCATATTATTTCTTTCTTTTTTTCGCCCGCGCAATTTTAAATTTATTTTTTCTTTTTTTCAAAATATTTTTTATCTTTCAATTTCTTTCTCTCTGGAAAAGCCGTTTAATCGTCAGGAAAAAGCTGGGAAAAAGCAGCGATAGTAGTTTTGAAGGGAAAATAAAAAAACTGGTCAGAGTTGGCAGTAGCAACCACGGCGCTGCTGTTTACGAATCGGAAAACACGCCAAAAGCCACGCGAGGTAGCCAAGCCAAGGAGAAAAATATTTCCCACTTCCACAAGAACCGTTTCTAACCGCATTATCCAACACTTTCAAACACTAAAAGTCAAATTTTCCATCGATAAATGAAAAAAACTCGCGAAAATTGAACTAAAATCGACCAAATTCCAAAAATCGCGAAAATTTGAGAGTTGATTTTTTCAAAAACAAAGAAAAAAAGTCAGTTTGTCTGATTTTTTCTTAAAAAAACAGACGCCAAAGATTCCAAAAAAGGCATTTTTGTAGATTTTCCATTTTTGGAAAGGGGCCAGGATCGATTCCCTTGAGACAAGGTAGAATGCATTGACACCCTTAACAATAGGAGAAGAAAAGTCGGTTTGTCAACTTACTAAAACGTTATCGCTTTGAAAATAGAACTAATTACAATAATTTCTTTATTGCTTTGATCGAATATTCCTTTACTACTAAGAGGGAAGTAGTCATTTTTGAATCATGTGAGAAAGGACAATAATCGCCAAGGGCGGTTATATAACATCATCAAATCACATGTTTGCTGTTGATGAAAAGTGCGGTGATGTTTGACTAATTCCCAGCGTAAAATTAAGAGCTCAAAAATAAGCAAATTCGTAAACACGCAAAAATTAAATTAAAAAAAAAACAAAATGAAAAAAACTTTGTCGAGGAAACTTTTTTGAACATGCCCCGGGCCCAGCTAAAAGACGATGAAACTTTTCTCGTAGTACTGGTGTTTTTAGTCCGTTTCCTTAACTCTTGATTGCTCTATAACTGTACATACCTATGACAATTGTCGTGACGCGGCGACGAGTACCCTGGACATAGCAGTGCATCTTGCTGTTCCAGTAACGCTGACTGTACTGGCTTGAGCTTGTCAATCGAAATCGAAGCGGGGGAGATGTTTTCTCTTCCAAAAAAAAACTCTCTATTCGAAGTTCCTTCCTATCAGAATCGCCATTTTTTGATTTTTCCTTCTTCTCTTTTCGGATTAATCAGTCTTGATTCACGCGCAAGAAATGCGCGACTTTGACTTTTCAGCGAGGAAGAAGGACGCAGCTGGGAGGAGGGAGTTGCAAAATTATCCGACGATAATTTGTGTTCTTTTCGGAAAGAGTGGCTTCTCCGTTGTGATCGTCTTCCTCTTTCTTTCTCTCTCTTCTGCTGGCCGCAAGTTGGGTCGCAAGTGGCGTTGCGCCCCTTACCGAACTCGTCCGCTGGTTGTTTTTCTCGATCTAGACAGCAACGTCTGAAAACACTCGTCCTCAAAACACTCCTTCGCCATCCGCATTCTAGATCTTCCAAAAGCACCTCGCAACTTCATCTTCTTCCTCTTCCTCGCTCCATCGTTTTTTCGCGCTCCATTCCTCTTCCACCCCTTCCCTCCCTAATTTTTCAACCTTCTTGCGAGAGTGTTTGTTTCTCTCCTGGCACGTACGCAGTTAAATGCGTATTCTCTTTAGTCATATGGTCGTTTTCCTTCTGACTTTGTTTTGATTTTTGACAACAAGAAATAACGTTCCTCTGGATCGTTTTTAGCCAATTGAAGTCGTCGAATTCGTTGGTGTCTGGTCGACAATGGCCTCGATGCCGCCGGCCGCCAGGATACAACGCTGATGTCGACAGAAAACGAGAGGAATCTGAGTAACCGATGCTACCGATCCCCGATCTGCCATCCGAGATTTCGTCGGAGAGACCGACTTTGAGTACAGAGCGATACACACACTCTCTCTCTCAGACGGGGGAATCTGAGAGACGACGCCTTGTCACCAGATGATCCCGTCCGAGATTCGATAGCTTTGTTTTCCAAGCCAAAAATGTCTACTCTTTCCAAACATATTTTCAACCGTCGTTTTTTTTAATTTGAAAACCTTTCTCTTTTTCTTTTTTTTTCGAAAATATTTTCAATAAAATTGGAAGAAAAGAAAATGAAAGGAGCATTCATTTCATTTAGGATCCACTCAGGCGTAGCAATTATGCAGTAGATGCTCGCTGTTGTTAGCGAGCTTCCGTAAACGATAATATGTTTTTTCCCATGGTCGTATGTTTGGTGAAATTTCTCACGTAGGGAACTTGTCTCTCAGACGAGGCGAGGTACTGGAGGCACTGGAGCTTGTACGAACCCGCAATATGCCAATTCAAGATCACCATTGCGTGTCGAGCGATGCAATTATAGCAAGCGTATTCTTGCTTTGCTGAATTAATTATTCGAATTAATTAATTTTCAAAGTTAAGTTTTTCAAGCCAATTTTTGTCTGCTAGACAAAGGCTGATAAAGGGCTAAAAAGAACACGCAAATAATCAATCCTCAAATGACAGGTTTTCTATCTCCAAATGTTGTCACGTGACCAGCCATTCTTCAAAGATAAAGGTTTTTATACTGTTTACGGTTTTTCGATCCCGGTTATTTGCGACTATTTGCATGTAAATAAAGCTGGATCGGGTCGACTTGGAACGCTGGCAAAAAATCAGCTGTTTCTTATTCTGCAGATGACAAAATGAATGTACTATTTTCATTTTAGAAATTAAGTATTCAAGACAAAAATATTATTTGGAATCAAAATACTATTTCGACGGAGAAATCAGTAATTAGGATATTTTGACTGTTACCCGCAGAAAGATACTATTTATATCGATTGTTTTATTTTTAATTGATCCTAATAAGATATCTGCTTTTTGCATCCATATCTTCGAGTTCTCTGCACCAGTTAACCGCATGGGACAGAAGGTGTATTCCACTGCACTTAAGGACTTTTCAGCTAAATAACTTCCGAACGAATTGTCCAAATTAGATAAAAATTAAAATGGTTGTTCCTTCATATAATTGGAGCAGGTCTGATAAGTTTCAAGGAATTATCGGTTACCAACCGCCCTCTGCACCGGATTATATGCGGCCTAATTGCCGTCCCGCTGAGTGTTTGCACATTGAAACCGAACCAATATCAAGAATTTTGTCTACTAAAAGGGGTTTTATATGATTTCGATATCGCTGACTTCAAATATTGAATTTACTTTTTCGAAAAATCTAAATAAGAGATAATTTTTGAAACCCCCCAGAGATAAATGGCATTTTTTCTGCAATAAGGAAAAGCGCTATGCAAATTTTGATAGCGGATTTGAAATCTGCACCCCAAAATTAGTATTGGGTATAATTTTCAAGTTTATCCGACCAGTAGTTTTCTTAAGTGCAGTGGAATACACCTTCTGTCCGAGCGCCTCTATCCCCCGATCTGTCCCATGCGGTTAAGTTATAATCACTCGCTTTTCGAATCAACTTGTCAATCAAAAATGAAGTTTACAAAGAATCTAGTTTCTTGTTAGAAAAAAATCAAGCTTTTATCCTTCAGAAACATCAAGAGGCCAGGGCTTGAAGCTTCGTCATAAGCTAAAAGGCCTTAATTACAGTGTTGTCTACAGTAGTTTCAAGTGAAGTTTATGATTTCTGCGCCCAGTCAGGCAAGTAGCCGAAGAAGTCGATCATGCTTCCGGTCGACTGCAAGTTGAAAGCCTCCTAAAAAGATGCAATAAAACGCCTGGGAGATGACTGAGTGAGTCGCAACCTTTGTCGGAATCTCGACTTTTGAAGCGAGATAGACTCGCGCGGCGTCTTTGGCCGCGTTGGAGGAAATCTGGCAATTCTGAAGGGCATTGAACAGCTCCATGAAGGAAGAGACGGCAGCGTCGACAGCGTCTGGCCGAAGCTGGAAAACGTTGCCCGCGACGTCTTGGGTCAGCGAGCCGAGAAAGTCGACCTCTGGCTCGAGCAGGTCCTGGGTCTTTGTTCGCGTTGACGGAGTCGCCACGGCTGCGGCCACAACTGTGACTCCAGCTGAAGCGGCTTTGCTAGCTGCGCCCAGTGCGCCCTCAATGTTTCCACTGAAAAAACGAATTGAAAAAACGAACAGAAAGGGAGTCGAATTGAGACGTTCAACAAAATATCACGTTCGGTAGCTCGATTCAAGTGTTTTCGAGCCTCGGAATTTTGGAGCTTGAATCAAGCTACTTCGGCGAGGAGACTCGAAAACATATTTATCTCACGCGAGACAGATAATTTCAATTCCTCCTTGACCAATTTTCCATTTACCTTTCCCAACCGTCAGAAATGACTAAAATCATATCGGCGATAGCGTCATCTGTGTCAAGACTTCTCGCCGCGGTGTTCAGACCAAGCATTGTTTTCGTCTAAAAATAAAGTCAGAAAGTTCAAAAAAGAAAACTTCATGAGACCTTATCTCCGCCCCACTTTAACCCATCAACGCTGCTGTCGATTTCCGCAGCAGAAACGAACTTGGCGGGGAAAATGACTTCTTCGTCGGAATTGGCGAATGTCGTCAACGACACCTTGACGCTGGCGAGATCGATGCTCTGGCGGATCTTCTTGACAAACTCGAAAACATCTGTCTTGCGATTGGTTTTGCCCGACACGTCGAGGAGAATTGCAAGGTCGCGTCGCCCGTCATTCTCCGTGCAAGTCGTCTTTGCTCCAAAATAATTGGAAACTTGCGTGGCACAGTTGTCGCTAGAATCAAAATTAACGTCATTCTGGGGTCAGTTTTGACCCCCTGTCTGTTCAAAATTTAGACTGCAGATCTGCAGTAGCAAAAGCAGACTTTAAAATTTACTTACCCCATCCAGCCATCGTCGCAAATACAGTAAGGTTGACTGTAGGCATCGACGTAGCAGGTACCGTAGTTGCTGCACGTGACGTTTTCACAGGGATTAGAGGCAGTTGTTGAAGTAGTCGTTGTTGTTGGCGGATCAGTCGGTGGATCAGTTGGTGGCTCCACAGTAATATCAGGAGGGTTGTAGTCCGAGCAAGTTCCAAGAGCGCTGATAACTCCCGAGCAGCACTCCCTCGCGTCGGTATTGTAAGTCCATCTGTGCGGAAAAGTCCCGCAACATTCCAAATCCCTCTTTCCCGCATTGCTCGTTGGAACACATGAGGCAGCGTGATCGAAGCCATTCGCGTTGATGAAACTGTCGTCGACGGTGGTGAAGCTGTTGAACATTTGCTGAGCCACTTCAACGTCACACAAGCACGCTTGATTCTCGCACGAGGTGTTCTCCGACTCGTCGCAGACGAACTTGTTTTCTTCCGGAATGTAGTTGGCGATGTATTCGACGTTGTCAGGATCACATGACTCGGCCGTTCCAGGATAGCCGATGATTCTCAATAAAATCGAATCAAAATCGGTTTCAACCTATCCTGAGTCCTTTTTGATACACTTGTAGCAGCGGTGCCAGTTTCGACACTGTTGATCCAGACCGTCTAATGCTCTTCCTGTCGAAGGGTTTCGATTTGAGCTGACAAGAGAGCACCACAAACCATGGTGCCACCAAGGCCACCCCACCCCACCCTGAAAAAATCGGGGTGCATCCTTCACCACCCCACCCCACCCTGGGAAAACTGAGGTGCTTCTGTGACCACCCCACCCCACCTCGAAAAATATCAAGGTGCTATACAAACACCCCACCCTCGAGGTGGGGTGGTCGGGGTGATTTACAACCCTGGACAAGACCAGCGCGTTATAAATTATAACATATAATCATAAACCCTTCCCTTTTCGCTGAGAATATAAGCCGGAATTCGGATCGATTTGGCACCAGCAGCCGTAGTTGATCAAGTTATTTGCGTCGAAATCCATCACGCCCTCCATCAAAAGCATAAATTCCGCCATTGACTTAGATTGTACAATGAACATACAGTTATTTGCAGTAAAAACTACTTACCTGAATCATCGGACGATCTCCTCCAGCCAGCCGACCTTGCTGAGTCAGAAATTGCTCCCATGTTATCTTTTTTCCGGAATCGAAAAATGTGAGTTCTCTTCCATGATTTCAATAGTTTTTTTTCTTGCGATTCCGAGTCCTGCGGAGTGAAATCTTGAGCTGCGACAAATGACGCGATGAAACTTCCTCTCATTTTGCAGTTGATAGACTGATTCGCGCGTCCATTTTATATGAAGTTCAGAGTGTCTGACATTTTGAAAAATTATGTTGATTTTATGAAGTTGCCTAATTTTATTGAATTTCGGAGCTGGCGAGAAAACGCAGCAAGAAATTTTATGCAATTTGTGGATAAATTGATTACTCATTCTGCAAAAAAAATATTCTCTCGACTGTAGAGTTCTGGCGATTTAGTCGAATCATCGTTGTCCACTAGAAAATCTGTCTTTCAGACAGTCAACTGCTTTGGCTCCAGTCTTAGGACTCGTCTTCGGGTTCGGATGGACGATTGCCCACTGTATCTGCTTGGAAGGCTTGGAGAAAGAAGGGGGTCTGAAAACGTTTGATTTTGATTCGTGCCAAATTTGGAAATAGCATTTCGATTCATTTTCGCAGCTGTGTGTGCCTAAACCGCCCAACCAACCGGTTGGTCTATTTATTTAGCAAAAAAAGAGAGTCCAAGCCCGCTCACACACACCTACGCATACTCTGATTGTACAGCTGACATTACCTCTTTTGCAGCCAGTAACTGCCTTTTTGATCACTAACACGCTAATAATAATAATTGATTAATAATAATAATAATAAAACGAATTCTGGCCCGACAGTCCAACTTCGATCAGTAACTTCCTGATGCAGTTCCTTCCTTCTACTTAAACAACGAATTCTAGACCAAGGAGAGCGCCGCTTTGAGCCCTGGTCCTGGAGGGTTAAGCAGCTTAACCCATCTATGCAAACGAGCGCAGAGGAGGCGGCGCGCGTTTCCTTTCGCTCGATACAATCTACCGTAGCATCACCTCAAGTTCAACTCTTCTGTATTTCAATTCGTTTCGACTCCCGAGACGAGTTATTTTTGTTTTCAAATTTCAAATTTGACGATTTCTCGATTTCGACTTTTCTATTTGCGTCTTTCGCCTGTACAGCAATAGCAACTCGCCGTTTTAGGAAAAATGACTTTATTTTATTTTTAAAAATGATCTGTAAATAGCGACCCGAAACGGACTTGAAACTACTATTTTGTAACACGCAACCACCAACAACATAATAAACTGCTAAAACAAGGAACAAATAAACATCTTATAAATAACAACTTTTTCAAACGAATTTCTTTCGAAAATTTTTGATCGATTTGGAATTTTTTCTTTTTTGAAATTGAGGAGAAAATGTCTTCCTTGATTTTAGTTTGAGAAAGTAGCAATTTAGCGAAAATTGCGATGATTTTTCTTTGGTTTATTAATTTTGATTTTATAGATTTAGGTACAGTAAAATTCATCAACAGGGAATATGATCGGACGAATAAATGTGCTCGAGTGATTGTTGATGACTTCTGCCGAGGCAATTTGTTCTCCATCCCATTCCAGTTTTTCCACGGCATAACTTAGTTCAATAATTTGGGTTGATTCTTTAAAACAACATACGGTTTTGAGTTGCCGCTAACAAGATAAATCGTATTTCCGATTCGCGCTGCGGAAGAGAACGAATGCTAAAGTTAAATTTTACGATGACTGACTTTAATAAAAGTTTTACAAATTCATTGAGCTGGCCAACCACGGTCCATTTGGAGTCGCGTAGTAAATAAACATCTTTTGAGTATTCGAGGACAAGAAATCCGTCGTAAACTCCAATGCAGGAATGAAAGTAAATTTTTCTACAAATCATAATTAAAAATATTTAAATCAAATTAGATCATATGATTTTGTATCGAACGTTTTCGTTTATTGGATAAACTTCATCAGGATACTAAACTTAAGATGAACGAAAAAGAAACAGAGGAAAAAGAATACTTTTATGTTGAGAGAGCAGTGTGAAATTGCTAACTGACGAAAACAGAAAAACAAGATCAAAAAATGGCTGTTTTTAGTCGAGCGCCAAGGTGGCCCAAAACAGTGCTCGACTAAATTAAAAAGTTTTGAACTGTTTGAAATCAGATTGTTCATTTAGGGAAGGTCGATGCAGTAAAATAAGAAATTGTTCAGCGCTTCTCCTTTGACTCTCATTAGTTAGATTAGTTTGCAGAACATCAAAGTATTTTAAAGCATAGTCATTTTTTGAAAATTTGTATCGAATTTTCGGAGGATTTTTAGAGTGAAAGGACTCTAGAGCAAGTTTCGATTGGGCGATTTTAGTCTTGTATTGACTGGTGAGATTTTTTGTGCTTGGCTCACTAATGTAAGTTTCATAGCTTTTTTGAAAGGTCTTGCAAGTGGAAAAATGTTTGAAGATGGAAGAAGACGCATTTTTATTCTGGTTGTTAGAATTAACATGTTCAGTCCAACGAATACCAGCTCTTCGTTTGGACTGACCAATGTATTGCGCTTTACAGTCACATTTCCAGGAATAAATGAGATCACACAAATCGTATTTTTCAGGGACTCTTTTGAGAAATTTGCCTAAGGCTCTTTCGAGTCGTATGGTTTTCCAACTAACGACTAGGCAAAAAGAAGGTGTTACTTTTGGGCCACCTTGGCGCTCGACTAAAAACAGCCATTTTTTGATCTTGTTTTTCTGTTTTCGTCAGTTAGCAATTTCACACTGCTCTCTCAACATAAAAGTATTCTTTTTCCTCTGTTTCTTTTTCGTTCATCTTAAGTTTAGTATCCTGATGAAGTTTATCCAATAAACGAAAACGTTCGATACAAAATCATATGATCTATTAACGAAGTCAACCCGAAAAGATATAAATCAAATTACTTTGGAAAATCTGGTAATTCTGTCCAAGAATCGCCGTCGAATTTCTCCACTTTTTTGCGGCCGTCAGAACGGTAGGAGCCGACTGCGACTGCGTGGTCGTGGTAGAGCGCCAAGCATGAATCTTCGTGCGAGTATTTCGTCGCCGGTTTTGTTGAAACAACGCTGCCGTCGAATTCTTCGCATTTTTTGTATTTTTCATAAGGAAAACAAATCAATGCTAAAAATAGGAAAAAAAGGGACTTCATTTTTTTAACATTTTGACGTTTCCTTTACCTGATTGTTGATCCGCCGCCGTTACAGCAGCAGAGCTCAAGGAATACGAATTGCCGAGTTTCGCATCTAATTCTTCGATTTCGCAGTCGTTGATCATCGCAATCTATTTTTTCAAGGAATAAAAATATTTATAGTTTACTCGCACAATTTCTCGCACAAAATTTTGACCATTTTGTCAGGCAGATTTCTCGAAAAAGGGCCGAATTGTGCGGGTCCGAAATTCGAATTAATTTGCTGTTACTTTAAAAAAGATCAATTTTAGAGCCCTAAAATGTTAAAATATCACTTTTTTCGTCAATTATCCCCGTAAATTCTACGTGTTTATCAGAAAAAAAGGTAAGAAATAGCATTTTTTACGTTTGAGCAAGCAAATTTAACAGAAATTCACAAAGATGGCTTGTTGAGCGAGTTTCATTAATTTTCGCAAAATTCGGAAAAAGGGCCGAATTGTGCGGGTCCAAATTGTGCGAGTCAACTGTATAAGCTGACACTTACTCTAAATTTATATTCTCCGTATCCACCAATAACGTAGACTTTTCCGCGAACCAAAGCAGAAATCGACCAGTAAAGGTAGTGATATTCATGACTTGAAGAAGGCATCTTGATTGTGCGGGAACTCTCGCTTCCGTCTGGCTTGAGAACGTAGCTCAGAAACTCTGTTTTTGATTGGTAAGAAAGCACCATCAACGAGTTCTTCTCTTGATTTTCGAGGTCTTCTCGCTCGAGATCATTTTTCAAATCCTAGCGAATCTTATAAAAACCAAGCTTCAATTTTCAATCAAACCTGAGTAGCCCTAGAACACCGCGCCTTCTCCTCCTTGATTTCATCTTTCAAATGTTCCTCTTCGCTTTTGCATTGCTCGATTTCGCTTTGAAGATCAGCATTTCTTAAAAGATAAATCAAGTCAAAAAGAGACCGACTGCTCACCTAATCTTCTCGATATCCAATTTTTCCTGAATCTCGCCCTTCTCCCTTTTCGCTTTTTCTAAATCTTCGTTGATTTCCTTCAAAGCAGCCTGTTTTTGATCCGTTCTCGATCTTTTAAGCTCCATGTTCGCAGCGATCAAGTTGGCATTCTCTCTTTTCAATCTTATTACTTCCTCATCTAAATTCATTCAAACTCGAGAAAAAATCTTCCCAAAATAAACCTTTTTGAGCTTGACCCTGAAGCTTCTTCCATAAGTTGTAATTTCTCGTTTTGAGTCTGAATCCATTTTGAAAATGAAATTTAAATGATGGAAATTACCGTTTTTCCTCGTTCGAAAGTCTTTCATTCTCAATTTTCAAGCTCGCCAGATTTTCAGAGAGATTCTCGGATTTTAGATAAAGAGCTTCAATTTCAGCTTTCAAATGCTCGTTTTCGCTTTCTAGCAGGGCGGTCTAATTTGCATTCTTGTAAATAATCTCGAAAATTTGCGAGATTAATCTTCTTTGGAAAAAAATTCTGAGATTAGTCAAGACTGGACTAGTTTCGAGATTAATCTTTTTAGCGAGGGTCGCGTGGCTCGGGGGAAAAATTTGGGTGGCGCTGGCGAGCTGTGAGCAGTGCGAGGCGGCGCGGACAAAATTTCAAGCTGCGCTCCAAGCATGTTTGAGTTTCATTTTTCTCTCGCGCCGTCGGCCATTGGTCCACCAATCACAGCGCGCGTTTCAAGATTATTTGAAATAATCTCGGAACTATTTCGAAAATTTCCCGAATTAATCTTTTTTATTCAAACAGACTAATCTCGCGTCGAGATTAATGTTATAAGAATAAATGAATAGTCTTCGGAAAAAAGACTATTTACAAGAATGCAAATTAGACCGCCCTGCTTTCTAGGCCATTTGAATGCTCCTCAAGATCAACCCGTTCATTTACTGCTGAAATCAATTTCGCAAAAAATACAAGAAAAACGATCATTTCTCTTTTGAAAAACTCTGTCCTTCGGAGCCAATGGTAAAAAAGCCGTGAGTCACCTTCTGAGTAAAGACGTGCCTTTCAGTCTGAGAGTCTGAGAGTCTCAGTAAATTATTAATAATATTCATTATTAGTATAATTAATGCCAGTAACTAAAGGGTTCACGTGACTATCAAGCTATATTTTAATCTTTTTCTTTCTTGAAATTGAGATCATTTTTCATCCCTTGGCTCGGCAACCTTTTCGGAAGTTTGGCCCAAGACTTGCCACTTCTCGAAAATAATGGACACTAATCGGCGCGCTTTTTTGCAGCGCCGACAAATCGCTTCTTCGATTTCGTCGAATCAAATTTTTGATTTTTGAAATTTCTTTATTTCTTGGCAGAAAGTTCATTTTTTCAAAGCTCATTTCTCAGTTCTTTTCTTCCAATCATGTTCTGGTTGATTTTCTCCCAAATTGGCTTGTTATGTTCGTACATTTCAATTCTCTCTTCTCTGATTTGATAGAACTCGATTACGATTCGCTCTAGAATTCCAAAATTCTCGTCGTTTCTTGGCAGTTGCTGGAGGACGAAGCCGAAAACCTGCCATTCGTGTTTCTCGAAATTCCAGCAAAACGCCGGCGCCCCAAGATCTAAAAAAAGGAATGAATTGCTAATTGATTCTCTTTTGAACCTGATTCTTCGGGAGAATAAGGCTTCTGGCCCTTGGGCTTGGCCCACCAGACGCCTTCGTGGCCTCTGAACCCCTCGAGATGCTTCTTGTTTGACCAAATGCTCCATTTGATCACATTGAAATGAGCATCTGGATTAGTCGGGTTCATTTTCGGACCGATTATCACGCAGCGATCTTTGTCTTTATGCGACTTGTTTCCTTGACGTTTCTGAAGCAGACGATTTCAACCATAAAAACGAGCAATTCGAATTACATAAATATTTTTCTCGACTTCTGGCCAGGACATCATCTTCGCGGGCTTGGAATACTCGCCGAGAATAAAATCGCCGCGCGCCTTCAAAACGACGTGGTAGTACTGAATTCGAATCTCGTCCACGATCTCGAATCGGCCATCGAATTTTGGGAAAATGCGCCGTATCGGACGAAAACTTCTCCAGCCGCAATTTCGTTTTTGGAAATTTTCTTTTGGTCGTAGCATTCTCGGACTAAAAAGAACATCAATACTCGCTTCGAAGAGCGAAACCTACTGGTGACGAAAAAGTGTTTGCTGACAATTACTCCTTTGCAGTGAATTGGCTCGAAAGCATTCCATCTGGGCTCGAAAACCTGTGCAGAAAACATGAGTCAGGGTCTGAATTTCAGAAATATTCTGAACGAAAAATTACTCATATTCTGAAATTTTCAACAAAAGACTCAAAAATGAAATTTGATTGAATACTCTGAATGTTTACTCTGCAATCACAAATTGAAAATCTCAAAGCCGAGTCACGTTAAACGATTAACAGCCAAATAAACTCGTAAAAAATTCTTGAAATGAAGGGAAGTTTTAAAAAGGAAGAGAGTTCAGAAGATGCTTCATCTGTTCCCTTGAATGTCGTAGTCAACGTCAGCAATCAAGTTAACAACCAAGCAGAAAAGAAAGGAGAAGAGAAGGAGAAAAAGGAGAAAAATCGTGCATGAATAAACTAAAAGGTCTTTCGCTGATTTTGAAGATTGCAGTGGCTCTTCTGACCATCCACGGAATCGTTACGCCTTTGATTCTTTCGAAAATGGGTACTCGTTCAGACTCGCAGGACAATTCTACCGATGCGGAAGCTTCAGGTAAAGCTTATGATCTGAACACTGCCAGTGCAAATTTTGTTTAACAACATTTAAAAATTTAACATAGATGTTCTCCGGCTTCAAAAAGAGATCGAAGAACTCAAAAACAGTCGCTCATTGATGGTTCTTTCTGGTTATGAATCTCAAACAGAGATTCTGAGCTACGTTGTCAAACCAGACGGAAGCAAGAGTTCTCGGACAATCAAAATGCCTCCTTCAAGTCACACATATCACTATCTTTACCATTCGATTTCTGCTTTGATTCGCGGAAAAGTCTACATTTTTAGCGGATACCAAGATTATGAATTCAGAGTAAGTGTCAGCTTATAAATATTTTTACTCCCTGGAAAAATAGATTTCGATGATAAACGGCTGCGAAATCGAGGAATTAGATGTGAAGCTCAACAATTGGTATTACTATAGCTCTGCTACAGTCACGGCGGCGGATCAACAATCAGGTAAAGGACAAGTCGAAATGTTCAAAAAATATTAAAATTTTTAGCATTAATTTGTTTTTCCTATGATGAATACAAAAACTGCGAAGAATTCGACGGCAGCGCGGTGTCAATAAAACCGGCGACGAAATACTCGCACAGAAGTTCATGCTTGGCGCTCTACTTCGACCAACCAGTTGGAATCGGCTCCTCCCTTTCTGACGGTTACAAGAAAGTGGAGAAATTCGACGGAGGTTCTTGGATAGAATTACCAGATTTTCCAAAGTAATTTGATTTAAATATCTTAAAATAATGATTTGTAGAGCAATTTCCTTTCACTCCTGCATTGGAGTTTACGACGGATTTCTTCTCCTTGGAGGTTATTACTCTGATGACCGAGAAGATTCAAAAGATGTTTATTTATTTCGCGACTCAAAATGGACCGTGGTTGGCCAGCTCAACGAATTTGTAAGACTTTTATTAAATTCAGCCATATAAATTTAACTTAAGCATCGGTTCTCTTCCGCAGCGCGAATCGGAAATACGATTTATCTTGTAAGCGGCAGCAAAGAACCGTATGTTATCTTTAAGAATCAACAAAAATTATTAAACTTAGTAACGCCGTCGAAAAACTGGAATGGGATAGCGAAAAAATATCCTCGGCAAAAGTCATCAACAATCACTCGGGCATTTTTTTCCGGCCGATAATATTCCCTGTCGCTGAATGTTTCTGTGCATAAACTTACTCTCAGTCAAATAAACAAAATTTACTGAAAATCAGACGCCTCTTTTTGCTACAAGTGTCCCTGCCTTACCTTCAAACTTAATAGACCCTGACTGAGTTTTTCTTCACAGGTTGCCGAGCCCTTCATTCCATACGTCTTTGGCGTTGAGTTTATCCTTGTCCAAGTTGTACTTTTTCCTGTACAATCCTCCGTAGCTGGAAACATCCTCGAATCTAGCAAGTTTTTGAAACCAGAAACACTCTTTATTCACTTTACCTCAAATATTCATATTCCTGGTTGAGCCAGATTCCACCGTAGAAGTCCTGATCAAACACCTTCTTTTCATTAAAAACTACTGACTCAACTAAGCCTAGGAGCAAAAGCCAGATCATTTCTCTATTTTATTTTATTGAGAAATGCTGGAAAACGCCTTGAAAAATAGTTTTCTAGAGAAAATAAGCAAACTTCCATTTAAATTTTAAAACAGTCGCGCCATTAAAAAGCTTTTCTTTTGAATAAGATTAAGGACAAAAGGATCCCAAAAGGTCATCAACTCGAGGCATTTCCGCGGCGCGGTACGTAAAAATACTCAAAGCGCGAAATTCTGAGCTTTTTTTCCTTCAAGCTCGCGAAATCGAAAGATCGTAAAAACGAAGAGACATAAACCGTTACATTTCGTCGCCGACAATCGTCTTTTGTAATTGAACGAATTCTGAGTGTTTCCTGAGAGAGAAAATAAAGAAAACAGCTGTTTTTTTTAAGAAAAATTGTCTTGTGAATCGATAAAAAAAAGGTAAAAAATAGCTCGAATGATGGTTTTTCCCTCCAATTTGCCCTGAATATCAACAATAATTGCTCAATTCCGCGGAAAAAGAGAGAGCGAGCGGCTTCATAAAATTACTGTCTGTTTGCCAAGCGAGAGCGAGTCATTCGATGATTTCTTCGTTTTCAGAGTCCGTGCGAATTAAGATGCAAAAAGAAGGGCTGATCAATCGATAAACTACGTGCCAATATTCGAAGAAAAGAGAGAAAGAAAAAGGGGCCCTTGAATTAAGTTTTTTTCTCCAGTGATTTTCAATCAAGAAAGAAGAAAGAAAAAGAAATGAAAATGCAGCCGGCGTGAATTTCAAATTTGCTCAAACTTGGCTGCATAAAAACTTTACAGCTCAGTCTTCAAGCTTCAAGCTTCAAACAGAAAATAGGAAATCAACGAAGAAGAAAAAAGAGAAATGCTGAAAAGAGGGAGAAAACGCTCAGGAAAAGGGTCAGCTTCTTTTTATATCTTCTGAGAGAAGAACTTATGAAGAGCAAATATTGATGCTTCTATTTCCTGTTTTTTCATCGCTGGTGACGCTTTTCTATTGTCGTAATTATTCATCTTAGGAAAGTGTCAATTTTTATGATCATCTATTAATAACAGACTATTATGGAATAGTAAGCTGAAGTTACTAGTAGAAACTTGGTCACGAGTGAGTTGTACTCTCAAAACAATACACATGGCGTCATTTACGTTTTTACGATTGCGCTTCTAAAAAAGGGATATCGTAAAATACCGCGGCGGTCTAGCCTGCCTCTCAGGCATAATTCTCAAGTCAGCATTATCGCCAATCACGCGTTCGCGAAAGAGAGAAAGTAGTACCGCGGTCAGATTATCTCAGAAGGCCGCCGCTTTCTGAAATCTGTAAATTGCCGAATCCCCCTTTTTTGGCTTTTTTCTAAGGGCATTGAATACAGAAGTAATTGAGCGATGAAAATTCTCAGCGCGGCGCAGTGCTGCTGACCCTAATCGATAGTCTGGGCCGAAGTGAACGAGTGGGACGACGACCAGAGGGCCATCAGGGGCAACAATCAGGCAAAGGGCAAAACTCACGAGAACAAAAAAAAAGTTCGAAAAATATTATTTTTTGCAAAATTTCGCCAACTATTCTGGAGGCAAAGCAAGGTAAGAGAGGGGGAAATTATGGAATAATGGGCGGGAAATTATGTGGTTAGCGATTCAACTTGAGAATCAAGGCGAGAAAAATGGAGGTTTGAAGAAAATAGAGATTTTTTTGTTGGAAAAAAAGGATGACTAGATTTAATCAAATAGGTAGGGAATGAGTACGGGAGAAAAATTACTGCGTCAGAGAAAATGGCCGTAAAAATGATTATGCGGTTCATAAATTGCTTATTAATCACGATCATCGTTGGAGAATTTTAACTGAGAAGATCATCATTTTTAATCACAGCAGAAAGACAGACGTTCTGTCTCCTTTGAGAGTTCTTTGATTGTTTCGCTCTTTTTTTCCGTAAAATTTGCGCAAGACAGCGTCAGAATCAGAATCAGAAAGGCTTGAGTTGAACTTGTGTTCTTGCTCGTAAACGTGACATTTACGTCTTTCCCTTTCTCTTCTTTTCTGATTACTATCTCGTAGTGCACCTGCTCAGCCAGCAGTACCACTACTAGCGTGAAAGCAAATCGACCGGAAAGTCGAGAAAAAAAACTTTCGCAAAAAGAAATTTTCGATTTTCCCCTCGAGGGGCCCCAAGGGCTCCCAAGCGGAGTGATTTTCAAAATAGAAAAAAAAAATCTTTCAAGAAAAGGTCGAAAACTTCAGACTTTTTTTGGTTGGAAAGAGAAGAGTTATTTAATGAGTGATTCACAAATTTGCTTTGCATAATAATGCACGCAGGCGATTTTATGGGAGGGAAAAACGCACGCGATTGACTCCAAAAAGAGAGAAAAATTCGGTGGGGTGGGGGAGAGATGGCTTCGGAGATTGCGACGATTGAGACGGTCGAGACAGTGAGTACCTGTAGCAGTAGTTTGCCCCGAAATGAGTCCGAATCTAAAATGCCAGAAGACGAGACCTCGGGCTTTCTTGAAGATCAAACTTCAGAAGGAATTGATGACAAAAATTATCAGTCAAAGAAAAACTAGAATTTTTAGTCGTAAATTTGTTTTTACGAACGAAACTTCTCATAAATTTGAGCTTTATTGAGGCTCATTTGAAAGAAAAGATCATTTGGAATTTTCTGCTGAGTTTTATTTTTTATCATTTTTTTGTTTTTGTCATCTCGGAAAAGACGATTCTGAGACGATTCCAGCGCCGCGAAATGGAGCCGAGCGATCCAGCAGCCTCAGCCACTCGACGATCCACTACTCGGTGGCGCAGCTCATCGGCGACGTAATCGGCTTTTGCAGGACCTGCGTGAGATTCTCCGTCATTACCACCGGTCTAGTGGAGCACATTAAATGGTCTAGATGGGCCTTCGTCGTCATCGAGTTCATCATTCTTTACACTTCATCTGCTATGCAGGTATCAAGCCTTTCTTTCTTTAATTTCTACTCGAAACTTTCAGCTTCTCAACACAGAAAGAAAACCGACGATCACGACTTTCTTATTGTTCTTAATTGGGCCCATTTACTCGACTCTTCAAACGCTCTTCTCGCACGCCAAATGCATATTCTACGGTCTGCAGAATCGACGTCATAAAGGGCTTTATGGAAGGAAGCTGATGATCGAAATGGAAGCCATGGCCAGACACTCAGCTCTTTACTGGATGACCGAAGATGCAATGCTCCTTGGCAGCAGGTACTTTTCAAGGCCGAAAGCAAGTCTAACTTGAATTCTAGCGCGTTGTTTTTGACTCTGGCTCATCAGGCCGATTGGCTTCAATTTCCTCTTCCCAACAAGTTTTTTCTCACAAAATCCATCAGACAGGTACTTTTTCCTCCTTTTCGGCTTTTTTCAAACAAAATTGCAGGTTTGTATGGAGCGAAATGGGCTGACAAGCCTGAATGTTCCGGAATGGGTGCTTTGCGGCGTCGGCTGGATCCTGACGTTCTTCAGTTATTGGCCAATGGACTACCTCTTTATTACGAGAATCTGGATTTTACTGTGGAGTTGTATGTGGGCCTGCGACTTTGTTGACTTTACCTGGAGTCTGTTCGTCTTTCCAAAGGTCAAAGGAAGAGCGTTTCGGCCCGGGCCGGTTCCGCAACTGCACCAAGCAGTGAATCGACTCATGGAACTTGGCTTCAGAGCATTTGCAATTGTCTTGTCTTCTTCTTTATTCATACCGATGATTTTCCGCAGCTTGCTAGCAGGTAGAAACAACACAAAATCTCCCCAAAACCAAGCTTACCTTCCTAGACGAGCACTTCCACGACAAGGACATCTTCATGAACGCTCTTTACACTTACGGCTACGAAGCTGTAGGTGCATTCGCCCAGCCGATGAATGACACGGAAAAGAGAGAGTGCTACAAACCCCCGATCTTCAGCGATTGCCAGCAGTACAATCTCGTTTCTTACAATGTTTCAGAAGAGATTCACGACATCAAGAAGTCTTCTCAAATCGTCCTAAAGGTACAAAAACAGCGATAGAGACAAAGAAACAAAAGTTCTAGCGCGACTCGTATTCGGAAATCCACGAAGCAGTTGAGTACTCGATCCTGATTTACTGCTTGATGATGATGCTGTTGACGATTTTGTACCACTGCTCGACGGAATACCTTCGCAGAGGGCGAATTCGCGTCACGGAATTTCACGTCATTCTTCAGAAGTCGGTCCTCTTCGCTCCTTATTCGAGATATCTCTGGGGAAAGCGCAAAAATGAACCGTCAAAGTTTCGCTCAGGTAAATAAAGAATTGGGGAGTTGACGTTATTAGCAATGTTTACTCAAGTATACATCGCTCTTCAAATCGCTTCAATTCCAATGCTGATCGGCATCGCCGGCTACGTCCTGATGGATTTCACTTCCTACGACTTCCCACTCATCGAAGGTGCTACAGTTTGGGAGTCCGTTCTTCAGACCGAGTCCTACCCCGGCGGCGTTTTTAACTACATCGCCAAGTACCTGCACTACTACATCGGGACGAACATCTGGGCAGTGACCGTGCTCCCTTGTCTCATGTACTACACGGTCTACTGTTCTTCCATCCAAGTCTATTTCAACTATCTTCCCAAAATCCGCAGCTACGAGTTTAGCTCCTACCGTTCAAAATACACCCGCTTATTCGGCGAATATCAGTAATATTCAGTAACTAATTCAGCTTTAACCAACTTATTTATTTCAAAGTTTCAAACCAAGGTTCGCTGTAAAATTTTGTACAATATTACAGTAATGACTTCTGTATTTTCCGCTTATTTCGAGATCAGCATTTACTATCTATTAGATTGAATTCTACCGCTAGCAAGTTATACCATCAAAAATCATCCCTCTTCATTCAAGACCACGCTTCATGTTTTCTGTATTCTGTAAATAACCAAGCAACTGAATAAATTTATATATTATTTAAAATAATTCAGGAGCCTTTTAAATTGCTGGAAGAATGTTTATTAGATAGAAGTGCACAATTCTACAAAAAAAGGAGTTGCAAGTTTCTCGATTTTTTAGTATTAAAATTTTTGGAATTCTAAAATATAAATCTTTAAAAAATGAGTTACAGCACTAGCGGAATTTTTCGGAACACGGTCATGGAAGTCAGTACAGTGGAACAGAAGGGCGTGGTAATGAGAAAAAAAAATGATGGTCGATTGATTGATGGAACGGTTTCTAGGAGTGTTCTGGCCGGTAATTGCGGCCGAGGCAAAATGAGGATAAGGAATAGCTGCGCGCGTCGAGCTCGTTGAAGATCTCGGCCGTGCTGGTAGATTCTAGCTTTAGTTTCTGAATAAATGGCTCGAGAAAATACAGAGTAAAAATGATTTGATTAAAGCTTCATTGGGAACTCCCAAAGTTAACCCCCGAATACCCTCACTTTGAGATCGGAGCGACAGGGCCTTCTTTGAGATTGCCCGCTGTAATTTCTTCGAGCCATTCCTGAAGTGAAAAAGGTTTGAAAACGTCCCCGGCGGTCGTGGGAGTTTCTCGGCCCGAGTCTCCCGAAGTTGAGCCGCCTTCGGAGCCGTTTTTGTTGTCAGAAAGCTCGTTGCTCTCCAATTTAGCATTTTTGCGCTCTGGTTTATGCTGCTTTCGCACTCGCTTTGCATCCTTCTGACTTTGATTCAGCAGAACTTGCAGGGCAGCTAGCTCGTCTGTCGAGTCCAAGCCCGAATCGATTTCTTCTAGCCAGTGGTTCGAGGCGCGCTTCATTGCAGGCCGATAGCTTTATAGAAGAAGGATGAGAATCGAATTACAAATAATTGAGCTTACCTCAAAAAGTGTTTTTCCGTCAAGCCAGCTGGAATAACTCCATGAGTATTTCCCAGCAGCGCTGCAAAAGCATAAGGAATCACCCCAGTTTGCTGGTTCACCGCGGTTTTCGCCGCTTCCGGCAACTTTCTCGGAGATCTTCGGATGATGTTATCGCCCGATTTGAACGTCACGCAGCCCAGAACTTGTGGCTGTTCTGGCTCGGGAGGCGGTGGCATGCTTTTTGGCGCTTCGGGGAAAGATTTGCGCTTTTTCGTCAAAGATCGGTCTTTTGTGATTTTTCCATTAGCGGATTTCTTTATTCTAGTTTTCGCCACTTCTCCCTTCTTTTCGTAAGGCAGCGATTTGTCTGGCGCTTTTATCGATTGTCGCAGACGATCTGGCCGTGCTGGCGATTTTTTGAGAGACAAGTCCTTGTTGATTTTCTCCTCTTTCTTGATTCGCTTCGCCTCTTTTTCGGCCTGTTTCTTTTCTCGCTCTAGAATTCTCTTGGCTTGGCGGGCGAGGCGCTCGACTTCCAGCTGCTCGCGCAGGAGCTTCTTGGGCGATTTCCACAGCTTGGCGGCTTTGAGCATTTCTTCCGAGAACTCGATTCTGCCCAGGTCGGTGATGGTCAAGTTCGGGGGACGGAGGATTGAAGAGCGAATCGATTTTATTCGCGGCTTTCGACTGTTGCTTTTTGGGCTGATTTTTTCTATTTATAGTAGTTTTTAGATTGGTACATAGATATTCTGCTAGGTTAATTAGGACATTATCCACGTAGGAATATTGTTTCTTTCTCATCATGTGATTGTTGTTTTATGAGAAAGAGTGGATTTAAAACTACGGATTAGCATCATAATCATTGACGATGAATTTCGATCAGAGTAAAAGAGCCCTTGCCTAGAAGGAGAAGTTGTACCATTTTGATTTGAGGTAATTTCGGATTTGGACAAGGCACTTTTCGGCGGCGAAGTTGTCGGCTTCGCGGTAGTAGCTTCTGACGTCGGCAGTTGATCTGATGATGATGATGGTGGTTTTGATAAGTCTAAATCTACAGAAGCGTTCCCAGGTTAATTTCTTTCGTGGGAAAGGGGGAGTTTACCTTGATGTTGAGGCGGCTTCGCGGAGTCTTGAGATGATGCTGATAATTCTGATTCTGAACTTGGCTTTTCCAAGGAAAGTGCCAAAGGAAAGCAAGTGCTTTCGACTTTCGTTTTCTTGCTATTTCGCTTTTTCGCCGGTTCTTTTGAAGTTTTCTCCTTTTCTGGGGAAAGTCCTGGCAGAAGATCCTCGTCTACAAGCGATTCGTCGCTTTCCTGATAGTTTTTCTTCGGAGTTCGACTCGGTCTTCCAGCGCTCGATTCTTTTACTGGCGGATCTTTTGATTTCTTCGGCGGTCTTCCGACTTTCTTTCGATTCTTCGCCGTTTTGGACTGGTTTTCTTGAGCTGAACTTGGCTCTTTTTCTGGAGAGGAGGAACGGCTCATTTCTTCGATTAGCGATTCGTCGCTCAATGATTCATGGTAGCTTTTCTTCGATGCTCTGTTTGGTCTTTTTCGCGGAGCCGGATTTTCTTCGGAAATCGGACACTTCTCGGACAGTTTTTCGATTTCTTCAGCTTTCTTGATTTCCTCGCTATTTGGCTTTTTCTTTGGCGTTCTGCCTCTTTTCTTTGCAGCCATTTTTTCTTCGCTTTTGACGACTTTTTCGGGTTCAATTTCGGCTTTCGCGATTTTTCCTTCTTTTGGAAGCGGCAAATCTCTTTTCTCCGGGCTGTTCTGGCTCTCTAACGAAGAGTCAAGAAAAACAGGAAAGGATTCGCAGGATTCTATCAGAAACATAATGTCATCTTCGTGCAGCAGTGGACCGCAGCGGTGCGAGGCGATCGATCCGATTTTCTTAAATACAGCTACTTCTTCTTCTGAAGCCGCCCTATTCAAAAATAGATGAATAATTTATCAAAGTAATAAAGAATAAGAGGCGTTCAAATCAGGGATATATTTTTGCCTGAAAATGAGCGAGCGATGAGCGGTATTTGAGCGATGAGCGAGCGGAGCAATAATCCGCTTGCGGCTTCGAGAAAACGATGCGATAGCCGCGCTTTGCGTGGCTTTTTATCATATTCTCGAAGCCGCAAGCGGCTTTATTGCTCCGCTCGCTCACGGCTCAAACACCGCTCATAGGCTATAGTCATAGCTCGCTCATTTTCAGCCAAATTCTAAAACCTGGTTCACATTCTTACCGGAGCCGCAGATTCAAAAACTCCGCCCTTTTCTGAACATTCGATTTGTGCAGTCTTCTGTCCTTGAGTTCTTTGCAGCAAACCCACCGCTCCTTCTCACGCTCGATCCAGCCAAGAGAGACGCCGCAAATCTAAAAATTGCGTGGTTTGGAAATTTTAAAAGTCTGACTAGGAGATGAAATTATGTTTGTCAAAAATGACTAAATTCAATTGCGAATTTGGGAAGAAAAAATTGTCTTATCAAAAGTTTAACCGTCTAGAGGGGCTCGGCAACCTGTGTAAAAAGCCTGAGTCAGATTTTGAAAAGCGAAGCGGCTTTGGATTTCAGCTTTTCAGACCCTGACTCAGGTTTTCTTCATAGGTCGCCGAGCCGAGGAATACGTAACCGAATTTCCAGTTTATTTCAGTCAAGCGGAAAATATCTATATTTTTTCTATATCATGAAGATAAAGATCTACAGATATTAGAAAACAGATATTTTCCGCTTGAATGAAATAAAATGAAAATTCGGTTACGTATTTCTCCCAAATTCGGTCACAAATTCAGTAACGTAACAGAGCCTCCATTTTGATTACAGTCAATAATAGCTAATTCAATGATCGCTACTGTAGTCAATTAAAAATGTACCTCACTCCTGCCGTGCTGGGCCATGGGCACGGCTCTGCGCCAGAATTTTCAATTTCCGCAATTTTCAAGTTTTCACTTTTCTTTTTCTATTTTTTTCTTCAAAATCTTCTTTCTCTTTTCTTCGACTTCAATTTTCAACTCAATATCTTCCAACAATCGTCATTTTCTCAATTAATTTTTCGACGAAAAAAATTTTTTAAAAGATATTTTTTTCGAAAAATGGTTCGAATTTTGGGTTTTGGAACGGTCGGTGGATTTTCGGCGAGCTGGGCGGTTTTCTACTACCTCGAAGTGTCTCATCTCGAGCTGGAACTGGCTCCGGGCCCAATAAGCGCGAGCGGGGGCGCCCGGACGCCAAAACGACCAAGGGCGCGGAGTTTGCCCCAAAGGCGCGAGAAAACCCTTTTTTACGCTGAAATTCAAGGACTTCTGAACAACTTCTGATTCAATCGACCAGCGGAGATTCGCTTTATTGGATTGATTAAATCCTTTATCGAAAAAACTCGATTTTCGCCGCGAAAATGAGCGAAAAATTTGAATTTTCTGGAGAAAAAAACTAACTTTTTCTTTGTAACTTTCAATACTTTGTGAATTATATCAAATAATTCATTGATTATTGATTAAATAGTGAATAACAATGAAAAATAGTTTTTTTTCTAAAGAAAATTCTCGTTTCGCCAATTTTCGCGGCGAAAATCCGTCTTTTTCGATAAAAACTTTCATATCCTGAAGACTCGTTTTATTCAAAATCGTGATTTCAGACAATCAATGGCGATGGATTAAGAAAATGGACGATCTGCCAGATCCGAACGACGTTCCAGAATATTTGTTTTCGATCCCGGAAGAAGAACCAAATCCAGAACTTCTGAAGCTTTTGCCGCAAAAGTCGACTCTCGAGCAGTTCGTCGACGTTGGCATTTACTTTGTCGCCGTTTTTCAGGTTCTTATTTCTTTCTTATCTTCTTTTTCATCCCTTTTAGATAATCTGTTTCTTTGCCTGCTTCTTGCTGCCAGAAAGAACTGAAGAAACAGCTCAAGAAGAATCCGAAGAAAAGCAAAAAGAAGAGCAAGAGAAGGAAAATCCCAAAGAAACTAAAAAGAACAAATAATCAGAAAAACAAAATGTCGAATCGAGATATCTTCGAAAAACCTGGCAAGAAGGGGCTTCCTTGCAATCCTGGCTTCGTAAGTTCTTTTTTTAATTTTAAAAAATGAAGGAAAATTTAGGTGATCCGGAATGAATGGAAAAAGTCGGACAAAGCAGCGGACAAGTCGGAAAACCTGATCAAAATCAACAACTACACGGACATTCAAAGAAACAAGCTCGACAAGTTATTCGAAAACGTGGACAAGCCGGTCAGCATTCCCGCCAAAAAGGAGTGGAAGTTGCGCGATCCCGATGCTACTGTAAGTTTCAAATCGTCAATCTCAACTTTCTCTAAATCCTTATTTTTTTGCAGCAAAACGAATATGTCCGAAATGTGATGGGTTCTAGCGCCGGTGCGGGCTCTGGAGACTTCCATATCTATCGGTAAATGTCAACCGCCTTTTCCTTCCTATCTCCCCCTTTTCAACCCTCCTAAAACCGAATTCTAGCGGTATCCGTCGCCGAGAAAACCAACGAGAAGGGTACAGAAGAGCGATGCAAAAAGCCGAAGACGACAAAAAAGAATTCAACGATTGGTTGGAGAAAACTAGAACTGCCGAAGCCGAAGCCACCAAAAAGGTTTGAAAACCCTCCCGTTCTTCATTTCCGAGCAATCTTTCAGAAAGCGGACAAGCGAAAAAAGAAGAAAGCAGCGAAAAAAGCGGCGATCGAAGCCGCCAAAAAAGCGAAAAAGAAAGCCGCGAAGAAAAAACAAGCCGGAGAAAACGGCGAAAAAGAGGCTGAATCTGAAGAGTCCGAGGAGTCGGAAAACGAAGAAGAGCCCGCTTTAAAAGTCGCAAAACCTTCCGTTGAAATCGAAACAGCGCCGGTCATTTTCAAACCAAAGATACTCGACTCTGAATCTGCCAATCCAGAATAGAAAAAAAAACGGCAATTTCTCAAAATTCATCGAAAATAATTTAGAAAAAATATCGCGAAAATGGGCCAGTTTGGCTCACGTGATCAAAGTTTGGGCGAAAGCGTCCTGGAAGAAGTGATCGAATCGATCAAAAACGAGACGATTCAAAATGTGATCATCATGTGCGGCGCTGGAATTTCGACGAGCGCGGGCATTCCTGATTTTCGATCGCCATCTACTGGCTTGTACTTCAAGCTGAGAAAGTACAATCTGCCTTTTCCGGAAGCTATTTTTGAAGGAACGGCTTTCTTTCTTTTCTTATCTTATCTTTTTCAATTCATTCCAGGAAGAAAACTGACCTGAAGCCAGTTATTTCAAGCAAAACCCGGCGCCGTTTTACCACCTCGTCCGCGAACTGTTTCCAGAAGAATTGACTCCGACGGATACGCATCGATTCTTCACCTTGCTTCATGAAAAACGCATCTTGAAGCGGATCTACACTCAGAATATCGATGCTCTCGAACATATCGCTGGAGTTCCCGAAGAAAAAATCATCGAAGCTCATGGCACTTTTCACAGAAATCATTGCGTAAAATGCAGAAAGGACTATTCGCTCGATTGGTTGAAAAATCAGCTGTTTGGGGATCGCGAAACTGGGCAGAAATTTGATGGAGGTGATCCCGATTATGTTCCTAAATGGTAAAAATTAAGATGAAAAGCTTGATTTTGACAATCAATTCTTCAGTGAAAGTTGCGGCGGGGTTGTCCGTCCAGATATCGTCTTCTTTGGAGAGGCCCTTCCCGACAAGCTCTGGAGAAATATCAAAAACGATTTCTCCGCGTGCGACCTTCTCATCGTCCTGGGAACATCCCTAACTGTTCAACCCTTTGCAAATCTCGTCGGAGAAGTTGCCAAGGGCGTCCCCCGACTATTCATCAACAGAACTAAACCTGGAAAAGCAGGTCTTCTCGGTAAGAAACGCTTTCAAATCGGAAAAGATAGCAAATTTAAAGGTTCACTGATGGGATTGGGAGCAGATATCGACTTCAAGCGATCGAAAGACCAGCTTCTTTTGCAAGACTGCGACGAAACCGTCCACCAAATCGTCGAAAAACTCTCCTGGGAGTCCGATTTTGCCGCAATTCCGAAAAATTCCATGAAATTATGAACATAAATGCAATACTGAAATTTCCCTTCTTCTTTTTTTCAACAGACAATCATCTTCAATAAAAACTTCTTCAATAAAAAAAAGCAGAAAAGAACGCGTTTAGTATGCTTGAGCCAAGTGATCGAGTCAACGAGCTGTATGAAAATGCGAGTAAAAGTGTCGAGCAAACATTTGAAATAAGCGCACCCATCATTCGTTACTTTCGGACGATGGAGACAATGAACAAGTACCAGAAACTCTTCGTCGATCAACGCAGATTTGTGGAAGCGTACGTTTTGCAAATCAAAATTGGCGTTTTATTCCTCAAACACGTCAAGCAGCACCCTGAGTTTTTGACCTTCAAAGCTTCCAATTCTAGCATAGGTTTTTCTTCATTTTTTTGATTCTGGCTCATTTTTGTATTCAGTCAGTAATGGAAGAAATCAAGCAAAAGAAGCGCTCAATCTGGCCGAAGTCACAAAATCGAAATTACTCGACATTTTCGCCAAGGAAAAAGTCGCTTTTGATGAAACTCAAAAGCGCCTCGCCGCCGAAGCAGAAATGGAACGCGCGAAACAGGAAATGTGGGTGCTGGAAAATGAGCGTAGAGCGCTGGAACAAGAAAGTTCGACGATTGACACGGAAGGTTTCATTCCTAAAGAAACATCGACACCTGTTGATGCTGCTGATCATAATCTGCCTCCACCGCCTTATCAGGCCGAACAAGGACATCCTCAAGTTCCAGACAGATCTACCAAGCCTAGAAGCTCATCCACATCAACAGCATCTTCATCTGTTAATTCTATAGGTTTGTTCTTTATTGCATATTATAAAAACGGTGGGGATGAAGGAAATAGGGGAAAGTAACAGTATCAGTAACTGTTCACAAAAAGATAAATACAGTAAAAAACTAGCGGGTTAGGCGTAGTAAACGACTGGTTGTGGGTTGTTGATGGCAGCAGGGAGCTGGACGTTGATTCGGTTGCATCCTCCAGACGAGCCAGCGCCGAACATCATCATGAAAAACAACAAGTCCTCGTTGTTATCGCTTCCCGAAGAGTCCATCAGCATCAGTGGCAAAAGCATGTTCGATCCAACGCCTGTTCCCGGCGCAGAAGTCTGCATCGCCATCAGAAGAACAAGGAGCGAGGAGTCATGGGAGGAAGCGGTTTCATTTGAGAAAAGCAAGAAAGGAAGGAGCATGTTGAAGTTATTGTCGAAGCCGGATTGTGAGTTGAGGCCGCCGGTCATGGAGTTCATCAAAACGAGGACGAGGATGTCGTCCAAATCGCTGGCCGTGCCGTCGTCGGAGAACAAGTCGAGCATGAGGAGAGTTTGCATGTCCAACGCTTGGCCGCCGCTCATGCTGGAGAACATAAGCATCGTCATCAGCGAATCAGAGCTGGAGCCGAGTGAGCTGCCATCGTCTGAGAAGAGCAAAAGCGGCAGAAGATTGGACATGGCACTGTTCGTGTTGACGTTACAGTCGCCCTGGATGGTCGTGAGTAAAAGGAAGGTAGAAAGCATGTCGGTATCTCCATCGTCGTCGGCGAGGAGGAGAAAAGGGAGAAGATTGTTCATGTCGTCGGTTCCGCCATTCATCAACATCATCATCAGCGCGTCGGAATTTTCGTTGCTGTCGCTGAGGAGAAGGAGAGGAAGAAGCCCGCCGAGCTGGTTGTGCTGAGATGAAGACATTCCCGAGTTTCCGCCAAGAACTGTCATGAGAAGGAAGTCTTCTGTTTCGAGCGATTTGACGCTGGTTAGAGCGAATAAGAAGCTGAAGATTCTCATTTTGTTTTGTTTTCTCTTTTTGGAAGTGATAGTTGTTTGATGAGCAAAAGGTTTTTCGCTTGGATTTTGTAGTAGCTAGGCCAGCTAGTGGCGACCCAGAAATTCAGGTTGACCGGCTTGATCAGGTGCATGATGCCGAGCGACGATAAGGTCGATTGATTTTAGATATGATTGGAACTTCGAAGTTCGAACTACTGTAGTTCATTCCATTCGACAGGGTTAGGTTTAACGGTTTAATTTTAGTTCCTGGATTGAAAATCATCGCTCCTTCCGCCAATGCTCGATCAATTCATCAGAAAGTAACAGTTCCTGCTCTCCTTGGCCCCGAATTCCTGAAATACGCGTTCGTCAATTCTTCACAAAATATCGAAACGATTGGAATGCTCTTTGCGAAAAGTCTTCAAGGAAGATTTCAAATTACCACTTGTCTTCTGCCGAAGCAAAAGGGAACGCACGATTCTTGCACGACGACGAATGAGGAGCAGATTTGGGAGTTCCAATGTAAGAGATATTTCGCGATATTCAAGGCTAAATAACTTTTTAGCGCAACATCCTGAATTAATCATGCTCGGCTGGATTCACACACATCCAGACTATCAAGCATTCCTGTCTTCTGTTGACATGCACAACCAGTACTTGTACCAGAGTCTTTTGCCCGAAGCTTTGGCACTAGTCGTTTCTGTAAGCTACTGTTTGCCTAGCTCTCTCTATTCACTGAATTCGTAGCCAAACTACAAAGAAATCGGAGCTTTTCGGCTGACAGAAACGGGCCTGACTGTAATAGGTAGTTCAAAGCAAAATTCTAGCGCTAAAAATATTCTTTAGGCAACTGCAAAGAAAAAGGCTTCCACCCCCACAACAAAAACCCACCGCTATTCGAAGCTGCTCCAAATGTTGAATACCTAAACTCGCCTATCGAAATGGTCGATCTGCGATCTTGAATCATTTCTGCTTCAACTTGACTCTTGAATTCTCTTTCTTTCTCTCCCCGTTCAACTTATTCGTATTCCGATCTTCAACAAACAGATAAACCCTCTTCTTTGATTCACTGAACTCTTTCCCTTCTTCAAAATTCTTGATTCTAGCTTGGTAAAAAATGAATCGGCTGTTGACTCGCGGACTCTTGACGCGATCACTGATCCAGCCTCTCCGCCCAGGACTTCAAAGGCAACTGGCCAGTCCAGTTCACAACGTCCAAAGAATTAACATCGTCAGGCGAAGCTCCGAAGAAGCAACAGAACCAGAAGGAGGGAGCATCCAAAAAGTGAGTATTCAAGCTAATTTCAAGCATGATTCTAGCTAGTTTATAGGGCGCAGTTTCAGTAAGTCGAGTGCTCTATTTTCTGATTCTTTTAACAGAATTTTGTGAAGATATTTATTCATTACTAAGAGTCATTTTTCATTTCCGTACACGCTTTTTGTAAAAATGGTCTTTTAGGTAATTCTTGGTGGTATTTTCGGCTGCGTCTTCATCGCGTACCTAATTTCAATCTGCTCCCAACTGCCCGACGATCCGGAACGAATGACAGTAGAGAAGCAAAAGCGAATGACTCAAAAAGAGCTGGAAGAGTGGGACAAGGCGCAGCGCGCAAAACAGTGGTACGAAGCCATTGGCGACATGTTCCCATCTGGATGGAGGTGGAAACAGGCGCTAGAAACGGTCATGGCGGAAAGTATGAACATGGAAAGTTGGTTTGGCTTGAAACTGGGGCTTGATTATTATTTGTCTTCGACTGAGCCGGAGTGGAAAATCGCCCTGCCTCCTCCGCTCGAGCCGCCATACCCTCAGGTGATTGACCAACTCTTCTCGCGCCTATTTGAAGCCTTTAGACTCGATTCACAATTTCGATGGAAATTCTCGGCCTTCTCTTTGAATCCAACTTCGACCCTGTCCGCGGCTGGGCTTTCAAACCGCGCCCAGGAGCTGAATATTTCATGTCCAAAGTCGGATTCCCCAATTCCGAGCTTGTTTTCTTCACAGAAGCTAGCGGGCAGGATATTTTACCGATCATAGACAGGTAATTCTATTAGTTGAATTCGATTTATGAGCCTTTGACCTTCAGATTCGCGAAGAAACTGCAGCGTCATTTCAAAACCGAGCAGCCTCCCATGGCGCTGTGGCAACTGTACAGAAATTCTTGCCGATATGATGATGGAAACTACAAAAAGGATATTGACGTTCTCGGGCGAGATCCTAAGACGGTATGTTTTCCAGTTCTTTTTCAAGGTCAGCCCGGTTTTAGACGATTCACATCGACATTTCTGACGTCGCCTTTTTGGAAAAGCACAAAGACAACGTCATTCTAGTGGCCTCGGCGAAGGAAGCGCGAGAAAGTGGACATGATATGACTCTTTTTGATCTGGCGGATCTGTTGGATGATATCATCAAGGATAGGTACAGTCATTTTTTCTTGTCGGCAATAAGTTCTTTGAAGAGATATTTACGACGTTCGAGAAAAAATCTCCGAGTTGAGAAAAAGAGGAAAAGAAGGCCAGTATCTTCCTGATATCTTCCGAGAAATTCAAGCAGGTTCGATTCAACCCTCTTTTCAGACGAAAAGAATGAGCATTTTTGTTTTAGAAAATGAGTTCAAAGAGAGCGAGCTTCAAGCAAAACAAGCAGAAATTAATAGTTTAAATCCGTCAATGGCGAAGAGAAACAAGTTCAAATTATTTTAATTTAATTTAATACTGCCGATGACTTCATTATTTTTTACGCTGAGTTGAAAATAAGTCACGTAGAATGAAAAAGAAAAAGTCGAAATTCTGGACGAGAAAGTATGATCCGCTCTACACTTGGAATCGAGGAGGCAGGCTGAAGGAGATTCGAAAGCGGCATTTGGCCAGGAAGTTTTTTCTTCACTGGAAAACGAGAGTTTGGGGAGGAAGCTTGCTACGCGTCGTCACCCCGGAAAAAGCTGATGAGTTTCGAAAAAAATCATTGATGAAAAAGGTCCGTTTTTCAATAGCCTTTTTTGCGAGAAGCGGGTTACAGTTTTATTGAGTTTTTCAAAAATTAGTCCTAGTGATAAATACAGAGTCAAGGCCGAATTATGTCTCGATTTAATTGCTCATCCTCAATGAATAATACAATCTTTAGGCATTCGTTGCGTACAAAACAATCTGGTGGGAAAACAACAAGGAATGGAAGCTCGAGCTCAAAGCCAAAGTCTTCAATCAGAAACAACTTCAAAAACAAGCCATCGAACGCTGGGAAGACTACCTCGCCTACCAGAAGTACCTCAAGATCTTGGAAGAACGGGCCCAAGAGTTTCACCATCACAATATTCGAAAAACAGTGATCGGCCAAATCGTCATCGGAGCATTCAAAAGTCGACAAACAAAAGAACTACAGTATCAAGCGAACAAATACATGGAACTTTCTTGCGTCCGAGCAGCTGTTCTCGAATGGAGGCATAAATTGCTGCTTATTCAGGATCGGGTGATTTTGACGAGATAAAAGGAAGTTACCCTTGCACATAATCATCCCCTAAAAGACCGGGCGAGAAGCACGTGACCTGTACTGCGTCAAATATTCTCTTCTGAAATGGAAGCTCAAGCTCGACGAAAGCATTTCCGACAAAAACAAAGTTCAAGCAATCCAAAGTCGTCTAAAAACCACCAGAAAGAAAAAAATCCTCCATTCATGGCAAGTTCAAGCTCAAAAAGAAATGATTCTCCGGTGGAAAGCAGCTCAACTCGATGAAATGATCAATTCAAATCTGGTGAAAAAGAACCTGAAGTCTTGGCGAAAAGAAAGACACAGAGAGCAAGACCGAAATTATATTTTCTCCATCGCGATAAATAATAATTTGGAGAAGCGACTCGTTCTTCGGGAATTTCTTTCGACCTGGGTCAAAAAGACCAATCTTCGTCGATCGTTGAATTTTCTTCAAGAGCTTCAAAATGATGCCCTTCTCGAATCGAGTCTTCAAATCTGGCGGAAAAAGACCCGGCTTTGTCTGAAAGCCCAACTTTTCAGAAAAGACAAAACTTTGGAATTGACGCTAGAAAAGTGGCAAAACAAACTTTCAGAAAAAGAAGACGTTGCGATTCTCCCCGCTTTGGCGATCGCTGATAAATTCTACGAAGCCAAACTCATTCTCAAATTCTGGGGCGGTTGGCAAAGCTTCATTCTCGGCCAGAAGCAAATCAAGGCGATGGAAGGGACGGCCCTTGGCTTCCGAAATTTGAACTTGAAAGGGAAGTTCGTCACGATCTGGCAAGAACGCTTTTCCCACAAGATGCAATACAACGAGCTTTTGCGAAAAGCGTACACTTATCGAACAAATGTTCTTCTGGCCAAAATTTCGTATGGGATCTGGAATGGGAGCATCAGAAGCAAAGACTTGCGAGAAAAAGCCGAAGAAGCTGATTCATTTCAAAATGCTCAATTGACAAAATTCGTCATTCGAACTTGGCAAATTCGTTTTCAAGAAAAACTCGCTGAAAACGAACGAATCCTCGCAGCGGAGGAATTTTACGAATCAAAACTCAAGAGACAAGCTTTTTCTGCTCTATTTGCTTTCAATCAAGAAAAAAAGCTAGAAGAGCAGCGGATCATCTGGGCGAGAAATGTTTACAAATCAAAAATGGCCAGTTCTATCATTTCTTCCTGGTTCTTCGAAGCTCAAATCGCCCGTTTCCAGAGAAAGCGAGAAGGGGAAATGAAAAAGAAGTTGGTTGATATTTGGCTTGGAGAAGTTCTCAAATCGCGGGCGAAGAAAGCAGCAGCAATCGAATTCAAAAGGAGATTAGATCAGAAAAAGCTTGCGGAAAGCTTGAGTCGATGGAATGCTTTCAAGACCGTGACAAAAAAGAAGAAGCAGAAAGAAAGGGAGAATTCTGCTTTCGCGAAAAATATCCGAGAGGGAAAATTGATCAGGGGCAGTTTAGCAAGTTGGAGGAAGAAATTTCAGCTCGCTCGGGCTTCGAAAGAGAGAGTTTATGAAATTTTTGATGAAAATCGCGACGCCATCGCGAAAATTTCAATTCGTCATCGATTCGCACACCTTCTTCTTGAGCTAAAAGAGCGAGGGAGAAAAAGATTGAGGTTTTCGAAAATGAGTGACGAAGCTGAAGAATTCAGGCATCAACATCTGACCAAGCGAATTCTTTCAGTGCTCAAAAACAGCTACGAGAAAGCAGTTAATCGAGAAAAGCAATTGACGATCGCTACAAATTTCGAAGAACTCCGAGTGCTTACATTTTCGCTGAAATCATGGAGGAGAAAGTATCAAGAAAAAATCGAAGAGAATCAGAAAACAGCTGTTGCTCTTCAATTTTGGTACGAAGGCCTTATTTGGAAAACCTTCAAATGCTGGAGGTTTTGGAAAGCCAATCGCGACGCGAAAAAGGCGTTTTACGACGAAGCTTTTGCTCGATACAGAACATCTGTTGAAAGGGACTGGATTTTCAAGCTCAAAGATCTCAACTCCAAAATCGAGCAAGCATCGCTTCGAAAGGCTCGTGCAGTTCTTCCCGAGCGCGAAATCATCCTCGCAAAACGCGTTATAAAACGCTGGCGAGCAAAATGCTGCCCTCGTCTTTCAGAATTGCAAGCTTTTTTGACTCCTTCCAGGGCAGAAATTCCCATTTCCAAAGCAGTTTACGAAGCGTTGCCGATTACCGAAGACGTAGAGTTAGAAAAGCGGCTGTTTCAGATGCCGAAAATTCCGCTTTTCTTGCAAGAGGAGCTTGTTTCGATCCTCACTGGAGATGAAGCTGTTCGTGAAGAATCTCCAGAAATTCAAGCTGAACTGGAGAACAGTTCGGAGCCAAAGCTTCTCGGACCAAACGCCTTTGGAGATTCAGACTCTTCCTTTCCAATTTACCGTCTAAAACCTGAAACTTCTGCGCCACAATTTGACGGTCCGCTGAATGAAAAAGAAAATTTTCACAAGCAAGAAAAAGAAGAGACCAAGAACAAGCTTCCCGATCCTTCAAAACTCTATCTTCTCCAGCCACAGAAACAAGAGCGCAAAAAAGACTCTCCATTCCCGTTTTCGCCCATGTTCTCCGAGTCCTCACCTGACTTTCCAGAAGAAGACGACCCTTTGATGGACAAAGAGAAGCGAAGTTGGCGATTCGGACAAGATAGAAAACCCATCACTTCATTTTTAGTCCTTCCAGAAAGTAAGTCCCTTCAGCGTTTTTTGTTTCACGATAGTTGTTTTAGGAGAAAATGGGCACGAATCATGGGGAAGCGAGCAAAGCGATGCATGGAGCTGTCGAGGATCTTCAACAACGAGTACATCCTGTAATACTACGCCTGCAATAACTCTCGGTATTTCATCATTTTCCACGAAAAACTAACTGTTTTCGATCATAGACCTGGATGTCCCACTGGACCCATACGTCGTTCCCGAATTCGACGAGCCAACAACAGGTCTTCCCTCCCGCCCGACTTCGCCGCCCAAGCCAAAGCCAACGCCTCCAACACCAGCACCGCCAAAACTGACAGAAGAAGAGAAACAAGAAATCCTCGCCGAATTGTTAGAACTCACCCGTCTTCAAGAAAAACTAGGAGAAGAGGATCACTACACGAAATCAGTCTCGATGAGAATGGATTATCTCCAAATGAAGCTGAAGAGCTGACATTTTTTCAATTTTCCATTTTAAAAATATTTTTCCACTTTCTTTTTATTTTCTTACACAATAAAACTCTGTTTTTAATTAAACATAATGTAGCTGAAAATGCAGGAAATTGCAAGTGAATAGGCAGAGAAAGCATTTCCTGGAAAAGTGGCAGATTCTCTAGAATCGAAGTTGTTGTCTTCCATGATTTAAGCGAAAGCGCCTCATTCGATGCAAATTAAAAAGCATGAAAGAGCAAAAGAGACACTTTCCGATCACTTGGGTTGATCGAGGACTGCCCTTTCCAGTAGATGAGTGGCGAAAATACGCGAATCAAGAAGTCAAGACCTACCCAAAGTACAGATACACGATTCTTGCCGAGAATTTGTACCCCGAAATCATGAGCATCGATGTTAAAGTTACTGGCGTCGCCGAAGACATATTTTTGGGGTAAGTTCTTTTTTCTTCTTTTTTTGAAGGCTTTTATTTATTTTTTTAATTTTTTCTAAACAATTGTTAAGCCTGGCAGAGGGGCCGGATAAAAAGGCGGAGCTTTGGGAAATCGCGGTAGCAGAAACAGACAAGAAATATCGAAAATATCTGATCGCCCTTCGTCCTCGAATTCAAGGAAAAGACGTTGTTCAGAGCTGGATCAACTCGCCCATGATGTCTAAGAGCTTTATCTTGCGAATCACGATGAGGAAGGAGACGATCAAGTTAGAGGTAAACTAATTCGCGTGGCGATTGTTTGAGAGTATTTTTAGATTTCATACAAAGACCAGTTCGAAGATCCAGTTCTGCTTTTCACAACGCACTGTCCTGAATTCAAAAAAGAACGCTTCAAGTGTCTGAAATGCGCGACTCGTGGCAAGTCGGGAACTTTCGAATTGCTGGAGATCAAGTACCTACCCCCGGTGAAGGAGATCGTCGTCGGCGGAGCTTCGCGGTATCCACATTTGCACGGAGAATACACACTTGTCGGATTCAGAAACAGCCACCCTTATTACAAGTCCAAGGCCGAAAAAGGCAAATACAGATATTTACAGATCGACAGGTGATAGATCTATTAACTAATCCAATCACAGTTGTTCTAGCGAGACAAAACGATGGATGGTTCACCACGAAAAGGACCGCACGGACGAGTACTTCTGGTCGCCTCCGATCGGCTCGCTTTGCCCCTCACAGATAAAGGAATGGTTCGTTCACATTGCTGGAGAAAACAAGCGGGTTCGTCCTCGCTTTTTCATCATCAGCAAGGTATGCTTGCTTCGGCAAGACTCAGCTTGAAATTGACTTCCAGGCGAAATACAACAACGAGATCATCCGAATATCGTACAACACGAGCACGCCGAGAGGAGATCAGAACATCTCCATCACGCAATTCTTCCCTGATGACAGTGAGCATTCCTCCTCCTCCTGCTGCGTCATTCTCTAGATTTTATTTTCTTTAAATCTGTACCCATATTCTAGCACAATTATCTCTTTTTTTCTGTATCTTATCCAAAACCTTTGTATCTCAGTTTTTGAAGCTCACTGTTGAAAAATCGCTCTTTCAGAACAAGAAATCGGGTCGAATCGGGATGGAAGACATAGACGATTTCCTCGACTTGCTGGACAAAGATACGAGAGAAGCGGCGCAGAGGATTATTGCTTCGCTGAAAAATGATCGACAACAAGCGCAAAAGGCGAGGCTTGAAGCTAGAATGGCGACGACACAGGTATATTGACTGCTTCATTGATAATTTAAAAATAATTTTTCGTAGATCAACCAAGAAATCCACGAGCTCGCGGTTCAGCGATGGAAGAATCTCCCCGTCGCAGTCCAGCGCGAGCACGATATCCTCGCAATGGACATCGCCGAGCTCGAGTGGCACCTTCGAATGGAAAAGGGCGAGCTCCGACGCGCGCAGAACAACCTCGACTACGCAAAGACGATCAATTCGCGAATCAAGGCGGACATCGAGTTCAACCAAAAACACATGCCTCTGGTCGAGGAAAAGCTGCGCATCGAAGAATCCTTCATTCAAGACATCAAAGCCTATCAAGTCGAAACTGACGTGAATCTCGCCCGCGCTCGCGAGAAACTCCAAGCAGCGGAGCTCGAGTTCGACCGGAAAAGCAAGCCGCTCAAGGACGAGCTCCGAATCAACCGGGCAAACTTGGAAGTGGCTGAAAACGACCTCGAAGTCCTCCGCGCCGAGCAAAAACGAAAGGAAGCTGCTCATCGGGACTTAACCTCAAAAATCGACATTTTAAAAGGGAAGATCGCGAATCAAGACAGCGAAATCGAGCAGCTCAAGAAGGAAGAAGAAATCCTTCAGGCAAAGGAAAAGGTTGAACAAGGGAAAATCGAGGAGTGCCGCGTCCGGATCAGAAAACTCGACCAAGAAACGTACAATTTGGATTTTGAGCGAGAAGCGATCGAAAACGCCATGGATCGACGAAAACAAGAAGCAGACGCGGAAATTCTCGAGCTCACTGGAAACCACGACTTTCTCGTTTCCGAAATCGCGCGGCTGGAGCAAGACCGCGACGTCGTCAAAATGCACAACGAGGGAGTGCGCATGAAGCTGAAGACGATGGAGAAGCAAAAAAGCAAAATGGAAAAAGACGTCGAGCGAATTCGTAAAAACACGAGAGACGCGGAAAAGGAACACAAAACATTGGCGTCGAAGGCGAAAACGCTGACAGCTAATAATAACGAACTGGCAACGCAAATTGAGAGAAAAGAAAGAGCAGCCATCGGTGCAGAAGATAATCTTGTCACGATGATTGATCAGACCAGAAGCGCCATAGAAGAAGCAAACAGAAACAAAGCTGAAACTGAAGCGAAAATAAGGTAAGAAAGACAAAAAATGGGGAAATATTGGCTTTGAAGACATAGAAGAGAACAAATTTGAAACTGATCTCTGACCTTCCCTTTTTCAGAACTGATACAGAAGAATTCATCCGACTTACCGATATATTACAACAGACAAAAACAGACTCAGAAGCTTATCAAAAATCATTACGCGAAGACATAACTCAGAAAACAAAAGAATACGGCGACATTGAAGTAAAACGCAGCTTCACATATTCATTTTTCTAAAATCGATTTCAGGAGCAACGCCTTCATACAGTAGCACTGTACGAAGAAACGGCGGCAGAAGTGGTCGACAAAGCAGCGGAATTCAAAGAAATCATCGAAGGCCTCACCGCCGAGCTCGCTAAAATTCCAATTCAATACAACGAGGAGGAAAAGGTCTGCATCGATCTCGACACGAAGCTTGAAAAACTGAAGAAGCACGAGGAAGAGCTGATTCAGCGGGTCGCCGAGCTGAAGGAGGAACAAATCGACTTGAAAAAGAAACGCGAGAAGGTTCTAGCGGTAAGAAAAGTTAATAGAGTGATGGCCTTATTCATTCATTTTCAGAACATCGAGTCGCTGAAAGAAGACTTCAAAGTAGTGGAATCGCACTTCGGCCTTCAAAAGCGTCGCTCGACGAAATGGAAGTGCGCTTAGCCGAAGCTAAGTCGCACAAAGAACGCCGCGAAGTCGAGTTCGCCAAGATGCTCGAATATCGCCAGGGAACGAAGGAAAAGCTGACCGACCTTTTGCGCGACCTGGTGATGAGCAATGCCGAGCTGGCGCAGAGCTACAAAGTGATTCAGGCGAAAGAAATGGCGGTCAAGAACTCGATGAGCGGCTTCTTCGAACTGCGGAATATCCTCGACGATTCGAAAATGTGTGTTGGCCAGTTGATAACCATGGAAAACGAGTTCCATTCGAAAACGAGGCGCTACCACGAGTGCAGGGACGCCTATCATTCCTGCGAATATCAAGTCTTGGAAAAGAGCGCCAAGGATCACGTGGCCCGCGTTTTGCGAATCGAGTCGCAGCTCAACAAGGGACTCCAGCAAGTGACCAACTTCATCGAGAAACTGTATTCATCCGGAGACCTCCCCGCGACGGAACAGGCCAAGAGGCAGTCGCTGATGGGTCACGTGTCTTCTTCCTTCAGTAGAATGTCTGTCTTCCAGCCTGCTAATGGTCAGACTCAAACAGTAATTCCTGCTATTGAAAGAAAGAAGTCAGCAGAGCAAGAAACTTCGTAAATTCCAAAAAAGTTCAACCTTCTTCAACTCTCGAAAAAGCTCGTTTTTTCTCGGTTAAAACATCATTTATTTTTGTACTGCTATTTTTGATATTTTTAGTAAATAAATATTTTTTTATAAAACTGTTGAACAATAGCTTATTTGAAGTATTCTGTACAGCTGAAAGTGGGTTAGTGAGAGAAAAGAAGGAAGAGGAGGTAGAGGAGAAATCCGCAAAGGACAGATTCGGAAGCGCTGGAGTTTCTGCTCCGAATTCCGATGTAGTTTCCGAGCTCGTCCGTGATCGCGTCTTCCCATGTGACTCGCACATTGTGCATTTGCGTTCGTTCACCGGCGATGTTCAGCCCTTTGCATTCGTAGTCTCCTCGGTCAGAGTCTAAGGCCGACAGTTTTTATCTTGAAATCAAAGACTTGCTTACCGCTTAGATCTTCGATGGTCAAAATGGACGAGTTCGTCCAGACGGTCGAGTTGTCCGGTTTCGTCCAGAGATACTTCGGCGGCGGGTTTCCATCGTCGATTCCGCATTGAAGTGTAGCTGTTGATTTTCGCTTTATCGCTAAATTCTGGTTTCCCCATTCTGTCGCTTCTGGTCCCTGGCAAGGGGCGTCTTCGCTCTTTGGAAACCAACTCAAGTCTAGCCCGTTTATCGTGAAGTTTGTCATGTATTCTGGGGACGAACAGTTAAGGTGCTCGAGTTTGGTTAGCGTTGTGAAGAGATCTTTGTTTTCGTCGATTTCGTACCACAGGCGGAATCGAGTTGAGTTGCAGCCACAGCTCCAAACATTATCACTAAACAATTTAATAAAAAATCATCTTTACTGAAAACTTTTTCGATAACGAATATTTCCATCCTCCGCCATCTGTTCTCTGATTGGGTTATTTCGAACTTGACCAATGAGAGAGCAGATGGCGAGGATTGAGAATTTGTTATCGAAAGTGCCAGTTGTAAGAAATTTGCTTACTTTAATCCAAATTGCGCACTTTGCGTTGTCCTCGGAAAAATATTCAAAAACCAATTCGGTTCAATAACTTGAATTTGATTGTTGTTCATTTCCAAAAACTTCAATTTCTTGAGCTCAGCAAACGCGTTTTCATGCACAAAATTGATCTCATTATTGTTCATCGTCAAATCTTCCAGATTTTCAAGCCCAGCGAGGTCATTTTCCGAAATTTGCTGCAGCTTGTTATCCGAGAGTTTCAGTTTCGTGAGTCTTTTTAGATCTTGGAAGCCGAATTCGGGGAGGAATTTGAGACTGTTCGATTGCAATTCAAGCCGCTCAAGTTCGAATAAACCGGAAAAGGTTGAATTTTGCAGGGATTCGATTCGATTTGAATCCATCAGAAGAATCTTCAATTTTGCCGAATCTTCGAACATAATTTCCGGCAGTTCGGAAATCCCATTCGCGGTCAGTGCGATTTGCTCCAGATTAAATAGGCTCGAAAACGCACCATCGTGGATTTTTGCAATTTTGAGGAGCGAAAATCTATCGAAACAAGATTTTCCAAGCCGAGGAATGTGTCTGGCCTCAGTTCGCCAACGTGAGTGCTCTGAAACGACAATTTCGTCAGCGATGGAATCCTTTTGAAGGTTTCTTTGCCGATGCGGCTCAGAGCTTGATTTCCGAATTGAATTTCGCCGATTTTCGGGAGGTTTTCTAACTGACCCGCGAAGATTTCTGTGATTCGGTTGCTTTCGAGGTTTAGGCGGGTGACGTTTTGGGAGATTCCGCAGGGGATTTGGGTTAGTTCTTTGTACTCGCAGCTGACAACCACGAATTCACCGTTGCGACCTAAATAAATATTTGTCCTGGTGGACCAGCAAGAGATTTTAGGGTACTATTTGCCGTAGATGGCGCTTTGGCCATCGTTTTATAAGCTCAAGGAAAGATGGTTTTCCTCAATCTTCCCAAAATGAAAGCTAGAATTGAGATCGTGTAATAAGCGTTCCGTATGTCTACTGTTATGATTTTCCATAGCGGAACATTTGTTATGAATTGTTTCTGAATTCTTATTTTGAAAAATAAAAATACCTTTGACTTCTGTTAGACAAATATCATTGCCCTCCTCGTCCAATTTTTCAACGCATTCTCCGAATTTAATCGTTGTTGTGGTCGTAGTGGTGGTTGTAGTCGTTGTAACAACAGTTGTAGTGGTTGTTGTTGGTTCTTCTGTTATCTCTATTTCTGTTTCATTGGATTCAAGCTCTAGTGCTTCGATTTCTGTTGAATTGGGATCGAGAAGATTCAAAATTTGAGTAGAGTTTTCCGAGACTTCTTCGAACTTTTCGGCTTCTTCATTTTCTTCTGAACTTGTGTCATTATTTTTAGCAACTCCAGCTTCAGTTACTTCCTCTTCTTCTGAAATCTCTTCTATTTCGTTCTCAGTCTTATTCATTTGGGCAAGTATAAACGGGAAAATAAGCGGCAAAGTCTTCATCTCAGATTCTTGAGATTCGAAGATGTGAGAAGTTCCAGCTAAATCATCCCTTTCTCGCTCGCGGCCTCAGGGCATTACACTATTTTTCATTCGAAATACTAGACTAATTAATAGGCTTATAAGATGAAAATTTGGCCCATTTTTCTAACTTAGTTAAGGGGTCGTATGACACAGTTTTAGAAAGCCCAGAAGCTGAGCTTTCATTTGGGCACCATATCAAGGGGTCTGGTTTATGCCCGCAAGGCAATTCATGAGACCGGAAGTTCCGAAATCGGCACTTGATCTCTTCAATCGAGTTTTCAGTACCGGTAGTCACTCGAAATGTCTCCAGAGTAGGCGCGTTAGAAAGCCCAGTGTCTGAGCTTTCCAAAACGCTAATAAAATCTAGCTGCCCTGCTACCTAGTGGCCGCTAGGGGCGCTAGAAACTCAAATTTTGCACCGTAAATGGGATTTCTTGCACTACAACTTGCTTATTTGGTCGAAATTAAAGGTTTGAATTCGTTAATAAAGACGTAAACATCTCAGAAGTGACGTTTAACAGTGACAAAACCAACCGGTTGAGACCAAGATTATCCCGTTTTCTTCCTAGAAATCCTTAAAATTCACTATTCTAGCGCCCCTAGCGGCCACTGGGTAGCAGGGCAGCTAGATTTTATTAGCGTTTTGGAAAGCTCAGACACTGGGCTTTCTAACGCGCCTACTCTGGAGACATTTCGAGTGACTACCGGTACTGAAAAATTCGATTGAAGAGATCAAGTGCCGATTTCGGAACTTCCGGTCTCATGAATTGCCTTGCGGGCATAAACCAGACCCCTTGATATGGTGCCCAAATGAAAGCTCAGCTTCTGGGCTTTCCAAAACTGTGTCATATAACCCCTAAACTAACTTATAAAAATGGTCCGAATTTTCATCTAATAAGCCTACTAATTAAAGAGAACTGTCAGTAATTTATGATTCTAGTTTATAGGAAGTGTCCAGACTTTGATGATATTCATTGATTGAAATTTCGTGCTTTTGCACGATGTGAACGAAGTAGTGAAGTTTTTTCCTTCAAACTTGCTTCTTTTTCCGGCCTCAGCGATCTTGGTGATAAGGGTAGTCCACATTCCCGGAGGTCGAGAGTAGCAAATAAGGTCCTCATTGGCCGGTGATACCCATGAACTGCTTATTTGAACCCCATATTTTTAAATACTAAAATATCTTATGGTCTTTAGACATCTTGAAAGGTCGGGAATGTCGTCTGAAGATGGCGACAAATCTCCAGTTGGAGGAAGATGGAAAGAATACACTCAAGAATCCTGGACCAGGTAATGAAATCAAGAGGATTGAGAGTGAGGGCCCTCTTTAGGACAAGCATCGTTGGTGGCTCCGGTGGAACAGGCTTTCAGCAGGACAAGCGAATGAATGACCCCTCGATGGACTGGATGAATTCGAAGAGCACCAGGAAGGAGTTTTTCGACAATCTCGAGCAGCAGTACACTTACTTTTGCTACGGAAAGGGAAACTGAAATTTTAACATGAGCGCTTTTTCAAGCTCTACTTTGCTTCTCTTTTCTGATCCCTTTTGAAGAGAAAAAGACTACGAAGCTTGCCAAAAACGCGCCGATTTCCTGATCACTTTTCGCCAACGATACCAGGACGGAAAAGACGAGTACAAGTCGTGCTGCGATAAATACGGCTCCCCCGGTTGTTGCTTTAATCTTTCGAAAATGATGATTCACGACGAAGGGTTGAAGAAAAACGACTTGAAAGACCTCGACGTGGCGGAGTATTGGACACTGTTTGAGAAATCTTGCTTTGCTGGCGAATATCCTCGGTAAAAGACGGAAAAAGGCGTTTTTTTTCAATGAAATTCTAGCTCCAAGCAGCAACACGACTTCAAATCCGAAGCCTGTCTCTCCATCTCCGACGCGATCAACCAAAAAATCCGGCGAACAATTCCAACCGGCGCCACTGGCCGACTTCTGCGAGAATTTCCACCGCGATACTTGGAGAAATCGTTCACAAAAAAGCTGGTTCAGAATATCAAGGAAAACTGCGAACGAGCGTGCAGCCATCAATTCCAGAGCTGCAACTTTCTCGGCGCGGCGATGCTCAATAAAAGGGTTGGCGAAGCGTTTGGGATCCCGTTTGACCCGAAAGAAGGGATTAGATTGATGGACAGAGCTTGTACTGGAAGTGGACCCGGACTGGGGCAGAAAGTTTCGTGCGATAATTTGGCAAAGATTTATAAAAGAGGAGCTGAATCGCTTGGAATTAGTAAGTCTGAAATTCCTGATTGATCCTTTTCTTACTAAGACACCTGTGTGGAAACCTGAGTCAGGGTCTTCGATTATAAAGCCGCATAGGACCCTGAGTCGGTTTTTACGCAGGTGGCCAGGCCCAGAATGCGTCATTTCATAAGCCAAAAATGCTCGGACTAAAATTTTGCTTTCAGAAAAAGATATTGGAAAAACTTTCGATTACGAACGAAAAGCGTATTTAATGACCTCTCCTGGGATGGAAGAAGTCGCCATGAAAAATATGCCCAAAGCTGGACAACTCATTTCTTAAAATTCAACTCTCCTTCGTATTCATCTTTTTTGAATTCTTTCCTTTTAGAATGGAAGAGTTTATTCTGGGAAAAGGGGCGAAGAAGCAAGAAATTGAAACCGAAGTTCGAGTTGATGCGGGAGAGGCGGTTCAAGATTTGAAGCGATCTATGCTTGAAGGCACAAAGGTACCAGATTTGATTATACTCTCTGCTTACTAGTCCTTTGCTTAGTCGCACTGCTACCAAAAGCAACGGCCGCAAGCATGTATGACTCTGGCCGATTTTTACCGAGAACGGAAGCAAGATCTGGCGGCGGCTGCGCGAACAATCACAGACTGCTGCGAGCGCTTGAAAAACGCCTCCTGTTGCTGGGAATCGGGGATTTTAAAAGCAAACGGCTTCGAAAAAACGAAAATTGCTCACAACTTTCCGGAAGCAGTAAATGATTTCAAAACGGCTTGTTTGGCGGAAAATGCTGAAACGCCTGTCGATCGCCATGCTACTGGTAGTTTTCTAGCGTTTCTAGAGCGGAAGAGTTGATGCTTTCTTTTTCAGCGAAATCCTGTTTTGCCTTGTCGGAAATTTTGAGAAGAGATTTGAGTCTTGCGTCGGAGGGGCAGAAGAAAATGACGCCAGTGGTCAAAAGTCTTTTAGGTGGGATTGAAAGGGGTGTTTGAAAGAACAATTGTTTAGACGAAATGAATGTGAAAAGCCTGGTCATTCGGGGCTGCAAGTTGGGCAGCTGGGAAGCCTGCAATAGTTACGCGATCATGTCTTTTGACGGCCTTTTCGGAGTCGAAAAAGACGTTCAATTTGGACTCAACCTCGCGGAAAAGTTAAACGCTAGAATTTGATTATTTTTAATTTGACTGCTTCAGATCATGTTTGCATGGAAACGAAATCAAAGCCTGCGTCAACTTGGAAAAGATCTTCTCCGAGGGGCTTTTGGGCGTCGAAAAAGATAAGAAACGAGAGATGAAGCTGGAAAGTTATCAGAGAAAGATCGAAGAGCTCAGTGACGATTTTGAGCTCGATTTGGAACGAGTCGATGATTTGGATAGAAGCTGACAGAGCTTTTTGCAGAAATTATATTTTATTTTAATTTATTTGTACAAAGTGCCAATTATGACAACTACGAAAGCGAATGAAAATGAAGAATTCGTGATTTCAGATGGCGACTTTGTCGAAATTGAACTTGTTTGTTTCCGGCTTCGTCGGGGCGATAGCTTTCGTTATGGCTTGGAATTGGCATTGGCTCTGGGATAAATACAGTGTTGGTCAGGCTTTTTCCATCTAATTGGAAACTCATTATTTTCTTCAGAAGTGGTCTCGGTCGAAGAAGAACCAGTCAAATTACAGGATGAAGAAGAGGAGAAAGAAGAAAGCGAGTATTCAGACGAGCAAGATGAAGAAGATGAAATCCGCTCAAGCATCAACAACGTTTTCAACATGATCCAACAATATCTCAAATTCAACAAAATCGACACAGTAACTCAGCTCCTCCGTCATGTTCTCCACTTGACTGGGATCAAAGAACAACTGGTAGGTTTATATTGACTTAGCGATGTTTTGACGGGTTTCTTAGACGGAGATTGTGAAGCCAAGAAGAGTTGAAATCATTTTAAACTGCATCACGCATGTGAATCAACTTGTTAGCTCGCTGGCGATCGCCATTTTGAAGAACATCGCCAGCTGCAAAGCCGGCCAAGAATCCGTAAGCGAGTCTGTTTTCTTCCTTGTCTTCAATGACTACCTAGGCATCCTTTATTGTTCCGAAAGTCGTCGACATCGCAAATGACATCCTGGTCAATTCCCTCGAATCAAACGAAAAATTGAAGCGACTAACCGAATGCTTGGCGAATTTCTCGGCGAACTACAGTCCTCATACTGAAGCCTCTTACACTTCCTTTTTCAACGCGGTTTCGAAATCAAATTTGCTGGATGATCACGAGTTCTTTGGCGAGTCATTGATGAAAGTGGTGGTGAATTTGAGCGAACGCGATCTCGGTCAGAAGGTTTTAATCAAACCGGAGCTCGATGACACGATGAAAAGGGTGGAAAGAATGCTCAAGTGGAAACAAGGAGGAAAGGACAGTCAGATTAGATGCTTGATTGCGATTAACAACATGCTCAGCGAGACTGATTTTCAATTGAAAAGCCAAGAATCCCGTAAGTTGAAGACCAAATCGATGACTTTGAAAATTTTTAGTCGATGTGATTTTGGAGTATTCAAATTCGCTCCACGTGGACGAAGAAGTAGTGAAACGATCGTCTGACATTCTCTTCAAGCTAGAAGACCAAAAACAGCCTCATGAAAGCTAGATTTCCTCAGTTCTTCACTGCCTCTACTTCAAGTTTTCAACACTGTATTATTTTGAAAATATAATATTTTTTATTTTACAAAAGCAAATATTGAAATCAAGGAAGAAAACTCCTGTTTTCAAGGTCCAAAAGTAGTTAAGAGCAGTTGTAAATCAGTTGCAAAATGCATGTATTTGAATTCAAAGCAAGCTCATATTCTTCTCGTCGAGACCTTCTCTAGAACTTCAGTTTTGATTTATCAGTTTTCGCAGATTTGGCAGAATAGGTACGGACTTCGAGCACAAAAGTCCTTATTCCCAAGCTTCTTCAACGGTAAGCCTCTTTTCTGTTTGTACTCTTCGGAACATATCAGTACGAAAATGCCCTCAATCCGCAAAGTCATCACTGTTTTCTTCTCGCTTGCCACGATTGGAGTGGCCGGCCTCGTCGCCAAGCTCTTCTTTGATGAACACCAAAGAAAGAAAAGGGACAAGGAACTGAGAAAGAAAATGAGCAAAGGTAAGTTCAGTGGTCGAAATTACTCGCTAAATGAATATTCAGAGCTCTTAGAAACGCTGGACAAGACTGAGCCAAATCAGAAAGAAGAGTTCAAATTCTGTCCAGAAGAAAATACGATCCGGAGAACAAGCGTCACCAGAACCTACCCAACGAGCGAAATCGACACTGAAGTCGTCCCAGATGATCAAGACTCCTACGACGAAGATAGCTTTGATTCCGCCACGAGCAGTTCCACAAAAAGCGTCGAAGAGGACCTCGATTTTTGCGACTTGGCAGCGCCATCGACTTTGGACTGTAAAGACGACGTCGTGGAAAAATCATCTTTGGACGGACTCTTCAATTTGCTGGAACAAGTTTTGATCGCCGAGAAATTCCAGGAAATCATCTCGTGTCTTGAGGAAATCCTCTTCCGCGCCCGAATCGAAGAACAGCTGGTAAGTCAATTTCGAAGCTTCAAAATTCAAGTTTTCTTTAGCTCGAAATCGCGGACCACAATAAAATCGGTTTGGTCCTGCAGTGCATCACCCACGCCAGCGAAAGAGTCATTCTCGTTGCTTGCCAGATTATTGAGAAAATCTCTTTGAGCGAAAAGGGCAAAAACTCTGTAAGTTTTCTCCCCGAACAAAAGGTCTAAAGATTGTTTCTCAGGGAATCGAGTTCGTGCCCGTCTTGATCCAAGCTGCAAACAGCCAGCTGATCCAGTCGTCCAAGTCAAGCGGAACACTCGAAATCGTGACCGACTGTATCGCCAATTTCTCGCGAAACTACTGTCCCGAGCAAGAGTCTGCTTACCTCTCCCTCTTCGACACAGCTTCCCGATCGAGTTTGACAGATGGAGACGAATTCTTCGGCGCCAGTTTGATGAAAGTGGTCGTCAGCTTGAGCGAACAAAACCTCGGCCAAGAGCTGCTCCAGAAATCGGAAACGACGCTTGGATGGACTGAACGGCTTCTCGAGGAAAAACAAGGAGGAAAAGAGGTGCAGATCCGCTGCCTCTACGCGGTCAACAACATGATCAACGAGACTGATTGGAATCTTCGCCGCAAGAAATCAAGTAAGCGCCACGTTCTTTTTCATGTTTCAGCGACTCTTTCAGAGGACGTAATCTACGAGTACGCGCAAAACAACAACGAAGCAGAGCGAGAGCTTTCCACCAAATCTTCCCAGATTTTGGAGCTCATCAACTTTTCTCAAGAACAATAATTTCAAACATCATTTTCTGCCCATTTATCTCTGTTTTCTATTTTTTTAATATATCTCTATTTTTGAAAATTAATATTGAAATCAAGGAAGACCGAAGAATCGTTTTCCTTGACTTTAAAATGCTCTTGTGTTTCACAAAGTTGTTTATTCAGGAATGAGCTGGATGGTGTAAGCAGTAGGAAGAAGATACCAGGTGTTTTCGTCCATGTTTTGTGAAAATTTGTTGACGAGTGTGAGTTTGATTTCGTCGTCTTCGTAAACGTTGCACTCGCTTTGGTTGACCAGACTGAAGATGTACTCGGGAGAAGCGTAGTATGGACTTTTTAGTGGAATGCGGAGAACTAAACGAGGCTTGTTTGAGTTTGAGAGAAATATTTTACCAGGAGAGTGGTCTTTGTAATCGCTGTTTTGGAGAACGTACTCGCCGTTTTCGACTCGATCGAGCGTCATTTGGTGGAAGAAGAGATCGCCGTCAGACGTTAAATACGCGCCGGTGACTGTTGCTGGACGGGTAAAGGTGAAGTTTTCGTTTAGAGTCACTGAATTCGGGTTATGATTTGTTTTCTTTATGATTAAATGCCTGTATGGAAGTGACAGCTAGATTTGACTGGAGATATTTTTGCATAAAATTCGTCTTCGAAGCTTTTGTGCACTCCCCTGATGATTTCCCACCCACTTTTCATGAGATAAGTTTCTTTGCAAAGCCGCTCCAAAAGAATCTCGATTTCATTTTCTTGTTTTTCTTTTTCCTTTTTGTTGGGATTCAAATTGAGGCCGGCCAAACTTCGCGGAAAGACGATCATCGTCAAAGTTGCCAGAATTTTTTCAAAGGTACAAAGACTGTCTTCGTATTCGAAAGCGAGATCACTTTTGATGGCGTAACGGAGAAGAGTGGTGACCGAAATCGGGGCGCAAAGTTGACTCGTTTTTTGGTCGAATACTTTTTTCGTCAAATTTTTCATGTCTTGATTGACGCACTTTGACGCGTTTTGTTTTAAACTTGACATTTTGCAGGATTGAGTCAAGTTTGGATCATCAAGGCAAAATACGGTTGACGCGTTTTCCAGCGAGATTATTTTCGTGACTTCGTAGGGGAGATAGAAAAGTGATGAAAAATAATTCTCATCGAGCACATTCAAATTTTTGATTGAAGTCGCTCCACAATCCTAAAAAAACAAAAATTACAAAATCGACAAATCAAGTTCTTACTTGAACAATTTTATCAATTTCTTCTCTTTGACCATCATCGAGTGGTTGGTACAAAAGTGTCCACGCGGTTTGCCAGTCGCAGAAAAGAAAATAATACAGATTAGAAGCAAAATAACCAGCTCCACTCGCGATCTGAGCATGAAAAGTGAATCCTGGCGTCCCAGCGGCTTCAAGATTTTGTAAAGAATTGGAATTTTCTAAATACTTACCTAGAGCTCTTTCATGTTTGTATTTTGCTCCTCTTCTGGCGTACCCCATTTTCCGGTAGCCTTCTCTTCCGCTTTCTTCACAAACGAGCCCGAAGTCAATTATTTTCGGAATTCCACCAACAAGCACAAAGTTTTCTAATTTCTGATCGTAATGAAAAACTCCCCGACTTCTCAAATATTCATTCCCATCGAAAATTCCATTCGCAATCTTCCTTCTCTCTTCAAGATCAATTTTTTCTTCCTTCAACAAAGTCCTCAAGTTCGCCTCTCCTTTTTCCATAATCGTAATCCAGCCCAAGCAGTCCTTTCTTTTCTCGTCTTTTGCGTGAAACAGCTCAATATTCACAAAGTTGTAGATAATGTTCTCATGGACTGGCATTTCATTCTCGCACTCGGATGATTCTTCGTTCTCCGATTTTTCTTTTGCTGGTTCAAATTCTCAAAAAAAAAACTTTAAAAAATATTTCAAACTCGTTTCTACCTTTCGAAAGATGTACCTCGCAAGAAAATCTCTCCTCTTCAAATTCCTCCGTAAAAAGAAACGGATCAAAAACCTGCACTCGCACAACTGCCTCAAGACCTTCGAAGTTTCCAGCAATCAAAATTGCTTCCCCTCCTCGCGAAAGCACCTTCTCTTCCAAATCGTCATCTAATCGCCAATCACCAGACTCTTCCTTGATTTCCCATCGTCCGATTGTCTTTTCGGTTAAAGACGGATCATTTTGAAGAATTAGTTTTTGGAATTCTGTCTGCTCAAACTCCTCTAGTTTTCTATTCTTTCTGTTGTAAATCGTTCCACAGCCTTCTTTATCAAATTTTACGAATTCCCACGAACCAGCATATCTTTCATTTTCAAAATCAAGTCGCTCAACGGATTCCAAAAGTCGGCATTTCTGCGTCCTCGAAGTCGTCCTCTTCAATTTCGGAAGAAATTCTTCCAGCCAACACTCAACTTTCTCCCTTTCCAGTTGAGATGGATAAGCAATGATTTGAAGCATTTCTATCAGTTTATCTATTACGTTTTCTAGTTGAGATGGATGGTCAGTGATTAAAAGATTTTCAAGTTCGAAATTTTCGTTTTCCATTTTCTCTTTTAATTAAGTTCGCTGAGTAGAAGCGTTTTTAACAAGTCTGGTGAAATCTTTTTATTCTCAGAATTAACGACCCTTTTTATCTTCTTTTTACGAGCTTAAGGGATCCCCCGTTTTGGCCATTTTCAACTGGAAATTCAGCCGAATTGGGCTGATGAATTGGAGCGTATAATAGCTCTACGGATAGCCCAGGTGCTATCCGCTATTCTCTAGTACAGAGAAGTTTTTTGCTCAAGGCAAACCTACCACTAGGAGGGGCCAAAGTTCGAATTTTTCGAAAAATCGCCATTTTAGGCCATTTTTGAATCGAAATTCAGCCAAATTGGGCTTAGATAGACTCGATATGAAAAAAGATTCAGATAGAATGGAGCCTAATCTACAATCTCTAGTACAGAGAACATTTTTGGCCAAGACTTCCGTCAAAAAATCGCGGGTAAACGCAAATGCTCCGAATTCAGCAGCCCTGGGCCAAGTAAGAAAAAAATTTTCTTAAGAAGATTTTTTTGATGCTATTTTGGCCCTCTTCTGGCTTTAATTTGCTCTCTACCGCCAATTTATGGCCAGAAATTCTAGTGCGGTCATCATATTCTTATTCGTTGCATTCTTAGCTATCGATAGACCCCTTATTTGTCTATTTTCGATGACATTGAAAAGTGGAAAAAATTGCGATTTTCACGCTAAGTACAACTTATATGCATTTTTACGACTTTCGAGGGCCAGAATTTCGGGTAAAGATGTTCCTAAAGGGGTAGTATGATACATCAAAATGATCCTTAGAACACGGGGAATCTAAATATGCCATAAAGAGACCCGTGATAAAGACTTGAAAAAACAGGGGGGGATCCCTTAAGGTTGTGACACCGGCCTGAGTTTTCGACGCAAATACGGCAAATCAAAAATATTTTATTAAAATCAATTTTTTTTCAGTGTCTTCATAAGTTCCCTGATTAAATTTTTGGTGATTATAAAAGTTGGATAAATTGGTCTACTGATTCAGAAATTTAAATTTCTCATTCTTTTTTTGATGAAAAAAAAATGACTTTGATTGTGAGTTCGATCGTCTGGGAGACGTTTCAAACGTATTTTTCATCCTTTTTTGCAAGTTGCAAGTTGTCACGTCAGAGGCAACGTGTCTCGCTTCTAAAAAGGGGGAGTTGGCCGTCTCCCTTTCTTTGTTATTCAGCTTTTTATGCGGCTGGAATGTTCTGAAGTGAAAAGTTCTTGGAATTTCAAGTTGTGTCTAAATTTCGCCCGGCCGAAAAGGATCACGCCGAAAAGGGATGATCGCCGTCTGAACAGCTCCTTTTATACTTTCATCATTGAATGGCGGTGTTGTCAAGTTTTCAACGTTAGTATTATTGAATTTTGATCGTTGACAGGCCTCGGGGAGGAAGATCAGAGCTTGCAGGGCTGTACAACTGATGAATAACACGCTAGAAATGACGAAAAAGCGAGAGAATATTCCCATCTTTCGTCACTTGGGGAATTCCCTGTTTCCGATGATACTACTGTCCCGAGCAAGAGTCTGCTTACCTCTCCCTCTTCGACACAGCTTCCCGATCGAGTTTGACAGATGGAGACGAATTCTTCGGCGCGAGTTTGATGAAAGTGGTCGTCAGCTTGAGCGAACAAAACCTCGGCCAAGAGCTGCTCCAGAAATCGGAAACTACGCTGGAATGGACTGAACGGCTTCTCGAGGAAAAACAAGGAGGAAAAGAGGTGCAGATCCGCTGCCTTTACGCGGTTAATAACATGATCAACGAGACGGATTGGACTCTTCGCCGCAAGAAATCGAGTAAGCTCGGACTTCACAATCATTATTCAATAAATCTTTTAGATGACGTAATCTACGAGTACGCGCAAAACAACAACGAAGCAGAGCTATCCACCAAATCGTCCCAAATTTTGGAGCTCATCAATGTCTCTCAAGAACAATAATTTCAAGCATTCATTTTCTGCCCAATTAACACTGTTTTTATTTTTTTTTAATATATCTCAATTTTTGAAAATAAAGAATTGAAATCAAGGAAGACAGAAGAATCGTTTTCCTTGATTTTAAAATGCTCTTGTTTTTCATAAAGTTGTATATTCTGGGATGAACTGGATGGTGTAAGCAATAGGAAGGAGATATCACGCATTCTCCTCCAAGTTTCCGAACTTTTCGTTCACCAATTCGTAGTTTATTCCGTCCTCTTCGAAAACGGTGCTTGAAGTCGTGTTATGTGCAAGATGGATGCGTTGTTCTCCCTCAGTTTTTCGCAGAAACTCCTTCGCTTTCTCAAAATTCCCATAACAAGTAGTAACGGCATCAAAAATCGCTTGCCTCTCAAACCCCATCTAAAAAGAAAAATTTATCTAAATATAAATTGTTCTTTTTGAATGATTGAAAAGTTGTTTCTTTTTCAAAAAATATTGCTAACCGCGAGAAGCTCATCGATGAAAATTTTCGGTCTGTTAATTTCTTCGTCGATATTAAAAGTTTTTTGAATCAGAGCAGTTTCTTTTATATGGTTTTTCGTTGGAATAAGCTTGATTGTGTATGCCTCCGGATGAAGATACCAGGTGTTTTCGTCCATGTTTTGTAAGTACTCGTTAACGAGTGTGAGTTTAATTTCGTTGTCTTCGTAAACGTTGCACTCGGTTGAGTTGACCAGATTGAAGATGTATTCGGGAGAAGCGTAGTATGGTCTTTTTCGTGGAATGCGGAGAACTGAACGTGGCTTGTTTGAGTTTGATAAATTTTGAAAAATTGTACCAGGAGAGTGATTTTTGAAATCTGAGTTTTGGAGAACGTAGTCGCCGTTTTCGACCCGGTCGAGCGTCATTTGGTGGAAGAGGAGATCGCCGTCAGAGGTTAAATACGCGCCGGTGACTGTTGCTGGACGGATGAAAGTGAAATTTTCGTTGAGAGTCACTGAATTTGGGTTAGATCTGTTTTCTTTATGATTAACCCTTTGGGCGCACGTGGCGTTTTTAAACGCCATGAGGACTTTGGCGAGGCATTTCTCTTAAAATTTCTCGACGGATTCTGCTCACCCGCTGGATTGCAGGCAACACGAATACCTAACTTAAGGCCTTAACTTACAGTGAAACCCTAACTTAAGGCCACTTTTTGGATGACAGGAAATTTGAAAAGTGGCCTACGATTTTTGGTCAATCTTCAGTGGCTATTTACAGTTATTTCCGACGGAGATAAAAGATAAAATTAGCATCAATGGATAGCCCAAACGATTTTCTATCAATCAGTTTTTTAAAAGTAAAAGAAATCAATTAAGAAATGCTTCAAAATCGAGAAAAACTACGTGGCGTTTTAAAACGCCACGCGGTTGCCAACGCACAGGGCCAGGCTCGCGCCCAATGACTCATTGGCAATGAGTTAAATACCTGTATGAAAGTGACAGCTTGATTTAACTGGATATTCTTTTGACCAAGATTCGTCTTCGTGTTCTTTGCGTACTCCCCTGATGATTTGCCATCCACTTTCCATGAGATAAGTTTCTTTGCAAAGTCGGTCCAAAAGAATCTCGATCTCATTTTCTTGCTTTTCTTTTTCTTTGTTGTTCGGATTCAAATTTAGTCCGGCCAAACTTCGCGGAAAGACGATCATCGTCAAAGTTGCAAGAATTTTTTCAAAGGTAAAAGAACCGACTTTATCCTCGAAAGCAGGAAGGTCCTTCTTGATGGCGTGTCGGAGAAGAGTAGTGACTGAAATCGGGACGCAAAGTTGACTAGTTTTTTGGTTGAACACGTTTTTGGTTAAATTCTTGATGTCTTGGTTAATGCACTTTGTTGCGTTTTGGACATCTTGTAGGATTGGGTCAAATTTGGGTCGTCCAGGCAAAATACGGTTGACGCGTTTTTCAGCGAAATTATTTTCGTGACTTCGTAGGGGAGATTGTAAAGTGATGACAAATAATTCTCATCGAGCACATTCAAATTTTTGATTGAGGTTGCTCCACACTCCTAAAAAAAATTACAAAATAGAAAAATCAAGCTCTTACTTCAACAATTTCATCAATTTCGTTTCTTTCACTATCATCTATCGGTTGGTAAAGAAGTGTCCACGCAGTTTGCCAGTCGCAGAAAAGAAAAAAATAAAGATTCAAAGCAAAATAACCAGCTCCATTCGCGATTTGAGCATGTAAAGTAAATCCTGGCGTCCCAGCAGCTTCAAACTTTGTATAAAATTGAAAATTTAAAAAAACTTACCAAGAGCTCTAGGATTTTTGTATTTTGCTCCCCTTCTGGCGTACCCCATTTTTCGGTAGCCTTTTCGTCCGGTTGTCTCCCTAACGAGCCCGAAGTCGATAATTTTCGGAGTTCCACCAACAAGCAAGACGTTTTCTAATTTCAGATCGGAATGAATGATTCCACGACCCCACAAATGATTAACTCCATCCGAAATTCCACTCGCAATTTCCCTTCTCTCTTCCAGACCAATTTTTTCTTCCTTCAACAAAGTCCTCAAATTCGCCTCTCCTCTCTCCATGATCGTAATCCACCCCAAGCAGTCTTTTCTTTTCTCGTCTTTCCCGTGAAACAACTCAATATTCACAAAGTTGTGGATCACGTTTTTATGGAATGGCATTTGATTCTCGCCCTCCGATGATTCTTCTTTTTTCGATTCTCTTTCTGCCGGTTTAAAATCTAAAAAAACCTTTAAAATAAATTTCAAACCCTTTTTCTACCTCTCGAAAGATGTATTTCGCAAACAAATCCAGCCTCTTCAAATTCCCTCGTAAAAACGGGTGTAGGGCGGCTACGTTCGAAATTTCGAACGCCGTTCGAGATTTTTCGAACGCCGTTCGAAAAGTTTCTGAAACTGCTTATAAAAATGAGCTTATATGCGCTCCGCGCCTGATTTGTAAGAAAACTCTCCCATAATGATGCCAACTTCCTTTACTTACACGATTTCAATGGTTTCAGCTCATATTTTGGTAAAGATTTTTTGGAAATTTCGAACGCCGTTCGAAAAATTGGCCCAAAAACCGATTTCGAACGTAGCCGCCCGCCACCCGTAAAAACAAACGGATCAAAGACCTGCACTCGCACAACTGCCTCAAAACCTTCAAAATTTTCAGCAAGCACGATTGCTTCTCCCCCTCTCGACAACACCTTCTTTTCCAAATCGTCATCTGATTGCCAATCACCAGACTCTTCCTTGATCTCCCATCGTCCGATTCTCTCATCAAGAAGAGACAGTTCATTTTGAAGAATTTGTTTTTGGAAGTCTGTCTGCTCAAACTCCTCAAGTTTTTTATTCTTTCGGTCGAAAGTCGTTCCTCGGCCTTCGTTATCAAATTTTACGAATTCCCACCGATAAGCATTGCTATCATCTTCAAAATCAAGTCGCTCAACCGATTCCAAAAGTCGGCATTTCTGCGTCCTCGAAGTCGTCCTCTTCAATTTCGGAAGAAATTCTTCCAGCCAACACTCAACTTTCTCCCTTTCCAGTTGAGATGGATAAGCAATGATTTGAAGCATTTCTATCAGTTTATCTATTACGTTTTCTAGTTGAGATGGATGGTCAGTGATTAAAAGATTTTCAAGTTCGAAGTTTTCGTTTTCCATTTTCTCTTTTCAATTAAGTTCGCTGAGTAGAAGCGTTTTTAACAAGTCTGATGAAATCTTTTTATTCTCAGAATTAACGACCTTTTTTATTTTCTTCTTTTTTATGAGCGTAAGGTTGTGACACCGGCCTGAGTTTTCGACGCAAATACGGTTAGTCAAAAATTTTTAATTAGAATCAATTTTTTTCAGTGTCTTCATATGTTTCCTGATTAATTTTTTGGAGATTATAAAAGTTGGATAAATTGGTCTACTGAATCAGAAATTTAAATTTCTCCTTCTTTTTTTGATGAAAAAAATGACTTTGATTGTGAGTTCGATCGTCTGGGAGACGTTTCAAACGCATTTTTCATCCTTTTTTTGCTAGTTGCAAGTTGTCACGTCCTAGGCAACGAGTCTCGCTTCTAAAAAGGGGGAGTTGGCCGCCTCCCTTTCTTTGTTATTCAGCTTCTTATGCAGCTGGAATGTTCTGAAGTGAAAAGTTCGTGGAATTTCAAGTTGTGTCTAAATTTCGCCCGGCCGAAAAAGATCACGCCGAAAAGGGATGATCGCCGTCTGAACAGCTCGTTTTAAACTTTCATCATTGAACAACGGTGTTATCAAGTTTTCATCGTTATTATTGAATTGTGAAGGTAGACAGGCCTGGGGAGGGTGATCAGAGCTTGCAGGGCTGAACAACTGATGAACAACGCGCTAGAAATGACGAAAAAGCGAGAGAATCTTCCCATCTTTCGTCACTTGGGGAATTCCCCTCGTTATCGCCTCCTGGCGTCCACCTACGCTCCCCTGCCGAGCGCATAAATACCGCCGCGCTGCGCATATCGCCCCATTCTTCCTAAAAGAATTCCTCCACGCAATAACACATCATGTCCGCCAGCGCCACAGCTTCCCGCATCGCCAAGACCTTCACCCGCTCGCTCGCAGTGGCGAAGGACTCGACTCCCAAGTTCATCCCGACAAATCCGGGCCGGCGCATCGAAGCTGGCTACCAGTCGAACAGGTGGGTGGCGACGATCCCGCTCCAGCAGGAGGAGCTAGAGAGCTTGAAAATCTCCGAACAAGACGGCCAAATCACCATCTCCGGCAACTACTGGGCCAGAGAGTGGCAGTCCAGCATATCCATGCCTTACGACGCGATAGAAGGCTCCCTCAAAGCCAGAATCGACGGCGACACTCTTTTCATTTCCGCGCTGGTCGACGAGCCGAGCGAAAGAGGAACAGAAATTAAAATCGAAAAATTATAAACTTAAAAGAAGATAATGTTTTCTGAGATTCTGTTTCTGTCTTTCTGTTTGTCTTTTTTCGTTCTGTCTGTTTTCAATTTTGATAATAAATTTTATCAGTTTTTTAATTAAATTGGCTTCGCTTCAATTTTTCTTTAAAAAAAGATAATTAATTAGCAAAGAAGTTGTTGAAAGGAATTTTAATGGAGAGCGTAGTACGCAATTGTCGACGCATGGGCGTGATAAGTCCTTGTTTTCGAAGTTCAAGAGAAACAAATGTACACTTCTCATTTGCTTATGTAATTTCGAACCCGCTTTAGCAGTACTCGTAGGAAATTTCGTGGATTACATCGTGAGCGCCATCGTCGAAGGGATCGTTTTCGTCGTTTTCGATGATCGCTTCGTCGCGTAAATACGAGTCTTTAGCGAGATCTCTTTGCTTTTCTGAATTTTTGGCAAAGAAAAGACCCGCACCCATGCGATATCCATCGTCGATGTAGTCGTAATCGGGGTCGCTGTACTTTTCGTCTGAAAAACAAGATCTTCTGTCCGGAAGGTCGTCGAATCTGTCCGGACTCAGGAGATCATGAAGCGCCACCCAACTCCAGCCATCACTGTAAGAAAGCGAGTATTCTGAAAGACATCGAAGCGTGAGTCCTTCTTGCTGCATGATCTGCTCGCACGTAGCCGTTCTTCGCTGGTTCATTCGTCGAGATTGAGCGCAGTACTTCGTCACTTTGCCTCTTGAAAGTGTGAAAGAGCGCGATTTCGGTCGTTTTCTACCTTGGAATGTAAATTACTCGCGTTCTGGTTTTTCTCTTCCCGGAAAGACAAGAGCCCATTATTTCAACTTTTTCATCGAAAAATGATTTTTGCTGAGAAAAGGGTTTGAAAAGGGGAAAAATAAGAGTGTTAGAGTTCGACAGCACGACAATAAGTTTATTAGCGAAAAAAGCGAGACATAAATAAGACGAAAAGAAGATAAGACTCAAGTTTATACAGTAGAGCTTACTGTATTTAGGCTTTTCCGTGGAAACTGAGCTGCCTTACTCTTCTTCAGCGGATTCACGGATTCGTGAAGTTCTAGATTCTAGAATCACGATAAATCTCTAGAGGTCATTCAAAATCAGCGTGGGACGGACACGGGTTTATTCAGAATAAATTCAACCAAGAGATTTTTTCATGAATTCAGAGAAATTCTGGTTTTAGCGGTGTTCGAATTTTAGAATGTACGCATTTGAGGGTTTTCGCGCGCCAAAAGTCTACTTTTTCTTGAAAATTACAAAGAAGGAAGGGTTCAAAAGAGCTATCAAAACTAATCTCGCTATATTTTTATTCGCCCTGGAAAAGATTTCACGATGATGAGCTTCCTCTTCAAAAGCGGGTATCCAGGTCACCGGGAAGTTCGATTCGCGCAGATGCTCCTCCTCCACCGCAGCGACTTGCAACTGGAGAGCATGAAGAAACACTGCCTGGAAGACATGCCGACTGTGATCGTTCGCATGAGCTCGGCGGAGCAGATCAAAGTCGAGCGCGAGTTCGTCTGGTGGAACAGAGAAGTCCTCTCCGAATTCCTGAAGGAGGTCGCTTCCGACGTCACTTCCATCTTCTTCGACTTCGCGGTCGCCTTCTACCTCTCCGAAGCCTGCCACTCGAAGATAAAGCTTCCTCCTCAAGACGCGCCACAGCAGTTCAAGCACTTCGTCGACTTGATAAATTTTCATTTTTCGAACCCGCCGGCTTTCAATGTCGAGAAGAAGATGGAGACGGCAATTGCCAAGGAAATATTTGCGGAAGAAAAACCTTTTCTTTTCAAGGTAATCAAAGATCTCAAGAGTTAGGAATCTCCGCCTCTTAATTTGTCGATTTCAGTCAATTTACGGAGAAAAACGAGAAGCAAGGGAAACCCGGCTGAACGAAAAAATCACTGGAATGCCTTCGCCCCGCGCTCAAAATCCAAAGCCGCCGAAGACTGCGAACAACAAGGAGAAGAATGAATGTCCAGATTGGATTTTGGATGAAGTCCTTCAGGAATCAGTTTTTTAAGTAAAATTGGATCTTTTTTTGCAACTTGAAAACTCGCTTAAGAATGACATCATGGATGAGAACATGAGTCTGAGCGAAATTAACAGATTTATGGCGACGAAAATGCAGCTCGAACGAGAGTTGGCCTTGGTCACTAGACAAGTCAGAGCGGCTGAGCATCAACTCGTCCTGTCGGGAAAGAAGAAAGCGAAAGGGGGTTGAACTGTGCTCGAACAAACGCTGAATAAACTGCTCCCTAAACCATATTCTTCAAACAGTATCCGATAGTTTATTTTACAAAGAAAAAAAATGAATTAAAAAGTTTGAACAACGCCGTAAATCAAGCAGTAAATACAGCAAATGAAAACAGTGAAGACTACTGCTCATTTGATTGGAACTTTTGTGTCGAGCTCCATGCTCAGAATTCTGTCTCTTATTTTTCTGCAGAATCCGTTCGTCTGAGCGTCCATGGCCCAAGATCCAGTTTCGTAAAGCATTTTTGCTTGGTGATAATGATTCAGCTTCCCTTCACAGGAGCCGTGGCCCTCCTCCATGATTTCAAGAAACTCGCTCAGCTTGAGTTTCGGTGTTTGAATCGACTTTGACGGAGTTGCTGATTTTCACTTGTTTAAATCAGGGATTTCGCTAGTTTCTACCTGGAGGGAGGCGCGAATCATTGCACTCGATCTTTTTGCTTTTGCACTCTTCGAATGTCAACTTCGCTTTTTCGATTTCTACTTGCATCTGGGCTCGGCAACCTGAGTAGAAAACCTGAGTCAGGGTCTGAATGCTCAAAAACTACGCGGCTTTTCATTTTCGATGATTGAGACCCTGACTCAGGTTTTCTACGCAGGTTGCCGAGCCCAGACTTGCATTTTCTCCTTTCCGAACGCTTCGATTTTTCTGAAAAACGAGGCATTGAAATAGTTGTACATCAAAATATCGACTTCGAAAAAGTCTTCGAAAATCTGCTGATTGCTTGGCTCGAGAGGGGCGTGCGTGTATTTCAGAGAATTCGCGTTTTCGATGTACAGGTCTGTGTATTCGCAGCAGAGGAGATGCTTGAGAAGGACGATTCCTTCGAAGAAATATTCGATGATCTTCGAATGAAATCAGAAACGAAGTTAGAACTCAGCTAGGGAAAAAATAATGATAAATAATAAACAATTAATTAATAAATAAAATAGTTAAAAATTTCTGATGGCAACTGATTTCATCCCCTGTATCAAGACTAAATCATACTGAGTGTCGAGCTTCTCAAAATACTGCTTGACGAAGAGAAAGTCGTCCATTTTGTCCATGTCCAAGCCCATTTCGTAGGATTGAAGATTGCGCACTCGGAAGTTCCAGCCATCTGCCGCGTCGTAGTTCTCCGGCAGAATGCTCAAGAACTCGTTGATGTCCGGCTTCTCGTTTTCGAAAGTCGAATTTGAGCGGCGAACGATGGATTCGAAGGGCGCTTCCCAGCAAATGACGTTGCATCCGTCGCTGACTCTTTTCGAAATCGAAGAGTAGAAGTAATTGAAGGCGGAGCGGAAAGTAGCGAGAGGGTCGCGTACTGATGTGAATATTTTCACTGCGAAAGATCCACTTGAGAATTAAAGCTGAGAAAAATAAGCAAGTAAATTTAAATTAAAGATTTGGATCTTTCCTGAATCTCTATTTTCGTCGAGAATGGTCGGTAAATAGTCCGGGTTCCAAGTAAAATGATAATCGATGCCGAGGACTTTTTCTCTTCTTTGGTCGTGTTTCCAGCACTTTTTGTTGAATTTGGCCGGATAACAGCCCGTCGAGTAGATCATGTGCGGCTCTTCGACCAGAGAAAACATGTTTCTCAGGTTGAAGTATCTGTCGATCAGATTTTTGAATGTCGTTGATCCAGTTTTATGCTTTTTATGGAAGATTGCGCCCTCTTGTGGCTAAATATATATTTCAAACATATTTTAACCCCCGCGCTGAGTAAGAAACCTTGCAGGATTGATTCCAGAAGCCCAAATCAGCGGTAAGCTGCAAGTCTTCATAAGTAAACTTCGTTTTCTCTTGAATAAACGACTCTTCGAAATCAAAATGTTCTGTGCGAAGAAGGAAAAAACAAGTAAAAAGCTTAAAAATACGAAAATAAAATCCCGGTGCAAAAATTCTTTTCTCTCCATTTTACGTTTATGTTTCGAGAAATAATTCCGCCGGAATATCTTTGCCCTGGGCTCAGTTAATCCTAAAACAATTTGGTGTTTTACATCGAGAGCGTTTGTGTTGGGGCTCAAAACACCCGGTAAAAATGGACCGGCGCAGCGGCTGACAAGTGCCTATTTTATTAGATTGAATAATAACTTTGCGAAGACCCTGACTCAGGTTTTGTACACTGCCGAGCCAAGAAGAGTAGTTTATTGCAGCGAAAATGTCAAGAATCAGAAATTAACAGTTCTTCCTCGATTTTGTTTGAGAGGCAGGAATCCGTCCAGAAATCCACAGTGTCATAGCCATCCAGCATAAATGGGGTGCAAGGAGCCTTAGGCCGACCCGCCCATAAAATGCACTCGTTTGAAATCTCCAAGTCGTCGTCAAAGCCAGCGTAGCAATACCAATCGGCAAAGGCGTCGCTCTTTCGGGCAAAAGGGTAGACTCCTTCCGAAACTTCGCTGCAAACAGCATCCATTCTCTTTTGCAGACAATTGAAGACATCTTCACCAGCGATTTTTTTCTCCGAAAGACTTGGCGCGGTAGTGGGCTCTAGAATCATATTTCCTCGTTAAAAATTATCGCTTTCCATCACTGACCATTGAAAGAAAGCCAGAAAAGCTTCATTTCCGCTGAATTTCTCTTTTAATTCTCTTTCCAATTTCTATTTTTTTCGTTTTTTTCCACGCGGGGACCTCAGTTTTTGGTTGAACATTCCACGAGCCGTTTTCTGGCATAACAACGACTCTCGCACTCCAGCCAAAAAGCAAGCACTCAAAACTCGGCAGCGCTGGGCTCGGCAACTTGTGCCATGGTCTCTCATATTTTCGATGAATAATTTTTGAGAAGAAAGGAGTAATTTCAAAAGGCTAATTTTATTTTCAATATTTGTTTAAAAACACAATTTTTGATCAATTATTTTGCTTCCTCTTCGCTTTGAGATATTCGGTAAACTCGAGACCGTTGAATCTCAGCAGCTGGCAAAGCTCGTCATCCACGGTCAACTCTCTGCGATGATCCACAGATGGTGCCTTGCTTTGAGTACTTCCCAAGTCTGGCTTGCCACAGCGTTCTTCAGCTTCTTTTTTCGCATTTTTAAGAGCTTCAACTTCCGCCTCCATTTTCTCTTTTCCGAAGAGCTCGATTTTTCTGTCCAATTCGGCGTTGGCGGCTTCGTAAAGGACCAAATCGAGATGATTTTTCTCCAAAATGAAATCCTGAAAATTAATTTTTTCAAGCAGAAAGCGAATTTTACCGTTAGATTTTTGGGCAAATCGGCGACTCCGAAAGTTTTCGCCGCGGCGTTGTCCTTAGCTTTGAGCGCCACGACGTCTTCCAGTTCCAAATTCCACATGTCTTTGAGGAGAATGATGGACTCCTCGAAGCGCTCAGTCAGCAGGATCAGATCGTAGTAGTCCGTCGCCCAGTCGGCGGCCTCTTCGATCGTCGACTTTGGCGGCTGGATCCGCGAGAGGCCCAGGTCGAACGTGTTTTGACTGATGAAATTCTAGAGTTCATCACGAGCTCAGCTGAGAAACCAAGAATTACCTTCATAGATTCGCCCTGAGATTCGGGGAAGATTTTGTTTCCTCTGATTTTGAGCAGCGCTCGCTCGAACTGCTCAACGGTTCTTTCCTTGACTCCCATTCTGTGCCACTGGTGGAAGAAATAGTGAAAGTGCGAGACCACTTGGTTCAGCGGGTGGCGAATCACGGTTACTTTCGACGCGATCGGGAGCACTTTGTCTACGTAGGGACTCTTTTTTTGGCTTAAAATTAATATTATTATATTTTCTGAATTTTGAAAATAAATAATTCTTAATATTTTAAAAGCCATTCCCAGTTGTTATGACTAGCGAGAACGTCGTATTGTCCGTCGGGAGGATCAGTACAGCCCCTGTGGAATCCGTCTCTTCCACCACAAAGCATTACTGGATCTTCTCCAGTTGAAAGGCCGATTGTCAGATTCTTTTTCATTGCGTATCTTTTGATGAGATTGAAACGGGCTCAATAAATCGTCAAAATTTAAAATTCAACTTTTCCTGAAAATGATGCTCTGGAGCGTCGATCCTCCCGTTTTATGAGTTTTGCAAAAATAAATCTGTTTCGGATTTTCTCTTTTCCAAGCTTCTGCCTTTTCACTTCCATCTGAGATCTCAAAGTCGCTGGAAAAGCTGCTCTTTTGCAGTCTTCGAATGTTTATTAAAATCAAGACATTTAATGCCAAAAAGATCAGAATTGATTTTAGCGAAACGAAACTCTGATGACTCATCTTTAATTACTTTATTAAAAATGTTTTTTAATCGTTTCTCATTTCTCACGATTCTAGCGGCATTTAGGCTCGCATAGTTGCGCTCTCGCGCGCCGGGTTATTTTCACTAAAAACATGTTTCCAGCGTAAACTACATCTGCTCTGCCAAAATGAGAAATTATCTTATAAATCTTTATGATCATAAACTTCGATTTGAAAAATCGAAGTGAAATACAATTCTTTAAAAATCAAAGCCAATTTTTGGAAGTGAATTTTTGGTTAACCAATAAAATTGCTGTATTTGGCCTACCGGTCAATCAAAACCCTTTCTATAAAACAGTTCCAAAAATTGGTTCTACCCGACAAATGCTCAAAAAGCAGAAGTGAGAAACTGCTGCGCTCGAAATTCAAAGAAGACTGCCAACAACAAGGAAGACACATTTCTCTTCTTTTATCGGCTCAAGACCTGGCGTAGTCGATGAAGAGATTGAACAGGAGCCGTCTTCCAACTCAGTTTGTTCGCATTTTTTATCTTGGATGAAGTCCTTCAGGAATCAGTCTTTTTTATAAGTAGAAATGGATGTTTTTTGCAACTTGAAAACTCGGAAAAGAATTACATTATGGATGAGAACATGAGTCTGAGCGAAATTAACAGATTTATGGCGACGAAAATGCAGCTGGAACGAGAGTTGGCCTTGGTCACTAGACAAGTCAGAGCAGCTGAGCATCAACTCGTCCTGTCGGGAAAGAAGAAAGCGAAAGGGGGTTGAACTGTGCTCGAAAAATCTCCAGAATAAATTGATCGAAACTGCATGAAAAAAAAATCGAAGGAACGCTAGAAGCAAGAATCTATTAAAATTCTTTCAATATGATCTTGCCCAAAATCGTTTTATTGAAATGTGTAATTTGGTAAATAAGCGGCATCGAAGTGTGACAGGGATTCAAGTGTATTTAAAATTTTAGCACTCGAGCTAATGAGCTGTTTTAAAACAACCACAAGCCGACTTTCCGGGCTGGGCGTCGAAGAAGGGCGGAAGAAATAGATCCAATTTAAAATTAAGAGCTTTTTTAGAAAACGGAAGTAAGGATCATCCCACTGGAGACACTTTTCTTTTTTTCTTTTTGCCCAGAAGCCCTTTTTTCTCCAAATTTTCGACCATCTTTTTCATTTTCATCAATCAAAGTTTGATTCAACAATTTTGAGAAAAATTATCGGCTAAATGGGTCTCACGAGGCTAAGCCTCTGCCGCTTGTTTTCGCCGAAAAACGGATTTTTGAGCGATGAGGGATCAAAAACGTCAGTAACTCTACTTGAAGATGTCAAATTATGGTACATCGATGGTGGGGATCGCATTCTTCACTTGTTTTTACGGCTTATTAAGTTTCCTTCCCAGAAACATCCAATCAATCAAAAATTAACAAGCAAAGCGAAAGCCAGAAATCTGCACTTTTTCGGGGATCAAAAGAGCGGGACTCTTCCTGACCGGATGTTAGCTCCATATTTGCCAAAGAAGGCTGCGTAAAAGTTCCCAAATTCGGAAATATTTCCGCCGCTTCAAAGCGCCGCCCGCTAGTTAATGTTTACCAAATTTGAAATGCCGGACATTTCGATTATAAACTTCTTCGAAAAATGAAATTTCGGAAGAGAAAAAGGGAGTTGCTTGACATGTGCTTGACCTTAATTGTGGATAAACGAGCGGCGGAGGGGGAAGATGAAATTCAGGAAATAAAATATGGATCAAGGCCGCCGGATCAAGCGGCTTTTCGAGCTGGAAAGATGGGGGAGATGGATAAGTTGCGATTTCGTAATCAAGCTTCGACAAAAGCTATTGCTAATCTACATTATTGCTATTAGCTAACTTTAAACAAGCAACTAACAAACCTTCAGTTCTCAAAGTCAGTCAATAAATTTCAGCTGTCTGCTCCAATAATATCTAACTTCTAATCCGGATCACTCTCGCTCCGTAAAAACGATAGCGCTAAAAGTGTCTCCCACTCAAGCCTGCACGCGCTTTTCAACAAGAAAAACGATAAAACGAGCGGAGGGTTTATGTTTACTTTGATGAGCAGTGGCGTTTACATTGTCGCAGTTGGCCGCGATTCAAGCTCACTTCTGCTGTCGGACATAAATCCTGTAATCTGTTTGCTCTCCCCAACCCCAGCCGAAACACTGGCGACTGTTATTATCAGCTTTCGCGGTCCTTACAAAGCCCAACAAAGTAGTTCGAGACAGCATCTTCGTCTCCTCCCTTGTTTTCACGAAAACGAAAAGGCTGAATTTCAACTGAATCAAATTCGGAAAATGGAAATAGTTCCAGTCTAGGAACTCTGAATGACAAACCGACAAAGGCGTTTTTGTGGCACTCGTTCAAGAAAAAGCAAGCAATTAGCTTTTTTCGTTCTTTATTTTTCGATTTGGCGAAGTTGGTTAATTGGCTCCGCGTGCATGCCTCGTCAGCCATCAAGAGATGATTTCTCGGCAAACAACGGCGATTTGTTTGCCTCCTACTCGGCAAAGTCCTCGGTCAAGTGGCCAAAAAAAGACTCGGTGAAAGGTGAAGTTGTGTTTGGCCCTTCACTTTAGAAAAAAAGGGCTTATTTGAGCGTTTGGAATATTCTTTTTTTTTTCGGGAAGATTTAGCTTGGTGACGCCCTTATTTTTTATAGGAGAATTGAAGCTCTTCAAAATCTGCTCAATCAAAAATTCAGTTCGCTGATGGACCATCACTGATGGTGGGAACCCCTTTTCGGTCGGCTTTTGCACTTTTGAGTTCAATTAGTCGGAAATCGCTTACCCTAATTTTTGGACAACTTCGATCGATTGCCATCTGAAAAATTGATTCTCCACTTTCGGGACTCCTTCAATTTGTATTTTATACATTCGCCGTAATATTGATCAGCAGAAAGGAAAGTCTGGCAGGGACCCAAAGCAAATCTTTATGGTCCTTAATGAAATCGTCAAACCTGTCCGGCTACCAGAACGGCTGACAAATAAATTATGAAGTTTGGGCACACGCTGAGAGGCAAGCATATAAACGCAAATAACAATGTTTGTTTCTGAGATCTCGGATTGCTTTTGCAAGCAAAGTTTTATTCAAAAAACGCTTCGTTCTCACCTTCAATTATCACCTCATAAGGTCTTACTAAGCCTTACTGAATTTCTACTACAGTAAGACTATCGATCAAAAAACGGTAAATCGTTTAATAACCCCTCCCGTGCATCTCCGCCCACTTTGAAACAGAAAAAAACGAGTAATCCAAATCTCCAAAATCTGATGGGAAAATGGATTTCCTATCACTTGAAAAACGAGCAAAACAAACATTGCACTTTCCAGCGCGTAAGTTGGCCTTGACCTTGTCCCGTTCTGCAGCTGCAAGGAGGAGAAAGAGATCTGAGACGCGGGAAAAGGGTGAAATCGGCCTAATCCAAAAGATACACTTTTTGACAAGATAAATATTGGCCCGGCTAACTTCTTTCATATAACTTGCGAAAATAACCGGCCAGAAGGCGAAGTAGGGCAGAAGGGACTTCGACTCATGTGCGAAAAAGGGATGAAAGGAGTCTGAAATCTAACTCTTCTTTTTGATTTGTGAAATTTTCAACGATGGAGTTATCAATATGCACCCTTAAACCTGCTTATTTGCAGTAAAAACAAATTGCTGGGAGCCTTTTTTTGAACAAGAGTAAATATTTTCGGAAAAAGTTGAGGTCACGTGCGCTGCATATTTTGAGGTTAGCAAGTTACGCAAAATCGCATGACCCAAATTTCCTTCAATAAAAATTCCCACAGCAGGCGAGCTGTGGCTTTTTCGAACTAATGAGGCTGGTGCTTGCGCTAAATTGGCTCCTGTCAAAAGGGAAATTAGGCGACGATTTTATGCTCTTTTTCGAAGCTGAAATTTGCTTCAGCAATGAGGATGATACTTTTTCAAATAAGCTGGAATTTGAGGAATGAAAACGCCAGAATCTGCCGAATTTGCCGTTTGTTTGGTCAATTCTCTTGGAGTACCAATTGGTATTGCTGTTTCTTTGGATTGTGCATTTCCGCGCGTTTGGAATTCTGCAAAAAAAACGGGCTGAGAGCTTGAGAACATTTTCAACCGCGGCTTTTGTGGACAAAACACGCTCCCGGGAGCGGCCCCTCAAAGGGACTACACAGATGCTTGGAAGTACGAATACTCTAAGTGTGAAAAGGCACGTTTTAAAAGTGGCTACATATTTTTCGAGCTTTTGCCGATTTTTTTATATGGCGGTTGCTCCATTCAAGAGCTCGTTAAAGCTTATCAGAAGTTTCTTTTGAAGCAGCTAAAACCGCGTTGATAAAGGCCAAGAGCTTGGCAAACCGTTGATGATAATAAATTTGCTTTTAGTTTTCGTTGAGCGATGTTTTTTTGTCAATTTTTAAAAGCGATTTCGCGAAGCACTGCTTCTACAAATACGAATAACATATTTTTGAAAGATTGATTGCTCTTTTTTCCGGGGACGCTCGATTCGTGTACCAAAATTTTTTGGTATTCGAATACCAAAAATTGGTATTAGCTCAAAACATAACTTCACTAAAGCTGTCCTCAAGATTCCCTGCGGAGGGATTGACCCAGCGAGCGATTATCCTTCAGCAGGTTCACCTGGGGCCTCGCTGGCACAGTGGGCGGAGGCGGATTACAGTTCTCCCGCCGGAAGTAGTTTTTAATTCCTATCGATTTAACCGAAAAAGAATCGAGAGCGCGACCGGCAATTAGCCTCTTAATGAAGAATGCTAAAACAATATTTAGCACTACAAAACATTGAAATTGACGAATCTGCAGGTGCTCCTGCTCGAAGATCTCGTTAATCATGTGACCTCTTGGTTGGCTCCGGGAGTCGGCCAGTTCCTGCGTTCTTTTTGATGCCGCGCTGATATCAACCGCAGCGGCTTAGGGCAGATACTTCTCTCTCTTCGTTTCTAAGCTGCGCGAATCTACGGCTAGAAATCGCACCTGCAGAATCAAGATCTTTTGATTCACCGAGGGTTTAATGCCTCCACAGATTATCTAACTACTTGTTTTCTGTTTCTCAAATCTGCTCCTTCGTCATTTGAAAGATTCATGGTCAAAGTCGCGTGAGAACCCAGCAAGAGCTTTTTTCTCGATGAAAAAAGTACTTGGAAAGTTATGCAAATTTGGCGAGAAATTCAAGGATTAGCATAACTAACTCCACTTTGTTTTATTTCTGGCGCACTGGCGATCGAGATTTTTGCTGTAAGAGTGAATCTAAGAAATGGTTTCTGAATTCGTTCCGCAGCGAAATTTTGAAGTGAACCGGCCGGTTGAAATTTCGCCACGCTGGCTTCGTCCGACCGCAAAAACTACAATCTGCGCAGATTTTACATCGACCGCCGATACATGAAATTTGACGATTTGGGATTGAAAATGACAGACACAGACTTTGCCATTGAATATTCATGTTTTTCGCCGTGGCGAGATCTCAAACGAAGGTCAAATTGAAGCTGTCTAATCCAGAAACTCTCGAAAAAGAGAATCATCCCTTTTCCGTTTCAAAAATACCAAGCGATTCAGAAATCTTGTTTGGGCAACGTCAGATTGTCCGAAAGGTTCCACCACGCTCGGCTGCCTTTCTTGCGGTTTTCGCGGATGCCGATAAGTCCATCACGCCGGTCCATGTAGCGCGGAAAAGATTTAAGGGAGTGGCACCAATTATTTCGGGCTTTTGACGACAAATTTTGTTAATAATTAAATTATTAACAAAACAGTGCTTTTATAATTGATATGTTCAAAGTATGGTCCATGTTTTAATGCCAAAAGTTTGACAAGCAGACGGAGATGGGTTAAAACTTTCGAGCGGCGAAGTTAGCGCGTTTTCGCATTGCGCGCAGGTCAAGGCGCTCCACCAGCGCGGCGCTGGCCAGGTGTCGCCAGCGAGGCGTTCTCCGGTGCGACGAGGAGCGCGCCCGCTCTGTTGATACACTTCACATTACGGCAAACTTTCAGCAATTTTTGCGCTGTAAAATTCAAATTGAAAAAATATTCATCGCAATCCTTTAAAATAATGAACACGAGCAAGAGATTTTAAGAAGAAGAGATTCAAAAGAAAATAAAGCGGCAAACAATGAAAGGTAAGATTTCTTCTGACAAAAAAAGGGTTGAAATTCCATTTTGGCCCGCGGCGCAACGCTACTTTTCGGCAATCAATGGGTAGTAAAGACGCTTATCAGCACTTTACGATGTCGGGCTACTCTAATTTGGAGCTTTAGAAGTTTCTTACTGATCAAATTCTAGTTTTCAGGCTGAAAAAGAGGGAGAAAGTGTTTTAAAAATTGTGCTTTTTCTTCTTTAAAATTCCGGATTTGATGGCTTATCGACTCGATAATATCGAATGTTCGATTATAAAATTCCAGAGGAAGCTTCTTTCGGTTGCTATGGTTTTGCTCTTATCGCTATTTTTTGGTGGCTTATCACGGTTTCCGAAAAATTTACGCGTTTTTTTTCTAAAAGCGAATTAATCCGGCTTTTGGAAGAAGTCGATTGAAGTCGATTTTGCACTTTCAGTGGGAAATGCCAGAAAATATAAAAAGAAAGGGGCTCTTATCAATCGACCACCCGCTGCGTCGAAAGTGGAGCAGCCCCCTGCTGCGCGAGATTTACAACTGACGCCAGGTGCTTTTTTTCGAACAATGGCGAAGCCACAATTCATTGCGCTTTGCCTCAATTTTTCAAGGTTAAACTTGACACCTTTCTTTTTGGCGACAAGAGCGTACTCGTGCTCCTTTGATCGCTTCCGAGCTGAAACAAGTGCTTTTGAGTTTTTTGAAAAGTTTAAGAGTGTTAGTCTCGGTTTCAAAAATGATCATTTTCGAGGAAAAAATTATTTTTCAAAAATTGGCTTTTCTTCAAAATTGCTCGAAAAGTGGAAATGCAAAGTGAAGACAGAAAAATGAATTCCCACGTCGAATTTCCATAAGAAGCCACTATTTCCGGCCTGGCTGTAAATCACGTGGCAGTAAGCGCTCCTTGTCGACAGAAGCGGCCCCGGCGGTAATAGATGTCACTTGAGTGAGATTTTCGCCATCTTTTCAAACATCAGCTCATCGTTCAGTTTCGGAACACGCGTGTGATAAATTATTCACCGCTTTTCTTTTTCGCGCGAAAAAGATCATCCTTCTTTTTTTTTAATTCCGGGCCGTAAAAATTCATCGTAAAATAAAATCGAGAAAGAAAGCGACTATCAAAAGGAGCGAAATTCAAAAGTTTGAAAAGTTTGATCGATTAGCCGAAATTCGAAGTTGATGCATAACAAAATTAGAAATACGAATTTTAAGACTTCGAAAACGCTTGAAAACTGGAAACTGACTGTATCGAACATTTGCGTTTGCTGCCTTTCCGGTCGGATTTCCTCAAGAGGCCTACTTAGCTTTTCGCATTTTCGCTTTGTTTTGACTATTTTTTTGATTGTCGCGTAACTAAAACAACTCATCCACGTAGAACTACTTATCTACGTCAGAAATATGTCACTGAGCGTTCTTAACGTAATTACAGTATTGCCGCTGTTGTTTTTTGAATCTTGGAAAGACGGAACTCGGTCGCTACAATAGAGGCGCGCAAAGCAAATTCTGAAGAGCGATAGAAGCAAGATGAACAACATTCTTATCGAGCTTCTTTTTCAGTTGCTGACACTTTCTTGAGTTTTAATTGAAGAGTCCGAAGTTCGAAAAAGAAAGGAATGTTACGCTCCTCGATCTTTGAACTCGCTTTCCTTCTTTTTGAGAGCATTAAATTTAAAGCCTTGTCAGACTTCTGCTCAGACTTCAATAGAAACTAGCTCGGTTTGAATGAAAAGCTGAATCAACAGCGAGATTTGTCGATTTCAAGATTTTAAAAATTGAAGATCAAAAAAGCGCCGATTTACATTGAATTTAAAATCGCAAAATCGCCTCAATTAAGAAAAAGTGGAAAAACTGGGCAGCGCGTTTTTGGAATAATTATTAGCTAGGCGCAGAGCCAAGAGCCTGAGCGGAGCCCAGTTGACTTTTGGTAAACTAGCAAGGCTAAATTTCACATTCACACATCGCCCAGCTTCCAAAGGTCAACAAAAGCGCTCTTGTTTCTAATTCTACTGAATTAATCGAAAATTCAGCACGCTCTTTTTCTTCTTTTTCGTTTTTTGGAGTAAGCCAATATCCTCACCCTTTGTCAATTTTGCGCCCACTTGAGCTAATTTCCAAAAAACCAAAGTTCCGGGAAATCTAATCGCCGAATTGTTTTTCTGTCTCATTTATCAAAGTTTCTTCGTTTTTGATTTTTGCTCCCAGAGCTTCGAATTCAATCTTTTCTGCTTTTTTCGCATAAACCGCCCTCAGAATCCCAGTTCTGCTTGTCAAAAGACTGTAGTCCCTGCGGCGGTGCCCGAAACGGAGTTTGACAGTAGGTACCCGCTGAAAAAAATAAGTGGTCGATTACGTATCCCTTTTTGGATGAAACTTTGGGACAATAGTAAATTAGTACCCAGAACTTCGATTCCAAGGTCTAAAGTTCGAAAAAAGTTCATCTTGGGGTCACCAGAGGTCATCAAAATTTGAAAAAGTGGGGTTTTCTAATAGCAATATTTTCGGTTTTAATCCATGTGAAAATACTATTTCAACCCTCAAAAATTTTATTACGAGGTCAGAAGCTCGAAAAAAGTTCATCTTTGGGTCATTTGAGGTCATCGAAAGTCGAAAAAGTAAGATTTTCTCGAAACATTATTTGATTTTTAAAACCTGTCGTCCCTGGCTTTCAATTAAAAATGGGCTTGAGGTTCTTAAGCTCTCTTGCGACCTCAAGATGGTTTAAGAAGCATGTGTTAATTATTATTCTAAGATGGCAATCAAAAACGCTTCGAAAAAAAAGTGTCATCATCGGGATTCGAACACCCGTGCTCGGCCGAAAATCGGAATTTCCGACATTCAAATGTCTCTAGAATGTCTCTGCAGTACCCTGCAATACCATGGAGCACAGATTCTGAAAGCATTTTTTCTGCTCTTTCGTCCAGTATGTGAATCATTTTTAGGCTCTTTTAGGCTCACAAATGACAGCCGAAAAACATCAATTTTCAAGGAAAATATGGTCACGTGCAAAATTTTTTTGAAAAAAAAAATTTTTTTCTTGGCTAAAAAGTAAGTTCCGACTATCATACGCCATATGGGCACACTGGAAGTGCCATATAACAGGGGTTGAAAATTGCCCTTTTGACTTCAGCGGGTACCTAGTTTGACAGTTGGGCACACAAAGTTAAAACAAAGTTGAAGTAAACAGTTGTCCTCTCATTTCGCTGCGACTCCTCAAATTTGGCATGAAAACGAGCAGCTCATAAATCACCGCTCAAGCGGGATTAATTACGACAGCTTCTCAGTTTTTCGCCGCTAGTTTTTGCGCTTTGATCTTGCAAATTTGAAAATGCTCGATGGGAAAACGACAGAAACACAGATTGACGGACGCGAAAGTGGACAGTTTTAATTTTTACGGACACTTGGCGGCGCTTATTTCCAATTCAGTTCGAAAAATTAACCACTATAAATAACTCCTTCATCGGACAGGCGATGAGACACTGAGTCGGGCTAAATTCTGCTCGGAATTACGATTTTATTGCTTCCAATAAATCGCCGCTTTAAGAATCACCCGAAATTCGAGGCGCTGTAAATCGAATGCTTTGACCTTTGAAGCAGCGCTTTTCTGAAAATTTCAAGCAAATGGCACTGTTCTATCAGCTCGTTTCGAATCCGCCCTTGCGTCAATTTTGAATATCAAGGGAAGTTCCAGGCCGAATTTCTGTTTTTACTGTCGCAGATGTGGTGACCTTACAGAGCAGAAAAAACTGTAAATCAAAGAAGACGGTTTTATGCTCCAGGGGCGCAGTAAATTGTCTAAAAAGGGAGTAATTAGTCGTCTTCGTCTATTTTTTCAAGCGATCTTGTCTTTGAATCAATTTAAAACCTTTTCAGAACTCATTGAACTGCGACTGTAAAATTCAACCCGTGTACGTTTAGTGTTAGTCGCCTAATCCAGCCGCCAGAACGAATCGAGCGGTATTTCGCGGTCGACAGGCTCTTGTAATTCAATTATCGCCATTTTTCTCCGCGAAAATGAAAAATGCCTTTTGAAAATTTTCCCAGAGAAATCAATTCAAAAAAATAGGAAGCATTAGCAAATGTGGAATTTATTCGTCCGTCTTCCGGAAATGCCGAACAAGGGCAAAGCGCTGAGCAAAGCATGGGAATTCAAAATTCTTCTGAATCTGCTTTTTTTGGATTTCGAAAAAGAGAGCTAGAATTTGCATTTTTGCTTGTTTTCAAATTGTGCTCATTATTTTTGGTTAATTTCCGGTGGATTGGATTAATTCGCCCTTTTTCTGTTTTGATTTTGCTGCCAGGCGAGAAAAAACGAAAAACAGGTGCAGCTGACTAAATGAGGGTTTATTAGCTGGGGAGACGTGAAATTCAAAATCACTTCATGCTTGGTCACCTGAACTGCGCTAAAATGGCCACTGACTTGAGACTGTGAGTGGACCTTCCACACCTGCGCTGAGGTTAAGGTGACAAGTTAGGGTTAGGTTCTGACAACCGACGAAAGCTAAATGAAAGTTCCCATACGAAAAACGATTGTTCTTTTTATAAAAACAGCTTGAACAGCATTTTCTAAAACGAAAAACTCAAAAGCGTGAAAAGTAATGAACTGTTTCTAATTCTCGGCTTATTAGCGATTTTAGCCCCCAAAAGCTAAAAGCTAAAGCGGCCACTGGAGCGAATACATCATCAGATTTGTTGCTTGAATAATGAATGCATGTTCAGCCTAAACGTAGACAACTCGTCATTATTGATGAGAAGGGCTTGTTTTTAAAATATTTTAAATGAGTGGTGCTGTGAAAAATTAATCGCGGTTTGAACCAAGACACTTTTTGGGACTCTTTTATCGCGGTGAATAATGAGCTAGATTGGGTATACTTAGATTGGTAGTTTTTGGGGTGTCTTATCTTTACGTAACACGGAAATTTCCAGCTCTAGAATAAACAGACCAAACATCAAAAGAAAGGCAGCCTAAACCTCCCTTGCGCAAATATTCCTCAGCGCGTGAACGAAAATCTAAAATTTCAAAGTCTCCAACCAGTTTTGCTTTTCAATCTTTCCGCCTTTTTCCAGCGGTTCCGGCTCGTCTTCTTAGCCCCGTGTTCATCTACGTTTGCAGCTTGTGGGGGAAACAATGTGTGACAGCTTGTGCGTTCTTGGTTAAATATTTTCCCACTTGTAGATAATATTTTTGTAGTGAGCTTGCTGTAGCGTAAACAGAGCTGCGCGCCCGGGTTCAAGTTTTGATTTACTCACTTCCAAGCCACTTTTTCGAAGGCGCCACTTGTTAATGAAACGAACTCGCAGTTAATTATTCTCATTTCAGCTCTTCTGCTGAGTATTTTCTGCCTCGGCTCGGCGCAGATCGAAGGAGACGTCTCCTGGCCTTCCAATCTACTTTCCAACGACGCCAGTGTCAAAATCAGCATCGCCAACGCTCAACTCAAACGTCCCGAACTGCGACTCTTTCTTGACAACTCGCCCGTCAAATCGCACAAGTTCGTGCAGACCAATTCCGAGCACAGCGTCACCATGAACTTTGGCTGCGAGAACTTCATTCAGCCAGGTAAATCAATCAACTCGAATCTTAGTGAAATTATTGTTTTAAAGAAAAAGCTTAATTAACGTCTTGACTTTCAGGCGAATACAGTGTGCGTCTGTACGACTACAGCGGCGGCCCAGTAATGTACGAAGAAAAGAAAGTGATCTCCTCCTACCCTTCGTACGCGATCAACTTCACTCAGTCGGAAGTGCCCGCTTTGACTGGCGACGTAATGGCCTTCGGATCCTACAGACTGCGCGAGCTCTGTTCCAACAAGAAGTTCACCCTCTCCGTCGCTCTGGAACGATCATCAGAAAGCGTGGAGAGCTGGAGCGAAGTGGCAAATGCCCGGGAAATCTATGCCTTTCCAACCGAGACGATCACCGTTTCCTGTGGCAAAATGGACGTTCCTGGACGTTATCGCATCCGGACGGACATTTTGGACGAGCGTGACCGCGCGCTCGGCAACGTCGTCTACTCAGATGTCTTGACGGTCAACGAGAACGACATCTACGAGCTGGAAATTCCCGCCGTCGAGCGCGATACCGGAATCTTGAGCAAATGCGATCGGGGCGACGAGTTTGCAGTCAACTACAGATCGCCGCCCTGTGCCAACAACCATCGGATAAGGGTAAGACGCAGTTTTTGATAAGACGTGTGGCGAAACAAGCGATAACTTGTAAAAATATTGGATCTATTGAATCTACTACTTTTCGCTATTGATTCAATTTAGCTTATTATTTCTCGAAAGATCAGATAGCCTCCCCGTTTCCTAGATAACGCATCTCAGCAATAATAGATCACGTGACATGCTAAAATATACATTTTGCAATTTTGTTTTAAAACAAAAAGAGCCTGCCAAGTTTCGCCGCTCCTGGAAAGTAATTGAATTAACGCTGAATTTAAATTTACATTTATCAAAATATTTGATCGAGCCGGCTTCGCTTCTCACGCGATAGAGTCTGTTTTTTCTAAATTATATCTTTTCAGTTCGTCCCAAAACACTCGAGCGGCAAGCAGCTTCAGAGTCCAAAGATGCTCTCAATCCGCGCGGATGAAATCTCGACTTCGATTCCTTGCTCCTGGATCCGCTCTGCTTCCGTCCACGGCGCCTGCTTGGAATATCTCGACCACTTGGACCAGGTCCGCGCTTCTCGCTGCTTTTCCCTACCTCAGCGGCCGGTCCCGAGCATCAACGGCGACTGGGCGAAGTGGTCGCCGCCCAAGCAGTGTTACTCGCCGTGCTCGATCACCGATCCAAACGACTTCATCATGCAGCAGTCGAGTACCGAGTGGTCCTTCTCTACCCGCTCCTGCTCCAATCCTACTCCTCTGGGTCTAGGAGCGCAGTGCTCTTCTGACTCCCAGACCGGCACGGGGCTAATTGACTTTGCCGTCAAAGACCGACAACTGTGTCCGAGCCCGTGGGACATGTCTCGAAAGCAAGAAGAAGAAAACTGCGAATGCGGCTGTTCCAAAATCGGCCCAGAAGGCGGCTTCGTCTACTCGCCCGCGCCCTGGCGTTGCCAAGAAAAGCCAGAAAACAAGCTTCAATGGGACTTTCAATGCGCCGACTGCGAGTCCCTCGTCATGGAAGTCGTCCACCTCGACGACGAAGTCCAGGAAGAGTTGTTTTTCGTAAACCACGAAAGTTCCGACGACTTGAAAATCAACGGCCTCGGTCGCTTCGCCCACCACCAAGCGAGGAACGCGAGCATTGTCTACAACAGAAACCCAGCTCTGGTCAGTTGCGGCTTCGCCATTCGAATTTCCTTCGTCCAGAAAGTCGAGAACTCGAATCTCCAAACTCCGCCGCGAATCAGCATGCCCCGCCAATTCAGCGAAAACGAAGAGGAAGGGCCCGACTTTGCGCTTTGGGGAATATTAGTCTGTGTTGGCTTTTTACTGATTCTGGTGACGGCTTGTGTCTTTAACTTCCGCTCCGATAGCGAGGAAGTAACAGCCGCCGTCGTCGCGGACAAACACGCGCTGGAACGAGAATTTCAACTCTACTCCGAGCTCGACCGAAACTTCCACCAGAGTCCGCAGAAAATCAAGCCAAACGCAGCCGCCTTCGAAATCGCTCAACAACAACTGAGACTGATGAAATCCGAGGGAAAACACGAAGGTACGTTTTTCAACTAAAATCAACCAAAAAACTTTATTTTCCGAAAAAGACTATTTTCTAAAATTGAATTTCAGCGATGGCAGAGTACCCACGAGAAATCTTTGAATCCGAAAAAGTGGCGAGAGAGCAAATTCCACTGCTGTTCGGCCATTCCGATTTGAAGACGACGTCTGCCAGCTCGCTCGGCTCCGATAAAGTAGAAGCCGCACCTGCCAATTCGAACAGGACTGAAGTCACCCACTCCACCAATGTTTCTGATCACTCTCAGGTACAGCACTGATTCAGTTTACTGAACCTTCAATAATCATTCAGTCCTCAATCAATTTCTAAATGCTCCTTTTCAGAACTCCATTCCGCTGCGCCACACGTCCACAAGAAGGGCCAGCCGTCCCTTCTCCGGCGCAACCGGTTTTCAAGCCGACCTGAGTTCCGCGGCAGCCTCGCCCGTCCGCGCGCCCCTCAATTCCCGAGTTCATTCCGAAGACAACAACGCTGTATATTTTTAAACTCGAAAAACCTTTGTACAAACACTTTGAAACGCCACCACCGAAAACTCACTCTACCTCGTTAAATTGCTATTTTATTTCTGTTTGTTTATTTTTAAAAACGACGGTTTAAATTAATAAATATTTCTCTTTTTCGGAGAAAAAGCTCAATTTCAAATTGACGATTTTCTTTTTTCCTGAAATTGCAAGAGCTGCTTTTTCAATTTTACGAGTTTGCACAGTCGCTTTTTAAACTGACAGAAATCCGGAATCCAGAATAGAAATCATTCATTTTTCGAAAAAGAGAAAAGATGGTTAGATTTGGAAACGACAAGCTCATTCTCGCCAAAAACAACTTTGTCGACAACCTTTTACGTTTTCGCAATTCTCAAGAAAAGCTCATGGGCCCGGTTGCATTTTTAAGCAGAAAATCATTAAAATGAAAAGTTGAGTAACCAGAACTCAAGATTTGAAGAGAAACTCGCCGGGCTACGAGCCGTTCATGAAACTCAACCTCTCGCTGACCATAATCGGTTTGAAAACTCAACAAAAATAATGCAATTTTGTTTCAAAAGGAGCGATTGTCTGGGTCCTCGGCGTCGCCTGGGTTGCTTACATGAACAGAAAGTACAAGATCAGGAGCAAAGGTAAAACATCAAAAACTCCCTTCTTGGCGGATTCGACGATGCCAAGAGCGGCGGTTTGAATCGGAAGTAGCGCGCCGCGGAAAGTGGAATTCCAAATTCGCTGCATTGATCCGCCGCCGCATCGGATTTTCCGAAAAATTTATCAAAAAGTGAAATTGTATTTGGAACACAGCCCAGCGGAAATCAACCCTTTTCTTCACAAAGTACCGAAGCGATTTTTAATGAGAAAAATTCAGAGCGGGAAGAGTTGTACCAGGAGCCGCCCGCACCTGCAAAAAATAACAACAACGAAGCTTTTGAAAACGAGCAGGTCGGCCAGTTGGACTCGTCAAATGAAGCCGGCCCTTCGCATTTGTGATAAGAGCGGAGAATAAATGCAAAAATGCTGTGTTTATTATCGCGTGTTTATATGCAACTAGAAGGGTTTAACACAAAAACTACAACTTGGGCAAGATGGTTTCCCAGTCCCAGGCGACGATGATTTTGTCCAGAGCAAGAAGCACCTGCTTCGTCTTGTCTCCTTCCCACAAGTCTCCACAGTCGTCTGAACAGTAAGAATCGCTGATTCCCAATCTCTTACCAACCTGGGTTAGCAAGAGGCTCTTCAGTTTCAGCCCCGATTCGCATGATTTTCGAGCCTTTTGGCGTTTCCCCGACCCAGCAGACGAAACCAGTGAGGATGTCTTTTCCTCGGGTGAACTTGATCTTTGCCCCGTTTCGCACTAGAACTCGATAGAAAGAAGAATGACTGAAAAAGCGTACTTTGAGAGTAGCTAGTTGGCCCAAAAGCAACCCATCTTTTCGGCATGGATTCTTGGACGGAGAAGTCTTCCTTGATTTCCTCGTTCATTTCTTCGCGGATTTCTTCGATTTCCTCGTCCGTCACTAGAATTGGTGAACAAACGTTTTTCACGCTCTTTTACCTTGCATCATCGCCATGTTTCTACGAAGATCTCTGATCGTCTCCTCCAGCTCTCTCGTTTTCTCCTTCAATTCGAAGTTTTCTTTGCGAAGAAAAGAGGCTTCATTTCGAAGTTCTGTCAGTTCTTGATCCACCGAGATTTCTTCTCTCGCTTCTCTGAAAAATAATAACCTCTAAGGTAAGCAGAAGTCGATCTTACTCTAGAATTTTGTCTTCATCCGTAAATTTCATATTTGAATTTTTAATTTTCCGCCGTTTGGATCGTATTTGAGGAATTCTCTGCTTCTATTTGGTCTAGAAAGGGTTTCACCTGTGGCAATAAAATAAATTTCAAGAAAGCTTCTCGATCTTGTCAAATTCTGATGCAAATTTGTCAAAAAATAAAACGCCAAATTTCCGTTTCCAAGTCAACAGTGATAAAAAGCAACTATCAAAAAACGATCCGAATCGCAAAAATAAGATCTCTGTTTATTCTTTCCACTGAAGAAGCCCAGTCTTGAGGACTCTGTTTTATTTTTTGGCTTGGGAAAGAAAACTGAAGAGGAGCGATGTTCCTGATTTCCAAGGAGATGCATTACGCTCGAGAAACAAAGGGTTCTTTGTTGTTGGAGAACTAGACCTTGATTGATTACATTTTGACTTTTTTGGAGAAAGATCATTTTCATCCGATTGCGGGAATGATGGCTTTAAATTAATATTCCAATTGGTTTATTGCATCTTAATAAAAGCAGGAAGCCTTCAACTTGAATTCGACTCCTTTCAAGCCAGCGGCTGAAAAAGGGGGTTAGAAGTTAGAGACTTGAAGATCGCGCAGTTGGTGACGTAATCGCTCTGAAGAAACTCGTCCTTCTCGATCGAGTTGTTTTCGCCCTAAAGAACGTCATTGGTGATTTAAGACTTCGAGTTTCTCGCTGAGTACCGCGATTTTTCGGAACTCGTCGATGGTTTTCTTTTTGTCTTCTTCAGTGAAATAGCCTATCGTTCCTTTCATGCATCTAAAAATCGAAACTGTTGAATATTTTCTGTTTTTTTTTAAACCTCGCAACGTCGACGAACTCTTTCTCCTCTATGATTCCACTTTCGTCCAAATCGTGAAGATTGTAGATCCCTAATGCAAACGATCAGATAGATTATAGAAGAAGATATCACGAACAGAGTTTCCTCTCTTCGTCCGAAGCGTTGACATGGAGTCTGATGAGATTGGCGAACTCGTGAAACTCGATCTTGGCGATTTCGTCCTCGCCGTCGTCGATGCTGTCGAAGACTAGACTGAACCAGTGGGCTTGGTTTCTGAGAGCGTCTTTACCTGGCGAAGGGAGTTGGATTGCCCGATTTGTGGTGAGTGTGGAAAAAGTCGACGTAGTAGTCGATGAATCGCTCTCTGGAAATGTAGGGCGCTTCGCCGGTTATTCTCCCCAATTTGCCTGGAAAAAGTCAAATTCAAATCTTCAAGCAAGAAACTTTACTTCGGAAAGCGATCCTGTTGAATTTCCTCTGAAGAATTTGAACTTGCGCTTTGGTGAATCCAGTGCGCTGCATAATTTCGTCGGTCCCGTGCGGCTTCGTCGTGAATCCCATCTTTCTCCTGACTTTCGCGTGGATCAGAAGTTTGTACATTTCGCAGCTGGTCGAGTAGCTGCTTGCGAGAAACTCCGCTTTCGAGATTTTTCGATCGGAGCCCTGAAAAATTAAAAAAAATGCGATTTTTTTATTTTCCAACCGCCTTTTCTTTGAACTCGCTCTTGATTTGCTCCTCTAGTTCTTTCGACTGCTTCTTGTCGTCTTTTCCCCGCATCAGTCTTGCCACGGTTCTGAACTCCTTCCAGTCCACATCGCCGCCGTCATCCAAGTCGTGCAATTTGTAAATAACTGGACGAAAAAACTGATCGAAGAAAGAAATAAATCAATTATCTCTTACAGGTCTTTTTGACTTCTTCCGAGGCCTCGCTGTGAAAGAACATCAAGTACTGGAACTCTTTGAAGTCGATGGTACTGTCCTTATTGATGGTAAGAAATACGCGCTCGCCTAGCCTAAAAACCGCCTTTTAAAATAATCCAGTGGGTTCTTCTTACTTTCTGAAGGAGAGGCCTTCCTTTCCACTGTGGGTCACACTGAACAAGTCGTCGTAAAACAAGATGAACTGCTTCTTAGTGAGCTCTTTGATCATGAAACCGGGCTTTTTAACTTTTCGGCCTTGGTTGGCGATTTCGTTGAACTTTCTTCGCAGCGATTTGATTTGAGTCCGGGTGACTGAGATTATATAAAAATAGAAAATAAAATCAAATAAGCATACAATTATTGGGCATGTCAACTGGAAGACTTTCTGTCGCTCTATCCTCTGCAACAATTTTCAGAAAATTTTCTTGATCTTTTCTCTGCTTGGTAATCACAACAAGCGCCCCATAAACCAAGACAATAATCTTGATTTTATGATTGTCTTCTTTTCAAAGTTCTTTTTCAATAAGAATCGCCATTAAATTCAGCATTCTTTCAGACAAGAACTCGAAAAGGTCGAAAAAGAAGGTCAACCTGAAGAACGGGAATGGTGAAGGCAGCTATCTTTCCAGATCCGGTCTCCGCCAAAGATTTCAACCAAAATTCATTGATAAAAATAAAAACGTTTCGAAATAACAAAGAGTGGATTCCAATAACTGAGCGATGACACTCTAATGGCTTTGCAAATATCGACGCTTTCTTTCTCCATGAAAATCGACTTGCTTCAAACTGCAGAGAATGAAGCTTCTTTCTGCTTTTCTTGCCCTTGGGGAGGCATCGAAGATTCCTTCCAATTCCTTCAAGTAGCAGTCCTTTTTCGAAGCAAATTAAACCTCAACTAATTTTAAGCGCGGTAGAAATCTTCCAAAAGGTAAAAAATGACCACGGAATCACCGGCGATCTCCCTTCCCGAAGTGCCGAAAGAAACTTTCAACATGCGAAAGGAACTGTCAAAGCAAACACTTCCCCAGAAAAGGCTCTCCAGTTTTGCCAGGAGCACACGGGTGCGAGTGACGCTACGGTCTCTCTTCTCGGCGAAGGAGGCCAGGGCGTCGTCTACAACTGCTCGTCTGCTTCCCTCAACTTCGAAGCAGCGGAGAAGCTCTACAGATATGTATGTACTCAATCAACACTTCTTGGAGGCTAATCGATTGTAGCCGACAACGCTGGACAAGGAACGGATGCGAATCGTGGACAAAGCGATGTCAGACTCGGGCAACGGGCCGATCTTCTTTGGCTCCATCGAAGAGACCGTCCCTCCCGCCTACGTGAACTTCTACGAGCTTCTTTACGGAGACTCAATCGACAAAATAGACGAACTCCGACCTAGCGACATCGACGTCTACCGCGCTGCAGCAAAGCGCTTCGCTTCAATGCACATCATCAGCGAAGAAGAGTGTCCAAGGCCGATCACAAACTGCTACCACGCCTGGCCCTGGAACACAAGAGCGATCAGATCTCACTACGAAACAGCTACTGATCCCGCAAAGGTTTGATAAAAATTAATTCTCTTCTATGATTTCAAACAGGAATGGGTCGAGGAGCGAATCGGGCAGTTTCCAGTTCAGGGCGAGTTCCTCAACATCAGTTCAGCCGAGGGCCTGATCGACTTCATGTACGATGTCCAGTGGGGCACCATTTCGCCGACCGTTTGGTGCCACAACGACGCCCACGACGGAAACGTGTTCATCCGCGACGCTCCAGAAGGAACATCGATGGAGGAAAGACTGATGCTGATTGACTACGATAACTCAGAATTCGGCACTCGAGCTTTCGACCTCGCCTACTACATCATTCGCTTCTACGAGAGATTCAACAAGGACATTTACGAAGACTTCTTGAACATGTACTTGCGGGAGTACAACAGAATCAGCGGAGTCCGCCAATTTTCAATCAAAGGTACTGAAACCAAGCAGTGCACGGTTTCAAATTCCTCCTAGAGCTTGAGCAAGAAATGACCTGCGTCTGGCCATATCTTTTCATGGAGCAGTCCGTGTTCTACCGCTCAATCGGCGTCGACGAGGACTTCTGCAACTTCATGTTCGACGTGATGCGAGCAATGCTAGACGAATACGCGAATGGGAAAGCAAGCTGCCCCTGGACCGGCCGATACAGCGAGTTTCCGAAGTGCAAGCCGCCGGCATAACGAGAATTGAATTCCTTTATTTGCAGAAACATGAATTTAGTCTAAGATTTGTAAGCTTCGTTTATGAGTAATTTTGAGGCAGGAGAGAACTCTTTGAATATTTCCTTCAGAACTGCTATCACAGAACTTTGAATAGACTCCACTATTTGAGTTCGCAAAAATGAAAGATAAATTTTCTGAGATAATGAAGTTTGAAAATGTAGATTGCTGAGAAAGTTTGCGAACTGGCCTTGTGCTTCTGGGCAATATCCATCTTTTGTGCTCCTGGCGAGGCAAATTCCCGCTGGAAGGCCTAAATCAGCTAACACGCATCGCATTTTTGTACCAAATTGCTTGATCATCTGCTCGATTTCCAGTTCCGTGGAAATGTGCACGGGCAGCGCGGGTCCGTCGTCTTGACTGGTGCAGCCGGCGTTGTAAATCAGCCAGCCATCGTTCACTTCAGAGCAGTTTTCCCCGCTGAGTTCGACGGCGCTTTGGGTAAGCTTCCGCTGGCTCTTCCAGATCTTGAATGCCTCCTTCAAATGCGGATCGTCACTTTCCGCGAAATCTTCTTCCTCCATTTGATCGTACTTTTCGCATGCTTTGTCGAGCCCAAGCAGGAAGGACTCGAATTTGCGAAGTTTTTCCGCTCGTCGCTTTTGAAACTCTTCGTGCAGTTCTACTGGCTCTTCGTCTGACAACTGTTTCCCTGAACAACCGATTTTCTTTCTTTCTTCAAACTGTATTTACCCGCAGAAAAGAGCTTTCCAATCCTGACCAAATCGTCGCCCTGAATATCTTGCGTGAAAGGATCGTCGCAAGAAAAGTAATCTGAAAATGATTCATAAATTGAGAAATAATATCGACCAACCTAAATCGACATCAAGAAACCAAGGTTCCATATCTTCTTTCTTCGAGTAGGACGGCTCCGTCGAAACAGTCAGCGTCAATTTCTTCGCATCCGTCATTTTCTCCTCAGCGCAGTAGGTCGCGTCAGAAGTGTAGTAATCCGTCGCCCAGCTCACAGCAAGCCTGGTTTTTCCCTTTTCGATGATTCCTTCCGCAAAGCCGACCGAAAGCTCTCTTCTGCCATCTGCAAGCTGATCGGCCCAGGGAGGACGCACCCAGTTTATTTCCTTCAAATGGCCGGCGCAGACGAGCGGGAGGATCCAGGACTCAATCGAGGTCATCTCCCGCATCTTTTCTGAGTTTGAAAGGTGCTCCATTGTGAAGCCAATCGGCGCGCTTTTCGTTGGTTGTTTCAGCTTCTGAAGTAGCTCCTAGAGAAGAGTCAACCACGTTCCAGAGATCAGGATGCGAGTCGTAGTGGACCATTTTGAAGCCTTCAATAGGCAGTTTGCCGCGCGCGAGCAGTCGCTGGATGAAGTACAGACATTCCGAGTGCTCCTCGACGACTCTCAATTCCACATTATGCATTCTAAAAACGACATTTTCGAAAACTTTCTCGAAAGTTCATTCTTCGTTCATTTCCGCTTCTTCTTCAGAACCGTCAGAAATCTCGATAAGGGAGTCTTCGTCCGAGTCTTGCTCCGACTCCGAGTCTGAGTTTGGAATTATCGCTCGCGAAGAAGACTCTTTTTCGAGGAAGGGCGGCGGACTGTCGTTATTTCGGAATCGGCCTCGCTTTTCGCGCTCTTCTGAGAATTATTTATCGAAAATTTCAAAATGACTCAAACCTGCTTCGTGGAAGGAGTCGCGTCTCTTGATCAAATGAACTTCCTTCATCAGCAGTTTCCTTTCAGTTTTTCCGATTTCCTGGCCGACCATGCTCTGCGCCTTGCTATTGCCGTCGAAGAAGATCGTCGTCCCGAGCGTCTTTTCGTAGTTTCCTTTGAAGAAAATGTTGTTGACTTGGATGAAGGGCTCTTCCGAGTCCAGCCCGACCACGCGGATTTTCTCAGCTTCCGAAAGCTAAAATTTATAAATAATAGACGGCGAGAAGGATCAGTACAGTACTGTACCTTGACAGGGCAGTCGGGAAGTTCCAAATGGCAGTGCGTTTCTTGAACAACTTCCCACTCGTCATCTTCATCCTCATCTTCGCCGAATTCTTCCAAATCCGGCATTTGTTTTCGCGATTTTGGCTGGTTCGAATGCTCCTCGAAATAGTTCTGTCTTCTGTATTCTCTTTTTTCTGCTTCTCTCTTTTCTAATTCTGCATTTCCAGCGCTAGAATCGACCTCCATTCAAGAATTTCCAAAATCTCGGTGATTCAAATCTTTCGCTCCGCGCGCGGACCAATCAGCGCGCGAGGAGATTTCAAAAGCGAGAAAAAGAGAAAAGGCGATGCGAAAGGGATGAAAAAGAAAGAAAACAGAGAAAAAGAGAATAAGAAATAAAGAAACAGATGAGTGAGTCAATGGAAAGTCGATCCGAATCTTCTTATGGCTTTTCGGAAAAGGTTTCAATTCAGAAAACTTTAATTTATCTCAAATTTTATTATAAAATGAATTGTTGATTAAAATAATTGTTATGCGTATTTATTTAGACTACTAATTTTAGTATTAAAACTCTTTATTTAAAAGAACAGCCGCCCTAATATATATTTACTAAAAACGATTAGATTTAAACCGAGCTAAAGAAACTGCTGGAAAACGACGTAATCCGAATCGAAGACGACTCTTCCAAATCGACGAGTGCCGAGAACCGAGCCGTTTTTTCAACCCTTTTTCTCCCCAAAATCTCCGTCGAGGAATTCTACGGCAAAACAATTCCTCCAAAGAAGCTGGAACTTTGCGCCAAGCGAGATTTCGAAAACTACAAAAAGTGCATTTCGCGAAGTGAAGTTGGCGCCGATCTGCTTTTGAAGAAAATCGCAATCGACAATTTGAAATTAGCGATCGATGCTGGGATGGAAGAAGAAGTGGCCGAAAGAATGGACCGTCTCCGGCCGTTGGTTTCCAACGACTTGTGCGAAATTTTTGAAAATATTGCCATTTCCCCTGACTCGTTTCCTAACTGATTTTTTTTTCATCAAAAAATGCACTCGTTTGAATTGAAAATTTATGTAGAAAGCTTACTGTAGCGATCTCTAGAATGAGGCCCGATCGGCCATTTGTCTGATGAGCAGCGAAGATGAGCGTGGCTAATCTAGTGAATGACTCCTTCAGGGCTGAAATGGAGGGGATCGGAGCGCCTTTCCAGTCTCTACCGCTCCGCGCTGCAGAATTCTCGCTATTTGAAATTCGTCCTAGCTTCGCTCACCACCAACGCTGCTTACAGCGATGTCGGAGAAGCGATACTCGAGAATGTGATGGTTCCTATTGGCAGATTCGCAGGTGAGACACTTCTTGAAATCAAGAAGAGAATAATGATTTATTAAAAGAAAAGAACTGCAAACGATTCGGCTTTTTGTTCATTTTCCTTGTTGTTGGAATGGTTTCTTTCGTTAACTACGTGTAAGTACAACAAAATTTTCTTTTCCCCTCATCTATCGTTTTCTTTTAGCTACTTCGTTTACATGCGGCGAATCATCACCGATTTCGACTTCTTCTTCGGCCTCTTCGTCAACCTGCACATGTTGTTCAACTATTTCAACGCTTCCTTCCGCGATCCCGGCTACACTTCTTCCCGCTCCTACTTCTCCAGCCGCAACTGCTCGAAATGTCTCTTCCCGAAGCCGACTGGCTCGCACCACTGCTCTGTCTGCGCCAAATGCGTCATTCAGATGGGTACCCATTCTCTCTCCATTCATCCCTTTTGAACCTCTTCTCTTTAGACCACCACTGTCCCTGGATCAACAACTGCGTCGGCCATTTCAACCGGCGCTACTTCTTCAACTTCTGCCTCTGGACGACGATCGGCTGCGGCTACTTCTCGCTGGTCGGCTATCCCTACCTTCGCTGGTCGGAATGGCCCTCGCGCAAAATCTACCGACGCTTCGACTCCGCCTTCTACTTGTGTTTGTTGATCACGCTGGCTCTCGGCGCCCTCACCGCCTATCACATGCTCCTCATCTCCAAAGACCAGACCACGCTTCAGGTACAAACCAAACAAAATTACCTCCTTATACCATTACCACTATTAAAGCGAATGCGTCCGACAAAGGCTCCTTCTCCGCGCAGCCGCTGCTTCGAGAACTGGCTCAAGTTCTACAACATCCGTACCTATGCCCATTTTTTCACCCGATTTCTGATTCCTTCAACTCATTTGCCAATCGACAGCGGTGTCCCGGAGAATTCGAGCCATGCAGCCTTACTTGAAATTGTCTGAACTTTGAAGCTAAAGTTTTTTTTTTTATGTTTTTGTTGCCAAATTTCTTCGACGAACAAAAAATGTCATTATGCATTTATCATTTATTCAATAAATATTCAAAATATAAGTTATTACTTTACCTTCTTCCTTCTTTCTTTCGAAATCGGTTTGTAATTATGCTTTTCTTTTAAAGAGTGGATGAAAAATGGAAAGTAGCAAAAGCGACAAAAAGAAGTCGAAAGCGTATTGGCGTCACATGAAGTGCCGTGTCGACGAAATCTGCAAGACACTCGAATTGGCGGAATACACGCAAGCTCCGGACTGCGGCCAAGGCTCTTTATTTGCAGATGCGCTGGAACAACTGCTCGGGCGATCTCTCTCCCCAGACGACTTAGGATGCATGGCAGACAGGGTTCTCATCAATTTCGCTACGATTCAGTCGACCAAGGAAAAAGACAAAGCGCGAATGAAGGCAAACGAACAGCCGGTCGAATATGGGTACATTTCAGATGGGCCCGACAGTGACACTCCTGAAGAGAGTCAGAAATCGACGCAAGAGCAAGTTCAAGAACTGAACCAGCTGAACAAACCAAAAGCGAAAAAGAAGAATGAAGAAGTAGTCAATCTGCTTGAAGACAGCGACTCGGAGGACGTTATTCTTGTCAACGAAAATAGCATCGAAGAAAGAAGGCCTAAAAATGAGCCGATTTTGGTGGAGGAAGAAGTTCAGGAAGTTTCTGGGAATTCAGCTCGTCCGAAAGATGGTTAGTGGAAAAAAAGAGCAAACCTTGACTTATCTCCTTCGTTTCAGACGCGATGGCTTGTCCACTCTGCGACGAACTATTCGAGCTGGGAGTTCTCCAAGTGCACGCGGCAGAGTGCAATGGCAAAAAGACCAAGAGAGAAGAAGCCGCGAGTTCGTCGAAAAAACGCCCGAATTTATCCCAGGAATACTTCCAAAACTCAGCTTCGCCGATGAAGAAGAAGCGGATCAATTCCCCTCCGAGATCAGGTCTGATTAATCAGAACGCATTGAGCAGGACGATTGATGAAAGCGCCGAGTGTCCTCTGTGTTCCAAAGTTTTCTACAGTAAGTCTTTATTTCTGTATCTCGATTGAACCAATCTTGAGAGGATGGCAGAATCGATAATTGCATTTCAGAAAACTACATTGAGGAGCACACCGCCGACTGCCTAGACATGCAGAACAACTTGCTCTCGCCTTCCGAAAAAAGCACCGTCGAGCAGAGGACTTGCGAAACCGATGGTTCCGAAGCCGCACGAGAATCGACGCCAACGGACGGGAGACCGCAGTCAACGACCGTTTCACGAGCAATGGACCCTTTCGCCACGATGAGGCAGAAATCGAGCGCTGCCGGCTTGAGCGTTTCGAGAAAGATCTAAACAAGTCGCCCCAGGTTAGTCTTCCTTGATGTCAGCTGGTGATAGTTTTGCAGCCTGTGCGGCGCCAATATCCCTGTTTCGACAAGCCAGATGAGCCGACGGAAAAGTGCTACATCTGCACCTTCGAGTTTCGGAAAAGCCAGTTTCAAGATCACGTGACTCGCTGTGCGGATAGACACTACAACTGACATTCCCTTGAAAACTGAACTTACTTCCTGACACATAAAAAAGTTCACTTCTGCTTCAAATACCACCTGCCAAGACACAATCATCCTTCACTTTTCAAAAGAACACTATTTTTAACGAATTCTTTATTCAGGAAAATGAGCTCTGTGTGTTGTTCGACTTGCAAGCGAAAAATCGAAACGGCGATCATCAACTGCGTCGAGTGCGAGGAGAGATTCTGCACGAACTGCTACAGAAAATGCCCGACAGTGAGAAACCACGTGCCTGCGCACAAATATACAGTTGACCAGAACGACAAGAGCTTTTTGCGCAAAGGATACACCTATGAACAGGAGAAGGAGATTTTAAAGGTAATTCTTCGCTTGATTTCTATTTACAAACAAACTAAACCGACATTTCAGGCGGTGGAGAACTGTCCCTGGTCGATTTCGAGCGAATACACGGACTTTTACCTGCGCGGCCCGATCAGCGACCTCACTGTCCCAGAAAACAAATCCGTAATCGTCGACCACACCGAAGACGTAGAAGACACCACTCTCAAAAGACCGCTGAAGGTTGCCTTCGAAGACCAAGTCAAACTCGGGCTTTACGCAAAACGCGACGACTTCGTGCCAGAAGTGCACGACGACGCGGAAGACGCGCTCGTCAATCTTCCCGAATCTCTGCCGCAAGAAATGAGGGACATCGCCGGGAAGATCTTTCACACCAAATTTGCAGAGAGGCATCGCATTCGACGGGTGATTCGCAAATACAAACTCGTTGACAGGTCAGTAGATCTGCTTCAAATCTTCGTTATCGCTAAAACCTTTCTTCAAGATACCTCAAGTACAAAACCTCGAAGAACTCTTTCGAAAAAATTTTCCAATTCCGCGGCGCCGAACAACTCACCACGCGCAAGAAACTCTTACAAACGCTTTTCGGAAAGGCGAAAGCTCAAGACCGCTACAATCGCCGCTCGAATCGGCTCAAGAATTTCGCCCGAAAAGGATGCGTCCGTTACTCTGACATAGAAAAAGAAAATCAACGCGGAGCTTGAACCATTGGTCTTTGAAAACAGATTTGAGTTTCAGAATGGAGTTAGTAAATAAAGCGCTTTGCAAGATATCCGTGTCTTCGGTGCTCGATCAGAACGGAAAAGAGTATGGCAAGCAGTTTTTGAACGACGGGAACGAGGACACTTGTTGGTACTCAGATCAGGTGCCGAAAACTACAGTCGAATAATAAAGAAGAAGTTGTCTTTAGGGAAATCCGCAGTACATAAAACTGAAGTTTGCAGAAAAACAGATTGTGGAAGAAAAGAATATCGAAAAATTCAAGCTGAAAATCCAATTCCAAGGCGGCTTTGCAGGACAAAAATGCTTTTTCAAAACTGGGCCGAATTCAAGTCTCCCCTTTTTCCCAGAAGGTTCGTTCTTCATTCTTTTTCAAGCTTTTGAGTGATTATTTTAGACTCAAACGACCTTCAAGAATTCGAATTTGAAGCAAAAGAAGACTTCGAACAGCTCGAAGTCGAGTTCGAATCTTCGACGGACTTCTACGGTCGCGTGATTGTTTACCAACTGAGCATACTTGCCCTGCCAAGCTGATCGCTACTACAACTGATTGACTGAACTCAAGGTTTCTTAGAATGTCTCGTCGCTTTTTCCAGCAAGCGTTTCGACAACGAGCACGGCTGCTCCTTCCTACAACTTCAACAGTCGCTCTTGGCGGTTTCCTTTTCGACAAGCCAAAAGAAGAGCTAAATATCTACAAAGCGATCGTTTCGGACGACTACGGCTCCGTCTACAAATGCATCAAAACGGGCCAGAAAACGAATCAGTATCACAAATATGGGTGGACGCCGCTTCACCTCGCTGCAGCTTGGAATGACGAGAAAACGGTGAAACTGCTGCTTGAATCGGGAGCGGATCCAGATCTTCAAGAGAAATACGTCAAACCTGTTGCCAAGCAGTTCGGACAGCATTACACGCAAGCTATGTTTAGGTAGTACACACAAAGGCGCTCAGATTGGATATTTTATTCATATTTCTAGCGCAGAAGACGAGGAGAAATTGAAAGTTCGAAAGGAGCAATTTCCAACGCATCTTTCGGCGAAAATCGACTATCGAGGAGCCACCGCTTTATTCTACGCTGTTTTGAACGACAACTACGAAATGGCGAAATTGTTGATCGACGCTGGAGCTGATCCACTGGTGAAACTGCATCAAGGCGTTTCACCAATCGAAGTTGTGGATTTAAACTCGAAAAATGGCCTGTTAATCAAGGCAAGTGAATATCTAGATGACAAGTCTAAAACTGTTTTTTTTCTAGGGTCTGCTGATCAAAGCGATCAAAAACCGCGACGCAGTTCTGAAAGAAAAGCGAAAGAAATACCCCCTGGAATCGCGTCTTTCAGAAAATATAATCGGCCAGAAAGCGGCGATCAAGCAAGTGGCGGCTGCGATCCGAAGGAAAGAAAATGGCTGGGTCGATTCTGACCATCCTGTTGTGATGATCTTTTTGGGCAGCTCGGGAATCGGGAAAACAGAGTTGGCCAAGCAGGTGGCCAAGTACATCCACGGAAACATGAAAGAGGGCTTCGTCCGGATCGACATGAGCGAGTACAGTTCGCAGCACGAAGTGGCGCGGCTGATCGGGGCGCCGCCGGGCTACGTCGGCCACGACAAAGGAGGCCAGCTGACCGAGGCTCTCACCAAATGTCCCAACGCGGTCGTGCTCTTCGACGAGATCGAGAAAGCGCACCCAGATTCATTGCCGATTTTACTGCAGCTCTTCGACGAAGGAAGAATGACGGATGGACAGGGCAAGACTGTCGAATGCAAAGGTACTCTTCCTTGATTGCAAAGATAAAAAAAAATTGCTAGATGCGATTTTCATCATGACTTCGAATCTGGCGTCTGGACAAATTGCAGAATACGGCGTCGCTTTGAGATCGAAAGGGGACGAAAAAACGACGGTGGACAAAGAGTTCCGCCAAAACGTAGTCAAGCCGATTTTGAAATTTCACTTCAAACGAGACGAGTTTCTCGGGAGAATCAACGAATTCGTCTATTTCCTCCCTTTTTCGGTAAGCAAATCAAGACAGGGCCGATTTAAAATTAAAATTTCAGGACTCTGAGCTGAGAGAACTTGTTGAATTCGAATTGGGTTTGTGGAAACGAATCGCGAAAGATAAACACGACATCGAGCTCTCCTGGGAAGAGTCTGTCATCAGCGTTTTGGCGGACGGATACGAGGTTTCTTACGGCGCCCGCTCGGTCAAACATGAAAGCGAGCGAAAGGTCGTCTCTGCCCTCGCTGAAGGTACACAGAGAAATCACTTATTTGTATCTTATTTTGCTTTTAGCTTACGAGACTGGAAAACTGTCGAAAAACATGAAGGTGGTTCTTTCCTGCGAGCTTCCCAAAAACGTGGAAGACTATCAACACGTCCAGATAAAATTGAAAAACAAAGATTCCGGAGCTTTCCTTTAAAAATATAAGGTTAAAAATTTCCTTAAAAATGCGTCAACTAATTGAAAAAACAACCGTACTTTCTTCATTCAAAACTGATAAAAAAACTACCTTCTGTGATTTCGCTTAAAAATGTATGAATTTTAAGAAATCGGATATTTGAAAATGAATCCAGCGATGCTGCCTCTTCAAATGCAGCGAAACGCGAAGGACACGCAGGATCTATTTGCCGATCTAGGCCTGGCTCTCGAATTACTCGATTTTGGTTGCTCAATTTATTGCTTTGTCAATTTGCAACTGCGAGTTTCCGTTTTAGGCAGCCAGCTTGAGCCAATTGGACGGGCGACATCCAGAAGACCGACGAAAAGCTCAAGAGACAGTCTCAGAAGGGCGCCAAAGTCGTCCAGCAGTTGAGAAACAAGCGCCAGAGAAAGAAACACGTCGTCAGGGTGGACTCAGACGGCTCCGAAATCGAATCAGCGGGGGAAGAAAACGTAAATTCACTCTTTTTCGTACTTTTGAAAGCTCTATTTCTAGGAAGATGACGAAGAGGAAGAGCGCCTACAACTGGCTGAAGAGTACAAAAACGAGGGAAACGCGCACTTCAAAGCTGGCGAGTTCGAAAAGGCCATCGAGTCTTATACTATGTCGCTCTCGTTGGACGTCTCGAACGCCATTTTTGCTGGTAGGCTTCTTTGCTGGCTTCTTTCTATTGAAATTCTAGCCAATCGGGCGATGGCTTACATGAAAGTCAAGAAGTACCGAGAAGCAGAAGAAGACTGCACCAGAGCGCTCAAGCACGACGCTTCCTATGAAAAGGCGCTATTTAGACGGTAGCTAGAAGTCTTCATGAATCTCGCAAATCAACTGATTCAGAGCTCAATGCCGCAACGAGCTGGGCAAGCTGGAAGGAGCAGTTCAAGACTTCAAAGCAGTGCTGAGAATGAACCCGAAGAACGGAGAAGCCAAGAAAACGCTGGAAAAGATCAACAACAGGCTGAAAACGAAAGTAGCTTGGACACTGGAGCGGCCGAAAAACGCCTCAAAGATCAAATTTGAAGCAGTCGAAATCGCCGAGAAAAACTCGCCAAAACTAGCGGAAGAGCCAGAAGCTAATGAAGAGGTCGCGGAAAAAATTAAGGAAGAAAACGAGGAAGTTGAGAAACCAGAGGCGAAAAAAGATGAGGAAACTAATCGAAGCAAATCTCAAGAATCGACAAAAGAACCTGTTGATCTACTCGATGAAAATGAAGCAGAAGAAACAGGTAATAAACAGCGCCGATAAAAGTGATGAATTTAAGCAAAAAATGTTCAGAGGAAGCATTCAACTACCAAGCGCCGAAAAACTCGTTCGAACTCGAGCGAGACTGGAGAAGCATCAAAACGTTCAAAAACAAAGCCAAGTACTTGAAAATCGGCGAGTCTCAAATGCTAGCTGCTTTCTTCGCCCCGCAGCTGCCGAAATTTCTCGTCGAGATTTGCACCACCTTGCTCCATCTTGTCAAGGTTCGCTTTTCTTATGAGCTTTTTGGCTTCAACTACTATCTTCAGAGTGGGTCCGGAAGAGAGCCGATCTCCTTCGCGATAGATTTCCTCTCCGCCGTTGCCCGCGTGCCAAGATTCAATACTGCCCTCTTCTTCCTCCTCGACGCGGAAAAAGCCATCATCAAGGAACTCTTCGATTTGCTCGAAACCGCGCCTGCAAACCTTCAAGCCGCCTTCCTCAACTAGCACTTATTTTTTTAAGATTTTCATTCTTTCAAGAAATTATTTTTTCTAAATCATGACGATTTTCAAATTTAGATTAATTTAAAATGCGCGAGATCGAATTCGGACTTTGGGCGAATGAACAAACCCTCTTTGCTTCTATTTTCATGATTGTTGGTGCCATAATCGCTGTTGCAGGTGATTGAGCTTGCTAAGAAGAATTTTTATAAAACACTTCTAGGGCTTTTCCCTCGATGGCCTTTCGCGCTTGTCGGCGGCATTTTGTGCCTTTTGGTCAGCTTCGTCGAATGGTCCCGTCCAGCGAGAAAAAGAGGCCGGGTTCAAGAACGCCCTTTGCACAAAAACGTCACTCAAATTGTTTCCAAGCTGGGTCCAGTCGCCACGTCCTATTACTTTCGATTCGCGATCTATTTGCTCATTGCTGGTGTTTCTAGTCCATCTCTGCCCACTCTACTGCCGGCTGTTTGCTTGGCTTTAGGTACAAATACAACTTAAAACACAGTAAACGCGAGGTTTAAACCTTTCTAGGCTCACTAACATACTTTGTCGCCGCGTACCGTGGCGAGTTCTGGCGGCCGATCCTCCAGCCCAGCGCAAAGACGCGAAAAACGCAGCAGAGTCAAGTGAAAATGCCGAATAGGCCTCCTCCCCGCCGCTCAGAACAATTTAATCAAATTTAGAATCTGTACTTCTTCTTTCCAAAAAACTTGTAATCAATTCCGAACTAACTCTACTGCTGTAAATACCTCTTGTAAAACTTCTTCAAGATGATTTTTCCGTAACCAAAATTAAAGCGAATTCAACTAAAAAAACTGCTCTTGTTAGAATTGTTGATGGCTTCGACAAATCCGACTCATGATGAAATGAGCGAAATCGAGTACTCAGAAATCCTGGATCGCTCGAACGAAGTGGAGCCAGAAAATCCAGCAGACAATCTAATCGACTTTCAACTTATGGAACAACTTCAAGGCGATTTTTAAAGAGTTTGAGGACACGGGAAGTCGAGCGAATCTGCCGAGAATCGAACTGCTACGAGCCAGAAAAAGTCAAGAACTTCTTGAAAGAGCAGAAAATGTGGGACCAATTCCTTTGATAATCGTCTGCGATCGATTAGACTTCGTCCACGAGTAGGCTCTCCATCTTTACAGAAATAATCTCCAGAAATACATCGAGATCTACGTCCAGAAAGTTAACCCATCTCGACTGAAGGTCATTGGTGGGCTTTTGGATGTCGACTGCGAGCCAGATGTGATCAAGAGCCTCATCATGGTTGTCCTAGCTCCTTCTCCCGTGGCTAGAGTCGCGAATAGCTGAAGACTGCCAAGAACCCGCCACCCACAATGCTTTGGCCAAGATCTACATTGATGCCAACAACCCTGAGCGATTCCTTCGGGAGAACCCGCTGTTGTCGGTAAATACTGCGAAAAGCAAGATCCTCATCTCGCATGTATTCCGTACGAGCGTGGAATGTGCGACGACGAACTCATCAAGGTCTGCAACGAAAACTCATTATTCAAGAACGAAGCGCGAAACCTTGTCCAAAGAAAAGACTCTGAGCTATGGGCTAAGGTTCTTGTTGACGATAACCCACACAGACGATCTGTCATCGATCAGGTTGTCCAGACCACTCTCGGTGAGGCTCAGGATCCTGATGGAATCTCTGTGGCTAAAAAGATTTTCATGGAAGCTGACTTACCAAACGAGTTGATCGAGCTTTTGGAAAAGGTCGTTCTCGAGAACTCCGTCTTCTCCGATCATCGAAACTTGCAGAACTTGCTCATCCTCACTGCTGTCAAGGCTGATACTACCCGCGTCATGAACTAAATCTCTCGACTTGACAACTACGATGCTCCAAACATCGCCGAAATCTGCATCAACTATGAGCTCTACGAAGAAGCATTCGCCATCTTCAAGAAGTTCGACGCCACGACTTCTGCTATGGAAGTCTTGATCAACAATGTCAAGAATCTCGATCGATCGATTCCTTCATCAAGGCTGATAATCCTTCTTGCTTCTACTCTCCTCACTGACGAACTCGACGATCTTATGAGCTATTATCAGGATCGTGGATTCTTTGAGGAACTCATCACTATGATTGAAGGCGCCCTTGGCCTCGATCGCGCTTACATGGGCATCTTTACCGAGCTCGCTATTCTTTACGTCAACCGGCGGAGTGAGAGGCAGAAGTTGAGCCTGAAAGTAGGCCTAAGAAAAGATTCAAGCATGAGGGCAAATGTAAGTCACTCTTATTGGAGTATAATTATACTGTATAAATTATACTATATAATTTATACTGTATAATCTATCTAATATTTAGCTGCTGCTGAAATCAAAGAAATCAGAAACAAACTCACTGGAATGCTGATGCGTGCCGATCTCAAAGGCAACAAAGAAAACGCTGCGAAAATTCAAAAAGAAATCGACGAATTACCAGATGAAAACACAATCGTCGTTCAATAATACGATGCCCGTGGTCCAATCCGTCCAAGTAACCAGAAACGCGAGTCTGTTTTTTCTGCTCTTCTTCGTGATGAAAAGAATGACGATGGAGGAATGGGTTAGTTTCATGATAGTCTTCCATGTCTTCAAGGTATTTTTTTAGCTTCGGATATGGCGCTGATGAAGGCGGCATCAATGAACATCATCAAAAGAGGAGGCCTCAAAGATCTCTTCAAAAAAGTTCCCCATCAATAAGGTGAGAAAATGATGAGAAACAAAGGTGAATTGATTTTAGGTCATATTGCCGTCGAATTTGGCGGTGGCGGAGGATTCGCTCACATCGTCGAGAATAGCGAACGCTTCCCTCCTTATTTTATGCGAGAGATTCTCGGCGGACTGGCGGACATAGATCATCGAAAATGGCGAAAACCGGCGTTGGATGAAGAAGCGGAAGTGATATTTCGCGCGGAGCAAATGGGAAAGAGCCTCAAGGAGTTTCAAGCAACGAGTCCTTCTTTTTAAAAAAAACCGATTACTGCCAATTTGAATGTCCAAAAACATCTTTCTTTCTTTCTACTCTTTGATTCGTCCATGTCTAAACGATCATTTTTTATCTGATCGAGAGACTGCGATCAAGGCGAGTCGGAGCATCATTTGAAAATACTCATTTTTCGAGAATCGAGTAGAGAAAGGATCCCATATTTTTTGTTCAGACAGTGCGCTATCGGATTGAGAATGAAACGAAAAGAGAGTGACGAATCCCCTTCGTCGGATGATAATTCGGGAGAGCGTCTCATTGACCAGGGTGAATCTTCAGAAATAGGTAAAATTAAAGCCAGCTGACGTATTTTCATGCAATTCCGCGTAGATATCCCCCCGCTGGAACGAGCTGCTGAGTTTTCGCAGCCTTCACCCCACTTCAAATCGCCGGAGAAGACTTCTAACAAATCATCCAACTCAAAGGTGGCCCCAAATCTTGATCCCGAGCCAAGTAAGCGATCAAATAAATATTGAAAATAAACTCGAATTATAGCGCCGATTCCCCAACGAAAGACAAGTTCTCCAAAGGAATCAACTGAGATTCCCCCCTCGAATACCGTTAGCGGAGCTTCTCCAATCTCAGAAGAGCACCGATGGCCGGGAAACTCAGGAAACTCAACCTTCTCAACTGAGCCGATATGAGATGATGGAGCGAGCTGCTGAGTTTTCTCAAAGAACTAGTCAAGAAGAACTACTCAATGATGACGTGCCTTCGGATCCAGAGATCTCCCTCTCAGTCAGCGGAGAACTTTTCGATAATGAGGTGCCTTCGGATCCAGAGATCTCCCTCTCCGTCAGCGGAGAACTTTTCGATGATGAGCTGCAGCCAATGGACACTGCGCAGATTTCCCAGCAAGACGAAGAAGAAGCCAACTCTTCTCAAGGCTCCTCCGTCTACAAAACGCCTGAAAAGAGTCGACCGAAATCGCCCAGTAATACTGATCAATCAGCACCCGCTTCACCTCCACAGCCCCCGAGAAAGCTTCGTCGACGCCTCTTCAATGAAAATCAGGAAGAATCGATGGATACCCCGGAAATATTCATGGCGTCCTCGGGAGATACGACAGGGAGATCGAAAAAGGTCGAAATGAAAGATTTCTGGTCACAGACTTCTGGAGAGACGCTACGAGAGACTGAAGGGAGAAAAAGGAGAACTCACGATGCGCTGAACTTATGCGCCGAAGAGTCTCAAGAAGAAAGAAAGAAGAAGTCACAAGAAGGGATAAACCAGACCCAGCGAGTGGGCGATCTTTTAAACCACACAGCGCTTGCTCTCGACTCACAACAGTCAACCCAAGCAACTCAAAATCGACAAGAGTCAACATCAGCAATTCAACTTCAACCTCAAGAAGAGTCACAAGGGACTAATGAAAAATATTTTACGCCTCCCACTTCTCCAACCTTGGAGCAAGCCTCAGCCACGCAGAAGACTTTCGACGAGGATTTAGATGACGATTACTTTGCGAAGCTCAAATCGCCGACGAGGAATGCTGAAATAGATCAGGCTAAACAGCAAAAAAGAGTTAACAGAAAAATGCCGAGATCGAGAGCAAAACCAACGCGTGATGAGGTCAAAGAATCGGTGGCTAAAGCCTGTCGAAAATTACAAGCTGGCGGTATTAGTGGACGTCTGGAATTGGCGAGGGCTTTTATTTCAAGAAGAAACCGAGCACGAGATTCGAGCGATCCCTTGAATCGAGAACTCGAAAATGCGACTTCTTGGGAGCCAAAAGTACCGAATGCGAATTTTTCTCAAAAAGAGTTAACAGAAAAATGCCGAGATCGAGAGCAAAACCAACGCGCGACGAGTTGAATAAATCTTTGGCTAGAGCCCTTCGAAAATTACAAGCTAGCGGTATTAGTAGACGTCTGGAATTCGCGAGGGCTTTTAGTTCAAGAACATACCGAGCACGAGATTCGAGCGATCCCTTGCATCGAGAACTTGAAAATGCGACTTCTTGGGAGCCAAAAGTACCGAAGGTGGATTTTTCGAAGCCCGTTCCAGGATCATCAAGCCGTTTCAAAAAGCTTCTTCCAGTAGCGGAAAAGCCTGCAAAAGAAAATCCGGGACCTTCGAAATCTAAAGCTTCAAAATCGCAAAGTCATGAACGCTCGCAGCCACGAGAAGAGCAGGAGTCAGCTAATAACTGGTCGCAGCAAGCTTTGTTCGATGAATCTGCGGAGGATCGTCAAGCACTATCGCCTGAACATGATCAATTCCCACCCGCGCCAATTGACAGAGAGGACGTTCGCGAATTTATGTTTCCCACCTCAAACAAGAGAAAGCTTCAGACTCCTGAAAAGGACGCGCAGGGCGAAGCAAGCACGAAAGATCACGCAGCGAAAAGGAGCAAGCACGAGAAGGAAAATATAACGCCTAAGAAAAGCGCGTCAAAGCCGACGATTCTTAAGCCAGCTGTGGATAACACCATTCCTCGTCGTCCAGGAAGAGATGCCCTGAGCGAGATTTCGGACTTGTCTTCTGCATTTGATAATGACAGTCCAATAAGAGGCGTCGGAAAGATGAAGCAAAGTGAAAAGAAAGCAATGAAAGAAAAGAGTGCGAAATTGAGGCATGACGAACCAACGTGCAGCAAGAATCTAACACCTCCAGCGATGCCACCAGATGCTGATCTTTCTAGCTTCTTGAACTCGAGCGAGGATGAGGAAGTTCGTCGACCGCAAAGTCGTCCTCGGAGAAGAAATAGATCGCCAACAGCTAGCATGAGCTTCTTGAACTCGAGCGAGGATGAGGAAGTTCGTCGACCGCAAAGTCCTCCTCGGAGAAGAAATAGATCGCCAACAGCTAGCATGTCGAAGCTCACCAAATTACGATCACCAGAGAAGTCACCATCGCCATCTAAATCAAAAAAGAAGCCGATTTCGATGAAGAAAAAACATCCAAAAATTATTCCTTCTGCAGCTCGAAAGCCTCCGAGAAGCATCACTTCGTCCGTGGAGACAAGGGATACGCGAGAAGAATATGACGAGAAAACAATCTTCATCAAAGATGTGAAGAACATTAAGGGTAGAATTGGATTCAGGCTCAGCGAAAATAGCGAAGCAGGAATCCACATCAGCGAGGTTGTCCCGGGGTCGTTAGCAGATAAAGCTGGTCTTCGTGCTGGAGATATTCTCATTTGCTTCAACGGTGTGAGATGCTCCATCATGTGATATCCTTAGGGAACAACGCCTCAAGCCAAATAAAAAATTTTTATTTCACGGCCAAATATTTACGCCAATTCGGTTCTACGCTAGTTTAAATTTGTCTTGTCAGCTTGGTATCACCAAATTGATCAGACATATTTGCAAAAATCATTTCACGATATTCTACTTAAAATGAAAAGATGGTCAGTTTTAACGAGCCAGATTGACCCAAAATTGTCTTATCATCATGTCATCTCCTTACGATCTATACGTTCTATCATTGGAATGCTCATATGCTCTCATCATAATGCGATCTGACGTCAATTCATCAAAAATATGCAATTCGCAAAACCGCATGTTTAATCTATTTATTGATATTTCTTATCATTGCTTTGCGATTTTAAAGTTCGATTATTGACAGTACATACGATTCAAAGTCTACAACAGAATAGCCGTCAACACCTTCTTCAACAACAACAACTCCAACGAGCAGATAAACCGTCGTATCATCTCGGTGCCGTGGGGTCGGACAAACTCTCTGTCAGTGCGTCCGCTTGTCGCAAACTAGCTCATCCGTAAGAGAAGATACGGTGCGAACCGCGACAGTAACTTCCCCCGGGTATGTTCCTTGGAATTTGCTTCTTCTATGATTTCAATTTTGATAAATTTATTTTATAAAATCCTGACCAAATTTTATTCAATTTATTTGTTAAAATTTTGTATATATTCTTTTACTTTTCTCATCCTTTATTTATTTCAATCATAATTAACAGTCACTTCTACGGTCACATAGTGAGAAGTTTAAGTGGCTGTTATTATTTTCTGCTTTTATTATAAAAAATAATAATTAATTTGCGTTTTATCTCGTCACGCGCGGCGCCGGCTCCCGAAACCTTTGAAAATAACTTGCTTGGCAAGTTCGACCAGCTCCTCTTCCGAAAAGAAATCGATCCGAAAGGATTTCCCGCAAGAAAAACCGCTAAAAGAAGCCGCGGGCTCTCTTCCTTGTTTTCGATAGAAAAATTGTTTTTCAAAAACAACCGCTTGCTCAAAAACACTGATCGAATCTCGCTGCTATTTAACCCCGCGTCGCGCCTTTTTCCGTCATTCAAATCACAAATAAAACCACGCAAATTTAAAATTTGATTCTCGTTATTTTGGCTTGGCATTCTAGAGTTAGAGATCGAGCAAAATTCTTGCAGGACAGCCGCTTCCGTATCATGGTGACCCCAACTCCTGAAGAGGTACTGTACAAGAGTCATGCGCTTTTTTCGGTTTCCCCAAATCAGATGATTAGATTAGGAATGAGAAATTTCGAATTCAATTTGATTAATTCTACAATTAAAGACAAATTACAGCGTGCAAAATGGATTTTTGAAAAATCTCTGGCGGAAAATAAACCCGAAAACAAAGAGGACCTCGAGGCTCAATTTTCGCGCCTTTCAAGCTCTTTTGTTTATAATTCATGCGAGCCGGAATTTCTTAGGGAATACGGGGAAGATCTTTATGGATTTGAATCAGCTGAGGAAAAATTGTCTTTTTTGACGTCTGTTTTTGGCGACGAATCGCCCGAGGAAAAGATCCTTCGAAACAAAGAAAAAATGGAAAATCTCACCCGAAAGAGCGAGAACAATGAAAAATTCGAGATATTTTTGTCACGTGTTAAAACTGTCGCGGAGAAAATTACGCAGAAACCGGACGCGAGAGAATACATTATCGACGCGCAATTTAGAAAATCGCTCACGCCTGAACTGCAGAATTTTCTTCGCGATCAGTGTATGCTTGAAAAAACACCCGAGGAAATATCCAAATTTCTTGACAAAAGAAAACGAAATGAGACTATCCCCAAAATTGCCCAAATCGAAATTGACGCGAAACTTGGCTCGTTTTTCCAGTCGACTTCCGACTTAATTTCAAAATCGACAATGTCCTTTGAGGATCAAATTTCTCAATTGAAAATTGAACAGAAAAAATCAGAAGAGGCGGCGGAAAAGCGGGCGAGTGCGCTTCATGATCAAATTGAAAAACTAACGGCAACAATTGCAAAATTAGAAGTTGATCGCCGCAACGATCAGAGTTTGACGCGTCAAAATAACCAGCAACGGAATTTTCAAAGTCGAAATTTGGGCGCGCCAAACCCGGATCGGCCAAGGCCTCGACGATTTTGTGGATTTTGTAACACAGACACTCATTTTAGATCGCATTGCCCCTTTATTACCTGTCATTTTTGTCAGAAAAAAGGCCACATGAAAACAGCTTGCCCCGATAATCCCGATAGAATTTACAGAGCTGCTCGGGTCGAGGGAGAAGAAACTTCAAAAAACGAGTAAATGGAACTGAAAGCCCTGGTCAGGCACCAGTTCCAAGGACTTGTTCAATTTTTCGCATTGGATTACAATATTTTGTAGAAATGACAGTTTTTTCAAAAAAAATAAAAATGCTCGTCGATTCTGGCTCCCAACTTAACCTTTTGCCCAAATCATTTATTCCCGATAATGTTAAAATTCAAGCCCCTGATATTTTTGCTAAAAATTACGGTGGAGGAAGTATTGAAATTCTTGGTTTTGTCGAATGTGATTTTCATGTTAAAACGGAAAAATGGGGTAAATCGCGATTTTATATTGTAAATGACAATTGTCAGGCAATTCTCGGTTCGGAAGCACTTAAATCTAATGAAATTATGATCAATCTTCATCGAAATCGTCTAGTTAAATCTGGTCCTATAGAGCGAATGGCGAATTTATGTAATAATGCATCAAAAAGCCCAACAGTTAATAACATTGAGCAAGACAGTTTTTATGCCGTTTCTGAGCAAACTTACACATTTCGAGGCAAAAGTGAGCAAATTATCGATTTGAAAATTCCTCATTTGAACAGATCAATGAATCTTTTTTTTAGAAGAAAGCCAGCTTAAAAATTCGAAGCTAGAGTTAATAGAATCATTCCAGAGAGTTGATCCCGAGAATCCATTCTTTCGTATTCTTGTTATAAATCCCCTGAATTCTACAGTTAAAATTCCTGCTGGCACGGCCTTTGCGAAACTAGCGGAAATAGCTGAGATCGCCCAAATCAAGCCCTCAAAAAAAGATCTTAATTTTCTTCTTTCGCGGTTAAAAATAGGGAATATATCGAAAAAGAATAAGCCGGTACTTTTTGGTCTTCTTGCTATATACACCCATTTATTTCAAGACGAGGACGACAATTTGCCTGTTTCGAACCTTGAAAAATTTTCGATTGAACTAGAGACTGATCGCCCGATTTGTAGCAATATGTACAGAACGCCATATGCCTTGCGGGGAATAATGACCGGTACTACTACCTCCTACCTTGGGCAAGACATGATAATGCGAATTAATTCACCCTATAATAGCCCCGCGTTACTCGTAAGGAAAAAGAATGGTACATTCAGATTATGTATTGATTACAGGAAATTAAATTCGTTTACGCTCCAGCAGCATCATCCGTTGCAACAAATTGAAGACGTTTTAGGGTATTTAGAAAATAGCATTATTTTTTCTTGTGTTGATTTGCGAAAAGGATTTCATCAGTGCCTCGTAGATGAGAAATCGCGAGAAAAACTAGCTTTTTCGACTGAAGACGGACAATTTACTTGGAAAAGGCTTCCAATGGGTCTCAAAAATGCCCCTATTCATTTCGCAAAATGCATGGATGTTATTTTACGAGACACGCCGAAAACTCAAATTTGCGCTTATCTTGACGATTTAGTGGTCCATTCAAGAACGGAAGAAGAACATTTAGCCAATTTACGTAAATTATTTCAAATTTTAGACCAAAATAATTTACGGATTAACATCGACAAAGCGAGTTTTTTTGAGCGAAAAGCATGCATTTTGGGTTTTGAAATTTTTGAAGGGAGAATACGGCCATCACAGGACAAGATCGAAGCGGTTAAAAATCTGTCTATTCCGAGAAACCGTGAGGAGGCACAATCACTTTTCGGACTTCTTTCGCAGCACAGAAAATTTATTAAAAATTTTGCACCCCTGGGAGTAGAAATTTCAAAAACGTACAGAGGGTCATTTTGTTGGACAAAAGAGGCGACGATTTCACTCGAAAAGCTCAAAAGTATCATCTGCCATAACGCTCTTGAGCTCAAAATCCCCCCACTAAATGACGGTGTTTTCGTACTCGAGACAGACGCATCTAATCATAGTTTTGGTGGAGTTCTTTATCTTTGCGCGGAGCGAAATAAAAATCACCATCATTCTCATAATTGCCTACAACCGATAGCTTACCACTCGCTTAATTTTACGCCGGCACAACAGAAATACGGGACATTGGAAAAAGAACTTTATAGTGGGAAGACATGTATGGAACGATGGAGGGCTTATCTTGCTTATGTCGATTTTCTTTGGATTACTGATAACTCTTGTGTTAAATACGCTCAATCCTTCAAGACGAATAATTTAAAAATTCAAAGATGGTTTACGGAGCTTCAGGGCTTTTCATTTCGAATTGAACAGAGGAAAACTCATCAAATGAAAATAAGTGATTGCCTTAGTCGTAATACATTAAATTGTTCGATCAATCAAATAAAATTTACCCCTGAATCATTCGTAGAGTTTCAAAAATCTGACCCAGTATTATCACAAGTTAGACGTTTCGTTAGTATTGATAGATGGCCAAATAACCCACCAAGCGAGCTTTACCCATTCTTTTTACGTAGACCTGACCTTGAAATCCTTGGGTCTGGTGAGCTAGCTATAAATTCTCCAGCCTATCAAAAAAGATTTTGCGTCCCCGAGGCATTGACAGAGACAATTTGCAGCGAATATCATGATCACTCTCATTTCGGAGTCGATATTACAACCGAAAAAATTTCTAGAAAGTATTTTTGGCCGGGATTAAAAAATACAGTCGCGAGCTTTATAAAATCATGTCACAAATGTCAAATTTCAAAACCAAATCTACAGCCTAACAAACCTCCTTTAGGCAAATCTGAAACACCAAGCGGCCCTTTTGAAATTTTGTACTTTGATTTAATTGGCCCACTTCAAGAAACTGATTTTGGTCATAAATATATAATGGTGGTTATTGACGGTTTTAGCAAAAAAGTTTACGCGGAGCCCCTATCGTGCAAAAAATCGGATTATTTACTGCAAAAATTCCGGAGCGTATTATTTAGAAATCCAAAATTTCCAAAATATATGGTTTTAGATAACGCGAAGGAACACGTTCTGATTGAAAAATTTTTGAAAGAAAATAAAATTGGTGTACATTATATTCCCCCGCGTCATCCCCAGTCTAACGGGCAAGTTGAAAACGTCAATAGAACCATAAAAGCCAGGCTCAGGGCTCGTTCAAATTGGGTGAATTGGGATATTTTTCTGTTTGAAATTGTTCACGAAATAAACAGTAGTTTACACACAGTACTCGGAACAACCCCATTTTGTGTAGAAACTGGTATAAAAAGCAGTCATCATTTTCAAGACCCTTATTGGCGAACATACGGAGATAAAATCGACGTAGACTTTGGGAAAATTCGTGCGAAAATTGAACAAGAAAAGCAAAAAAGAATGACCAAATTTGAAAATCCCCGTTTCAAAGAATACAATTTAGGCGATAAAGTTCTTATTAAAAATTTCCGCGAAAAATTTCCTCCGTTTTTAGGTCCTTATGAAGTGACGTTTAAATCCCCGAGTGGTCTGTGGTACGCTGTTAAAAATGATAAGGACGAATTTAGGCGACATGCGGAACATATGAAAAGTTATTCTCAGCGAAATTCAATTTTAGAGACGAATAATGATGTTGAAAAATACTCCAAGATTGTGACAAAGCCACAAGAGAACGATCTCGAGTTTTTTGAATTTTTTTCCGAAAACTGTCTTTTTTCGAAGGATTCCCTCGGCCGGTTTGCTGAAAATTCCCCCACAGAAAAAGAATCGGAAAAAGCGCATGAACCTTTCTCCTCCGGAAGGTCAGATCAGTCTTTACAATCGGAACCTTATCGGGAGCGGTCTAGTTCTTCTTCAGAACCAGAAAATTTTTCATCCTCATCGACTCTTTTGATAGAAATGCCAGTACCGAATATAAATGGTAATCAAGAACGTGATTTGAATCAAGTAGGAAATGGATCAGACATTGTGCTTGATTCCGAGAAATCAAGTTCTGATTCTGAGCTCTCTGTTAATTTGACATCGTACGATAAATTGCCCGAAATTGATCCGCTAGTTGCTATAAAACGTAGAAGGGAAAGATCTGATGATTCCGTTGTCGAGCGTAAAATTGCTAAATTTACAGTTGAAAATAATTTGGAAAACATGTCAATTTTAATTAAAATGGAAAATCATGATCTTGAGTTTTTCGAATATCTTAATGATAAATGGAAAAATACAGACGACATAGAGGAGACCTATGTTGGAAATGGTATATTTATCAAACTGAACGAATTAACAAGAGACTCTCTTTTATTCATTCTTTTTAAAATGAATCAGGAATTTGATCTTGAGGAATCAAGGGCAAAACTTCAGATAAAAGTGAAGGAAACTATTCGTAGAGAATATCCGAATTGGCGCAAATCGAGAAACGGACAACTCCTTTTTTTTGCGGTCTTTAGAGTGCAAAAAGAGCGAACGTTGTACGAACTAACTGTCCCCGAGCTAAAAACTGTATGCGCATTTTATGATTTACCCTGTAAATTTCGAAACTGCTCAAAAACAATTTTACAGGCATCTATCGAAACAGAACTGCTTAAAAAATTTCCAAATCATCCAATGCGTAAAAATGTTCTTGTTTTTCTTCCGGACTTTGAAACTGAAATATGAAAAAGATGGGCGATAAAGATGCTCGTTTGGGACCCATGGAAGGTCACAGTGATATCCTTAGGGAACAACGCCTCAAGCCAAATAAAAAATTTTTATTTCACGGCCAAATATTTACGCCAATTCGGTTCTACGCTAGTTTAAATTTGTCTTGTCAGCTTGGTATCACCAAATTGATCAGACATATTTGCAAAAATCATTTCACGATATTCTACTTAAAATGAAAAGATGGTCAGTTTTAACGAGCCAGATTGACCCAAAATTGTCTTATCATCATGTCATCTCCTTACGATCTATACGTTCTATCATTGGAATGCTCATATGCTCTCATCATAATGCGATCTGACGTCAATTCATCAAAAATATGCAATTCGCAAAACCGCATGTTTAATCTATTTATTGATATTTCTTATCATTGCTTTGCGATTTTAAAGTTCGATTATTGACAGTACATACGATTCAAAGTCTACAACAGAATAGCCGTCAACACCTTCTTCAACAACAACAACTCCAACGAGCAGATAAACCGTCGTATCATCTCGGTGCCGTGGGGTCGGACAAACTCTCTGTCAGTGCGTCCGCTTGTCGCAAACTAGCTCATCCGTAAGAGAAGATACGGTGCGAACCGCGACAGTAACTTCCCCCGGGTATGTTCCTTGGAATTTGCTTCTTCTATGATTTCAATTTTGATAAATTTATTTTATAAAATCCTGACCAAATTTTATTCAATTTATTTGTTAAAATTTTGTATATATTCTTTTACTTTTCTCATCCTTTATTTATTTCAATCATAATTAACAGTCACTTCTACGGTCACATAGTGAGAAGTTTAAGTGGCTGTTATTATTTTCTGCTTTTATTATAAAAAAAAAAATAATAATTAATTTGCGTTTTATCTCGTCACGCGCGGCGCCGGCTCCCGAAACCTTTGAAAATAACTTGCTTGGCAAGTTCGACCAGCTCCTCTTCCGAAAAGAAATCGATCCGAAAGGATTTCCCGCAAGAAAAACCGCTAAAAGAAGCCGCGGGCTCTCTTCCTTGTTTTCGATAGAAAAATTGTTTTTCAAAAACAACCGCTTGCTCAAAAACACTGATCGAATCTCGCTGCTATTTAACCCCGCGTCGCGCCTTTTTCCGTCATTCAAATCACAAATAAAACCACGCAAATTTAAAATTTGATTCTCGTTATTTTGGCTTGGCATTCTAGAGTTAGAGATCGAGCAAAATTCTTGCAGGACAGCCGCTTCCGTATCATCATGAGCAAAATCAACCTGTCTACACTGCTAATAGTCATTGCCGAATTGGAAACAGAAGACTTCAAATTCACTGTTATTCGCGATGTATCAGACCAGTATTCGGAGGAAGAAGACGTTGACACATCAGGAGTTTCAGACATATCAGATGCAGAGTCTGATGACCGAGTACAAAACATTGATTCAGGAAATGATTTAAATCTGTAAATTCACAAATATGGTATCTTTCATGAGACCATCATAGACTATAATTCATAGTGATAATCTATTAATTCTTTTAAATCATTACCACAGATGGCAACGAGAGCAGAGTAGAGACTCCTGTTGATACGAATCCAGAGTATGGCACATTCGACAACACTGCTAACGTGACCAATCTTCCTTCCGAGAGAAACGCTGCTGATACGACAAATCCTGACTACGAGACATTTGACCGATCTTCAAATGTCACCGCTGGTACCTCCGAACAGCCTGAGCCTGCGTTCTCTGGCTCTTCTTCAGATGTTCCGAGGCCAGAATCTATTGCTTCCAATCAACGAGAGGAGGTAACGATTTGAAATCATGAAAAAGAACTCTAACTTTACCTTAGTCTGACGAGTCAGCCAGTGAAGTGTCAGTCCAACCAGCTTCCAGCTTCAAGCCTTACAAGGTAAACACACTTCAACTTCTAGCGCTCATTGAATAATTTCTTAGTGCCCAGAGGCGAACTGCGAGATGGCCTTTGTAACATCTGGTGGATTGACGAAACACAGGCGGTCCAAACACACCGACGAAAAACCGTTCAAATGCACTTTGTGCGAATACGCTTCCGCCGATAAATCAAATTTTTGTCGCCATATGAGGTCAGTTCAAAATAGAAAATTTATTTTCTATTCGGGAAGTCCAACTCTGGATAAAAGTTTTTCAGAACTCACACGGGCGAGCAGCCGTTCAGCTGCGACATCTGCGGCAAAGCGTTTGGATCCAGCTCCAATCTCAAGCGGCACGAGTTCTCGCACACGGGCGAAAAGCCCTACGAGTGTCCGCACTGCAAGGCGCGATTTACGCAGAACAGCAAGCTCAAAAGGCACGTCATGCAGCAGCACACGAAGACCGCGCCAAAGTTCGAATGTAAGCAACAGATTTTCGTTGTTGATTTCAATTCCGCGTTTTAAGGCGAAATTTGCCACACGATGTTTGGCCGAAAGTCCAACTTGGATGTTCACATGCGCAACCAACATTCTTATCAAGAGGTAACACCGGTTCACGTTGTTGTTGTTTATCGCCGTTTCGTTTAGATTCCCATGCAATGTCGCTACTGCGAAGAGGTCTTCCACGACAGATGGTCGCTCATGCAGCATCAGAAGACGCACCGCTTTAATAAAAATAAATAATAAATTATAAAAAAATAAATTTTAATTAAAATACTGCCAAATTATAAATTTCAATAAAACTGACATCGTAAAATTAAGAATGCCTCCAACGCCAGATTATTCAGCATGGTATGATTATACCAATTCTGTGTATGAGCCTTCTGAGGATTCGTTTGTCTTTCTTGATTGCATTGAAAAGGAACTTCAGGATCAATGTTTAGGCAAGGAAGTCAGATACAGAAGCATGTTTTGTAGCGCTTGTTGATTATTTCCAAAGAAAAGCCCGGTCTAGCAGTTGAAATCGGGGGAGGAGAACCTCGTTATCGGAAAAGAGATTCCAGATGGAGAAGCCGCAGCAAGTCAAGTGTCAATCCCGACTGAATCCGAATTCTGCTGTAGAACATTGAGCTTGTCACTCGGGAAGATCAAGTCCAGCATTACAAGTCAGCTGAGCACAGAAATCTGCTAAAATCGAAGCTCAAAGCAAAAACGGGAAGCGGAGAAAATGAGAGCGATGGTGACTCGGATAGCTCTGAGGAGGTAAAAAAGTGCATCTGAAATAAAAAAAAGAACGCTTCTAGGAGTCGGATTGGTCTGGAGACGAGGAAATTGCAACTTCTGCGAATCTGGATGCTCCTGAAATGCGATTTAGAGGGCGTGCTCAGCAGGTATTCTTTGCTGATTGATAATATCCCTTCATGGTGCATTAGGAAATGTATTTTTTTCAACGAAGACAAAGAACGAATAACAGCTAATCGAGGTCTTGTCGCTCATCGAAACGAGTGCTTGTCGGAATTGGAAATTCTCAAACGCCTGGTTATGACCCGACGGTCCTTCACCGAGAAAATTGCTCCTGAAGGTATGATCCAAGAATCTTAAAAAATAAAATGGTTGAAGGAAAACGACACGATGCAATTTTACTATTCTCTGCTGGCGCTTTTGCCGGTTGAATATTCGAAAATGGAAAGCCCTTGCTCCACAAATGCATAAAGAAATACGTTGTCAGGGGCCCTGACTCAGGGCGAAGCGAGGCACTGCGCAGTCGACTCGAGACAATCAAGGTAGTAAAAAGTTACAAAGCGACTGATAACATTCGTGTAGGAATGAAACCAAAGTCCATGGGTGCTCAATAACGACGAGAAAATGAAAAAGAACTGTGTAGAAAAATCGAAGAGCAAATTACCGAGTGGGGAGCAACTTTATCCAAATGCGCGACGATCTTCTGCCGTGCGCCGAAGCATCAGAAATCCGTGATTCTCCAGCCTCTTCATCGCGTCGCTGAGAATAAAACTAAACATTGTACTGATAAGACCACTGATGGTGCCAATGCGTAAGCCCCGCTTCGAGGAAACACAGCGAGTATTTCAGAAGATCTTTTCGTTGAGAATTCATGCCGAGGCGCAAGTGGAACAGTTCAAAAAACAACGAAGCCCGAGGAAAAATACCGAAATACTTGAACCGAAAGCAAAACCAAAAATTACCGCAAACCCTCATTTGGATGTCATTTCGGACGACGAAGATGATAAAGTGGAGAAAGAAATGGCAAAAGTCAAACTTTCGCCAAAGAAAGCAAAGAAAAGCGAGATTGGACAGCTCAGAATGCTCGGAAACGATTGACGAAGAAGTAAGGGCAAGACTCGACTTGCTCTTTACCGGCGTGAGAAGTTGAGACGTTCAAAAAGATCAACTCTCCAGAAGAAATCATCAACTTGCCTCTCAAGAATGAGATGGTCAGCTGAAATAGTTCTCCGCATAGAAGCAAGAGCAAGTTTTTGGAATTTCAGAGGATCGAATCCGGACAAGTGGGACTGGTCTAAAGCGGAAGTTTCAGATCCAGCGGGAATTAGCGAAAACCCATCGAAGAGAAAGAGACAAAAGCCGAAGAAAAAGAAGAAACCCACTCCTACAGTCGAAGAATCTGCAGAGAAGCCAAAGAAGGATGAGCTCGAAGACGCCCACTGGAGCGACTGGCAAGAACTCCACAACAACACCGAAATCGGCTTTTCGGAGAATCCAAATCTCAACCTCGACACCGTCCTTGAATGATTCCTTCTTCCCATTTTCACCACCTTCACATAAAATGTATATACTCACGAATAGTCGCTAACGTTCACTTTTCACATTCCCGCACCCAATTTATCCCCTGCTAACATCTACTGTTCACATTCCCAAATAAATTGGAAACTTTTTAAAACAATAACCGACGGTACATTTTGTTCTAACTCTTCATTTCGCATTTTCGGACTTGTCAAATAGAGATCCTAGAAATCGATTTTGGTTGAATTCGAAAGGATGAGTCAGAAAAAAGCGCGTACATTTGATCTCCAAGCGATGCTCAAGAAAGAAGCCATGAAACTTTAGCCCGGCGAGAAGAGGAGGAGAAAAATCGTCAAAAGTCGGAAAAAACGGACTGTAAGCAAAGTTGAATCAAAGCCATCCAAACCTGCCGAGCCGGCGCCAGAATCTGACGGAGAAGATGTCGGTCCTGCTCTACCTCCCGGCTTCGTCATTCCTAACATGCAAGAACTCGCGAAAAAGTCGAAGAAAAATGCGAAGAAAGAAGAAGAGGAAGTCTCTGACAGTGACTCAGAGTCAGATGATGAGGTATTTTTCGTCGATCGAATCAATCTTACCTACTCTTGCTTACTAACTCTTACTTTAGCAAGACAATGGGCGAAGAATAACGCTTCCGATAACGAGCCGCATTGCGCTCAACCACGGAAGTAAGCCAGTGCAAGCACTTTACCTCGATCCTCCAGGCGGGCGACAGGAGCAGACTACTTCAACATGAAATTCTGGGTTCTTCGGGAATGACCAACACTTTCGAGCCTTTCCGCTACATGGAGCCGCAAGGAGGCTATCACGTGCGAGACTTGTCGTATTCCGTCGCCGGTGGCAATATTCTAGTACTACTAGAACTTCTACTACTCTTACTGTTCAACAAGCTTTTCTTCTCGTTTTTGCGCGATTGGCTTCGGTTGAGACGACGGGATTGGTGAACTTCTTGGACTCGGAAAATGCTTTTCAGGTAGACTTCAGCCTGAAAATTGGGACCCAATTATTGGGTGTAAGATTCCGCTGAATCGTAATGAAATGTATTATCTCAAATTTAGCCATTGATGCAACTGTGGCTTGAAAAACAATGCGAAATTTTTGGCGCTTATGAACGAAAAGAATGTCGTTAAATTCCAGCTGAGAATCCAATTCAAAGGCGGCTTTGCCGGACGAAAATGCTTTTTCAAAACTGGGCCGTATCCCAGTCTTCCTTTTTTCCCAGAAGGTTAGTTCTTCTTTCTTTTGGCGTCGGCCATTTCAACCGGCGCTACTTCTTCAACTTCTGCCTCTGGACGACGTTCGGCTGCGGCTACTTCTCGCTGGTCGGCTATTCCTATCTTCGCTGGATCACGCTGGCTCTCGGCGCCCTCACCGCCTATCACGTGCTCCTGATCTCCAGAGACCAGACCACGCTTCAGGTACAAACCAAACAAAATAATTTTCTTATACCACTATGAAAGGCTATATAATTTATAGCGGAATGCGCCTTGTTATGACTCGACAACAACAGCAATCCTTACGTTTCGCAAGGTGACCTCTTTTTAAAATTTGCAAAAAGCTCACTATTTCAGTGAATCCGTGGCTAGAAGCAGAACTGCCCGTGCAAATGAAAGAAGAAGCTATCCAACTGTTCCTGGAGTACAGTCTTCTCTCGGACACTGACTGTTGGGACGCACGACTGTTGGTTCAAAATCACTCGATGGCAAACGCCTTGATCACCAAGCTCAAGAGCTCAATCGCCGCTGACCACGCTCGTCGAGGATATCCACGGTTAGTCAAGCGTTCTTGCTAATAAAAGTTAACTTCTTGCTTCAGCTTTTGACCACAGCTGTTCTGGAGCTGTTCATAAGTTTCCTCCGTCCAACGGGAGCTAGTTTGAATGAAGAAAACTTTGACCTTCGCGAACGGCTCTCGCAGATTGTAGACTCGAACGAGAACCTCGACGATTTGCTGAACGTAATGATGAATACCTTCGAAACGAACATGCGCATCCTCCAATCTGTTGGCCACCTGATCCAGTGGATGGCCACGCACATCATCTCCTACTCTGCACAACAACTGCAGTCCCCTTTACACGATCAAAGACGTCAAGTGCGACCCGCTCTCTGAATCGTACGCTATTCTTTCAAAAGCGGCTGCGGCCCAGCAACTCGGCGAAAACATTCCAATGAAGGTTACTTTGCTTTTTCAAAGATTCTGGGTTTAGGATTTGTTTCAGGGAGCTGTACGATTCGTGCGAGCTGTTAAAGTGTCGCGTCTCGACGGAGAAGTGAGCATGAAGAAGCCGCACGTTACGAGTCTGAAGGGACGGACCTTTCAAGTGGGCAAGTCGGAGACGAAACGGGCCGCCTTGATGGTTGTGGACACCGATTTCGTGCGCCGCACAATTGTCGGACGCGAAGAAACTCGAGATCTAAGGCACTGCTCGCGCTCCGGAGCGTACACCTACAGTAAGTTCGCTTGCAGTCTCTCTGTCGCTAACGTAACTGCTTGCAGATCGTCAGGAATCGCTGATTTCGGGCTGGGACCACCGATTCCTCAAGCGCTCGATGTGCGGCGGCCTGTGGACGAACATCAGCTCCAGCCCCGTGAAAAAGCCATTCCTTCAATCTTCTCTGAGCCAGGAGTTTCTTTAAAGTTTCAAGTCCTTACAAACGCAATTTTCCAATATTTTCCTAACACCCTCCCTTTCTTCTCTTGTACATATTTCAGCCATTCTATTTCCGCCTTTCCGCTTCCGTATATTTCTGAATATTCGATACTGCCAAACAATTTCAAATGCTTAAAAACTGCTTTCCTAAAAATAAAATTCTAAAATCAAAAGAAAAAATTTCCGACTTCAGAAAAAACCGAGTAAATGCTGACCAGAGTGTGCCTTTTTAGAAGTCTCTCTCGAACCATGGCTCTCAGCGCGGCCGAGCTTGAGGCGCGATCCGTCGAAGCCGACAAGATCATTCAAACACTGACGGAAAAGATCGCCGCGATCAAGGCGATGGGCACGCTTCCTGCTAACATTCAGGAGACGATCTTGAAGCAGGAGATCCTTTATCGCTCAACGCCGTTTCAGAAAACAAGTCGAAGCGTTGAAAACGGAATTGACAACTCTTGAGCTTCGAAACGGAAAGACTCAAGTCGCTCTTCCAAAGCCACAAAAGAAAGGAGCAGCTAAAAATGAAGCCTCAAAGAAAGAGGAGCCAAAGAAGGCCGAACAGCAGGAGAAGCCAAAGAACGAAAACCAGAAAAAGGACAAGCCCAAGAAAGAAAAGAAGGAAAAGAAGCCTCAGCCAGCGAAAGCGGCCGAACCAGAGAAGCCAGTCGATGTTTCGAGGTTGTTGATGAAGGTGGGAAAGATCATCGACTGCAAGAAAACACCCAGGTATTTGGAAAATTGTATTATTTTGTTTTCGGGAGATTCGAGTTCAGAACTTTTTATCTTTGTATTAAGAAAGGAAGTTAAACTTATCTCTAAAGGCGTTAATTCTTTTCAAAATTTAGCCTTCTCAAATATCCAAGAACAACTCCTCCAGGACAATAAATCGCTCAAATGACTCTCTTTTTTTCAGATGCGGACGCTTTATACCTCGAACTAATTGAATGCGGAGAGGATAAACCACGAACCGTCATTTCCGGACTTGTCAAGCATGTTCCCTTGCAATAGAGGATGTCGAGCACAATGCTCCGAACTCTTCTCGCATGAGGGCGCAAGATGCGCGGAGGACTCTGAGTCCTCCGAACTTTGCGAGCCCAGGGAGAACTGATGAGTTGGCGATAAGCCCTCAATACGCTACTCGAACGTAACACCTGGGAGTGAGTGAGCACAGCAGGGGCGGAGGGGATATTTTTGTTCTACCCATGCCAGTATCAACTTTATTATCAATTCTAGAGGCGAGTAAGAGTGATGGGAAGGGTTCCTCTCGTGGCCATTTCGAGAAATGTACCTCTCGTGGTCATGCACCTCTCGTGGCCATATACCTCTCGTGGTCGTCACGTACACTTTCGTCAGAATCTTATCAAATGACCACCAGAGGAACATGGCCACCAGAGGTACATGACCACGAGAGGTATTTTCACAAAAGCTCATTATCGGGTTCTCTCTTCCTATTTAATCAATTGTCTGGCAAATTTATTCAATCAATTTTCACCATAGCATGGAACTCTGTTAACAACTCTGTTATATTTTATAACTCTATTTTATTGACAAAAATCAAATGGAAAGAATATCCATTTATTCAACATTTTATAAAATTTTTAGGCTTTATCAAACGATTTTAAAGCATCAAAGGAGGGAATGTTCGAGCAAGTCATTGATATTTTTGTTGGGAGAAGTATAGAAGTGCAGCAAAAGCTCTGGATATTATTAAATTAAATTTATTGCAGAAGAAGATTTGTCTGAAATTCGCCAGAGAATTGATTAAATAGGAAGAGAGAACCCGATAATGAGCTTTTGTGAAAATACCTCTCGTGGTCATGTACCTCTGGTGGCCATGTTCCTCTGGTGGTCATTTGATAAGATTCTGACGAAAGTGTACGTGACGACCACGAGAGGTATATGGCCACGAGAGGTGCATGACCACGAGAGGTACATTTCTCGAAATGGCCACGAGAGGAACCCTTCCAGAGTGATGGCGTTGTTTCTTTGGGCATATATATATCAGAAGAAAGCTCTTTTTGAGCAGAAAATGGATTTAACCGAACATAATTCTATTTCCCTCATTTTGTGATCGATGATAAGTGTTCCTAGATTGGTGAACCCCTTAAAAATAAGACCCAAAATCTCATGCTCCTATTCAATAAATTTCAAATCAAAGTTTAATAATTAAACGTTAATTATCAAACTTAAATTCGACAAGTTGTGCCACCCTGAGCCTGAGAGTTATGTTTTTTAAATTTATCATCAAAATTTAGTGTTTTTGACCCTTTATTTAGATTCAGCGCAAAATTTCACTCTAAAAAGATGTTTAAGTATATAAATAATTAAAAAAAAGAGCGTGAAAAATCAGTTAAGCGAAATTAAGCTCATTCAGGGGGTACTACGTGATCAGAAATGATAGCGGTGTTTGAACAGAGATTGACACACTTCACGCTGGGTTGAGGTGGCTTCGCGCTCCCTTCCGTACTTGCTCACCCGGTGTGTACTCTCCGGAGGTTCTCCCTCGGCGCTCCTCAGCGTACTCTCCTCCGGCTCCCTGCAAAGAGCGCTCTTCAAGGTCATTTCCGCTCTTCCACCTCTTTTTCCGAGCGCCCTCTGGCGGATGGAGTTCGGAGCATTATGCTTTTACCCCGCAATAGATGAAGAACAGAATGGTCGTCCTTCTGTGCAACTTCAAGCCGGCGAAAATGAGAGGAATCGTTACCGAAGCAATGATCATGTGCGCTTCTACACCAGAGAAAGTCGAGATCTTGGCCCCGCCAGCTGGAGCAGTTCCGGGCGATCTTGTCAAAGTGCCAGGCTTCGAAGGTGAGTGTCTTCCTTGATTTCGAGTTGAGAAACGTTTAATTCAGGCGAACCCGACGAACTGATTATGCCAACGAGTAAAAAAGCAGTCTCCGTGTTCGAACAAGTTGCCCCAGGATTAAAGACGAACGACAAATGCCAAGCCACATTTAATGTAACTACAGTTGAGTTTTAACAAGTCCTAAAAAGCTTTTTTAGGATGTCGCCTGGGAAGTTGCCTGGGAACGATTGGATTCGAGGTGATTTTAAAGCGATTGAAAGCTCTTCTGGAACGAGAAGGAATCGAGAAATGTGTTGGCCAAAGATAGAAGCTACATAATCGAAGATTCCTTTGGAACGATTGAATATTGGAACTCGAACAAGAAAGTGCGTTTATTTGGGTATTTCGGCTGCAAGGCGCACACCGATCTAGACGAAAGATGGACAGATCCAGACAGGAAATTCGTTCAAGACGGAATTCTTCACACGGTGGCGCCAAATTTGTACCCCGCTGATTCGAGAGCCATTCAAAATCAGCTCAAGTTTTTGGAAAAATCCGACAATTACAGGTTGCTACAGTGGCGGATGCATGATGATTCTGACTGTTTGTTTAGAGACACGGTGACTGGCAAAGTATGCGCTGTTGCTGGTGGCCTTGGACTGATGTTTATCGCTTGGTTTTGTATCTTCCACGTTTGGAAAGAGTTTCCAGAGCAAACGCGCGAGCAATACTGCCAAAGCCAAATTGCTAAATTTCTGGAGCGAAAGGGCGAAGAGCGTTTCCTCGGCGGAGAGCGGCCCTCCATATATCGGCGGATATCGAAGCTTTTGCAGTTATCAACTTGACGAAAGGAACGAGCGCTTGGGAGCAGTACGAACAGAGTCCCGAGCTGATGCAGTGGTACTACTCAGTCTAGCACGCGGTCGACACTCATCAGGGCATGCTCTAAGCTCTGGCCTAACTTCATTCTTCAAAAAGATAACTATCCAAGTACTCAAGGCCCAAGCTTGTAAAATTACTAGATGATTTGAATGCGTTGATGGTTGATTTTTACAAGCTTTGAAGCTGTTGTCATTCGTCTTAATTTCAGAATGTCGAGCAAGGTCGCAAACTTGTTGAAGAAAACAAGAAAAGCAGACACAACAGTCTTTCTCTCAGCGACAAGAGCATCAACCAACTGACGCAGATTTCTTCCGACTTCAGCCAACTGCAGCACCTCTCCGAGCTCATTCTCGCGCACAACGGCCTCAAACAGCTCACTGCTTCGATCACAAGCTTATAGAATCTTGGCGTAGGTGAATTCGAAAGCGCGATTCATTTTTAGAAGGCCTTGTTTTAGCTGCAAGGAGCTTCTACATTGCCTGCACATCAAAAACCCCGACAGGAGCAAGGCGATTGAAACGACAAAATCAGGTACAAATCTTACAAGCAGGAATTCAAACAATTCCTCAATTTTAGTGTTCGTCGCATCGGAACAATGCTCGACAACTCTTCTGAAGGAAGATCTAGCGAGGCGCATTCCGCAAAGAAACTACGCCGTCTTCGAAAATATGTGGAGTCGTGTGCAGCCGAAACTGACTCGGCACGCGGCCGTCCTTGAGTTCCTGAAAGACATGGCCAGCGCAAAGGAAGACGAAGACTCGGCCTTCCGTTCTGTCATGTCGATGGACAAGTCAGCGTTCAGCCGAAACGAGCGGAACAAAGAGAACCTCTCGCAAAACAGTGTCACGGTTACTTCTATCTCGTCGAGTAGATCGCGGCCGATCTATCAATCGACGCCGAGAGAAAAACGCAGGCTTCATTGTCAACTTCAAAAGAAATACTTCAAAAAGAAATACTCTATCTATGTTGTCTCTGCACAAAGAATGCTCCCAACTAATTTTCAGAACACCTGCAAAAGCAACAGGCTCTGGCGACCAGTGTTTGAAAAACCCGCCCGCGAACCCCGCGGGGGCCGCGGGCGGGGGCCACGGGCGCCCGCGCCCCCGTACCCGCAAGAAATCTCGGATTTGGCCCCGCGCCCGCCCGCGCCCGTAGAAAATTTTTGATCTGGCCCCCGCGCCCTCCCGCGCCCGCGGAAATTTTTCGCGCCCGCGGGCGCCCGGGGCTCACCATAAATTGAATTAAGCTAGTTAAGAATGTTGGGTTTTCATCTAAAAAACTTTGCGTAAAATGAATGGGCCCCGTTCCTTGATTTAAGAATAAAGGGCCAGTTTTTTTAAATAAAGGCCGTTTTGGCAATCTTTGACTGGAAAATCAGCCGATTTGAATTATGAATCCAGACGAACATTATTGTCAATAGAACTTCTTCATAACAGAGAAATCTACCTTTCTCATTGCATTCTAAGCTATCGATACTATCGATTCGATAGACCCCTTGTTTGTTAATTTTTGGGCCGTCTCAGCCCCGTTCCTTGATTTTTTGATTTAAGGGGCTTGACATAGGCTTGGAACATTTAGTTGATCAATCTCAGTTTTGTCCCCAACCCCACCCACACCCATTGATTTAAAAAGTCAAATTATCTTAGTTTTTAGCTTAATTATGGTTTTTTTGAGAGTTATTCTTCTATAATTCGCAGATTCATAGCCCTCGAACCCGCGGGGCCTGCGGGCGCGAGGGTCACGGGCGCCCCCTGCCCCCGGGCGCCCGCGGGCGCGATTTTTTGCGGGGCCTCCGCCCGCGCCCGCCCGCACCCGCGCAAAATTCTTGAATCGGCCCCCGCGCCCGCCCGCAACCGCGCAAAATTTTGGAATCGGCCCCCGCGCCCGCGGAAAATATTGCGGGTTTTCAAACACTGCTGGCGACTACTTGAACGTCTCTCAAGCGGATCTCATTCGAGACACTCTTTTCGCGATGGAAGACATCCCCGGCACTTTCATTTGCTACGACGACAACGTCAATTCACTTTACAGATACCGACTCAAGGAGAAATACAGAGTTGACAGTCGCGATCGATCAGATGCGGAGTCGCTGGGCGCGTTTGGCTTTTACGTTCGCGAAATCAGTGCCTTTATCGCGCAGCACGAGAAGCAGGAAGGCTTTGGGATGATTGGGACAATCAATTGATTACGAGAGGGTTAGGGTTTGGAATTCTACCATCTTAAGCCTTTACCAGACATCAAATGGACTATTGAATTTAGATACATACGAGTCCACATCTATTCGTCTTTTGTCGGTTTTGAACGAAGTCTACAACTTACCGCTTCACTTCCAAGCGACTCGAAACTACATGCTCCTAGGTTAGGGCGACTTCGTTCTGCACTTGCTCGAGAGTCTGCAGCAAGAGCTTGGAAAACCAGCAGAAGTTCTTCCTCGCGGAACACGTCGAGACAGCTATCATGAAGAACGCTTGACGAACGCGCAGCACGATCATCCGGACGTGTTGAAGGCGATCGACGTTCGAATGAACCCTACAAATTCGAAGCAGCCGGAATCGGTAGTCAAAGAAATAAAGGAAGAAAACACTTGTTCCTTGGAAGTTGACAAATGAGAGACGAAAAAAGATGAAGAAACACATCGCTGAAATAAAATGCTGAAAAAATCGGGGCTTTCAAAAGTAAGATTTCCAGAATGACTAAATTGTAAACACCATAACAGTGTTTCCGGCTTGGTCTACGGGAGTTTTTCTGAAAACGGGTGTGGGCGGGGATGGGGACAGGCAAAGTCATAATGTCTCATTATTTGACGGGAGACTCTGTCTGTCTGCGATCGGACAGGCTCCCTTGGACGCTAGGTTTAATATGTTAAGGTGAGAGTGTTCTCCCTGTGTTGTCGCTAGGTTTAATAAGGGTTCTTGTTAAGGTGAGAGTGTTCTCCCTGTGTTGTCGCTAGGTTTAATAAGGGTTCTTGTTAAGGTGAGAGTGTTCTCCCTGTGTTGTCGCTAGGTTTAATAAGGGTTCTTGTTAAGGTGAGAGTGTTCTCCTGTGTTGTCGCTAGGTTTAATAAGGGTTCTTGTTAAGGTGAGAGTGTTCTCCCTGTGTTGTCGCTAGGTTTAATAAGGGTTCTTGTTAAGGTGAGAGTGTTCTCCCTGTGTTGTCGCTAGGTTTAATAAGGGTTCTTGTTAAGGTGAGAGTGTTCTCCTGTGTTGTCGCTAGGTTTAATAAGGGTTCTTGTTAAGGTGAGAGTGTTCTCCCTGTGTTGTCGCTAGGTTTAATAAGGGTTCTTGTTAAGGTGAGAGTGTTCTCCCTGTGTTGTCGCTAGGTTTAATAAGGGTTCTTGTTAAGGTGAGAGTGTTCTCCCTGTGTTGTCGCTAGGTTTAATAAGGGTTCTTGTTAAGGTGAGAGTGTTCTCCCTGTGTTGTCGCTAGGTTTAATAAGGGTTCTTGTTAAGGTGAGAGTGTTCTCCCTGTGTTGTCGCTAGGTTTAATAAGGGTTCTTGTTAAGGTGAGAGTGTTCTCCCTGTGTTGTCGCTAGGTTTAATAAGGGTTCTTGTTAAGGTGAGAGTGTTCTCCCTGTGTTGTCGCTAGGTTTAATAAGGGTTCTTGTTAAGGTGAGAGTGTTCTCCTGTGTTGTCGCTAGGTTTAATAAGGGTTCTTGTTAAGGTGAGAGTGTTCTCCTGTGTTGTCGCTAGGTTTAATAAGGGTTCTTGTTAAGGTGAGAGTGTTCTCCCTGTGTTGTCGCTAGGTTTAATAAGGGTTCTTGTTAAGGTGAGAGTGTTCTCCCTGTGTTGTCGCTAGGTTTAATAAGGGTTCTTGTTAAGGTGAGAGTGTTCTCCCTGTGTTGTCGCTAGGTTTAATAAGGGTTCTTGTTAAGGTGAGAGTGTTCTCCTGTGTTGTCGCTAGGTTTAATAAGGGTTCTTGTTAAGGTGAGAGTGTTCTCCCTGTGTTGTCGCTAGGTTTAATAAGGGTTCTTGTTAAGGTGAGAGTGTTCTCCCTGTGTTGTCGCTAGGTTTAATAAGGGTTCTTGTTAAGGTGAGAGTGTTCTCCTGTGTTGTCGCTAGGTTTAATAAGGGTTCTTGTTAAGGTGAGAGTGTTCTCCCTGTGTTGTCGCTAGGTTTAATAAGGGTTCTTGTTAAGGTGAGAGTGTTCTCCCTGTGTTGTCGCTAGGTTTAATAAGGGTTCTTGTTAAGGTGAGAGTGTTCTCCTGTGTTGTCGCTAGGTTTAATAAGGGTTCTTGTTAAGGTGAGAGTGTTCTCCTGTGTTGTCGCTAGGTTTAATAAGGGTTCTTGTTAAGGTGAGAGTGTTCTCCTGTGTTGTCGCTAGGTTTAATAAGGGTTCTTGTTAAGGTGAGAGTGTTCTCCTGTGTTGTCGCTAGGTTTAATAAGGGTTCTTGTTAAGGTGAGAGTGTTCTCCCTGTGTTGTCGCTAGGTTTAATAAGGGTTCTTGTTAAGGTGAGAGTGTTCTCCCTGTGTTGTCGCTAGGTTTAATAAGGGTTCTTGTTAAGGTGAGAGTGTTCTCCCTGTGTTGTCGCTAGGTTTAATAAGGGTTCTTGTTAAGGTGAGAGTGTTCTCCTGTGTTGTCGCTAGGTTTAATAAGGGTTCTTGTTAAGGTGAGAGTGTTCTCCTGTGTTGTCGCTAGGTTTAATAAGGGTTCTTGTTAAGGTGAGAGTGTTCTCCCTGTGTTGTCGCTAGGTTTAATAAGGGTTCTTGTTAAGGTGAGAGTGTTCTCCTGTGTTGTCGCTAGGTTTAATAAGGGTTCTTGTTAAGGTGAGAGTGTTCTCCTGTGTTGTCGCTAGGTTTAATAAGGGTTCTTGTTAAGGTGAGAGTGTTCTCCCTGTGTTGTCGCTAGGTTTAATAAGGGTTCTTGTTAAGGTGAGAGTGTTCTCCCTGTGTTGTCGCTAGGTTTAATAAGGGTTCTTGTTAAGGTGAGAGTGTTCTCCCTGTGTTGTCGCTAGGTTTAATAAGGGTTCTTGTTAAGGTGAGAGTGTTCTCCCTGTGTTGTCGCTAGGTTTAATAAGGGTTCTTGTTAAGGTGAGAGTGTTCTCCTGTGTTGTCGCTAGGTTTAATAAGGGTTCTTGTTAAGGTGAGAGTGTTCTCCTGTGTTGTCGCTAGGTTTAATAAGGGTTCTTGTTAAGGTGAGAGTGTTCTCCCTGTGTTGTCGCTAGGTTTAATAAGGGTTCTTGTTAAGGTGAGAGTGTTCTCCCTGTGTTGTCGCTAGGTTTAATAAGGGTTCTTGTTAAGGTGAGAGTGTTCTCCCTGTGTTGTCGCTAGGTTTAATAAGGGTTCTTGTTAAGGTGAGAGTGTTCTCCTGTGTTGTCGCTAGGTTTAATAAGGGTTCTTGTTAAGGTGAGAGTGTTCTCCCTGTGTTGTCGCTAGGTTTAATAAGGGTTCTTGTTAAGGTGAGA